GCTTGGTTCGTTTGAGGAGGGGTCACGGCGGCCAGTCAGGGAGCATACATCTCGTCCAATTGAGGTGGATGGAAGGCCGCAGCAGGCAGGAGTCCATTGCTTCTCTGGTCCGTCCATGCCATCCCTCCCTTCCTTGGTCCAACCAGACAAACATCCTGCTGGCCTGCTGGCCTGCCCTGAACTGCCTGCTCCAGGAGCACGAGCGAGCAGACCGCAGCGCAGGCATGACGGGCAGCATCCACGCATCGTTCGACGTGACTGGTGGCCCGATGCGGCCTTCCGCGCTTCCGTCCGCAGTGAAGTGACGCTGCAGCTCCGGTGGAGCCACAACTGGCAGGGCGTCTGGCCACCCGGGGGGTCATGCGGGCAGCTGGAGCTCCCGATTGCGGGGTTTTAGGGTCGACGGGGGGTCCTTTCAGCGGGGCTGTCACCGCGCTCGCTAAGGCGCTACCTCGTAAATGTCCTGCCGGTACAAGCCGTTCTCCCATCCTGCATCCCTCTGGTGCCCAAGCCCCGCGCTCCGAAGGCGTACCCAGCACACCGCATCAAGTGCCCCCCTATCCGCCTCACCTTACCTGCCGCCTGGCTCCCGCGACCTGGCCCCGGTCCGATCACCCAAGCGTCAGCCGTCCAGTGGCCAGTTCGCCTGGCGCTCGGCGGCTTCAAAAGCCAGGCAGGCAAGGCAGGTACCCACACCCAACACCGCCGCCAACAGGGCTACAGCTCGACCCCACTCTTCGCGACGACACGCCAGAGCTTGATCTTGCCCCAGCTGTAGCTTCGTCCTCATCGCGTCTCCAACATCTGCCTCTGCCGGCCCCTCCCGCGGCACATACACCCCACCAGCTCCGAGGCACAGGCATAGGCACGCGACCGCTACATCGAGCTCTTCAGGGGAAACTCGGCGGTCCCGATGCGGCCGCCAAAGCGCCCACGATGGCCTCATCCGCGTGAGTTTGGCCCTAGCCCACACCAGCTACTGATGCTGTCCCTTCCGTATCGGCGCATGGCCTTTCTCGGGGTCGTAAGCTGAGTCTCAGCTTTGCCCTGATCTGTGATGCTGACCGTCATTGCTCCGCAGGTCCCTAAAAGAGCTCTCCAAGGCGATACATGCCTTTATCCCCCATCCGACCCTCCCGCTCCCCGACAGCCTCGTCGAGACCATCGCCGCATACCTCCACAAGCACGAAAAGTACGATGAGGCTGCATCCGACAGGCTTCAGGAGGAGCTTGTGAGTACCTTTGAAAAGTACGTCAAGGGAGTCCCGAGCGCATCTGGGCCGTGGATAGGCATCCTCCGGCGGCTGCTGCCCGTGCTGCAGACACCAGAGCGCGTGCTACCCTGGTTCGACTCGTACAAGGGCCTTCTGGACCGCACCGGCCTGGACAAGCTTGTCGTTGACGAGACCGTGGCGGCCCTCATGGACCTGGTCATGTTTATGGACGAGTACCACGTTCGATCGGGTGGAGACTCGGCGACCAACCCCATTATTGATCGCCTATTTTCCATCTGGATAAATCGCTTCTATCCGGAGGTTGTGGACGAGGACACGAGCCATGAGTATAACGAGAGAATGGTTCGCGATGCGTTGAAAAGCTTCGGAAAGAGACGACCCAAGGTATATCTCGGACCGTGATATTCGGGCCATGTGGACTGGCTGACTGGAGAATAGGAGTTCTTTACATCTCTGAACACTTGCTTCATTGAGAAGCAGTACCGCAAGGCGACACTGAGGTTTCTCTGCGATTTCCTCCAGGACCATCCTCCCCATTTGCACCAGGTCCTGCATACTTCGCTCTTCGGCAACATTCTGAAGTGCCTGCTGCATGATACATCCACGACTATAATCTCCTCGGCACTCACTGTTCTAATCATGCTCCTGCCTCACATGCCCAGCTCACTCGTACCTCATTTGCCGACATTGTTCAACATCTACGCTCGCTTGCTCTTTTGGGATCGCGAAAGGGCCAACCACGTGGAGGGTCAACCAGACGGGGGCGACCACTCGAGCGGATGGGAAACATGTGCATACAATCCGGATATGGATGACTTCCCCGTTGCTCAGCTGTCCAACTATTATACGATACTGTATGGACTCTACCCCATCAACTTCATGGACTACATCCGCAAGCCGCAGCGGTATCTGCGTCACGCGAACATCACCGGCTCGGAGGATGTCGAAATCCAGCCAACCGAGATCCGTCACCGTTCTGAACGCTTCAGGCGGTGTCACCTTCTGCACCCCAACTTCTACACCCTGACAATCGACTCTGAGAAGACCGACTTTGGCCGCTGGATTAAGAGCGAGGCTGCCGAGGTGGTCGTCGAGTGCATGAGCCTCTGCATGACGAGCGACCTATACGACACGCCCGATCTGGACGCCCCTCCTCCAATGCCCGGCTCTGCCGCTACCATTATCCACGAGGGGATTGATAAGGAGAGGTCCGACTCGGCACTGCTGAGTGGTTCTCTGAGCCGGACGGATAATTGGCGCAACTCCCAGATGACGAGCACAGACTCAGACTCGAGTCACCGGACTGCATCCATGGTGATCCGCCGTGTGTCGCAGTCGAGTCAGCCTTCCAGCCGGCATGTCGCCGATGAGGGCACGGCTAGAGGCCCCAGCACGGACAGCCCTACCATACCGGCGCAGCTGACGCAGTCACCGTCCCACAGCCAGCTGCAAGATATGTTGCACTCGAACAAGGTGATCAAGTCGAGCCTGCACCAATCTCTGGCTAATGACAGCGTTCCGTCACTGTCTCTGAGCCACCAGGAGTCAACGGCTGACAAGTCAACCGCGCCGCCGTCGACCACTGTGGTCCCGCCTTCTGTGAGCTCTCCAGTGTCGGCAATGGACCTGGGAACCCAGGTGGCCCATCTACAACGGCGGGTTCTGGTATTGGAAAACGACCTCAGCTTCGAGCGCTACGTTAAGCAGCAACACATGGCTCATATTGGTGAGCTCCGGCGCAAGCTGGTGGTGGAGGCAGCAAGTGAAGCCGAGACGCAGAACCTCATCATGTTGAATCGCAACCTCAAGAGCCGCTTTGAAGAGGCCAAGAAGGGCGAGATGCAGGTTCGCAAGGAGTCTGAAAAGAGCCGCGCCATGGCCAAGAAGTGGGAGGCGGACCTGGCGAGCAAGCTCAAAAACCTGCGAGACGAGTCCAAAAAGGCCACGGCTGAGCTAGGTGCGCTTCGGCGGGAGCTGGACGAGTCCAAGGCGGAGTGCGAAAAGCTACGTAAGCTGGTGTGTGAGGGAGAGGTGAGGGAGCTCAACTGGAAGCAGAATATGCAATCGGTCGACATCGAACGGACAGAGATGGAAAGATTAAAGGCGCAGGTCGAGGAACTTACCAAGTCAGATCGCGATCATCAGGCGCGCGAAATGGAGCGCAAGACGGCTATTAATTCTGCCACGGCAGCGGATGCGCAAGCCGAGTCGACTAGGCTCAAGCTCGCAGCGCAAGAACACGACGCAGGAAAAACAAGAATTCTCTTCGAGTCACAGGTCAAGGAGCTTAAGAGGCAGCTTGCAGAGGCTCAGGAAGAACGGGAGCGGCCCGGAGCCAACTCGAACCTGACGATCGAGGGTGCGTTGGCGGCGAGCAGGGCCAAGCAGGCGGAGCAACAGAAGCAGTACGACTTGTTGATGCGCAAGTACACTGCTTTACAATCGTCTCTCCTGGACATGCAGTCAGAGACGGCGGCGGTCGCAGCATCATCCAGAGGGCAGGATACCCAGCCCGCTGGCGGCGATTACCTCTCTATGTCGGCGAGCCCCGTCATGATCAAGGCGCGACCTCACCGGTCGATATCCAACGCAGATGCAACCGGGCATAACCCGACACCGCCGCCCGGGTCTCTCTCGGGCACGCCAGTGTCAGCGGAGCTCGAACGGCGGGCAAGCACGCCACAAGCCGGGGAAGGCTCCGGAAGCGGTGCGCTGTCAAACAGCCCCGGCGAACAACGGCACTTTGGCAGTAAGTTGGCGGCGATGAAAAACGGGCGCCAACATCGAGATGGCAATGCTGATCATGCGACAGGTGGCTTTCACAGCCGAATTCGCAAGGATTCCCGGGATAAGGTCAAGGATGATGGCGGTAGCAGCTCCAGCAAGGCCAAGAAGGAGAAGAAGTCGTCAGGCCTGCGCGGCATCCGAGGGTTCGTCTAGGCGGCACATGCATGCCTTGTTTGGCCCTCGGTGGCCACGTCGGTTGACTTGCGCAGCATGAGCAGTGACTGTGCTTACCTGTACGAAGAAATGCGGACATGTAAATGCGAAGACCTGATCAACGACGCGTATGCCTTTGCGTGGTGCAAACTACATCGGCCTATGGGCCATGATGCAGCCAGATCAGCACTACAACCACGGAAAGCTATATCTAAGCCTGAGCCGTGTTACGAAGTAGTCCACATATATGAGCATTGATTGTTCAAAATTGCACCCCGTCAGCTGCTTCTGGAGGTTCGCTGGCTACCGTGGAACGCAACCATGCCTGCCAGTGGACGAGATAAAGTTGAACAAGGACTCTTGTGCGTAGCACAGGGTGTCGAAGGCAACTCTGGCCCACGTTCGGGCATTAAAGCAATCTCACCTGCGCATACGGGACATGGCATGGCACGTACAGCACATGACGGATGCTACGACTGTTTCCTATAGCATGAAGGGCATGGAATGCCAAGCCAGCAAAACCCACGGCGCGGCGGCGTCGCACGACGCCAGACCCTCGAGCAGCCACGGTGGGCGATGACTCGCTGGACATGGCCAGCCCATGCGGCCATGTTATTAGACAGACAGCCCGGAGAAAGCATTGGGATCGCGGCAGGCGGGTGTTGGGCGGGTGGCATGCAAGACCGTCGGGGCACACGCAGGAACGGTCACTCGGGTGTAACGGGGCCGTTCCACGAGTGACGCCGGGTTGGCCGACCACCTCGAGCCATGGATGAGGGATTGAGTTTTTGGGTTTGCGCTTGGTCGTGGGTAGCGCCGTGCCTTGCATTCCATCCGGCAGGGTCGCCCGGTCGGCGAGTGTCCGGGGGATCGCTGCACTGCGCAAGTTGTCCGTAACAACTCGAACATCTCTCAACCTTTTCGCGACGAGAGCGACAGTTGGATACCGGCAAACGGCGCGGCCAGAGGAAGGGAAGAGGGATGCTTGCTGTGCACTAACCTTGGCCACCGTGGTGGTTGCAAAGCTGCTGCAAGCTGCTGTCACGAGGTCGCAGTGGCAGCGGCAAAGCAGGATGCCCAGGATCGAGAATACGAGGTGAGCGCTGACTGGCGGAACTCGCTGGCCGCTGGGAGGGAGTGAAGTGAGCAAGCTAAGCTGGCGCGCATACAGTACTACTGCTACTGTCCTTTGCAAACGTCAAGCATCGAACAACCAGACAGTCAGGCAGTGTGCCAGGCCAAGCGACGCTCTGATTGTCAAAAGCCCACATGCTCAAAGGGCGAGGCTTGGCCCAGCGCCAACGGCACAAACGTCCGGCGCGCGGGCGTGGCTGACGACGCCGCCCAGGGACAGACGGGCGGGAGCGGTTGCGCCGGAAAGGTCAGTTACAACGCCCGGCGCAGGGCAAGCACCAAGGTGGGGTTGGGTTTGCCTCGATTCGTGCCACACGAGGGAGGCTTGGCTGAGGTATGCCAATGGGGAGGCGCTCATGCGCTGTGCCTGGAAAACTTTTCCGCCATCGCGCGTGTGTTTCGCTGGAAAAGGTAATCAACGACCCCAAGACCCTACCGGCCAGCAAAACACAGGGGAGGGGGGTTTCCCCCGGTGGAACCCCTCAACTGCAGTTGCAAAGCTGCGAGCCCTTGAGTTCCAGCAGATACTGTCGCTAGGCGATGGAAGTGTCCAGAAGAAGAGAAGGGCCAGTTCTGGGCCAGCGCGCGATCGGTCGGGCCAGGCGATCGGCGCCGGGAAGGAGCGAGGGCCACGGCGTGGCAGGCCAGGGTCGCAGGTCGGCACCGAGGCCCCAGCAAGCCCAGCACGGCTTTGAAGCAGCGGGCAGGATGGCACATACCCTTGCAGGCTGCCTCCAGTGCTTGCCGCCTGCCCACACCTATGACGTGTGCGCCCTCAGGCTCCTTTCGCATCCCGTCGCCGCCTCGGTCGTCAGGCGCCTCTCTTCAGGTCTGCTCTGCTTCAAGTGGTGCTGTTCCAGCTTTCCCATGTCGTGATATGGACCAGGGCCTCAGTCTCGATGCCTGCATCGGGCAGCACGCCTCTTGTCGGGTCTCGCGTCGCCCCGAGACACCCCTCACCACCCGCCACAGGCACGACGCCATGTCTCGCGAGCGCACATGCAGGTCCGCGGCCCTCCAGCCATCCCGACGCCAGGCCCAGGCACAAAGCACGCCGCTGCCCTCGCACAAGAACGCACCACGCCGCCTGCCCAGCTGCAATGGCACACTGACCTGGCGCTAGGGTCCACCAGTCCACCAACCGGGCCCCCCTGTGGGACCCCCATCGACTGCCTTCGCCACGATCCGGTGGCCCAGACAAAGGCTGCCTGTCTGGGAAACCGACCCGGCCGTCTTGGCCCACGCCCACGCGCTGCACTGATTGTGAGCCGTGGCCCCATCACGATTCACCACAATCGGAGCATGCAGCCGGCGAGAGGACGGCTTGGACGGGATTCCATGGGATGGAACCACTTGCCACCCACCCATCCAAGCCTCAGCCAGGCATAGGCCAGGCAAGCCAGGCCATCCTGCCGGCCGGCTCTCCACCCTTGGGGCCCAGTGACGACGCCTGCTTGCTTTCTCTGGCCATCGCGCGCTCCAAGAATGGAACAGGAGCCCACTCGCCCACGTACTCCGGCCTTGGGGCCGCTCGATCCAGCGGCTGCCGGCCTGTTTACCATCCCCAGGAGTTGAGCTGCCGCCTCTTTAGTCCTCGCAGTCCTCTCCTTGCTCGGCCCTCGTCCTCGTGTTCCTTCTCTTACATCCTCTCCTCCTCATCCATACACTTGCTTTCTGTCTCTCGCTTCCGACGTCGCCGAGAATCGTCGAGACAGCCACGATCGTTCCCTGGAGTGTCTCGGTCTGCATATAATACAGTTCTTAATCAGCACTCGTTAATTCCTTAAACCCACGATGCCTTCCTCGGCGTCCCTTCTCACCTTGGCTACGGCCGTCTCGTCGGCGGCCGCTGCCTTCCAGGGCTTCAACTACGGCAGCACCTTCACCGACGGTAGGGTCAAGACCCAGCAGGACTTTGAGGCCGAGTTCAAGACGGCTGCCAGCCTCGAGGGCACCAAGGGTGGCTTCACCAGTGCCCGCCTCTACACCATGAGGGTTCGTCTACATCTCATAACCTGACTCCCACAGCCTACTGATAAGGAGAAACAGCAAGGCGATAGCGATACCCCCATCTCGGCCATTCCTGCTGCCATTAGCACCAAGACCAGCCTGCTCCTCGGTCTCTGGGCCTCCGCCGGTGAGGACTTGTTCAAGAAGGAGCTGTCGGCTCTCCAGAACACCATCAATGAGTACTGCGGCAAGCTCGACGGCCTCGTTGCTGGCATCTCGGTCGGCAGCGAGGATCTCTACCGCATCTCACCTATTGGTCAGGCTGCTAGCCCTGATCCTGGTGCCAGCCCTGACACGCTGGTCAGCTACGTCAAGCAGGTCCGCGATACCATCAAGGGCTCTTGCCTGCAGGATGCCCCCATCGGTCACGTCGATACCTGGACTGTCTACGTGAACGAGACCAACAAGCCTGTCATTGACGCCATCGACTGGGTCGGCATGGACGCCTACCCCTACTACGAGAACACCAAGCCCAACGAGCTCTCCAACGCCAAGAGCCTGTTCCAGGCCGCCCTCGACAAAACCAAGGGCGCCTCGGGCGGCAAGCCCGTCTGGATCACCGAGACGGGTTGGCCCGTCAGCGGCGACAAGTCTGGTGCCGCTGTCCCCTCCACTGAGAACGCCAAGGTCTTCTGGGACGAGGTCGGCTGCCCCATGTTCGGCAAGACCAACGTCTGGTGGTTCACTCTCCAGGACGGCTCTCCGACCACCCCCAACCCTGCCTTTGGTGTCATTGGCTCTGAGCTCACGAAGAAGCCCCTCTACGATCTCTCTTGCGACAACATCGACCCGTCGCCCTCGTCAACGAGCCAGGTCAGCAGCAGCTCTCAGGCCTCATCCACCGCTGTTCCCTCTGCCAGCTCCAGCGCCCAGACTGAGCAGCCCTCTGCTACCACGTCTGGCTCCGGCTCCGGCTCCGGTTCAGCTTCCGAGAGCGCTCCGGCTGCCACGACCACGGCTCAAGGCGGCAACGACTCCTCTTCGGCTGCCCCCACGACCGTGAGCACTGCCGTCGTCCCCCCTCCCGCCGGTGGTAACTCGTCCTCCGCTGGCGGCTCCGTGCCCACCGGCACAAACCCCGGCGCCAGCGGCCAGCCAACTGGCGCTACCGGCACGGGTGCCCAGCCGACCGTATCGCCTTCCGAGATCCCGCAGGCTGCGGCCGGACGTGTCAACTCGTTCGGCGCCGCCGCGGTGGCTGTTGTCATGGCCGCTGCCGTCATTTAAGAGAGACAATATGGACTGGGGCGGGCTGTTCATCATTGGCAACGCCCCTCACGATAGCGGTTCTTTCTTGGGATAGAATAATGTACATTCAAGGATGATATTGTTCTTGCGAATAGTCGGCTAGGCCGGGTACATCCGTGACCAAACCGGATGATGAAGCCGCGGGTTTGCATCATGGCGTCAAATAAGGGAAGGAACACGGCCGGAAATTTGGGATTCGGCTGCACACTCATTCAGACACGGGAGACACCCTGTATATCAAGAGTACAAAAGTTGAGATTACAAGCAAAAAGGTACACTTACCAGAACTGCGCAGTTGCACACTCGCATCGTGGTTGAAGTGTACAACGTCAAGCGCCCGCGACAGCATTTGGTGCGTGAGGGTCAAGACGGAACAGGGCTCAAAGTCCGTCGCGCGTTCGATAAAAGTCTGTAATTATGACATAAAAAGTGCGATCCCGACACGAGGGGTTTTTCGAAACGTGGTACGACAGAATGAATAAATTGCCTTGCAGGCCACAGCTGCAGGATTAATGAACCCGAGGTCGCAAAGGAAGAGAGCCTGGAACCTGGAAGTAACTTCGTCAATCTGCAGGGAAGCTCGGCGCGCCGAGCCGAGCTGACTGACGCGCCGCCGGACTGACCTACCACGAGCTACCTTGTACCCAGCTGGCGGGAACAGGCACGCCACAACCACAGGCCACCCCTTGAACCCCCCCCCCCGTTGGAGACCCCCTTCACCACAAGTGCCGCGTTTCCATTTCTGGACCGTTTCGAGGCTCGAGCTGAAGCGACATCGTCTTCTCTCGTCAGCTGCAACAAACGTCGTCGACGATCCCATTCTGTCCACCGTGTTCGGTTCGGTTCCTCAACTCGCCAATCCCGTGAGCATATTCGAGCTCTGGCGCCCCGATCTCCGACCTCCGAGCTCTTGCCCCTTTCCCGCCCCATCTCTGCCAATTGCCTGCACAAGGGGAGGGACACGAGAGGACACTCTGAGCGAGAGACATGGCGCTCACGATGCGCTCTCGCACGGCGGCGGCGGCGTTGCTGGCCCTGTGCCTGCTGGCGGCTTGCGTGGTTGCTGCGGCGGTGCCGTCGACAGCGGCGATTGAGAGCCTGAGCCTCGAGGAGCTCGACGAGAAGCTTCAGGTGAGTAACCACCCGCGCGCGTTGCCGTGATGCCCTCGATGTCGAATCCTCGCCTTGGACGATAGAAGCTGACTGGCGGGGGCGAACCTCCCCATCATGCAGACGTGTCCCATCGTCAAGGAGCTCAACGCCGCCAAGCACGCACACCACGCCTCGCAGCCCTCGTCGTTGACGACGCGACTCTTCGCCGCCCTCTTCCCGAGCTCGCGCCCGGCCATCAACGCGCTCCTCGCGACGCTCTACATCTCGGGCCCGCCCAACTTCCTCCTCGCCCTGTGCCCGACCAATATCGACCCGGCGTCGCTGAGCGTCATGGTGGCCTTTGCCGTCGGCGGCCTGCTCGGCGACACCCTCTTCCACCTGCTGCCCGAGATCTTCCTCGGCGAGGACGAGTCGGAGCGCGCGCGCTTCGTCCTCGTCGAGCCCAACCGCAACCTCGTGCTGGGGCTCGGCATCCTCGTCGGCTTCATGACGTTTGTGGCCATGGACAAGGGGCTGAGGATCGCGACAGGCGGCCAGGGTCACGACCACGACCATGGGCACGGGCACGCTCATGGGAAGAAGGAGGATGCGTCTGTGGTTAAGGCGTCTGGCGCCGATACCGGAAACGGCTCGACCAAGTCGAGGAAGAAGGCCGGCAAGGAGACTGCCGGAGCGAGCAGCGATGCTCTCGTGGAGCAAAAGGAGGTGAACCCGAGCGTCAAGCTGGGCGGCTACCTCAACCTCATGTAAGTCACAGGCCACCTACTCTCGGATCCTCTCCCCTGAAACGCCTTCGAGTACTGACAAGCGTGCTGCAGCGCCGACTTCACGCACAACATCACAGACGGACTGGCCATGTCGGCCAGCTTCTACGCCTCGCCCACCATTGGTGCCACCACAACCGTGGCTGTCTTCTTCCACGAGATTCCCCACGAGGTCGGCGACTTTGCCCTGCTCGTGCAGTCTGGCTTCTCCAAGCGCGCAGCCATGGCGTCGCAGTTTGTCACGGCGATTGGCGCCTTGCTGGGGACGCTGATTGGCATCGCAATTCAGGAACTCGGCGGTGGTGCATCTACTTCGGAGGTCTCGATGCCGCGCAATGCCGGCCTCTGGGGAACGAGTTTGGTGAGTAAAGCAGCTATCAGTCTCTAACATGAAGCAATCATCTGACAAGCCTGAATTTAGACCTGGGGCGATATGCTGCTCCCCTTTACCGCTGGTACCTTCCTGTACGTCGGCACCGTGGCGGTGATCCCGGAGCTGCTGGAGACGGGGCCGAACAAGGGGGCGGAGCTTCGCAAGACCCTGGTGCAGTTCACCGCCGTCGCGGTGGGGGCTGGTGTGATGCTGTACATCTCATGGCACGATTAAAGCCCTGTTGCGATGTGTGCGTGTACGAGCAACAACACACTGTCAACTGCCCCTGGGCCTCGCCGCTCCACCCAGGCATGCTCCGCAACACTGTCACTCGCACGGTGACGACGGAACGAGGTTGTGATGTTTGAGAGCTCCGGAGAATGGGAGGACAGGAGGCTGCTGACGTTGCGCTGTGGTTGGATGAGCGGCTAGCCATATGTTGACGTCGCATCTGCGCGTCAACCTGACGAGAGCACCGGATGGTGGACAGTTCCTGATGGAGGGATAGACGGCGTGTATCGGGTGGATTTAATAAAAATATCAAGGCGACTTGGCACCCTACTTCTCAAGCATGCACACGCGAGGCTCTGTGCCGCCCATCCCTTCTAAGCACGTATTGCTCCTCACAGTCATTGGTCCGGAGTCTGGACACGAGGCCAGGACTGGTGTGTCTGCAGCGAGATGGAGTTTGCCCCGTGTGTGCGTTCCTGGGTTGTGTAAAAGGCGTGCCCAAAGGCCTTTTGCGCGTTGGAGCAGCGCATGCGCAAACGGCGTCTAGGACAATCGCGGCGGCAAGCGGGCCGCTATGAAACCTGCAACGTTGTTTGGGACTTTCACCTAGGGCATTGCACACTCTCAATAGGGGTGGCCGTGGCTTAGGTTGCCCCTGTGTCTCCCAAATACTGTAAAATTCAAGCCTCGAAAGCTGTAAGGGCTGAGTCTTGCATTGCCAAACCAACACTAAATTGGGGAAACATGTTCAATAGCGAGATACCAACCTTGCATATAGGTGCACCGTAGGAGCACTGCTAGTAGTAATTCTATATTGGGGTTTAGCCTGTTCTCCGTAGCAACGACGATAACTCGTAGCACCAACCACTGTTCAAACCGTCTTGAGCCCCCCGAAGTCAACTCCCGACTGGTGATATTGGCCGCCAACATCCACGCCAGCTCCCCCCGAATCCCCTTCAACATAAAACTTTCCCCGTTGCCTCCTATCTCACCACACTTCTACCGTACGGAAGAATGAGCTCCTGTCAACAGCGGTCACGTTGGGTCGGTGACTCATCGAGTCAAGGATCAGACAAGCCCATGTAGCTCTCATTCTGATCTCTACGGACCGATTCCACGCGGTTACCCGACTCATTCTTTCTGTTTCCGTCCGCGATTTCCCAAGTGTTTCCGCCATTCGCTCCGGTGTGAATCATCATTTCGTCATGCAGCCGCAGAACCGCCCCGTCTGGTGTATCAGCAACGGGCTACGCAAATCTGGTCCGCAAGGGCAACGACCGCGCTGCGTCCCAGGAGTACCCAGACCTGCCAGACGACGCCACGGACGAGGAGAGATGGCAGAGGAAGGTATCGAGGCCATCTGGACTCAGATCGAGCCCCGCTGTGACGAGAACGATCGTCAGTTATGGGTCTTTCTCGTGGTGGGCAGGACGCAGGAATGCCGCTCCTGACAGCCGTAACCACTACATTTTCAAGGTGTACTCGACGCAGCTGCACTGGGCACCGTATCTGATGGCTCGGGCCATGTTCGGGTTCGGCAACGTGCGATGGCATCCGTCCTGTCCCAATTTCAAGACGCACTGGACAGCGACCTACTACGAGAACGATGATCTCCCGGCAAACTGGGGAGAGCGTCGCGACGTCGAGCAGAGACTTTCATTCGAGGGGACAAACACTCGGATGGCAGCAGACCGCAGCCAAGCATGTTTATCAGGAACATCGCGCGTGCCTCAGAAACGAAGCGCGGCTTCTCTCGCGGCTGGAACCAACACACGGGCGAAGACAATCAAGCCCAGCCCTGAGACTCCGACGGCAGAGTCCACGAACGAGGTTCCCGAAGAATGGGATATGGCCATGAAAAGGGCCTTGGAGGACATGAGTGCCAGGAACACAAAAATAGCCGCGGCCATGAAGAAGAACGACGGGCCCGCAAGAATACTTGCGACCTGTTTTTTTTGGCGTACGACCGGAATCTACAAAGGTGTCTCGAGGTGTTGTCAGCGAAAGTAGAGACGCCGCAGAGACAAGTCGACAATCGAGAGGCAGAATGGCACAACATGACCATGACCAGGAACTTGCCAGAGCCCGGCATTTCGGCGACAACTCCTGACAGCGGCGAGGAGCAAGAGATTATCGCGGAGGCCGGAATCGACCCGAGCATGCTGGCCACAACTCTGACCGTGTAGTGGACGCCACGACGCCGGATATCGAATGCCACTTGCCGGAGCAAAAGAAGTCGACTATGAACCATGGCGGCACCAGCAACGTGGACGGCGATGGGTCAAAGCAAGAAGCGCAGGGCTTTGAAGTCGTCCAAAACTACTAGGTAGATGGCTAACCTACAGGGAGAGGACGGAGACATTCCAGGTCAGAGTTGTTTTGGGAAAATGAATAGCTCAAACCGTGCAAACTGGTGTCCTGATGAATGTCTTTACATCGTTGGCGGTGCGTTTAAAGACGACGGACGCGGCGAGGACTCGAGGAGGTAGCGCCCAAGGCAACAAAATAGGTGTTGTGAGGACGAGGGACGTGGCCGCCGTGGCGTACTTGGTTGCTTCCCTATTGCCTGAAAGCGGTTTACGGAGGCTTAGAGCTAGACAGAGACAAGACAAGCATACATATTTCACGCGTCCCGCCGAGCCCATCTCGCGAATACAATCCTTGCGACGAGTGACTACTTGCCTGGGCAGGCGAGAGACGTGGCGGCTGTGCGAAACCAGTTCTTTCCAGCACCTCTTCCAGCTTTGCAACAGTACAACGCATTATACTGAACAGGTTGAGTGTGGCAAAAGACCGGTTTGGCCCCTCGAGCTTACATCCACAGGCATGGACAATACGCAAGCGCGGGGAATGTGGGAGGCCATCATGGAAGTGGATGGATCTGCTGCGGCGGCAGAGGCCGCATGTTGCTGGAGAAGCCAGCGATTGGCCAGATGGCGTGGAAGGCGGGATCGTCCAGAAATCCAGGGTCCAGCTGGGAGATGCGCCAATAGTGTTGCGTAAATCAGGCGCCCAAGCTTTCTGGCGGGAGGGACCAGCCGCGTGCTGGAGCGCGTCCTTGTGCTCGACCGTTGTTCGAGCAGATGCCGGAGCTTGGGGCCCGTCCCAAGCGTCCGCCTGAGTCAAGGGGGTTCCAATCGGGAGCCCGCGCTATCCCAGAGACGGAGATCGGCTGGCATCTCGTGCGTTAAGCTCTGTGGATTCAAGGCCGGCAGGTCAAGGGGTCGAGGTGCTCCGGTCGCCTGCATGTGCTCCGCGGCCCCATCATCAGCCTGAACTGACCGAGTTGCTTCCTGTCTCGAGGTTGTTGCACGGTGCGGTATTCGGCTCTCGTGCGTCTTCATGAGCCGCAACAACAGTGTGAGCGCTCCTCGGCGTGGCCCTTGCCCCTTGCCGCGACGGCTGAGGTGGCCCTCGGCCTCCTGTTACGAAGGGGAGGAAGGCATCGCGCGAGGTGTGCGGCAACTCAGCTGTTTGGTTGGCCGAAAGACGATCGCAAGCCCGCAACCCTTGGGTGGTAGGGCGTGTTCCTGCAACGCCCTGGTGGCGCACAGACTGGATCGGGAGGAGGGCGCGGCGAGATGGGCAAGTATCGGTACGGCACCAGGGTTGCAAGCCATCACGATGGCGCTGGTGCTGGCGCTGGCGCACAGGTGGAGGTTGCTCATAGAGGTTATTGCCTGGTGGTGGGTAGCTCGGATGGGGCGAAGTTTTTTTTCTTGGTCGGCTGACGAGCCAGCCATCTTGGATCGAGTTGCGATACTGTGCTGCACAATAGCCGTTATCGGACATCTAGCAGCTGTGCACCAGCGGCGGGTAATCGGAAAGGCAATTGCGGCCATAGCTGACGCGAGGTCATGAAACCAACCCACAATGGCTTGACCATGTGATGCATTCAACGCGAGAAAGAAGAGCCGTAGCGGTGAGCTTGCCTACTCACAACCCGGGGTTCGGCGGACTTGCGTCGATGGCGAGAGTGACCCATCTTCGAGGCCCACGGTGATACTCGTGCTCTGCGTTGCATGCGCGCTGGTGCCGGGACGACGGGCAGAGAGCCTCGAATGGTTTCAGCCCAGACGCGGCATCATTCACAGGGCATGTGGCTTCGGCGATGAAATACACGCCATATTGGGCCCCCCGCATTCTGGCCAACAGCTGCTAGACATGCAGCGTCCTTTAGCACGAGATTCCCCAGGTTCCACGGCTCGGAGTGGTGTTCTTTGTCGAAACAGGGGTCTCCGTCCCGTATCGGGTCCCTGGGTCCCTCTACCCAGATGTCAAGTTTTGCGTGGAGCTGTTGTTTTGGGCTTCGCCTTCCGTAGACAGACCACCCGCGTCCCTAGCCCCTGCGCCAGTGCCCGGCAGAACGCCGTGGTCGAGTGGCGCCGCCGCTTTCAGGCACCGAAGCCAACATGGAAGGCGAAAAAGAAGCGAGCCTGAAGATATTTCCGGCCAACTTCCGATTAACGGCCGTTGCGGCCGGCGACCCTGCCCACCGCCGGTCTCGACCGCAGTCCTCGCGGGGCGGCCGTGTTGGTGGCCGGTCGTGGACGGGGGCTTTTGATGACATGCAATGGAGAAGCGCGCTCTCTCGGCGGGTATGGCATTGGGCACAACCGCCTGCTCGGCGATGCAGGGGCATTTCCACGACAGTTCGCGTAATGCGAACACTAGAACGGGTGGAGGACGTGGAGGCCAGCCGGGTAGCCGAGCAGGGAGCGCGGAAACCCGGGGGCCCAAGGCGCGGTCCTGGACGTTCGAGGCCATCGCGACGGTGAGATGTGGCCGCTCAAAGCGGCGGCGGCGGGCGAAGCCAAAGGGTCGGTCAGCCGTGTCAGTCGCACTTTGGCTTGGTGATACGAAGTAGCGCTCCCACCCTTCCAGCAATTGCGCGTTTGTTGCTGGAGCAAAATGGGTCTTTTGCTCTTCCTGGGAGCTTGTGGAGGGGTCCTGGGGGGTGGGAGCAGAGAGGCCAAGAGTCACCGATGGAGCGTAAAATTGGAGAAGAGCGTCTGCCGGGGCTGTCGAAACTTCCACGGTAACAAGGCCGCGCTCGCCATGAAATCATGAGAGCCACTTGGTGCTGAAGTCTGGGCATCCGTGCCAGGGCTCGCTGCACCCAAGATCTCGATTTGGGCCGATTCAGTATCGCGATGTGCAGCTACCAAGGAGATTGTGGTCCGCCAATGATGCAAGAAGTCGTCAAGTGTGGTGAAGATCCAGGGGCATGTCGATGCGGCTCAAGAGCTCCGAAGCGATCACCTTTTGTGTGCCTGTGTGGATGAGTGTGTGGCTGGTGAAGGCCGACTTATTTTTGGATGGGAGTGCAGAAGGGGTGGTGGTGGTGGTGGTGGTGGTGGTGGTGATGGTGGTGCCCCGTCGGCGAAGCGGCTTTCATACGAGAGTGGCCTGGCGCATGGCGTGCTGGTTCCGTCGGGTTGCGCGCACCGGCGGGCGACTGAGAGATGGTGGCGCGAGGGCACTCCCTCCCATGAGCACGGGCCAAGCGCACGATACAACTCGGGCGAAATACAAGCGAAAATTCGGGGTCCAACTTGCGGGCGTGGCAACAAGGGGAAGGCCTTTTGCTGTAAGGCCTGCACTGAGGTTTGCTTGGGGCCCTCGTGACATCGACATTACTACAGGCGGCACGCGCTTCGGATGCTTGAGTATCACACGGGGACAGGTAGCATTGTGCCTGCCCTCTCGAAGCAAACAATACCCAGGTGGCAGGAGCGTGTGTGCCTTGGTGGTGCGATTGGAGCAATCGGCCGACCGGAGGAGGCGCCAGCGGCTCCCTTGCACCCGCTGCACTGACAACACCACCACACGGAAGCAAGCGAAGCGGCGACTTTGGCGTGCTTTGTGCTTGCAGGTAAGGGCAGGGAGGGGAGGGAGGGCAGGCGCACTGCGGGAGCGAACTCTGCGGGTGGCGCCACAGCGCGGTCGCAAGGAGGGGCCTGCTGTTGGAGCGGGAAGGGAAGGAGCGGGCGAGGCGAGGAGGGCATCGATGGCAAGACGGGACCAAAAGTTGAGGAAGGGGAGGAAGGACAGGGAAGGGAGGGGCGTGCGCGCATCGCGCTCTCGTCCTGCTGGCTGAGAATCTCCATCACCATCTCCAGCTGGTGTGCAGGCACACCTTAGGCGCAGGAGCAGTTCTTGCAGGCGCAGGCGCAGGAGCAAACGCAAGTACCGGTACCGGGCCCGGATCCAACACCGCTTGCGTGCATGCATGGGTGGTCCATGCGCGCTGCCCACGCAAAATGCCATGCCAGTCCAGGCCAGGCCAGCCATGCCATGCCACCCGGGCCCGGGCACGCCTGCGACCGGGGTGCTTCCCGCCGCATTCCATGACAATTCATCGGCGCTCCGGCGCAACGAAGCTCTTTTGCCTTTGCGCCTGTTTCGCCGCGACGTGGACCTCAACGTGGACCTTGATGCCGCGATGCGGAGGCATGACTGGTATGACTGTTATGCGCTCCCCGGGCGCTCCTGGCCAGTTTGGGTGTGGTCCTCCCACCCTCTCCGTGCCCATGTGGCCCCCGGGCCCCAGCAGCTCCAGCACCAGCGCCGCTGGTCGTGCTGCGGTGGCACTATCGTGAGGTGTCGGCTCCGCGAGTGTCTCCGTCGACCACGGCGTGGCCCAAGTGACGGCTGGTATAAGAAAGAAAGCTCGCCCGCCCGCCCTTTGCCCACCAGATCGTGTCGTCAGCTCACCACCACTCTTCTCGAGCCGCGACGAGCATCCCCTCATCGCTGTTTTCCTCTTCCCTGTCTTGGCCGGGCCTAATTTATAATCCTCCCATTTCTAATACCCGCCGCCAGCCGTCTGCCTTGTCATCATTGCCTCGTCTTCAACGCCCTTGCTGCCATTTCGCCATCGGATCGTTCACCATTTGCCTCTTACGTCTAATAGCCCCCTCGCGCTGCTCCAATAGGCTTCTGCGCCCTCGGACATTACCCACGGGAACAAGTCACCGGCCGCACTTGACGCGTCCCAACTACCATCTTATTGGTGGCTAGCTTCTTGGTTGGCACAACCGCCGTTGCAGTCGAGCAAGACTACCAGCTGCTATCCTGCAAGCTTGGCTTGGCCGAGAGCCCCCTCATCTCCCCTTTGCTATAAGAAAACGCCTCTGTGCGCGCGACCGTTTGCCCGATCAACGGAGCGAATTGCTTTGAGCAAGAGAAACCACCTGTCTTGCGCGCCTCGTTATCTCACTGCAATCGGAAATCTACTGCCTCTCGTCGAAAACAAAGACCAACTCGAGATGCCCAGCCCGCCAACCGCTGGCGCCCTTGCGCCTCGTGTCGGAGGTCGAGCCAAGCCTGCTGCCCAGCAGAAGCCGACCATTGATGTCAAGATCGACCGACACTTCAACTCGAAGGTCTATACATCAGGGTCGACCATCGCGGGGCAGGCCATTATCAAGACTCAGCGAGACACTCCGTTTGATGACATTGACATCATCTTCACGGGCATCGCGGCCACTCGCCTTGATTTCGTCCAGCAATACCCCTCGCACTCGTTCCGCCCTTTTATGAAGCTGCGGATGCCAATCCCGCCCTCCTCCATTCCCAGTTCCAGGGTCTTTGAGGCCGGGAAACCCTACTCGATCCCCTTCCACTTCGTCGTCCCTCACCAGCTCACCCTGGGTGCCTGCAATCACCACTGCAGCTGCCCCGCCGTCCGGGAGCAGCACTTGCGCCCTCCTCCGACCGTCGGTTTCTGGGAAGCCGACGATCAGGCGCCTGAGATGGCGCAGGTCGAGTACGCCATCAAGGCGAGAGCGTACCGTAGGGCCGAGGATGGCAGTTCAGCCAAGTTTATGGAAGGGTACCACATGGTCAAGGTCCTTCCCGCGCAGCCTGAGGACGCCCCCCTCGACATCACTTTCAGGGATGAGCGGTACAACTTGTCCAAGTCGAGGACAATCCGAAAGAACCTCTTCGCCGCCAAGGCCGGAAAGTTGACTGCCACGGCCACGCAGCCTCGCGCTGTGATGCTCGCCGCTGATGGCCATGGCGCGGCAAGCTCGACCGCAAGGGTTGAACTTCAGTTTGCACCCACGTCAGCGGAAACGGCTCCCCCCAAGATCAACTCCATTTCGGGCAAAATCACGGCGGCCACCTTCTTTGGCGCTGCGCCTACAGACCTGTTGCCGAATTTGGGAAGCCGCGCTGCGTACACGGCGAACCCTTCGCTCAGCTACACGACCACCAACACGCTCTTCTCCAACCCCATCGACAGAGTGGGTTGGCAGCAGCGAAACACGAGCGGTCGACGCGATTCTGGATACTCGAGTCTCGGTGTCGAGGAAGACGCCTCCGAGACGGACTGCTCTGAGAGCCGTGGCCGCGTCGGCAAGAGCAAGAACTCCAAGAAATGCCCGATTCGGCATTCAGCGGTCGTGGAGGTCCCCTTCAGCATCCCGATGACGAATCGAAAGATCTTCCTGCCGACCTTTCACTCTTGCCTCATTTCTCGGACGTACACGCTGCATCTGAGCTTATCGGTCGGACCGACCAATGCTGCCATGACGCTGGCAGTCCCTCTGCAGATTGGTGTGGAAACCATCCACGAACCGCAGTTCGACGACGGCTTGCCGAGCTTCGACACCGCCATGGCAGAGGATGAGGGTGCCGACGTCGATGCGCACCTTCAGCCTCGCATCTTCCGAATCCCCGAGATGACCGCCCAGAGCAACAACCTGCTACCGGGTTACGAAGAGTTCGGCCGGTGGACAGTTGCAGTTGCATAAGAAGCACGTTCACGACGTCATGGCCAATCTCGACTTACCGCTCTATGCCTTTTTTTTTCACACTGAATTTTCATAGGCTTGCTTGATCTGAGCGAGCCCGGGGAAAGTGACGAGGTAATATTTGCTTTTAGCGACTTGCGACAACTACATCCATCCTGTCTGCGCTTTCACATCATGTCTCTGCCCCAAAAGCGTATATTGGAACCAATTTTCTTTTTTTACACGTTCCAAAGTCTGTTTTGTTATTGCCATTTGGCTGGTTTGCTAGCAACTGCTTGAGGAAAGGATTCGGATATGCATTTGAGCGCGGCGTTTTCAGCATTGGGTGAATGGTGTTGCGCGTGATGCGGGTGAATGCACGCCTACAAGAATCATGAGTGATGATGATGGCTATGACAGGGGTAATGCGGCTACCTTACCTGACGACTTTGATATGGGAAGCCGCGGGCGGTGAATTCAATATATCACAACTTTTCAGACGCTCAACAAGCTTGATCGAATATCCCGGATCCTTCCTTGCCCGGACTTTTCTCCAGCGTACGTTGGGCCTGTTAGCCGTCACCGAGAAGTCGGCAGGACTTTGTACGAAGTAAATGATGGCCAATTGCTGCATGTCTCAGATAAGATGCATGGCTTTATGCGTCCATGGAGGACAGCACAGAGTGTGCAGGGGGAATATGTCTTGCACGTCTTTACGACACATAACGTGTACAAGACATGCAGCACGCGCCGCCGAACAATGGGACATGTTGACAACCGTTGCAATGCGCCCTGGGCCGCCGTACGTCTCGCACAGTGAGACACGCACAACTCACACGCGACACCTGGTAAAGGTCAGTCGAGCTACGGGCCATGAGGCCGTGCGACAGAGCCTGGCTCCCACGGAGCGGCATCACAGCAGCTGGTGGGGGCGCCCAGTGCAGAGCGTCGCGGTGCCAAGGATTTCGGCCGCTGGGCGATGCTTGTTTAACGGGGCATCATACGAAGCACGAAATGGGGTGTCTCTGTGTGTTGCACGAAGATGGAGTCGAGAAGATGGGGGGGAGATGGGGAGTTCCATTGGGGGCCAGGGAGCCACAATGCAAGGTCCAACCGGCAGAGCACGGAGCTTGATGATTGGATGGGCGGGGCCGCAGACAGGCTTTCAGGCCGCCGAAGCACCGGCGGGAGGCACTGAAAGCCCCACTGCAATCAGTTAGCAGGGCCCCCAGGCATGGGAGATGCTGGAAGGCGCGGCACCGCTGGGGCTTGCGGGGGCTCCAGTGCTCGCGGCGGCGGGCTCCAGTTGAGTGCCACCGATGACCTACGGCAAACCGGGCCTGGTGCGATTCAAGACTGAATCGGTAAAGCCTCGGCTAACACCGCCAGTTGCTGCTGGCACCAAGTTTCAGTAGGTGACATTAGAATTCCAGATGAGCTTCCAGACCATACCATGTACCATACCATGGCCCGGGTCGCGCCATGCAAGCAGCCGCCGCAAGCGTCCACCCGCACAAGCCGCTGCCCCCCGGCTCTGCAGTCCCAGCGCCTTATCTGCCTCTTCTTCAATCGTCGAGTGCTTTCACCCCTTGCTATCGTCCCCCATCCCCATTTCGCTTTCCTTTCTCCTTCTCGTCCACTCTCGCTCTGTACTCGACATCGACCGTGCCCGTCACCGATCAAACGTGGCCTCTCGACCCTCGTTGCTTTTTCCCCCGGCCCATTGACCTGTCTGCCAGCTCGGCCGAAGAGCGACGATCGCTCTGCGTCTCGTCTCGGTGCTTCTCAACTGGGAACGACGCCCCCCCGGGAGAGGGCACCCCTGTACCGCGCTGTTTCGCAGGTCGGTTGTGAAGCCGCGCTCGTGAGCACGTTGACCACGGCACTCGGTGCCGATTACACTCGTTTTCCCCGTCCCTCTTCTCCAAGACTTGTGCACCGCCGGCTGTGCGAGTCTCAGGCATCTTCGGTGCCAGCCGCTGCGACGTCGACCACCCAACGCCTCTGACCGCGAGGCGCTCCCCGACCGCCCAACGCCGTTGTACGAACTACCACGTTACAGAACGACTCGATCTCCCCTTCGAGCGACAAAGCCCGACGTCCGGCGAGTTTCCGGCACGAACACAGCTTCTGCGACAAGCTGACGGCAATTGAAGTAACACGGCGTAAGACGACCGCTGCCATGGTGCCGGGGTTGAAGGCCGGGCTCGGCGGCCTGCTCTCTCTGCTGCTCCTGACGCCCGCAGACGCATTCTACATACCAGGTACGGCGGGTTGAGCTCCAGGCTGCCAAGGTTACAAACGACGGTTTGCGCAGAGGTGCTAATACGTCATCATATAGGATGGTCCATCAAGAGCTACAAGGAAGGTAGCCAATTGCCGCTGCTGGTCAACAAGGTGTACTCGGACAACACGCAACTCCAGTATGCCTACTACAATCTCCCATTCGTTTGTCCCCCGACGGGCAAGTCCCGGGCTGGCGGCGGCCTGCTTAGCGGGCAGAGCATCCCCTTGAACCTCGGCGAAGTCCTCCGTGGCGACCGCATTATGGCGTCGGATATGGAACTGGAGATGGGAAAAGATAAGCCGTGTAACTTTCTTTGCAACAGGGACATCTCACGCAGCGATCTGCGGCGCGCCAAGGAGATGGTTCGTGACGGCTACGTCACCGAGTGGATTGTCGACAACCTGCCCGGTGCGACGAGCTTCGTGACGAGCGACAAGACTAAGAAGTACTACGCGGCTGGATTCAAGCTCGGATACACGGAACTCTCGCCTACCACCGGCAAAGCTAGATACTTTTTGCACAACCACCACACCATCGTGATCCGATATCGCAAAGCACCCGGCAAGGCAGGCGAAAGGGGCGAGAGGCTCGTCGTCGGCTTCGAGGTCTACCCTAAGAGCGTTGGCCGCGACAACCGCAGGGACGGCTCGGGGTGCCCCATGGACTTGCAACACGTCTCTGGCGGGTTCGAGCTTTACATGGCAGCCAACAAGACGAGCGATCTCGCGGCCCGATACCCCGACTCGTCGTACTACCCAGACGCCTTGGAAGACGACGAGGGCGAGGGCGGCTCGCTCACGATCCCTTACACGTACTCGGTCTACTTCCGCGAAGACGAAGGCATTGAATGGTCTCACCGGTGGGACCTGTACTTTGTGAATCAAGAGGAGGGTTCGCGCATTCACTGGCTGGCCATTGTCAACTCGCTCATCATTTGCGGGCTGCTCACGGGCATCGTCATGATCATCCTGGCTAAGACCATCCGCACGGATATCAAGGCCTACAAGGACGCCGCCGTCGAGGACGGCAAGCTGAGGCGGAAGAAGCCCCGGTCCGGCGCGCGCTCGCCCAAGGAAAAGGTGCCTGGCCTTCTCGACCAGGGGACAGATGTTGACAATGATGCCGACGTGTCCGACGAAGACGAGGCACTCGAGGATGTGACGGGCTGGAAGTTGCTTCACGCCGACGTGTTCCGCAAGCCGAGCTGTGGAAACCTCTTGGCACCTCTCGTGGGTTCGGGAATGCAGTTGCTATTCATGGCAATCGGTCTGGTGTCGCTGAGCGCCCTGGGTATCCTTAACCCGAGCTTCCGGGGTGGCTTCATCAGCGTGGGCGTTGGCCTGTTCATCTTCGCGGGCGTCTTCTCCGGGTACTTCTCTGCGCGGGTGTTCAAGAGCTTCGATGGCAAGAACTACAGGGGCAACGCGCTGGTGACGGCGCTGCTCTTCCCTGGGTTGACGTTTGGGCTCGTCTTCATCCTCAATCTTTTCGTGTGGGCGCAGGCGTCGAGCACGGCGATTCCGTTCGGGACGCTGATGTCGATTCTGCTGCTGTGGTTGTGCGTGCAGGTGCCGCTCGTGCTGGCTGGCTCGTACTATGGGTACGTCAAAGCCGGCGCTTGGGAGCATCCGACGCGGACGGCGTCGGTGGCGCGGCAGATCCCGAACCAGGCGTGGTACATCAAGTCACTGCAGTCGATCCTGCTGGCAGGCCTGATCCCGTTCGCCGTCATCTTCATCGAGCTTCTGTTCGTGTTCCAGTCCGTGTGGCAGGACAAGAGCGGCTACTACTACGTCTTTGGATTCCTGGCGATGGTGTCCGTCATCTTGGTGGTAACGATTGCCGAGGTGACGGTGGTTACGATTTACATCCAGCTCTGCTCAGAGAACTACCACTGGTGGTGGCAGTCGTTTCTGGTCGGTGGCGGCAGCGCGGTGTGGGTGTTTGGGTACTGCATATGGTACTATACGTTCAAGCTGCACATAAGCGGGTTCGTGAGCAGCCTGCTCTTCTTCACGTACAGCTTCATGGCCTGCTGCGTGTACGGACTGTTGACCGGGACGGTGGGATTCCTGAGCGCGTACGCATTCGTGCGGCGGATATACGGGTAAGTGAAGATGGCCTTCTGCCCCTGTGATGTGCGCGAGAGGTTGAGTTCTAATGTGTTGCGGTGCAGGGCAATCAAGGTGGACTAATGACAGCCGCCGATAATTTCTTTTTAATATTTAGGCCCCATTTCGAACATCAGCGGCGCGGTCACTCCTTGGGATATACACAGGCGCCGATTCTTACCTTCATTTGGGCATCTTGAGCGGAGTGAGCCACGGCTAAGGTGGCCTCCTGCGGCGTCGGAACGAGCTGGCATTCAGCATGCGTGGGAGTCAGACAGGGAACTGGCGTTGAAAGCCCCACGTTCGGTTTTGGAGGAACACGCACACGCACAAACATATGGCAGACACATATGATTCTTGGCGAGTACAGTATTTACTGTATTGGGGAGCAGCATTTTGGAGTTGTAGCCTCGACGGCAGAACCAACGGTTGGTGCATGCATGGGAACACGAGCGGTGCGGCCACTGAGCCGACACAGTTAAATAATGCCACAATGATATGAGATTGATCATATTGAACGAGACGGCAGCTGGACAATGGATGATATAGCCGCAACGGCGACGTCAACTCGACGCAATCAGCCCGGCAGTTGCCCTGCTGTAAGATAAGCTGCAAAGTAGCTTCGTCTGAGCTTCTCGTTAACGACATGGCCTGGGGCTCGCAGGGACGCCGTCACTCGCCCCACCAAAACGGGCAGATGCGGTGCATCAAGCAAGGGCCGTGTCATCGAAGCGTCAGAAAGGGCGTCTTGTCATCGAAGGGCGCAATTGCGTTGACATATATGACAAGCTGCACGGCACCCGTCCAGTGACGGCTCAGTGTCGCCGGCACGGCGTCGGCGGGGGCGTTCCTGGGGCGGGCCTCTCGGGGTGCCGTTCCGCAGGACATTCCGAGCGACCAGTTCCGCTTCCGCGCCCCCGGTTTTTTTGGGGAGGAAACCTCTTCCCCGACGCTGCGCCGTCCGCCGCCGTCGCGGCGGGCGCGACGAGCACCAACGATGTTCCCCCAGAGGCCCCTCCAAAGCGGCCCCCCCTTCGCTAACGGAGGTGGGGAGCAGAAGCCCCAGAACCTGTGAGCGCCCCGCGCCCACTGGGGCCGACGTCGGTATAAAGAGGTCGCGATTGCGATGCGGGAGGGGCGGGAGGACCGACGGACGGGCGTTGCGTGGGCCGACCGACTCCTTGGAACCGATTTATCGACTTGCTTTCTCCGTCCGACCTCCCTTTTTTCCTTCGTCTCTTTTGCAATTGTGCTGGGGAAGACGCGGGACGAAGAAAAGGAAAAGAGAGAGACCAGCGCACGGCAAAGATGGATGTCAATGAGTTTCGCCAGGCGGCCAAGGAGGCTGTCGACCAGAGTAAGTTTGTAACACCCTGCTTGCCTGCTCCTGTTCCTGGTCGTGGTCTTGTTGGTTGCGCCGGCCATGTCGTGTCGACGCCATGCGTCGGGACACGGGGTGAAACTCGACATGCCCCTCCCCCGCGTGGCCCGCAGACTTGCCACCTTACGTTTGTGCGCTGTTGCGCCGTCGGGGAGTAAATTGCGAGCGCGTTATGGTGGTCAGCCATTGCGCGCGTCGGTTTCCCTTGCGGTTCACAGGCACTGTTGGAACTTGCGATTGAGAGGGGGCACGGTGACATGGGCTCGCGCTCACTATCTTTGCCTCGCCCCCGTCGCATCGCATCGAATCGCATCACGTCGAATCGAACATCCTCGCTGACACTGTCCCGCAGTCGCCGACTACCATGAGTCTGTCCCCTCGCGGCCCGTCGTCTCCAATGTCCAGCCTGGCTACCTAAGGCCCTTGCTCCCCGCCGAGGCGCCCCTCGACCCCGAGCCCTTTGCCGACATCGCCGCCGACATCCAGTCCAAGATCATGCCCGGCATCACACACTGGTCGTCACCGGGCTTCATGGCCTTCTTTCCCTGTTCCAGCAGCTACCCAGCGGCGATCGCCGAGATGTGGTCCAACGCCTTCAACGGCGCACACTTCAACTGGATCTGCAGTCCCGCTGCCACGGAGCTGGAGACGGTCACGCTCGACTGGTTGGCCCAGGCTCTGGCGTTACCCTCGTGCTTTCTCAGTGGCGGGGAGACACACGGTGGCGGCGTCATCCACGGCAGCGCCAGCGAGGCCATCCTGACCGTCATGGTCGCTGCTAGAGACAAGTATCTCGCGGCCAGGACGGCCCATCTTCCCGAAGGCGAGGATAAGGAGGAGGAGACGTGGCGCCTGCGCAGCCGCCTCGTCGCCCTGGGCAGCGCCGGCGCCCATTCCAGCACCAAGAAGGCTGCGCAGGTCCTCGGCGTCCGCTTTGCCACCGTCCCTGTCGACGAGGAGCATGGCTTTGCCTTGCAAGGCCCGGCTCTTGCCCGTACCCTCGAGGACCTTGCCGCCAAGGGGCTCGAGCCCTTCTACTTGACGGCAACGCTTGGTACCACCGACGTGTGCGCCGTCGACGACTTTCCTGGCATTGTCAACGCCCTCGCCCCTCGTGCTGGCACCGCGACGGAGGTCTGGGTTCACGTCGACGCCGCTTATGCTGGCTCGGCGCTACTGCTCGACGAAAACAAGTCCCTGACTCAACCTATGGCTGACTTCCACTCCTTCAACTTCAACCCACACAAGTGGATGCTTACGACATTTGACTGCTCCGCAGTCTGGGTTCGCAGCCGCGCCGACCTCATCTCAGCCCTCAGCATCAAGCCACCCTACCTCCGTAACCAGTTCTCCGATGGCGATCTTGTCACCGACTACCGCGACTGGCAGATCCCTCTCGGCCGTCGCTTCAGATCCCTCAAACTCTGGGTCGTTCTGCGCTCCTACGGCCTGCGCGGCCTCCAGGCACACGTCCGAAAGGGCGTCAGCCTGTGCGAGAATCTCGAGACGAAGCTGCGGCAGCGCCCGGATCTGTTCACCATCTTTACGCCGGCCCGCTTCGCGCTTCTTAGCTTTCGCCTCGCGGGTCACAATGAGGAACAGGTCAACCGCCGCACCGAGGCGCTGTACGAGCAGATCAACGCGGCTGGCCAGTTCTACCTCACGAGCACCGTCATCAACGGCAAGTTTGCCATCCGCATCTGCACCGGCGTCGCCGCCACCCAGCCAGAGCACATTCAGAAGGTATTTGAAGCCCTGGTTGAAGGCACGGAAAGGCTGGTGGCCAATGAGGAGAAGACCGTGCACAGCCTGGAAGAGAATGGCGTCAAGACGAATGGTGTCAAGGCCAATGGCATAGCCAAGAATGGCGTAGAAACAAATGGCATAACCAGCAACGGGGCCGCGAGGTAGGACGTGGTTATCATGATTTGAGCATAGCGGTGTGCATTCGTACAATGGCTCAAGATAATAGGCACTAGACCAAGTAAGAATAGCAATGATATGAATCGTCCGCATGCGGGTAATCTCGCCATGAATACATATCACTTCAGCTGTCGAAAGCAAGAGCTTCGGGATCTCACTATCACGGGGGCATCTAGTTATCTGCTCAGGGCTGAAGACAGTCAAGTAATGATTATGACGTTGAACGGAATAGGGCCCATGACGTGAAACAAACAAGGGGGCAGGCAGGCGGCAGAAAAGGTTGTCATTCGCCCCGTGCGCTGTCAATCGATGGGTGCTGACAACGATGCATGCTCCGTCATAGCTCTGAAAGGAGCCATGATCCAGCTGCAGAATCTAGATACCTTGTCATTCTTCATCTTCTGCATTCATCACTTCCTGTTTGTATTCCTGTAGAGAACTACTATTTACCCACGCGCATATCTCTATTTGCCCACGCCGCGCACAGTATACAAGCCCATCGCCCGGCCGCCGCAGCCCAGCAGCCCGTGCTGCCTTCAATTGCTGCTGCAGCCGCGTAGCCCGCGATGCCTTTTATTGCTGCTGCAGCCGCTGCAGCTCGCGATGCCTTCAATTGCCCGCGCAGCCTAGCAGCCCAGCAGCCAAGCAGCGCAGCAACGCAGCAGCCCGCGGCCCGCGGTAGCCTTAATTGCTGTGTAGCGCAGCAGCGTAGCAGCCCGCGATGCCTTCAATTGCTGCTAGCCCGCTGCGGTGCTGGCCTGTTAGCCTGCTGAGTTGCTACCTTGCTGGGTTGCTGGCCTGCTGGGTTGCTGGCCTGCTGCGACCGTGGATATAAGCCGTATAACTATGACTATATAGAGCTCCGGTTTATATAGGCGGGCGTAGGCAAATAGAGATATACGCGTGGGTAAATAGTAGTTCTCCTCTAGATATGCCCCTAAATCTCCGACGGTCCTTAGGGATAGTTACCTTCAATCACTCGCCTACATGCCCCAAACCTGATGATGCGCTCGCCTCAACCCGATGGCTCTTAACATACTACTTAAACAAACAACAGGAACAACCCAACCGCCAAAGGAAAAAGAATGCTACGGAACCGCCCAGGATACCATCCTTTCAAGATGCTACGGGACGTTTCGTGAAGGTGAGGCGTGATCACCCGCCCCGACGCCGATCACCGTCTCACTTAGAGAGCTGGGGAAGGCGAGAAGAACTCACTGGCACAACGCATGGACGCAGCGTGGGGACCAATCTACGGACACGTACTGGAGCGTACCTCAGTCAAAAGGAGCCGCTCTCAACCTTCTTCCTCTCAGCAGGCCTGCGGCGTTTCTTCTTCGACTATCCGCGAAAAGGCTGCTCAAACAAGGGATTGGGCTGACGGACTCTCAACTCGCGCGCATCTTAATTCTGTGAAATTGCCTCGCAAACTCCTGATTGCGGATCAGTTGCAGCACCACCGCGACCATGCGATGGATCAACACCAGACAATCCCTGCTCCACAGATAAAGGAAGCCCTGCCGAGAATGTCTGGGCCGCACAGGAGGCAGCCACGGATATCTGGGCTGAGGATGATGTCAGTCTCGAGACTCACGCGCTTGGGACTTATGAGGCTTGCTAGTGTTAGGCTACGTTTAGCGGTATTTTCCTTATCTAAGTATTATATATACCTTATTTATCTAGCTTATAATACCTTTACCTAATGTATTTTTCTTTTTTAAGCCTTTATTATTAAGATTAATACTCTTTTCTTATAAAATTATATATTAATAACTTAATATTAAAATATTAATTATAAGAAAATAATTAATAAGGTCTTTTTATAGCTTAATATTAAGTTTATAAATACTAAAAAGTATTTATAAACCTTTAAATATCGGATGCAATTAATTATAAATTAAAGCGCCTGAAAACCTGTTTCTTTTTTTCTATATAAAAACCCGCCCTTTAATGCCCTTTAACGCCATAAATGCAAGCCGCTAATAATGTCATAAGCTCCGGTCAGCAGCATTAGTGTCATTACCCGTAGCCGGCCCGCGACCGGCTATCATAACAACCGCCAGCAAATCTCTTGCGGCCCCTTAAGTCTCTCCAGGCTTCTTAGAGTTGCAGCTAACAATCTTGACTTTGTCCGCCTGGACAGATTGGCTACCGTTGTCCATCTTGAAAGTCACGTTCTTGATAAGGAACGTCCACACCTCGTCGCAGAAACGGTACGTGTCGAGGCTCCCCTACACAGGCCCTCATCAGTATATGCGACGCACCCACAAGGCCGCACGCAAGCGAGGAGCACTGACCTTAAACTGGAGGCGACTCTTGACGCTCTTCTGCAGAGTCTCGGTGATAGCCTGGTCGAAGTTGCCCAGGATCTTCATCGCAAGCTGCGGATTTATGCGTTCATCACTGATGAGGTCGTCGAGCGTGTCCGTCAGAGCGAGACCGATACTGGAGAGAGCGTCAGTGTCAGCATGCCAGTGACAACCATCACACAGTCACGGTCGACTGTTCTGCTCCCGCGCCGTACCTGCTCCGACGATAGAGCTCGTAGAAACTCTGTGCACCCGACGCCATGGCTGCGGTGGATGTATCAAGCGCGAGGGTCCTGTAGAGCGATCGACGGGCGTGGCAGCAAGGAAACTTGCTGGCGAGACGTGGTTGTTGCAAGGGCGAGGTTGCGAGACGGCGATGTTGCAACGGCGAGGATGCGAGACGGCGTTGTTGCAAGGGCGAGGTTGCGAGGCGACCTCGAGGCGGAGGGGTAACAACGGGTGTGCTCAGAGCCACAACCGCTGACTAAGGAGACCGCTCAGCCACAGCAACGGACTGCTGCCTCCTGGCGCCACATCATGTGACGTCGCAGGGCCCCGTCGCGCCGCCGCGCCAGCGGGAAACCAACCAGCCAAGCAACTCGCTGGAGGAGCTCGGACAGCTGTTACGGCCTCGACCATCATCGCAGCCGCGCACTCGCCCACGTTCGACGCCATCGACCGCCGAACCCCCCTCGACGTCGAAGCAGCACCGATACGAAAGCCGCCGCGATGAGCCTCTACTATGGAGTCGGCGGCATTACGTCGTTTCTGACCATCGTGGGAGCGTGTACGTGCAATGCCGCGCCGCGGGAATCCCCTCGTTTCGCGGATGACGATCACGATGATGTTGGCTGACGAATGACGTCGATTGCAGACATGCTCTTCACCGGCAGCGGCGAGTCATTCAACGTCGGCGCGTTCTTAGAATCAGTGTCGCCCTACGCCTGGGCTGACCTTGGCATCGCTCTGTGCATTGGCCTGTCGGTGGTCGGCGCCGCTTGGTGAGCATCACCAACCCACTCTCGGAGTTCTCGCCGCAAGGGACCAAAGGTCGATGAAACGAGCTGCTTGCTGACTCGAGGCGGTATAACAGGGGCATATTCATCACTGGATCCTCCATCCTCGGCGCCGGCGTCAAGGCGCCGCGCATCCGAACCAAGAACCTCATTTCCATCATCTTCTGCGAGGTCGTCGCCATCTACGGCGTCATCATGTCCATCGTCTTTTCCGCCTTGGTCGACAGCGTCGAGGGCCCCGAAGCCTTTTCTGCCAATGCCTACTATACCGGCTACGCCATTTTCTGGTCAGGCGTGACGGTCGGCCTGTGCAACCTCGTGTGCGGTGTCGCCGTCGGCATCAACGGCAGCGGGGCCGCCCTTGCCGACGCCGCCGATGGGTCGCTGTGCGTTCCTCTCCCATCGCCGTCTATTTGGGCCCAGCCATCTTGGTCTGGTACGCTAATGCTGCATACAGGTTCGTCAAAATTCTGGTTATCGAGATCTTCAGCTCCGTACTGGGCCTTTTCGGCCTCATTATCGGCCTGCTGGTGTCCGGCAAGGCTTACTCCTTTGGTAAGACCTCGTAGGTGAGGCGAGGCGCCGCAGGGCGGGAAGATGTGTGAGATGTTTGTCACGGAGTAGCGGCAGCTCGCCACTGACGGAACGGCGAGGCGGCCAGTTGCATTGCGCCAATAGTATTTGGTCTGGCGTTTGGGATGATAGGCTGGGGAGGTTATGTTATGATTGTACCACTAGCCAGCCCCTGGACTTGAACATGTATGTACATCAGCCCGAGAGATGAGCCAACATTAGATCAGTCAAACTATTTGAAGCGTCTGGCTCAGCCCCATTGAGTTGCGCCGATGTATGCGCAACAATATCCAAGTGTTGCGACGCCTTACTTTCCTAAGCCACTCGGACTGCGTTCATCAGCAACGCCTCGACCTTGGACCCCTTTTCGAGCTTCCCCTTACCGCTCGGCATGCACACCAAGGCATTTGCCGACCGCAAGCTTCCCACCTTAGAACTCCGCTGCCCACCCGTGCTGCTGGCCGTGAGCTGTCCGTCCTTGCCGACCGCCACCACGGCGCGATGGTATTCGGGCCGGGGATCCATCGGAAAGTCGTGGGCTAGGACGACCGGAACCTTGGGCAGGCCGACGGGCGTCACGCCCGACTGCTTGTGCAACGAGGGGAGCACGAACAGGTGGAACGTCACCAGCGCCGACGCCGGGTTGCCCGGCAGCGAGAAGATAGCTTTGGACACCCGGTTCCCGTCGTTGTCCTTGACCGGCACCGTGGCAAACGTCGTCGGTTTTCCTGGCTTCATGGCAACCCTTCCAAAGTGGATGGTGCCGCCGAGAGAACGCTCAATCGTGGGCTTGAGCAAGTCCAGCTCCCCCATCGACACCCCGCCCGTCGTTATGAGCACGTCAGCCCGCCTTAGACCGTTCCGGAGCGTCTCCTCCAACGTGCCCGGCTTGTCCTTGGCGATGCCTAGGTCGAGGACCTCGAATCCCCATTCCTTGACGGCCGAGATGAGCGTGATGCGATTTGTGTCGCGGACCTCGCCAAGCCGCAGCGGGCCCGGACGGGCGTACTCGATGATCTCGTCGCCGGTGGACAGGACACCAATCACCGGCCGGCGGTACACCTTGGCTTGTGCGACCCCGACAGCGGCGAGGAGGCCGATCTCTCCGCCGACGCCCGAGATTTGCTCGCCCTTGTCGAGAATGACCGAGCCGTCCTTGATGTCGCTCCCCACCTCTCGCACATTTTCGCCTTCCTTGACTCCCTCGGCCTGAATCTCCACCTCCTTCTCTTCTTTGCCATCATCCGTCATCGTCTTGAGCACCGTATCCTCCACCATGATGACCGACGTAGCCCCCGGAGGCAGCGGCGCACCGGTGGTGATTCTAGCAATCTCGCCCTCCTTCAACGGTCGTACCTCGCCGGGAGCTGCGTGAGAAATCACCGTGACGGGGAACACACCCTTCATTTTGCCATCTTTTGGGGCCACGACAGCGTATCCATCGACGATGCTGGCTCGGAATGCTGGAACGTTCTCTTGTGCCTTGACGGGCTCTGCAAGGACTGAGCCGACGATGGATTCGTCGACATTGCGCTGAAAGATTTGTGGCTCAGGACTGTGCTCGGCGATGAGAGCGAGGGCGTCGTCGACCGACAACATAGGATAGGGCGACTCGCGGTTTCGCCGCGAGGGCCCGAGCTGGGGATCGTTTGAGAGTGCCTGAGCGTTTGGGTTCGCATGCCGTACAAGGCTCCCGTGCCCGTGGCCATGCCCGTGATGGTGGTGGTGGTGATGGTGGCCATGCCCGTGGACTTGGGTCTGCGATTTCGACGCCGCAGTGATACCGGCCTCCGACTCTAGCTTCTTGACCCCTCCGGAGTGCAGAGCCCGCGAGTTGGCGCCTGCTGCTTGGAGACAAGCGTGCGGCAGCGTCTTGATGATGGCCTGCAGGTTTTCTTTGGCACCTTTGGGCGAGCCGGGAAGCGTGACTATAATGGACTTGTTTCGCACGCCAGCCGCTGGCCTAGACATCATGGCGACTGCGACAATTAGCAGAGGAGGAGTTGGCTCTTGCGGGATGGCTTACACGGCGTTACGGCGAGAGAGGAGGCCAACATGGCGTGGACCAGCCCGGGCGCTTGCTTGTGAAGCAGGGGCGAAACGGCCTTGAGTGAATCAATAATGGCAACTTCGTAAACTTGAGGAAGATCTAGATACCTCTGGGGTCCCATCAGCCACAGCAAAGCCGGTGCCTCCCGTCGTGATGATCAGGTTGGGCGCCTCCGGCCCGTCGGCCCACACGGTGATTTGCCTCTGGATCTGGACAACGTCGTCGGTCACAATAGTCTCGCCGGTGAGCTTCCACTTGCCATCTCCCTCATCACCGAGAACGTCGCGAAGTATGGCCGCCGATGCGTCTGCGGATGGGTTCTGCGCGGCCGTCGTTGAGACGATGAGAAGAGCCGCCGTCAGAGGGCCGTCCATCGTGATGAATGTTCGACTATAGGATGTGAATCTTTGTGTTCAGGTATGAGACTGTAGAGTGACTCGCAATGGCAAAACGCACGACCACCGGTGCAGCGTTGATGAGGAGGCTGGAGCAGCTGTCGCTGGAGGTGGGCGTAGCTCGGAGGCCATCGCGGGGCCTGAAGCTAGCTCAATGCATCCGCTGTTGGTGGCGCCCCCGCCGCCCCAATTTGTCTGGGAGAAAGCGACGCTACGGATGCCGCCGAAACACGCCTCAAAACTTCACCATCAACACCACCACGCGAACGCACCATCAGTCGCATCTACGGCGCGGCGTGCAGCACATCACCACTGAAAGTTGCTGAATTTGAGGGGACATGCCGTGACAACAATATTGTCGAGCGACAACTGACGCAGCAAACTCACAATGGTCCGCATCAAGGAGAGATATCTCCTCGTCAACATCGTCTATCCTCCCGAGGCGACATCCAGGGCCTCATCCAAAGTACCCGACTTGGTGGTCCATCGCCAGCCAACCATCGAAAGGCTCACGCCTCAAGCCCTTCTTAAGGCCATCCGAACCGAAGCGGCGCTGCTGTTTGGCGACTACGGAGCAGGAGCTCTGGAGGGCCACCTCACGGGTTCGTGCGGCCCTTCTCGCCTCCCATGACCGACGCTAACAGAGCCTCTAGTCAAGTACCTTTCCCTGGCAACATCTACCTTCATCCTCAGGTGCTCCAGAGCACACTATCAGATTCTGTGGGCGTCGTTGACATTCATGGACCGGGTGCCCGTCAAGGATGGCCGACCGTGCATCTTTCGCGTCGTCCGTGTGAGCGGCACAATGCGCAAGGCAGAAGAGGAAGCAATCCGTCAAGCACGAGCGCTCATCCTGGCTGCCAAGGACGAAGCCTCATCTAGCAAAGCTACGATTATTGGCTCCGAGCGCGCCCTTCAGGACCAGTTCTCACCCGAGGAGATGGGCGACCTCAGCGACGATTCCATGGATCAAGACGACGGTTGAAGGGTATCATTTCTTTCTAGTTACCTTGACTCCGCTGTCGGCCGGCACCGACATGTCCCCAAAATCCGGGTCCGTCTCCATGTCCATCCCCATCTCTTGGGAGGCCGGCGCGGCAGCTGTCGGCTGCGACTGCTCCAGCTCCATGGCCTGCTCCTGCGCTATCCTGGCCTGTTCCTCGTCGGCCTCGCGCTCAAGCCGGTCATATTCCTCTTTTTGATCGATCCACCGCTCTTGGATGTCCTGGACATCCATCATGGAGGCCTCGTTACGCATTGCCACGGCCCAAATCGTGTCGTTGGCGCCCTCGGCGCCTCCAAAGACGTACCCGCCCGCGCGATCGATGACACGCAGCAGGTGCATCATGCTCTTCTTGTTTTCTACGGCAAGCACTTCATACCGGACGAGCCCGTAGCTCTCAATCATATTGGCAATAGCCTCGTTGAGCCTGCCAAACTTTTCGCTCCGCAGAGCGGGCGACTCAGCCTCGAGGTACGGCGTTAGATAGGTGAGGTCGTCGACGTCGGTATAGTATTCGAGATTGAAAGGCAGCTCATCATATGATGCTACCTTGTCGATCTTGGAGAGGACGTTGACGTGTGGCATGTCCATCTGAATCATGGCGCGCAGGGAGAGGAGCACGTTGGACACGTACAGGGACGGCTGCGTGACGCAGATGGAATCGGAGAGATGGACGCAGACAAACTGGCAAACAGTCAGCCGCGGTCAAGAAGGCCCAGTGGCCGGGATTGAGCAAACTTACCCTGAAACCAATCTTTTGGAGTCTGTAAAAGATATTCCTGAGCGAGTTGTGATGGGTGTAGAGCTCAACCTGGCCGGGGCAGTCAAAGAGAATGTAATCCTCCCCCAGTTCCTTTAAGCCTTCCTCGAACCACTCGAAGTTGTGCTCCAGCTCCTCCAGCGCATACAAGATCCCACCGTTGGGGCCGAGCCTGTCCTGGCGCATGATGTCCTCGAGCTTGATCAGGCTCCGAATGTCGAGGGCGCACGGGTAGTTGGTGTGGTCGTTGGCGGGATCCAGGTTGACGACGGAGCAGGCACGGCCGATGGCGCCCATGAACTGGTGCACTATACACGTGTCAGAGGAGGCAGAAAACACGCGACGGCTCTCGCGGAACTCACTGCCATCGCAATAGGTGCTTTTGCCGCACCCGGGGCTACCGAGGACGAGCTGCGCGAACGGCATCTGGGCGGAGGAGCAAAGGAAGGGCGGCCGGGCGGCTCAGGTGCGCATGACCGCAAACATGCCCTTGCCAGCTTGATGCTTGGAACGTGGCTCGAACGATGCTCCGGGCGGCTCCGAATGGTGTGCGGCGTGACCTTGGGGTTGCAGCCTTCGTGCATGCGAGGAATGCAGGTCTGCAGGCGTCTCGAGGAGCTCGTTGGACGCCCCGCCTGTGCTGCAGAAAGCTTCCATGGCGAAGGCCTATGACGCCTGGCGGGGCTGAACTGGGCCTGCCTCTGCTGGCGCTGGCACATGCTAACGGACTCGGTCAAACGTCGGCTGAAGTGGGGGAAGCTCCAGGAGCAGCTCTGGGAGCCAGTCCACTAAAACAAACCACGAACCCATGACCACCACCGCCCAGCCTTTCCTGTATTTATTCTCCGCCAGCTCCCAAAATCCTCCACCTGCTGTCGTTCTTCTTCCGCCCTCCTCCCTCTCTCCTCAGCCCCCTGCTGTGCGCTTGCCCCCTCCGGCCCGCACGCGCCGCCCACACATAATGCTGGCCCTCTTCGCAGAGCAGCATCCGCAGCCATGGCATCTGACATGGCAACGGCCGCGCAGCTCGCCGGTAGCGCCTCGCGGAGTCTTGCCCAAGCCCTCGAGTCGCCGACCAGCGCGCTTGCCGGCCCGATGAGCTCGGAAACGGGCGTGGTGACAGCTACTCAGGGCGCATCCGGCCTACTTGGCTGGTTTGGCTTCCTTGGCTGGCTGCTGCTGTCCATCATCAACCTCGTAACCACAATCCTTTACTGGGTCATCCGCATTGCCACGTTCAACGTACCAATGATCCTTTACACCCTCTTTTCCACGAGCTGGACGGTGACCATGAACGCCACGACGCTGTAAGTCCTCACTCGTAACCACTGGTCCTCCACTCTCGCTCACAAGCTGCCTAGGATGCTTATCGTCGTGGGCATCGTCTCCGCCGTGAGCTGGGTCGTGCGCTACCGCATCCTCAACATGTACTCGCGCCTCCCGCCCGAGCCCCAGCGCAAGGAGCCTGAGATTGACCTCTTCCCTGACACCCACGAGGAGGGTATCAAATCTGGTCTCTCAAGCTACCTGGACGAATTCCTGAGCGCCATCAAGATCTTTGGCTATCTCGAGAGGCCCGTCTTTCACGAGCTTACCCGGAGCATGCAGACACGCAAGCTGATTGCCGGGGAGACGATCAATCTTGAGGAAGAAAAGGGGTTCTGCATCGTCGTGGATGGTCTCGTCCAGATCTTCGTCAAATCTGGCCGTGACCCGCGAGCACCCGCTCGCGGGCACCGTCACCCATACATGGACTCGTCCGACGAGGAGGAGCATGCTCCCAACCAGCAGCGTTACCAGCTGTTGACCGAGGTTCGAAACGGAGCGCCCATGTCATCACTCTTTTCTATCATGTCCTTGTTCACGGAAGACGTGAAGCTTCAACACGGCGAGGACGACTCGCCACGAAGAGGATCTTCGTCTCAGCACCATCGCCACGACGTTGCACCGAAAGAGCCTGCGGCATCTCGGGCACCTCTGGTACCAGTCTCTATGCCGAATACGCCGCATCTGGACGCGAGCGCCGGACACCCGACCCTCCGACCCGGAGATGCGGCGCAGCTTCATGCCGGTTTTAATGGGCCCACGTCGAGAATCCCGCCAATGTCCCTCGACTCGTCAAGTCTCTCAGGGCAGCATGCAGCAAGAAGACCCGGCCCGCCGCGCAGGATGACCTCGAGTTCTGCGCACCCGGACATCATCGCCCGAGCTACAGTCGACACGACCATTGCCATCATCCCAGCGAGCGCGTTTCGTCGTCTTATTCGGATATATCCCAAGGCCACGGCACACATTGTCCACGTCATTCTTTCTCGCTTTCAAAGGGTCACGCTGTCGCACGCGTTTAACTATCTCGGCCTGACCAGCGAGGTTTTGCAAACCGAAAAGTGCATGATCAAGTACACCATTTGTCAGCTCCCCAACATGCTGCGTGGGGATCCCTTGATGCGGCTCAAGGAGAAGTTCAGCCGTGAGCGCGAGAAGATCACGGGCGACCAGGAGGCCAAGGGGATTGCATTGCACAACGCCGGCGCCTCGCGTAGGCGCCGGTCCAGCAGCACTACCTTGCGGAAAGAGGCCGCGCTTCTGTCCATGGCTAAGCAACGGCCGACTTCAATGTCCGGCAGCCCGCTTTCGCCCACTCAGGAGCATACATCTCCGCATCGACCGAACCCGGGCGACTTGGCCAACTCCCACCTGGCTCGGCCCGTCGGTCGTACGGCCACAGCCGGAGCAGCCCTACTTTCGTCGCCGGAGGCGATGAGGAAGGAGGCCCAGAGCCCTCTGGACCAGAGGTCGTTCAACCCTTTTGATTCCCAGAGGCATGCGCGGATCTCGATGGACCCTCGTGAGTCAGCGGATGAGGACAATATCTTCAGGACCTCTATTCTCGAGTCCATGTTCAAGTCCTTGGGCCTGGACGGCGGTGGTACGGCGTCAGGAGAGCCCGAATCCGTCGAGGGATCTCCCCGACTGTCTTCTATGGACCAAAGACGGCACAGAACTTTCCACGCGAACAATGCGTTCGGGTTCATGGGGCCGTTCGACAGCTCGGCCGACGGTGAAACTGAGTCGTTGACCTCTGGCGGCATGACGACCCATACACCGCCAAACGCCCAGGTCCTCTCCAGTGAGATGAGAGATGAAGTGGAGATCGTCTTCTTCCCAAAAGGCTCCGTCCTCGTAGAACAGGGCGAGCGCAATCCAGGGTTGTACTACGTGATTGACGGGTTTCTGGACATCGGCACGAGCACCACCGGTAACCAAGGGTCCCAGAACATTTTCAAGACATCCAGCTCCGATCCAGTTGGATCTCAGTCTTTCGCCTCGGCCATGCAAAACGGGGAAGATGAGGGCGCCGAGCATCGATCAGAATCACAAAAGACGTCGCCCAGCCGCCGAAATGTCGCGCTAGTCAAGCCTGGAGGCCTGGCCGGCTACATTGGCAGCGTTTCTTCGTACCGTTCCTTCATTGACGTCGTTGCCAAGACTGACGTCTATGTCGGCTTCTTGCCGCGCGCATCGCTGGAACGAATCGTCGACAGATACCCTATCGTCCTTCTCACCATGGCAAAGCGGTTGACTCACATCCTTCCGCGCCTTATCCTGCACATTGACTTTGCCCTGGAATGGGTACAAGTGAATGCAGGTCAGGTCATTTACCACAACGGCGACGAAAGTGAGGCCATATACGTCGTCCTGAACGGCCGGCTGAGACTCGTGGAAGACAAGAAAGACGGTGGGATGACTGCTTTGGCAGAATACGGCCAGGGTGAGAGTGTGGGCGAGTTAGAGGTCCTTACGGAGACGGCTCGCACGGGAACTTTGCACGCTATACGCGACACTGAGCTCGTGAAGTTACCGCGGACTTTATTCAACAGCCTCGCCCAGGAGCATCCCAACATCACAATCAAAATCTCCAAGATAATCGCGTCACGGATGAGGGCAGCAGTGGATGATCCGACTAATAATACTGGCAAGGCGGCAGGCTCCAGTGCCGTAAACAACCAGAGGAAGTCGACGATGAACCTGCGGACAGTGGCCATCCTCCCAGTCACCGCTGGCGTGCCTGTTGTCGAGTTCGGAAACCGCTTGATGAACGCCCTGGCTCAGGTCGGGCCTCCCAACGGCGCCACGTCGTTGAACCAGGCCGCCATCCTCAATCACTTGGGCAAACATGCCTTCAACAAGATGGGCAAGCTCAGGCTGTCGCAATATTTGGCCGACTTGGAGGAGAAGTATTCGCTGGTCGTCTACATCGCAGGTAAGCGTCACCCTCCAGCTCATGTTCGCCGGTTTGTTATGATGAGAAACCTTTTCAACCAAAGGCACTGCCGCTGATGGTTTTGTAAACTCTAATTTTTTCCTGATCACAATTTATTTCTACATTATGTTGCTACGTTGCGTAAGGGGCGAATCGCTTGCTAACAACAAATTTATAGATACCAATGTCAATTCGCCATGGACACAGACGTGCATCACTCAGGCCGACAGCATTCTGCTCGTGGGATTAGCAGAAGGTTCTCCCGAAATCGGAGAATATGAGCGATTCATGCTCGGTATGAAGTCGACGGCTCGCAAGATGCTCGTCCTCCTTCATACCGAGAGATTCTCTAGATCGGGCCTCACCAGGTCCTGGCTACGAAATCGCATGTGGATCAATGGAGGACATTACCACATTCAGATGCCCTTTAGCACCACTGCGTTGCCGGTACATCCGCCGTCCAAGAAGCTAGGTCAAGCTCTCAAGGAGCGGGTGCAAGTCTTGCAAGCCGAGATTCAGAAGTACACCTCTAGGAAGGTCCACCATACGCCATACTACTCGCCAGACAGCCCGTACAAGAGTGACTTCCATCGGCTCGCGCGAAGGTTATGCGGCAAGTCAATCGGGCTTGTGCTCGGCGGAGGTGGTGCACGCGGCATGAGCCAGATTGGCATCATCCGCGCCTTGGAGGAGGCCGGCATCCCGATCGACCTGATCGGAGGCACCTCAATTGGTGCCTTTGTTGGCGCGCTATACGCCCGACATGCTGATGTTGTGCCCATGTTTGGCTTTGCCAAGAAGTTTGCTGGCCGCATGGCGAGCTTGTGGCGGTTCGCTCTGGACCTGACATATCCGTCAGCATCATACACCACTGGCCATGAGTTCAACCGCGGCATTTTCAAGACGTTTGGCAACACGCAGATTGAAGACTTTTGGTTGGAGTACTATTGCAACACGACCAACATTAGCAAGAGCCGGGCAGAGTTCCACACAAGCGGCTATGCATGGCGGTACATCAGGGCGTCCATGTCACTGGCCGGCCTGCTGCCGCCGCTTTGCGACGAAGGTAGCATGCTTTTGGATGGCGGCTACGTGGACAATTTGACGGTGTCGCACATGAGGGGTCTCGGTGTCGAGACCATCTTTGCCATCGACGTCGGCGCTTTGGACGATGACACGCCACAGAGTTATGGCGACTCGCTGTCAGGAATGTGGGCGTTTTTCAACCGATGGAACCCATTCTCGTCGCATCCCAACCCACCAACGCTGGCAGAGATCCAAGGCCGCTTGGCATATGTGTCAAGCGTGGACGCGCTAGAACGGGCCAAGACAATGCCGGGGTGCATCTACATGCGCCCTCCAGTGGATGACTACGGGACACTCGACTTCCACAAGTACGACGAGTTGTACCAGATGGGGTACAGGTTTGGAAAAGAGTTTCTGCAAAAGCTGCGGGAAGACGGTGCGCTCCCGCTGGTGGAGGAACCCGGAACAAAGGGGTCGATGCGAAGAACCAAGGCGCCGAGGCGTGCAAGTATCTAGACAGTTGGGCCCAGATGGTCGCCTGAGCGTGGGGGCAACGCTTCTCGCTGCCTTTGAGCGAGATCTGATGAATCATTCTGATAGAATGATCCGTCTTATGCAGCCACGAGTTTACGAATACAGATACACCTGATGACCCCGTATTATAGATGGAGATGTTTGTGAGCCGAATCAGGAGCCATTGACACGCGCCAGTGATGGGAACGCATCGCGTCATCAGATTCAAATTAGCCGCGAGGAGCAACGGCATCTGAGATCCTCCCCTTTCCGGTAGCTCAATTCTTACTTTGAACAGAGGACTTCGTCGCTTGATGTAGGCATGGGCGTAAGACCCGCGACTGCAGCCTCGACAATATTCGGCTCAAATGGCTGACGAGGCTGCTCCTAAGGTCCCGTCGATGTCATCACGTGGCTTCAGGCGGATGCGGCGCTGAGATCCACCCTGAGCTCCACTGCCAAACCCCCCGGCGCCCAGTCGGCCACACCCCCGCGACCCGCGCCAGCCCAGCCCAGCCCAGGGGAACAACCCACCAAAAGCTCCAACGCAACGGGACGACCAAGCTCGCGTCGGAGCCGCCGGGCGCGTATCCTATTCCGTTGCCATATTCCCCGTGAAATCCATCTTGAGAACTAACCACCACAGCGACCACCACCGCCACCGTCTCTCGTGTCCCAACACTCGCACCACTTTCCTCCCTTTCCGTCCTCCGCACCCTTTCCGTCCTCCGCAACATCCCATGGTCCGCCAGCGCCGCGGCCGTGCTGGAGCTGGTGACACGCCCGCCGCCCCTGCACCTGAGCTTGAGCATCATCAGCCCGACGCCGCCACCGTCAACAACAGCAGCAGCACCAGTGGGGCTGGAGAGCCCGAGAAGGACGTGGCCATGCCCGGCACGGAGGAGCTCCGCGTCGGCGGTCCGCGCCCGTCGTGGAGCGGCCGCACGCAGTGGATCATGCTGGCCGTCGCGAGCGGCGCCTGCGCGGCCTTTAACGGCGTCTTCGCCAAGCTGTGAGTCTTTGAAGCAACCCTCTCCCCCCTTTTCACCCTCCTCCATGCCCGGCCGCGTATCCGTCTTCTTACGATGAGAGGGCCCCGGTGCGGTATAAATCAGCATTCCCACACGGCCGGGGCGGCTGCGCTCTTGGTTTGATGTGTGATCGTTTTGACTTGTTGACTGACGACTTTATGTGCCTGTGTGTGAGCGCAGAACGACCACGGGCCTGACATCCAGCATCGCCAGCAGCGTCGCGTCTGCCCTCGGCCTCTCCTCTGCAGAAAACGTAGTCGAGGTTGTCGTTCGCGGTGTACGCTCTCCCCCTTTTCGCCCATCTGGCTGAGCGAGCGAGCCGCTGACCGTTCCCTACGCGCAGATCTTCTTCGCCCTCAACCTCACCTTCAACGGCGTGGTAAGTATCCCCCGCTCACTCCGCTCTCTCTCACCTCCCCCGCCTCATCACCTTCTCCCCCCCTCATCTATCCAGCCATCATCTGACCCGAGAGACTTCGCGTCGGCGCAGATGTGGACGCTCTTCACCGCCGCCCTCGCCAAGGGCACGTCCACGACACAAGTCTCCATCATCAACACGTCCACCAACTTCGTCCTCACCGCACTGCTCGGCCTTGCCATCTTCTCCGAGGCCCTGCCGCCGCTGTGGTGGGCCGGCGCCGCCATGCTCGTCGCGGGCAACGTCATCGTCGGGCGCAAGGACGAGTCCAAGGCCCAGGACCACCAGCACCCTGGTATTGACGGCGACGGCGACGTCGACGTGGATGCTAGTGCCGTGCCGGCCGCGGGGCTCGCGGAGGCGGAGGGGCTGTTGCGGGGACAGGAGGAGGGCGTGTCTGCCAAGGAGCCTGTGGACGAGGATATCATAGACCTGGGCGATCTTTCGAGTGAGGTGGACAGACGTTAGCATATCTAGAATTCACCCATTGAAGCACGATTTGAAGTGGCTTTGTTTGGCAGATGGCAACACAAGGTACAGCAGAAATGTGTCTTGATAAGTTCTATCGCCTGCTTTCCAACTCGACGCCCCCTTCGTCGCCCAAGTCCTCGTCCCCGTCAAGAATCGCTCCGCCGCCCCTGTCTCTGCTTGTGGCCTGGTCGAACTGACCGCTGAGCCGTATCCTGCCTCCCGACGCGCTCGATAACCGGCCCGATACCCAGTTCCCGGCCCGTCGTAGTACGCCCCAAAGCTGCTCCTGCCCCTCGTGGATCCGGTGGTCGTCCTTGGGGTTCTCCGCTGCCTCCACCTTGAACTGGTACCTGAGGCAGTCCTTGACCGTAACGAGGCCACTGAGTTTCCCGTGATACTCGACCAGGATGACACGGGGTCCGATCTTGCGGAACAGCTCCAGCACCGTCTCCAAGGGCAGCCGGGGGTGGGCCGTCACTGGGGTCGCGTCTACGTAGCGGCTAAAGTCCAGTGTCGTGGACGACGTGGAGTCGGTGTTCACAGTCACCGTTGGTGTTATCGGCGTGGCCGAACTCAGTGCAGGTGGCGGCGCAAAGACACACCTGGAAGTTCCGCTGATGGGCTGCTCTCGCCGCAGGCGGTCGATGGCATACCGCAGCTCCGTCCGGCCGATGTAGCCCACCAGCGTCTTGGAGTTGGCATCCTCGACAATCGGGAATCCCTGGTACTTGTCGTCGGCCAAAAGATGCTCGATTTCCTCGAGTGTCATGCCGCTGACGGGTAAAGATACCACCGAGGTCCTCATGACATGCGAAACTGGCACGCCAAAGTTGTGTTCCTCCTTGTTGTCCAGAAAGGGAAAGCCGTTGAACCAGATCATGCGGTCCGCGATACCTCCCTTGCCAAACAAGTCGCTGACGGCCTTGGTAACGCCGACGACGATCATGGTGGGCAAGATGTAGGTCAGCGCCCCCGTCAGCTCAAACATGATGACCACCACCGACACGGTGATGTGCATGATGCCGCTGAGTGCAGCCCCAGCACCCAGGAAGGCATACGTCCCTGGAGTGATGCATGGCTCATCCGGCTTGCAGGCGGAGAAGAAGACGCTTTGCGGGTTCGCCTCATGTAGGGCCTGAACGATGATGCCAACTGTGCGTCCGAAAGAAGCTCCAATAGCCATGGACGGCACAAAGATGCCTGCCGGAACCTTGCAGCCGTACGAGATGATGACCAGGACGACCCTCAGCGCCGTGGCCAGCACCAGCGAGACGACGTTCCAGAAGCGCTTGTCCGGCTCGCACAGCCCCTGGTAGTCCTCGGCGCCCTCGCACTCGAGGAACAGAATCTCCATGCTCTCCGTCATGTCGATCCGGAGAAAGACGTTTGGATAGGCGATAATGGCCGTTCCGGCAGCCAGCAACGTCGCCTCGAGTACGGCGTACTTGGAGAGGTACTTTTTGCGAAAGGCCTGCGCGCGCAGATTCCACTTCATGACGAAGGCGCCGTAGAGGCCGCCGAAGATGCCAATGATGATGTAAAACAGGATCTCGAAGAAGTGCCAATCGCGGTCGTACTTGACCTGAAACATGACGAGCTGGCCGGTCCTGAAAGGATTCATGGCCGCAAGGACGGCCGTCGCGACCAATGCGCAAAAGTAGCTGCGCCACATGGTCTTGAGAGGGAAGTGGTTGGACATTTCCTCGAGCGAGAAGAGCACGCCTCCGATGGGACTGCCAAACGCGACGGCCACGCCGGCGGCGGCGCAGGCGCTCAGGATCTCGCGCGTCTTGGACGCATTGCTCCGGTACTTGGTGAACAGCCTCGAGATGACATTGCCGGTGCATACTGCATAGTGGACGCTAGGGCCTTCCTTTCCGACTGAGAGGCCCGAGGCGATGGCGAGGGGCAGGCAGACGGACTTGATGAGCAGCGTCCAGAAGCCGAGGAAGCCCTTCATGACGAAGCCCGCGATGATGCACTTGATCTCAGAGATGCCTGAGCCCGCGGCGTAGGGCGCGTAGGATTTGACGAGGGTGGCTGCCGTAAAGGCAAAGACGGTCTGTTACAGGTCAGATCTGTGGATGGTGCAACGATTCGTCATGAAAGGACGGATCTCACAGCAAAGATGATGTAAATGAGGTAGTTGAGCGGGCCGAAACCTGTCCATCGATGCCATTGCGGGCAGCCTTGCGCCGGGCGTCAGCTCGCAGTCCTTAACAGCAACACCTGAGGCTTCGTCTCACCATTGTCCTCGCCCCAGCAGCAAAAGTTCTCGTTCAGATAGAAGGCGGTGGTGCAGTATCCCATCTTGATGTCGGAGAGCCACTCGGTGACAATGTTCAGGAAGGCCGCGTTCAGGCCAATGGCGGCGCCGATGATGGTGACGACGATCCAGCCCTGGGCGGCGTCGTACGAGGCCCAAAGCCGATATCGCCAGCCGGGCTGACCGCGCTCGTACATGCCGGCCGCGCGTTTCCTACGCGACTTGCGCCTCGCCTGCTCGCGCGCCGCATCTTGAACCCAGTCTGGCGGCGTACGTGTTAGCAGCTTCGAGCTCGGATCGTGGCACAGGCATCGGATCGCGCACCTATCGTTGTAAAGTCCTAGAAGCGCATTGTTAGCCGGCACGCGGGGGCGTCGGAGCAGGCCTGCCTCTCTCTCACCTCGTAGCGTTTGATCTCGGCAATCTCCTCCTGGATCTGGCGCTCGGCTGGGGCAGACGCGGCGGCGTCAGCCTCGCCATGCTCGGCCGTGGACGCGGCAAAGGACAGGCGAGAGGCCAGCGACGGGCGCCGGGCCCGGTGCGGGCTGCGAGCAAACGTCGTCGACTGTGAGTTCATGGCTCCGGCCTGCAGACCATGGCGGCATGCGGTACGCGCGCGAGTCGTGCGGTGCCGTCGTGATGCCTTGCTGGCGTCGAGGGTGGGATGGCGTTTGGTGTCGTAATGTAGACGGGAAACTGCCGGGTATTATGGAGCAACTTGCGCTTGGCCACAGTGGTGTCTTGGAGCTGCCAGTGGAGGCTGACCCGTGCCCCAGCACGGAACTTTGGGTTCAACGGATGGCCATTCCGCCAACTGTATTACAAGCGCACACATGGGCACAGTGGAGGCGCCCAGGCACCAACAATGGCGGCTCTGAGTTGGCCGTCGCGTTTAGTGGTTGCGTCAATCCTCAGCTCCCACTTCAAGCGCGTCAACGCATCAGCGCATCAAACTCTCAACTCTCAAGCCTCAAGCCTCCGCCCGTCCAGTTCGTCTCACGCGCTCACCGTCGCGCTACTTTCCGTCATCTTGCCATTGCCTGCAGCCTCTTCTCCTGTCCGAAGAACACGCCTCGGCAGTGCGCCCGCGTCACCCCTCGCCATCATATCGCTAGGTACGACTCAGTCGACCCCGACGCCTCATGGTCTCCCTGCCAGAAAACGCCTTCCATCCACGAATTTTCATCGTGTTCACGCGCTGACCTGATGTTAGTGACACGTTTGAGGCCATAGCTACACTTGGATCGTGCGAGTGAGTTCCCCTCTGCGCTCTCGGGAGAAAGCTATTACTTCCTCGACCGGTGTTGCGCATCACGAAAGCCAGCCAAGTTGAAGGAGCAGTCCACCGTTCCTGGCTCTGACTCTCCTATGTAGATCCCTCACGATCATCTAGCCAGAAGGCTACCCGCGCTCACCGCCCTCAACCCCATCTTCACTCTCGCCATGCCCTACAACACCACCGCCATCCCTCCGCGAAAGGAGCCCACCGGACAGACCCAGCTCCCCCGTAAGCCTCGACACGCCCGCCTTGCGATCTCTTCTCGCCGCTAACGCGTCTCACCCTTTCCAGTGTCTCGAGTAAAGAAGATCATTGCTCAAGACCCGGACGTTGCCCAGTGCTCCAACAATGCCGCCTTTGTCATCACCTGCGCGACTGTACAGCCCCTCTCTATTCCCAAGTTCTGCTCACAGAGATGGACACTGTTCTGATGCGGTCGCAGGAAATGTTCATCCAGCACCTCGCTGAGGCGGCGTTGAACCAGGCCAAGACGGAACGTAAGCCCCGGCGCAACATACAGTACAAGGACGTCGGTATGTCTGTCCAGCTGCTCTATTTCGACACGCCACAACTCCGTCGTTAGCTGGCAGTTCGTGTCCCGTACCTCCTTGCTGACGCTTCCGTGCCATAGCCAACGCCGTAGCACACCAGGACAACCTCGAGTTCCTCGAGGACGTCGCCCCCAAGACCATCCCCTTCAAAAAGATCCTGGCCGCCTCGCGCGAGGCGCAATCCCGCGTGCGCGGCGACAAGGCGACAGCCGCCGCCGCCGACGAAGAAGACACCCACGCGCCAGCGGCCTCCACCTCCTCTGGCGGTGCCCACCGCCGCCGCTCCCACCCTCACGCCAACGGCTCCGCCGCCGACAACGGCAACGGAAAGGCAGCCCACGGCCCCGGCGCGGCCTTCAGCGTGGCCCTGCGCGACGATAGGGCGCATGCCCAAGCCGATGACCCCAACGAGCAGCTGGAGATGGAGATGCGGCAGGCGGCTGGCGCGAGAGCCCGTGACGGAGACGTGCACATGTCCGGGTAGGAGCCGGCGTTGCGGAGTGCGGATGGGGAAACAATACTCAGCTTTGAGCTGCATTTTACATCGGCCGAATCGACTACCATGGCTGAATCGGAATAGCTGGCGGAGGCTGTCATCGCCAGTCAAAAGACTCGGCAGGCATACTAGCCAGGGACGGAAGCCGCCAGAGAGCGGCACAGACGGTGCAACGAGACAGACGCCGGTAGCAAAGCGAACGGTACCAGAATATCAAGCGCCTTTTCCGTAGCTGTCACTATGTAGTCGCACCAGCAGTTTCTCCAGCTGGTCGAAGTCGGTGACGTGATACAAGCCCTCCCATGTCCAGACCCTGTTGTAGTCATGAGAAAGCCAAGCAAAAACCCCTAACCACGCCGAGTGCGAAAAACCAGTCATCGTGAAGTGCTCGCCGCCGCCCCGCTGAAACCTCCACGTCTACTCACTCCTCCATGGCATCGTCCTGGATGCCCGACGGCAGCCGGCCCTCGTTGAGCTCCCGCTCCAGCGCGATAATCTCCTGCAGGCTCGTCGCATTCTTGATGCGTTCCTGCAGCTTCGCCTTCTCCTCCTCGGTGAGCTTGATCCGCGACAGCTTCGACGGCGCGGCCGAACCGTTTGCCCTGCTTTCGAGCGTCTTGGTCTTCTTGTTCATGATCTGCGTGGCCAAGGCCGTCGGCTCCTCCTCCGTGCCGAACAGCTCGCGCCCGCGTTCCCTCTCCGCCTCCTTGACCTTTTCGTAGTCGAGGAACCGCACCGTCGGGCACCTCCAGAGGACCCAATACCGGTAGTGCTAAACGTGACCCAGTCAGCACCTCGCCGAGGCACTTGCGAGAGAGGCAGTAGGGCAAGGAGAAAGCAGGCGATGGCGACTCACCTCCTTCTTCGTGACGGGGTTGTCGGCGAGGACCAGGTGCGTCAGACGGGAGAACTTGGCCAGCACGTCGAGGTCCGCCAGCTCGGCAATATTGTTGGACGCCAGCACCAGGTTCTTCAGGTTGGGGATGGCCTTGGGCAGGCCCACCTGGATGCTGGAGACGCGGTTTCGCGCCAGCAGCAACGTCTGGATGCGCGGCGACAGCGGGAAGTTGCCCAGCACCTGGATGTCGTTGTCTGTGAAGTCGATGGCATCGTGGGGCTGCGGGACGGGCACAAACACGCCGTGGTCAGCCAGCACTCAACTCCCGCGAGGGGGGACGGAGTGCGCGCGCGCGCACCCCACGAGGAAAGGGGGAAGGGAGGTAAACTCACGCCAGCGACACCAAGGTTCTCAATGGCGGGGATTCTTTGTCCTGTTCCGCGGGCAACGACAACAACGTTCGCATCAACTCTTAAGCTCTTCTTATGATTCTTTTGGGGGGCCGCAGGCACAATCAAGTAGTCCCTGCGTGTAGCATCTGCTCTTTTCGTGGAAACGCACCTCGGAGGTCAAGCTCGCGCTCTTTGAGCGGGTTGAGGTAGGAGAGGGAGTCCTGGATGAGCTCCGCGGTGAGCCTCATCGCGGCGGCCGGGTGTACCTCGCGCCTGTTGCAGGCGGGCGCTGCGACGGGAAAGGGGGGGTGTTTTGGGCGGCGCGGTCCGTCTGCGGGAGGCGAGGGGGATCCGGGGGTTGATGCGTCTCTCGCAGGCGGCTCGGCGGCGCGCGTCGTCGTCTCAGGGCGCAGGCGTCGTGGTGCTGCGACTGCTTCTTCGCTTCGTCGGTGGGTAATTGGTTCGAGATTGACAAGGCTGAGGTTGTTCGCGCGAGGCAGAGGGAAATTTCAGGTCCACATATTTTGGTGCTGCAGCGGGCAGCTACAGCCACTCAGCCCACAGCCGTCCGGGGCGCCACGCCATGGCCTGGGGCGCGCGAGCCACACGCTGCCCGGACGTTGCAGACGGGAGGTACACATCACGGCTCAGCGAGCCAGCACTCGAGTTCCACTTGCACGCTTGGAGCGAGCCACCGTCCCCAACTATACGTGTTACAAGATGATGGCATGCTGCACCACTGTGACGCAGCGCTTTTCACAACCAGCAAACAACTTCGCTGCTATACACGAACCAGCGGGTCGTCATCTACACTGCGGGTATACTCTAAGACGTCGTTCATCAGGCCCATCCCGGCTCCAACAGTAACTGCGATTCAGTCATGCTCCCGCTCACCAGCTCTCCCATCAACCCATCAGTCTCATTCCAATCCTCCGCACCGGGCTCCACAGCCTCCCAGGCCTACTGAAAGACAAAGACCGCGCCCGACCGGTCCGTCGACACGCTCATCGTGTACGGGTACTCCAATACCACCATGTCCAAGACCGCGTCTAGGTGAGACTGGAGTAGCTGCTGCTGCTGCATCGAAATCACTGTCGATCGCGGCGGGCGCCCACCGCCTGAGCTCTTTCCCTTGCCCGCCGTGCCGTTGCCTCCGTTGGTCCCTGGCCCGGCCTGCCGCGGCGCCTTTTCCGTGTTGAGTATGACACCCGTCGAGGGGTTTGTCGCTGTGTAAGTCGGTTGCGCTTCTTCGGGCTGCAGGCCACTGTAGATGCTCGAGTTCTCGATACGGCTCATGTCCCAGAATCGCAGCTTCTTGTCTGAGCCTCCCGTCACAATGTAGGCGTGGCGGACCTCGCGAGAGTCCTCGACGGACCCGGTGCCTATCACCATCGCCCGAACCCCTCGGTCCGCGTTGGCCACGTCGCTGTTTTCGAGGTTCGTGGCAAACCTGCCCAACATGCCCTCTGGCTTGTCCTCGTCCACGTCCCACGCGCTGTAGCCCTTTGGACCGTCCTTGCTTCCGCTGGTGCGGTAAATTTCCCGGCACGTCGTCTTCTCCAGATCCCACACCGTCACCTCTCCCTGTCCGGTGCCGCCCGCTATGCAAACCCATTTGCCGCGACCCTTGGTCGGATGGATGCACATGCGGTAGATGGAGCTTTTGCCCGGGACCCCCCATCCTCTCAGCCTCATCTTGAATCTAAGATCCCACAAGTCGATAACGCCGTGCGACGTGCCCACGCAGAGCCAGTTTCGTTTCCTGTCAATGCAGAAACAGGTCGGGGTTCCGTGATGGACGGGGTTCTCCAACTCGTACAAGACAGCCATTGTCCTGAGGTCGATGCCCAGGATCCTGGATCGGTTCGTGGCGACGATAAGGACTGATGACGATTCTTGCCGAAAGTGCTCGCACCACACAGCAAATTCACCTTCTGGCAGCAGGTACTCCCGCACGACCCGAAGCTTGCCGTACCTAATGACGCCGCTGGCGGTGACCGTGTCAACCTTGACCACGTGGATGCTACCGTCGCTGGCACAGCTCACGAAGCAGTACGAGTCCTCCACAAAGCAGAGGGCCAGCACTCGAGCCTCTTCAGCGTGCTTGTGCGTCTGCCTGGAGCGGTGGGTTATGTTGCGCTCGAGCCTGGCCGTGTCCCAGACCTTGACCGTTCCGTCGCTTCCGCCTGTGACGAAGAAGACATGGTCTGGAGATGCGACGACTCGGTTTACCGGCCCTTTGTGTTCTCCAAACGTAGCCACAAGGTGACCTCCCGGTCTCCATTGGGCCTCCGTCGGCTGCATGTTAACCACCCGGTTCTTGCCGGTCGAGATGGGCTGCACCATTGGACCAAAGTCCAAGACATCGCGGGGGAAGTTGTCAATGTACATCCTGTCCAGCATGCGTTGAATGTTGGGGTCAGTCCCTTCATAAGTGTGCCTGGTTGACTTGGGCGGCAGTCGGCGCTCTTCGCTTCCTCGCGAGGGGGCCGACGGCGCAGACGGGCTTAGGACAAACGGCCCTTCGACTTCTCCAAAGGCGTTGGCGTCGCTGGTTCCCGTTTCTGCGACAGTCTTGCTCCCATTTTTCCGATCCAGGAGGCTCAAGGCGCTCGCTTGATGCCGTATCGCTCTCCTAGAGGAATAGGAACCGTCCTGAAGGGACGGTTCATCATCGCCAATGCCGCGACCAATCGAAGAACCTCTCCTGGAATGCAGCGAGCTGGCCCGTTCGCTGCCTTCGGGCGACATGAGGCGCCGTGAAGCCTGTGTCGGCCGAGGGCCAACACTTTGTACTCGCCCCATTTGCTTGTTCAGTGCAGCCCACCTTCTCTTGCTCAGCGTGTCGTCGATGGTCATGGAAGCGTCCAGCAGCGCGTCCGCGATAGTGTAGGGCCCCGGCGGAGAGTCCAGATCCGGCTCGATCGACGGGTCTCGCAGGGGCGCGTCATTGAAGAAGACAGTTTGTGGCGTTACGCCGAGGCTCTTCAATGAGACCAACCCATTCGACATTGTTGGCTCCGCCGGAGACGAGTCTCGTGCTTTTAGCTTGCTGAGGCGCCAGATAAACTCGCGTAGAGCCAGGAGCTTCAACTCGTCTTCCGGCTTAAGGCCTAGATTTCTCAGCTTCTCGAGCCACTGCTCATCCTCCTCGTTCCGGGCAATCTTGCTCATTGACGTGGCGCTGAGGTCCTTGGATGACCGACCGGCCATGGCAGCTGAAGAGGCGAGGGTCAGTGACCGAAGCTTCTGTAGCGGCTTCCAAAATACACCTCGATCGGCTTGGGTAGCCCAAGTGATGGCCTGCTCGAAAACGGCCCTAGAGATGGGCTTCTTGAGGGTATCCAAGAGGTGGAGCTCGCCGAATTCAGACAGCATGTCGACCTTGAGATATGGCTTCATCAGAGGCAGCAGAATGCAACGAAAATCCGCCAGCGCCAGGAACCTTGCCGACATGGCCAGGAACTCTGCTGCCGACTCGCGAACCCATATGTTGGGATGCATGGTGAATCTGCCGATGAGGTCGACCAACTCCCATATCTTGGGTTTCGACAGCAGGCCCAGGCCCGCGAGCTGCGCCAGCGAGTGCAACGCTGCCTGCACCACAAACTCTTCTGTATCGGCCAGAGCTTGAACCATGAGGGGAAGCATAAACTCCTCGAGGCTCGTGCTGCCAATAAACGCTGCGATGCCAACGATGGTGTCGAAGAATGCGCACTTCAACGTCCAGTCGCGGTCGTTGAGGTAAGTATTGAGGTGAGTGAGGAGGATGTCGTTGGAGTGCTCTTGAAAGAACATGCAGAGCTCTGGAACTGACGCCAGAAACGCGCGGCGAACGTCGACATCTGGGTCTTCTACCAGCTGCTTCGCGTGACCCTCTAGGATGTCAAAGAGCTCTCTGCCAGCACTATCGAAGACGCTCTCAAAGTTAGCCTCAGCTTCAGCCCCCGGTTCGACTTCTGGATCTGTCATGGGCATCGAGCCGTCGGCTCTAAGGCTGGACGCGATTTCCAAGAAGCGCTGGCCCGTTGACGCCAGGCTGCCTAGACATGAGGCGTATGTCGCTCTGATCAAAGGGCTGGCGATTCGTGACCGCGAGCCCAGCGCAATCTCCATGCGCGGCAAGACGTACTCAACCAGGAGGTGAGAGTTGATGGGCGTCGGCATGCGTACCAGCTGGAGGAGCTGGGTGATGGTGCGAATGGCAGACACAATGACAATGTCCGTCTCCTCTTTGCGCAGCAGCGTCATGAGGTATGGGAGCACCCAGTCCAGCTTGGCCTCGTCGGTGAGTCTCTCGGCGAAAGCCAGCAGAACATCGCACGCCCGCACTCGCGAAGAGGCGCGCGCAGTCGTCCTCATCGAGGACACGATAAGAGTAAGAAATATCAGCGTCCCATCGTCTTCGGGCGGCTCCAGGTCCGCAGAGACTGAATGTTCGTGATTCGGTATGCTCAAACGAACGGGGAAGTGGCCGAGGCCCAGGCGTGACGACACTGGCATAGCACCAGACAGTCGCTTTTCAGGCTGGTACCCAAGAAAGTAGGAAATCTTGTCAAAGTCGTAATAAACCCGGTCTATGCGGTCATCGGACTCGCCCATGTTCTTCTGCGACCCTGACATGGGGTTGTTGCCCGATGAGGGATCCGTGATCAACTCCATGTACTGATGCAGAAAGCTGTAAAAGTATGTCGGAAACACCTTGCCTTTCCAAAACTCTAGGTACTGGTCGGCGGAGTAGCGCTTCTCGGGGTTAAGCTGAATCATGTGAGCTATCATGTCGCGGACGTCCTTATCCGATATGACGCTCAGGTGGGTGATGACGGGGTCGTATTCGCCCCGGCGATACTTGTAGAGCTGGGCGAGGCTGAATATCTCCGACTCGAGAAACATTTGTGCGATGACACAGCCGGCGCTGAAGATGTCCATGGCCCACGTCATCTTGGCCTTTCGAGGTGGCACTTCGCCAGCAGCATAGAAGCGTTCGGGGGCAATGTAGCAGGTTCGGCGGCCGGACGTGTCGAAGAAGTAGGAGAAGTCGCCAGGATTGTCGTCAGGCAACAGGACCGGCTTGTATGGCGCGCAGAAGTCAGTCAGGTACAACCAGTTCCAGGATGTGACGAGCACATTCTGGGCCTTGATGTCGCCATGGTAGATGTCGCGGGCGTGGCAGTCGCGCAGGGCGCAGAGCAGCTGAAATGCCAGCCACTTCTTTTCTATGTCTTCTAGGAAGGGCCGAGTGCTCAGCCTGTCGTAAAGTGAGCTGTACTGGAACTGGCGGACAAGGTATCCGTTCGTCTCCGTCTCGATGATTCTCTGGAAGCCGAGGGCGTTGGGGACGTCGGCCAAAGCCTTGCGCTGCTCTGCGGCATGTCAGTCGGGCGTTCTTGGTCACGGGAGGGAGTCGCAGGTGGGAGCTCACGGATGAGCAGCTTCTTGTACTCGTCGAGGTTGGCCTCTGCGTACGGCTTGACGAGCACCTTGACGAGCACGATGCCATTCTCGTGTCGGCCGCGGATGCTCTTCATGAAGCGTGCGTTGCCGATGCTCCGCTCGTACTGCACATCCTGAAGCTGCGCAATGTCTATGCCGGCCGAGCCGGCCGACGGCGTCGCGAGAGAGAAGCCTTGGCCCATGGCGGCGATGGCTGGCGGACCAGGTGTCGAGGTCGAGATGAGGTCCGGGAATCAGCTACCGATACAAGATGAACGAGAGCGCCGTCATTTTGACCAGGCTAAGAGACGGAGCGGGCGGTGGCGTGTCTTCGGCGGCGAGCTTGCACGATGGCTGGCGTGTGGGAGCGCGTGGACGAGCGTGGCCGGAGTAGACGGCGAGGACAAAGAGATGATGAAGTGTCGCTGGCTGACTGACGACATGGAGTTGGGTCACTGGCGTGGGAGCCGCAGCTACACATGTCACCAGGTGCACACAAGGTTCCCCACTGCAGGTCTGGCATACTGAAGGTGCAGCTACCTAGTGCTGTGACCCACCGACCACCCCGGCCAGCCAAGCTATGGAGGGCACCTCCAGGTGAGCTGTGTTGCAACCCACACGAGCTTCAGGTTGTCACTCCGACATGTACATAATAGGAGAGACCTGTACGGACACCTTGTGCTTCGTAAAAGCCATCATTCTCCCTATTCCCGCGCAAAGTGACCAAGCCTCAGCTACGCGACGCTCAGTCTGCATTACTCCGGTTCCCCGGAGCAATCGGACAACCCTGCCAGGCTTTCGTCATCGACAGAGCCTTATAGCCCTAGAGATTACGAGGTGCAATGGCCTCCCACGGTGGCGCAACACATCTCCCACGTCACCAACACCACATCCATGCATTTCCAAATTGTATGACTATCAAACTTCCCAAAGCCTTGACGCCAAATCAGGACAAGCTGAGTCGTGCCTCTAGCGTATGTGTACCGATCCAGTCTGTGCCCCCTGGTAGCCATGCCCATCGCCTCAAACAGAACTCCAGCAATGATAGATGATGTCCTCGACCGTGATGTCCGTGGCTAAACAGCCAAGATGCCGCCAGCGCGCTCACGACGCTCTGTCCACAGAGTGCAAAGCAAAAAATAAAAAAAGAGCAAAAGCAAGTCAAGTCAGGTCAATCGGACACGGCCATTCTTTTTCTGCTTTTTACTTCACGTACACGGCCCCTATCATGCGTCGAAAACCCAACATGAAACGCCTCTGCTGATGCCGCTAAACGAAAGCCACTACTGCCGCGAGAAAGGCCGGTTGTTTGAGAGGGTAAAGTCGCGGTGGCCCAACAGTCTTCCACACAGTCGTGAACCGCGGGTAACGTCGCGGTCTGGCGCCAGCACCTGGCACACTGCGACTCAGTGCGCACGACTGCGCATTTGCCGGGTCGAGCGATACTGGAGTTTGGGCAGCAAATCTTCGATGGCCTCGTCCGCATCCAAGTTGGTGTCGACTTCGAGGGAGCTGACGGCTTCAATTGCCGGCGCCTTTTCGGGCTCCATTTTAACCGGGGCAGCCGCAAGCTTGCTAGGCTGTTTGTTGGCCTCCAACTCCCGGCTTTGCATGTCCCTTCTGATGCTGATGGGTCGCCTGGCTCGAGGCTTGCTCGCCTCTCCGGACTCCTTGGCCAGCTCGGGCTCCTCGCGCTGGACGCGCTCCATCTCCCTCGTAGACGTCACCAGCACCTCACTCATCCGTGCACGGATCTTTTTGATCTCCTCTTCGCAGTCTGCGTCCCTCAGGAACTGATGCGCGCCGTGCTCGCACGTGCATTGGACAAACTCGAGGCTCTTGTCGAGTGTCTCGTAAATGTCAGGCGGCTGGCCGTGCCTCGAGGTAGACATGGGCCCGAGCCTCCGCGTGCTCATGTATCGCAAGGACGGCAGGCCATCGGACATGCTATTGTCGTCTCCAGGGTTGCTGTCTTCGTCGGGCATTTCCATCTCGGCCATGCGCTTGATCTGGGCGACCCTGGCTGCCATCCGCGCTTTCCGCATGAGGTTCCGGCTGGTTGAGATGAAGCGGACGAGCTCGTCAAAAAACGCCTGAACATAGCTATCGTAGTAGACGATGATCATGCTCCTCGTCCGATATGTGGTGGGTGGCTCCTCGGCGGAAGCCATTGACGAAGACCGCCGCTTCTTCCTCGTTTGGCCCCGGGCTCTAGAGTGCGCAGCCAACACAGCCTCCCGCGCATGCTTATGCAGCGCTGCGCGATTCTCGCTCTCGGGGCTCGAGGGGAATGGGACAGCCGGAGGAGGCATGTCGCCCTGTGGCGTTTCTTCGGACTGGGTTACTGGTATTGCTGTGTCGTCGGTGTCGGTGTGCATGGGGCCGTCGTCCTTCGGTTTGAGCGACTCGGACGAGCCCTTGTTTCGGAGCGACCTCGTGCTCGAGGCATTGGGCTGCTCTCCACCGATGGCGGCCAGCTCTGCCTGGCGGCGGTCGATCTGGCCGCTCAAGTCATCGAGCCGGCGCTGCCAGTCGGGGATGTTATTGGTGAGGTTCTTGAGGGCGTCCATAGCCATCTCGCGCGGGTCCTTCTCCCGCGACGAGGCCGTCTCGGGAGGAATCGTGACGGGCGCTGGGTGCGGAACACCCAACGCACACTGGTCTTCGGAAGGGGAATCGCCGGGTCGAGGAAAGGGAACCACGGCGAGACGGTTCGCCGTTGCGTGGTGTCAACTGATGTGTCGCACGGCGCCGGCTATCGGGCGGGCATGCTCAGCAAGTTTTTGGTCGACGGACGGAGAGGCGGAAGTTCGGGAGGGTCTTTCGGAGCCGTGGCCGGCGCTCGCAGGGCCGATGAACGGAGGCACAAAGGAGGGAAGCGATTCGAGACAGTGTCGCGTCTCTGAAAGACGAAGGCTGAAACGGAGCCGATTGTGTGAACGCAGTTGCACGGCACTAGCGAGGTTTAAAAGGGACCAGCACACAGGCGCCTCCACTGCGACAGCTCACCTCACCTCATGCGACAGGCGCTAGCGTGGGTATGGGCGTGGGAGCTCGCTGGAGCGGATGCGGGAGAGCGACCCGTCGGGGGGGCCGGATGGATCTCGAGGGCCTGGGCGGGACGGCGGGCAAGCCTCTGCGGGGTCCTGGTGGGACGCTGCGCAACGGTGACGCTGGCCTTGGCGGCGCTGGCGCTGGGGTTGGTGCTGGTGCGGCGCGGTGCGGCGCGGTGCGGTGCGATGCGATGCGGTGCTGGGGAGGAGACGAGGCGGGCAACGTCCAGCGTGAAGCAATGTCGAGATGGATGCTTTGGGTGACAGGCCAATGCGGTCCCGGCGGTGATGGTGATGGTGGTGATGGTGAGACAAAAAAAAAAAAAACGCGAGCGTGTAAGAGGCACTACTCGAGGTAGTCCGTACCTACAGACAGTCCTAACAGAGCAGGGTCGCCCCCAAGGTACTAGAACTGAGGCCTGGAGGCAACAAGGTCAATCCAGGTACGGGCAAATGTGTGGTGCCGTGTAAGAGAAGATGTACTGCTGTATACCGGCAGACGCGGGGGCCCGTGCTCTCTCTCCGTCGTCGTGTGTGAGTGAGTGCTTGCGTGAAGAAGCAAAGAGAGAGAGAAGCTCGGCCACGGGAGGGTGGGTGGGATGCGATGATATTTCAAACCATGGCGGCCGGGTTGGCTCCCCGTCTTGGTTGCTCACTGGAGGTGAGGTGCCCTCCCGTCCGCCCAGGGGACACTGGCAGGTGCCTTCTGCTGGAGCGACATGGGCACCACTGCCGCTCGCTGCCGCTGCTGCTGAGGCTGCTGCTACACCACGCACCCAAGGGCTGTGGGCCACCTCGCGGGCCACATATGTCTACTATCCTCCGCGGCAGGTGTCCGTCCAGTTAGGTCTTCACTGACGTCCATGGTACCCAAGGAACCTTGCCGTCGCCAGCTGGAACCTTGCTGGGCCGGCCGGCGGGGACATGGCACCACTGCCCAGTGCTCACGCCTCGAACCAAGCCGGCCGTCCGGGTTGCTCACCACGGCCATGCGGTGCGACAGAGAGACGACGGCCTGCGAGAAGTGAATCTGATGAGGTGTAATCATTTGATGGAGCCTCCGCGCCCCTGCTGAGCCGGCTGCTGCGTCGTCAACAGCCAACGGCGGCCGGCGCTGCGTGCGAGGGGGGCGGAGTGCGTGGGGACAACGGCCAAACCGTCAAGCACGCAGCTGCAGCACACCCTCCCGCCTCGGGACCAGCAAGGCCGTCCAATCGAGCCCTGGGCGGGCTCCGTGCAGGGGTGCCGACGATGCAGCCAGGGAGGGGGAACGTGGAGCGCGGCCGCGGGGACTCCACAGAGGTCCGACTCCCACTCACGCACGCTCTCATCAGACAAGCGAGCGTGACGGGGCAGGTCTCATGGAGATCGTCTAACAAGTGAGTGACTGACTGGCGCTTGCTGGCACTCGGCTTGCCTGTCCTAGGTGCAGGAGAGGGTGGCCCGTCGACGGACGCGCCAAAGGGCTGCTCGTTGCATTGCCGTTTGTTAGCGTGAGTCTCGCGCATCAAGCTGGGAGACGAGAGGAAACAAGGCTGTGTGTTCTCCGTGGCCGCAGCTTACTAGCTGGAGCGGCGTGATGGATGTCCCCTTGACATTGGACGACTCGGGATCGAGTTTCATCTTGATGCGCGTCATGCTGGTGGTTGTTTTTTCCTGCTGCGCATGCTCCTGCGACTGAGGTACAGCATTGTACCTCGTACAGTGCCAAGGTCCCATTCCGGTTTCATAAAGCACTGCCTTTTCTAGGTAGGTGGGCAATGGTGGTGCCATATAGGCTACGGAGTGTTGTATGCAGTGGGATGGGTTTCAATTCTCTGTTGTGTCCATCATCACCGCCTCTCTGTCGCTGACTCGACTTTCCCTGGGTTCCAGTTGTCGGCAGGGCAGTCCTTGGCCCCGCTCGCAGCGGTTGTTCCAACCGGAACACAATGCGCACTGCGGTCCTGGAGTTCCAGCAGATCCATCTCCACTGTTCGTCGTGCTTGTGTCTGTACAGAGAAGGTGCCGCTTACCTAGGTACCTTACGCGAGGTTCCAATAAGGCACGTCTGGAAGGGAACGCACGCAACCTTGGAACTTTGGCAGGAGGTGGTGGGTGCACCGGGGCAACTGGCCAGTGGAAGAAACCTTAGCAACTCACCTGCCGCCCAACGCCAAACGGCTCTCGCCCTACACGGGTCACGCCCAGCTGCCACAGGACCTCAAGGTACCTCCCGTCAGCCAAGCTGGCATTGCGTAGGGCTGCCAATGCGGCACCAGGCAGAGGCCGGCACATTTCCCACTGCGAAAAGCCACCTGGAAACAACACCAGACATGGTCATCGTCAACGGTCCACGCCTTTCAATAAGCGCAGGCAAACGCCTCGTGGTCCGTCCGCGGCAGCCCACACTCACTGTGCTGGTGGACAAGTCTCCGATCGACGTCGTCCGCATGTCGCAGGGGACCGGTCCTGCTCCCAGTCCCGCCCACCTTAACGTCGACCGAGCGTCGACTTGAGCTCGCCCTACCACGGCCGACGGGGGGTGGCCGCTCCATCCCTCCGAAGGCTCCACCATATCGAATACTACGTATTTTACACGAGCTTTGCCGTCCAAGAAAGAAAACACCAAGTCGGAGGGTGAACAAGCAAAGTGAGTCGTCCAACTTTGACCGCCCTGTCTCACCTAGCTGCTCGGCTCCCGCGCCGGGCAGGACGCGAAATGGCGACTCGGTTTGCCATGACGTCTTGTCTGAAGACCTGTCACAGCACCAAGGTCCCTTGAGGTGGTCTGGACAGAGCGCAGCCGTTCGAGGGTCAGACGCCATTCGGTCCACTCTCCGAGTGTTGGTGCTGGTTGTTGGTTGCCGGGACTGCGACCAACACGAGCGTGCACACCATCTGTGACGAACAACCTCGCGAGCGACTGAAGGCTTCCGCGTTGGCAAGACACGACTGAGCTGCTGGGTTTCGGCCAATTCTCTCCTCGTCGTCTCGTCATGTCTCGAGCTTCGCCGTTGCGCCAGATTTCGCTCGCCAGCCAGTGTCGACGCTCGCCTTGACGTCGATTCAGACCCTTCCATCTGCCTGCTCGGGCGAGATCTGTGTCGGGCTCCCTCATGCGAGACTGCAAGTCCAAGCTGTCGCACAGGCCACCCTTGCAAGCCAGCGGCTCGGCCTTCTCGAAGCACGCTTCCCAGCGCTAATGAGCCGCCCCCCCCCGGCCCGTACAGCGGTGGCGGCAAACCCATGCCACTCAGCCAGCCAACGACGTCGAAACGCGCCCGGGCAATCGGCCAACTTGGGCGACTGTTCCGCGTGGACTGTGAGCAGAGCATGCCATGTAGTCCGGACCTCCTCCGTGAAACGGAAGGTTCGCAGTGGGATACTCATCCGGCAGGCCTTCAAGCATCGCCGCACGTCTCCATTACCTTCTCGTTTCGTGGATGGAAGCCACCTGCCTGGGGAAATGCTGGCTCGTGCTCCCGGGTCGCCATAACCAACCCAGAGGTTGATTTGCCGTCGCAGCTGCGGCTCGCTCCTTGACTGTTGCCCTCGCGAAAGGCCGAGAGCCAGCGGCAGGCAGATCGACCAGAAAGAGGCCGGTCCTCGTTGGCTGGACGGCATGCCACTACCCCAATGGTTTCGCTGCAGAATCCTTTCAGCAGAAGCGGGCACGGCTGCATGTCCCAATGGGTATTTCGTGGTCAAATCGCGGGCTGCGGACGCCAACTTGGAAGTTGGTTGACAGGCAGGGGACGCAGCCCCAACCGCAGTGTGCGACTGTGAGCCAGCCATTCTCTGCGAGGACGGCGAACCAGGACTTTTCCTAACCTAATCTTGTTGGCGCCCGTCCGGTTCGCCATGGCCTGAATCTGGTTCAAAGGGGCGTACAATGACATGTCCTCCGCCGCCTTGTTCCATTTCTTGGCCTGGAAGAAGGTTTGGACTTACGAGGCATGGCCATCACAAACGGACAAAGCTTTGCCAACGAACAATTGGAAAGACTGCGTTGTTGCGAGGCCGCACTGTTGGCCCGCCTCCCGCTCGTGGGGACAAAGCTCGCAGGCCGTTGACCAGCCGCCTGCGTAAGCCACATGGCGGCGATGGACAGGCATCTAGCCTCACAATGGCAAGGCCAATCTCGTCGCGGATCGGACAGCCCTGTTACCCGCCACGCGCCAACCCCTCCCCACGCACAGCGAACCGTCCTACTTATCTGCTGCGTGGAGGGGCAAGAGTCTGGAGGGCATGGGCAAGTTGTCGTCGGGCTTGCCTGTCGTCGATGCGAAACGGTTGGCGCCATGCAGCGTCACGGGGGTCCGACGGCCAGACCTTGCGGTTCGACTCGTCGTTTGGAGAATTTCTCCCCGTCTTCATTTCCCAACCACTTCCCTCGAGCGCTGGTGTTAGGACAGACTGCATCCCTGCTCGAGAGGCATTGCCTCGCCAGAGGCCACGGTGAAAGAAGCGATACAGACCCGCCGACGCCAGCATGTCAGATGACCCGCTCTCTTGCCGCAAACACGGGGCTTGCGCGCGTTTTCCCACCAAGTGGCCTCCATCTCAAGCAGAAATCCTGCTTCTAACATGCGCAACCGGGGTCGACGTGTGCTTCGCGCAGCCGAAACTAGCCCTCAGCCTATCCTAAACGGCGACATCTTTGCCGCCCCCACCATCACCACCAGGACAGACACGCTGCCGTCGCAATCCTTGTCAGACGCCGCTGGGCTCTCGACAGTCGATTGTGCTCACCATTTCGGTCCCATGACCGTTTGATAGACCGTGGGCAGACAGCACAGCGCAGCACAGTCCATGCGACTCAATCACAGAACAAAACATATGATGGAAATGCCGAGATAAGCGGCTGCGTTCGACCGAGACAGCAAACCCCAGCAACGTCCAACGAGCGTTCTGTAAGCGTCCGGTGTGGCAAACGAGCATGAGGGGTGCAAGTGGCTACAAGCCCTTGGCCTCTGGATGCCGCGCAGGATCGAATCATGCTTACAAGCTGCACTGCACGATGCAGTCGCCCTGTCACACGCAGCATAGGCTCCCTGTTGGTGACAATCACGTAGCCCGCCATCGTCGTGGACATGATGCAGCAGCGGGATGCAGAGGAGCTGCCGCTGACATAAAGATGCGGTCCTCTGCACAGTCGCCGTTTCCTGCAGCGTCGCGGCATGCGGAGCATGCATGCCTCCCGGGTCCAGACCCCAGACGCAGCTGCTGACCGCTCTTATGTACTGATGAGCTGGTCGACTCGTCAACCTCGACTTGGACATCCTGCTGAACGCGCGACCTCGGAAACATCCCTCTCCGAGATTGGGCCGCAGGGGCGCTGAAGCGTCGGGGTCAGATCGAGGCTCTCTGGCCATCGCATACCCGCGCCAGGCCAGCCCCGATCAGGACACCACATCACACTTCGGCAAAGCCCTCGTCGCGGCAATGTCCCGAGATTGGCGCGCGTCATGTTTAAGTTTGAGACATGTGTCGCTACCAACTTCGCAGGCCAGGCCTTAGAGGGGCCGCGGCAGCTCCCACTGGCATCCGACAGGTGGCAGCGGCCGAGCTCGCGACGCAGGTCTGATTTCCACCACCATGAGCCCGATGAAGTCGCTCTACTGGGCCTAAACTCGACTCGGTCTCGGGCATACTGGCAGGGAAGCGGCGACGGTGACAACGTGCATACCAAGTCAGAGTCCCATGACGATATTGTAGTCTCGTAGATGCGTTGTCGGGCTCATTCATGGCCATAGCTCCGTCACCTTCCACTCGCCCGACTCGCCCTCGCCCTCCAACCTGTAGTTCCACCTGCGGCCATTTTCCGGGTCCGACAAGTCCACGCGGTCGACTTCGTCGGGCACAATCACCACGACGCGAAAGTTGCGCCTCGCCACCTCGTCCTCGACATTCTCTACCCGCTGGCCTAGCCCCAGACCACGGCCGGGCTCCTGGCTGCGCGGCGTCCCCGGGGGCGGGTTGCGGAACGTCCCTCGCATCAGCGGGCTCAGGTTGCCGAAGTGCGCCGTCACCTCCCGGCTCCAGCTCCACGGACCGGCCGTGCCGCCGTTGACGCGCCGCATGTGAGGCTCCAGCGCGGCCCGCACCGGCGCCGCGGCTTCCGAGTCAATGTCCGGCCCGAGCACGTAGGCTCGGCCCCGGAGGCGCCACTGCGTCCGGGCCTCCTCGGCCCAGAAGACGCCCTCGACGAAGCCACCGCCGCCGGACTGGGATCCTCCGCGCCCCCCGTCGCCGGCCCCCGGTGCAGCAGCCATCCCTTCCTCCAGCTCCGGCACCTTGTCCATGCGGGCGTCCGTCGTGATGGTGGGCAGGTGCGACGTGAACGTGTCCGGGTTCCGCTCGGCAGGGTTCTTGGGATTGACGTCGAGCGCGGCCCACATGCCGCGAAAGACGACGGTGCGGACCCGGGGCACGACGTGCTGCGACGACGACGAGGCGCGATCAGGCTGGTGCAGCGTGCCGAGGGTAAAGGTCGGGGACTCCATGCGCTGGATGTGCGAGATGAAGGTCGCCCGCCACGGAGGGTCGGCTGGCACGGGGCTGCCCATGGCGTGATGGTGTCCTCGGAGATGGTTGAGGGTCTGCGTTGTGCGACGGAGCGCGGTGCTGTGTGCGTTCATGAGGTGAAACCTGGGTTAGGGGTTCGGGTTGTCGTCGGGGGGATGTCGAGTTGAAGTCATCATGAGACGCGACCCACTGCCAGCGGCTGTGCCTGGTCTATGATTCATCACACAAAGTAGCACTCCGTCCCAGCCACGACCTCATTGCTCCGAACACCAGATCGACCCGCGCGCCTCATCGTCGGTAATATCCCGACAATGAAAATACTTCAGTCATCTAGTGGTTAAGCGTAATCATCGCTTTCGTTGCGTTCGCGGCGACCTTTGGTACACATTACCCTACACTAAGCGTCGCGGACCGGCCCGCTTGCTGGTCTAGCTTGCCGCCCACGAAGCCCCAGAATGCCCTGCTCTGTCTCTTCGACGATCTCGCCTAGCCTTCGGCTTTTTAAAGGGATCATTGGAAAGATAAAAGAGTGACCGGTTGCGAAGTATCTTGGTTAGATCACTGAGATGTCAAGCGTTGAACCTCCACTGATGGCAAAAAGCACAGGAACATTGAACGTGTAGAAGCGGTCCGTTCATTGACTTGGACGCTGGAGGCGTCGAACTAAACCACTTCAGCAGCGCTGAAATGCCAAAGGCGGGGTGTGTGCGCGATGCCAAGATGCGGCAGCACAGCCCAAGCATTTCATGCTGGTCCGTGGCTGGGGCATCCCACTCAGCACCGGGCGTCTGGAGCGCCAAAACACCGGTTGCTTAGGGACAGGCTGGGACTGGGAAAGGAGGCCGTGACGTGGCTTTGGGTAATTGCCGTTGACCGGCCGTTACACAAGCCTGAACCTTAAGGCAAAACGTCGACTTCTACGTTCATGGTGGTGGGTAATCAAGCGCCCAACGTTGGTATTCATACGTGAGACGGTTGAGCCACAATGCGGTTCGCGATTCATCCGGCACTTGGTCGCACAGGTTCAGCAGGTCAACGAGGGAGGGGGTCCCGGAGTCTTCAGCGCCGGGCGGCGACCCCATGAATCGCCGCCTGTTTTTTTGAGGCTGGATCGGGCTGGATTCTTGCACCGCGGCTGGGCAGCTGATGGTTCGGGCTAGCCCGCAACCGGGCCTCGACGCCGCGGGCTGGATGTTGCCGTTGACGGAGCATCAAATGGCCCGGTGGCAAATGTTCCGGGCGGCGTAAGCCGTGGCCTCTCGCTGTGAGCTCGCGCCAATGCGCGTGTCCGTGTGCGCGCCGCGAGGACGACAGCGACGCCGAACGTGGGGGACGAGAAGGGCGCTGCGCTGACGAGCGCGCGCGATGCCTGGGACACTCTGGCACTTGTGCACTCGCCTTGTGGAGGATGACGAGCGGCTGTCGTTGAGATAGACTACTGGAATACTAGGCGGAATGCCGCATGGGCTGGCAGGCCCGAGAACGCTCGTGCCTTCCTGCTCCCGTCATGCCGTTCGCTGCAGTTCGGCAGCGGGGCCTTGGCGCTCGCCGTCGGGGCAGCAGCGGCGGTAGGTGGTGCTTGCCAGCTTTGCCTCGATCTGGGGGGGCCTGTCAGCACTCAGTTTCTCGCCCGCCCATCGCCAGGCGTCTTATTTCCAGCTCCCCTCTCCCCCGTTTCCCCCCCCTCATCCCCGTTTTCTGACCTTGACATACCCTTATTTTCCTCGTTATTCCCAGCGCCCAAAGCCGTCACCTCCGCCCTGCGCGGCCATTATTCCCGGCGCGCACATCGTGCATCGTCGCGACACGGGCTGCTGGATACCCTTTACCGAGGACGCACGGCGTCTCACTCGTCGGCCCGTCCGAGACAAGGACGCGCGCATTGCGACCAATTTCCCTGACGCCCGGAGCGGAGCCGCCGCCCATGGACCTGCCGCCGCTGCATCACCCGCGCAGCTACCAGCACCACACCAGCGGCGGGGGCGCGCCCGCCGTCGGTGCTGGTGCTGGTGCTGGTGCTGGCTCTGCTGGTGCCACCAGTGGCCAAGCCGCTGGCGCCGCGGTCCTCACGCCGAATTCGGCCACCTCACCCGCGACGACGATTCCGTCGCCGGCCTCTGCGTCGTACCCCCGCTCCCAGGACGGTGCCAGGTACGACTATGGCGGCGACTCGGGCCAAGAAGGCACGCTCCCCGCTGTGGGCGATGAGCCGCCCAAGAAGAAGCAGAAGCGCAACAAACCCACGCTGTCCTGCCACGAGTGCGTCGAGCGCAAGACCAAGGTAAAGACAGTCCACGGAAGCGTCCTTCCTATATCTCTTTGCCATGCGCCGCCACTGTGTGCATCCATACGGGTTGAAGAGGGCTGCGCATTGGCCATTACACATGCGGACACTTGCTATAAAGTTATGCATTTCGCGACAACGTGCTTATAGCAGCCACGCTTTCTACTCAAGAGGTTGCAACCGAAACATGACATGATTGTGCTCTAGTGTATTTGCTGGAGTCGAGGCTGACATCAACACTTATAGTGCGACAGAGGGCGGCCACATTGCCTGGCTTGTATGCGTCCCCTTCCAACAGTCTTGTATTGCACTCCGCATGCTAACAGCCCAATGCAGGCATCAAACGGCAGACAGAATGTCGATACGCTCATGTTGCGAATCTACTCGAGTAAGCGCCTTCAAGAGACCCGCAGGAGTGCCCGATACTGACTTTCTGTTATCAGGGAGACCTCCCGATCGGTGGCCAACGGCCGCCGCATGACGAAGCCGCCAAAGAAGAAACCCGTGGCGGATGGCAAATTGTCAATTCCAAACATTGCCGATAGGGGCGCCATCGTTGATCACGATGCGTCGTCGCGTGGCGCTGTAGCACTCTCACTCGGACTACTTTCACACGTGCCGTATTCGGTAACAGGAGCGAGCAACGTTTTTGGCATTGGATCCGAGCACCCATTCGCAAACTACTGGACATGCGAGGGAGGTCTTCCGGAAGTGATATCGGTCTTGCCCGAAAAGATCCAGGCCGACATCTTGTTGGCACGATATTTTGAGTGCGTCGACCCGGTGTATCCAATGATCCACCGGCAAACATTCTACGCCGATTACGAGCACTTTTGGCAGCTAAATGTGCCGGAGAGGAACAAGACAGATGCTGCATTCGTTGGCCTCATTTTCGTCATGCTTGCTCTCGGCACCCAGTTTGTCACCTCGACGTCGCCTAAAGAGCGCAAGCAGACGGCGGAATTCTACGCTTCAGCGAGCAACCAGGCGCTGCGCATGTCATCATACCTGAGCACAGCGTCGCTCAGTTCTATCCAGGCCATGGTTCTATTGACTTACTTTCTCATCAATGACAATCATGCGTCGGATGGCTGGGCGTTCGCCGGCATTCTCATTCGGCAGGCATATGCGATGGGCTTGCACCGAGATCCCAACATAGGTACGCTTTTTCATAACCCTTTGCTGGGCACTTGGGATCTAACAGATGCTCAGTGACGCCAAATGCAAACCCATTCGAGAAGCAGCAGAGGAGAAAAGTGTGGCAGGCCGTCCTTTTGCAGGACACGTTCCTCACCGTGCTGCTGTCCCTTCCACCGTCAGCGACACACACTGATGTGTCGGTGGAAGACTTGTTGGACGACAGCGCTTCCATTGCCAGTAGCGATCCGATGGATACGGCCTATATCCGGGGTTCCTGGATGCTGGCAAATCTGGTTCAGGAGACGATTTGCTCGCCACGATCATTGGACCTTCCGATATGCGCAACAGCGAGACACAAGTCGAAACTGGTCGCCGACTTTCGCGCGGTGTATAGATCATTTCCTGACGTCTTCCGGTCTTGGGACGCGTACAGCTTGACAAGGCTGGCAGCGACCAACAAGCGAATCATACGACAAACTCTGTTCTTGACCAGCAACTACTTCCACAACCTCATGTTGGTGCACGCGTCTGAATGTCCAGACGTGCCTGTTAACGTGAGGGGAACGCTGGAGGCGGCGCATGACGCCATCAGCGCATTCTTCTTGCTGTTCAGCCTTCTGGAGTCAGAAGCGCGTGTCTGGTGGGTTTTCCAGCATCGCGCATTCCTCGAGGCGCTGTGCATCGGCAACGTTCTGCGTGAGGTAACCAGGGAACCTGGAGGCAAGGACCTCCTTCTGCGGGATCCACTGTTCGTGAGGGCAAAAGCCGATATCAGTGAGTACATACCGCTCCAGTCACATCCTTGAGATGACACTGACGATGGCGATAGCGCGTATGATACAGATTATGCAGTTGATGGACGAGGAAGGCAGTGTAAGCCTTACAAGGGTCAGCCTGCTGAGCGAATATCTGGAGTGATGTCTAGTGTTTGCTCTCGGCGACATAGATGTGGATGATCTCGGGGTGGATTGTAAGATGGTGAGGAGGCCGGGGTGCTGGCGGCACTTGAGAATGTGAACGATTTGAGCGCTGGTCTGGTGGAAGGGCGTTTCCCTACGCTGGCGATTTGTACTGTACATGTATGCAAAGGTTGCGGCTGGTGATATGCCTGCGGAATTTAGGAGAGCCACCATCGTGAGGACCAGGGTAGGGTACTGCACAAGCTTGTTTAATGGACAGCATGGGCAAGAGACATTTGTCAACAAGTACCGGCCGGTTGTTGCTACCGAGCGTGCTCGGGGTATCGGCCGGCGAAGACGTCAGTGCCCTCGATTGCTGGTTGGGGCTGACGGAAGAGGCCTCGTCAGCCCCCAGGCGCTAATTGGCCTGACGTGCGGCTCACTCGCTAAGCCAGGGTGAGGCCTCGCCGAAGCGTCCCCAGCTGCTCTGCCTTGCGGCGGAGCCCGCTGTCTGCCCCGGACTTTGACCGTGTGATGTACAAAAGTCCCCGCGGTCATGGGCGGACGAGACAAAGTCGCGTTGAGCCTCAGCCTCCACGAGGTGGGCGGCTGCGCGAAGCACGGGTTTCAGAGCGAGGTAAAGGGGGCAGGCGGCTACTTGGATAGAGTGTCTTGACTCGCGAGTCCACAACGAGAGTTACATGGGGATCGATACGAGGACTCGGGGAAGCCGCTCGTGACAGTTTGCCCCTTTAACGGGCGGTACTTTATTTATTCTCCTTGCTGGACAGGCAAGAACATACGAGGTGCCTGCCTGACGTGTGGACGTGTGGAGAGCCCGTTGCAACGGTGGCGGCAGTCGTGGCAGTTCACAGGGGTGCATCGGGTCGTTCCTTCCTTGCCAAACACTAACACCCACTGCGTACGCAATCCCTTAACAGCCCTGGCAGGCAGCCGTTTTCCTGCCTCTGTCTCGTTCTCTTCCATTCCACACAGGCTCATTGCGAGTTCAGGCAGGCTTCGCGTTGCACTGGCTTTTCTGCCGAGCCCCAGGCCGCCTCATAACACGTCGGCCCTTGAAGGCCGGGAACCACAGCCGGCGTATTTGTCACCAGGTCGCGATGCGTTGTGGAGGTCTCTATGGAGCTGCCGCAGCGTCGCTGCTGCTGGCGCCCACCACACTGGCGAAGCAGGCTCGACACGTCGCCAACGGTACGATGCTGCCTGCACTTCTCAAAAAGAAAACTCCGGCACAGACGCGCTAACTACGTTACTCCGCGACAGAGGACGCTGTTCCGACAGCCTTTGTTACACTAAATGTCCCCAACAAAGGCAAGACAACTGAGGCGCTGGTAAGTCCCGGATGCTCTTTTTCTTAAGACTTGGGAGCCGTTGCTCCACAAGAGCGTCTATGTTGACTTCTACCCAAGACCTTTCGCCTCGACGTCGCGCAGTCAGATTATGCTTGTGACAATGGCAATCTCCGGATCAACGGCCACCGGCTCAACCAAACCGTTAACGGTGGTGGCCAAGGAGTCATCTCGAGGAGCGGCGATCCTGCTGTCAAGGCGAACTGGCTCTTCAGCTGCCTCCAAAGCGAGAAGGCCCCATATGACCAGGTTGTGTCGGTGACCGTGTACGAGATTGACGGCCGGCCGATCGAGCCTACTGGTTTTGAGACGTTTTTCCGACAACGACACCCCGTCTCGATCGTGGACATTGACGGTGCTGCTGTCGTGAATCGATTGCACACGTTGACAGTCCCCCGACCGGAGACACAGGAACAACCTCTCATCAAGGGTCCCGACGGGCCGGACAACACTGAAACCGAGTCCACCCCTACATCCGCCACCAGCATCCAGGACGACCTCCAGACTAAAATTCAAGAGCTGGATCTCTTGCGCATTCAGGCCCGTCGTCTGGGGGACCTGATCTTTGAGAAAGAACAAGCCATCGCCCAGCTCCTTGGGAAGAAACCCCCAGTACCTTCTGTCAAAGTTGACAACTGTGAGAGCATTCGCTGCGTACTGTCGTATCTCTCGAGAAAGTTCAAGGGTGCAACAGGCACCTTTGGGGAAGACTTGGAGGAGCTGAAGAGCTTCGTCGCGGACGCGGACGAGGTGCATCTGCCAACACCCGATGACTTGGATGCAGACTTTTGGCGAGCGACTCAGGTAGAAGACGATGTGGAAAGCGAAAATGCGCCAGAGGTGTACGAAATCACGAACAAAGATGGGTCATGGGAGTGGGAGGAGGAAATCGTCCTGACCGCCGAAGAGGTGACTGAGTTGCAAGAAGCGGACCGCCACACTCACCGATTCCATCGTCGCCAACCACGAGTAAGTCCCGAGACCTGAAGCGAGCCTTTGTATGTGGTGATGTGGCTGACACTACTTAAGCTCCTCACAGCCATTGCTTTGGCCGCCATAGCTATCTGTTCGCTTTCGCTTTGGGCCATTCACCGTCTCCATCATCGGACATTGCGGACGTCCGGAGATGAAACCCAAATATTGAGCTCTGCCGAAAGTCGCTGGAGTCGCCGCGAGACGCGTGCTGAGCGACGGGCCCGTCGCCAGGCCCGGAAGGAAGCTGTCAGAGCTTTTTTCCAAAGTATCCTTTCCCAGTGGAGGAGCGCCAGCCGTGACAACGTGGAGAAGGCCACTGGGGAGAAGGCTGAAGAGGAGGAGGTAGACAATACGATGGAGGAGGAGATTGCCCAGTTCCGAGAGGCGGCGGCAATGGTCGGGGACATTGTCGCCGCTGAAGAGGGGCGAGCAAGACGAACTCGCCAAGATCGGTACACTAACGACGTTGAGGGCGAGGACGTAGACAGCCCTCCTTCGTACGAGAGTGTGTCGAACGACTCGTCAGTTGTGGCAAACGGGTTTCGATACAACCCTGATGGCCCAAACAAAGGCAGTGACGACAGAACGCCATGACTGGTGGCCAGTTCCTTTGTGGATTGATCGGGAATCTAAGACCAGGGCGCATTTTGGATCTTTTATCATGCGGCGAGCAGGGCACAGATTTAGACGCTCTGATAATCACAATGAAGAGTTCCGACTGCAAAGTTGCCATTATGAAATGTAGTAAGCTTGGAGTCATTCGACTGTGTTATGAGGAAAGGCTTGGGCCAGAATTACTTGACGAGACCAGCGCTAAGCAGGGACGACACAGGAACGGTGCTGCCTAAACACGGGACACCGCGGGCCCTCAGCTTCTTTGTCGACTGCCTCCTGATTTTGCATGAGCGTTACATATCACATGCGTCCCGGCCAGGCATACTCGGCCACTCGACCGCTCTCGGCGTGAGGTGTCGCCCGCCATGGCGTCCGCAGAGACCCGCAACATGCAGTCGAAATCACACAGGGCACGGCAACTTTGAGGCTGGAGGTCAAGGAAACCAAGAAGAAGGTTGCATTCATCTAAACAACATACGGCTCGCGCAGCCTACTGATAGCTATTAACTTAAGAACTGGAGAACGCCCACCCCGTAGCCTCGACCCAAGAACGTCAGGGACGAGTGTCTAGTCGTCGCACATGTAGTCGTTGCTGCTGTCGTCTTCGGATGCTGGAGGGACCGGCGATGCTGCGGGCAGCGACATGCGTGGTCGGTCGCAAGAGGACCGCATTTACATGGGAGGCATGGAGCCATCGGGGGCACCGCCCATACCACCCATAGGTTGGCCATTACCCATAGGCTGGCCATTACCCATAGGCTGACCATTACCCATAGGTTGACCAACCTGACCACCCACGGGCTGACCAACCTGACCACCCACAGGTTGGCTGACGGGATAGTTACCAGGAACAACGGGAGTAACACCTCCGGGAACACCGTTATTAACGGCGTTACTCGCATTAGCAGGCTTGGCGGCGGTCTTAAGGTTGATGTTGTCGTTGCAGAGATACTCGATGTTCGCGACCTTGGTGCTGTACTTGAACTTGTCCTTCTTGCACTATACCGGCGGTCAGAGACGAAACTTGCTATTTTCATCCTGCCTCCTCGAGACAAAAATGAAAGGAAACGCGACAATGCCAAAGATGGAAACCTTTGGGGGGAGGGGGAAGCTGGACTTACCAACATACGAGCTTCCTTCTCGTGGACCGAACCCTTTCGCTCTCGAATATAGTCGCCAATGATGGGCGAGGCGGAGCTGACGCCGAGGAGGGCGGTGAGGGCGATGGCGACGGCGTTGACCTTCATGTTTGCTGACTGTTTCTGTTTGAAAGTGGTGGTGACGAAAGCTTCTTTCGAGTCTGCAAGAGGATTCGGATTGGTTACTTGGTGAGTTGTTGAGTTGTGAAGATGATGCTGATGATGGTCGAGATGCCTTCCTCGGCGACACATGGCTGGCTTATATGCACGACGTTTTGCAAGCGTGCGACACCAACAGCGTCCGGGCTTTGGACTCGTCGAACGGGCGGGCCGTGGCAGGGACACATCGCAACGCAACGCAAACCCGCACCATACCTGTGACGAGGACGAGATTGGGGGGGAAATAGACATCCGCGCGGCGAGAGCGGGTGCGTCTGCTGCCCACAAGCGACGCCCGATGACGCCGTCTGTCCGCGTCGATACATGAATTACATAACAGGACTCCTATTTTGCTTCCTCGAGGCGTATGGGCAGGCTGGCCTGCCGTGAGAGCACGACCGGCGGGTGCCGCGTCGAATGTGTGTCATTACGCACGCTGATACGTGACGGCACAAGGGGGGTTGTGGGCTATTCTTGAGCCGCGTACGAATGTAGAAGAGGTCCGGGACGTATGTTGATACACGAAGACGCGGTAAGTGAGCGGTGCGCGGACGCTCGAGAGCATGTCAATTACATGCGTCAACTTGTGTCGCAACAAAACGTCGTTCTGAAACGGGGACTTCTTCAGGAAAATAAAGAAAACTCACTTCTTCGTTTCTGGAGCGTAATGGAATGCGTTTCCAAGGACTGTGCTATATCCGGGCGTTGAAAAAGCCACAAGCACACGGACTCTAGGCTACGCGGCCTCGGCAACATGAAAGATATGCGATAAAGCCGACATCAACAGGCGGACAGCTCAGAATTCAAGAGGCTGTGCGTATGTGTCTGCGATTATTATGTATTTACAAGACAGTTGCGATGAGCCATGTTGCAACCACTCATGCTGACAACTCTCCATGTGTCCATTACGGCCTGTAGACAGCATAGAAATCTTGACAAATGTGCCCAAACACAGCCTCAACTCTGTGGGATCGAAATCTGTCCCGCGCGCCCGCAGACTGACGTAGCGAGCCATACGTAGGTGTTGACACCCGGGCCAGCTCTTGCTCCGTCCGCGATGCAGAAATAATAAGGTCTGGCGCATTGGGCACTTCCCCCCCGCCACGTCCTGTTTGACTAAAGGGACTCTGCAACGATTGCAGAAAGAATGGTTACGACATGTCCGCCATGGGTCGCTCCGCCCCTTGCGTGTCGCGATGCGCCTCTTGCAAGCTCTGTCCGGGATCCATGTTTGTCTTGATCTTGCGGATGACGCGCGCCGGGTTGCCCGCGACGACGTGGAACGGCGGCACGTCCTGTGCGCGTGTTTCTTCTATATCAGCCTCGTGCTTGCGTGCGTGCGTGCGTGTGCGTATCCAAAGTAGCCATGTATGTATGTAACATGCATGCCTCATCCAGCATGTGCACGTACCTTGGTGACGACGCTCCCCGCGCCGACCGTCGCGCCGCGGCCGACGGTGACGCCCGCCAGGATGGTGGCGTTGCCGCCGATCCAGCAGTCCTCGCCGATGGTGATGGGCTTGCCCGACTCGGGACCCTTCGTGCCGTCGCGCACCTCCGGGTCCAGCGGGTGCGTGCCGCTGTACAGCGAGACGTGCGGGCCGAAAAGTGTGCGCGCCCCGACGGTGATGGTGCACGTGTCGACCCATGTCGAGTAGGCGTTGATGAAGACGCCCTTGCCCAGCTTCACCTGCGTGCCGTAGTCCATGAAGACGGGCGCCTCAACGAGCGGCTCGTCCTCGAGCTGCGCCTCGTCGGCCGCCGCGTCGGGCAGCTCTGCTGGCAGCGGCGTGGTGTCGCCGACAACCCTGTGAGAAGCGGTCAGTCGGGCCATGGTTGAGGGCGTCGCGAGATTGTGACTTAAAGGGGTTTTGGGAGGGTTGCTCACTCTCTCCAGAGGCGGACCAACTCTCGCCGTGACGCTACGCCGGCGAGGGCATTATAAGCACGCAGCGCCGTCTTGCACCTTGTACGCTCGGCGACGAGCTCCGGCGTGAACGCATGGTACAGCTCGCCGCGAGCCATCTTCTGCTTGTTCTCGGACACTGTAGGAGACGCCATGGTGACCTGTGAGGTGGTGCGCACGGGACGACGATTTCACTGTTTTGGGATGCTCCTTTCTACACCAGGCGACGGAGGACAGAAGTCCCCCCGCAGAATGTCAAAGAGACTAGCATGCGGGATGGATCAAGGCACGAGAACCAACGTCCGCGCCTTGCTTCGGAGCTAGTGGGTAGTTGTGGGGAAGATGCATCATGGCATAAGCCCTACGGCAAGGTGCTCGCTACGGCCGGCTTGTTTGTGCGAGGCTGTCATTCATCGTCTACTCTTGCCAAAGATGAAGTCCTCAAAGTTCTTGGCTATTGTCCGGACTCCTTCGTCGAGCGGCCAGCCTTTGGCTTCGCACACACGGCGGTACATGTCGTCGAGAGCTGCGTCCATGCCGGGGCCAGCCATGTGCAGGTCGCTCTCGACCAGCACGCGGTCGTCGGGCACGGCGCGGACGACGTCGGGGAACTTGGCTCGTCCGGCCTCGGTGCTGAGATTAACGGCCGAAGAGAAGGAGACATATACATGGCTTGGGTTGGTGGGATTCATCCACTGGCCTAGGACCTCGACGGTGCCGCTGTAAGAATGGAGACATATCCTCGGAGGGTACGGCTTGCCGCCCTCGCGAGCTGCGTCGTCCGTGTCCGAGTCTTGGTCCTCGGCGCCCGGGGCAACCATGCGCCTCTCACGGCGGGAGGGGATGTGACGCTCGTGGCCTTTCCAGCACGCCGAAACAGTGTCGTACAGAATGCCAGGGGCTTGCACGCCGTGGACGCTGACGGGTCGGCCCTGTTCACCGGCCAACCGCAGCTGGGCACGGAGGACGGCCTGCTGGTGCGGCATGGAGACGCGATGGCGGCTCAGGAGGCGGCCTTCACGGCCTCCGGGAGTGAGCTCTTGATCCCGTGAGGACGTATCGGCGGGATCCCAGTTCCGCGGCAGACGAAAAGCCCTATCAATGCCAATCTCACCCACGAGAGATGCATCGGGGAAGGCCTTGAGGCGGTCGCTGGTAGAGGAGATGAAGGAGGCAAGTGAGGTGGGCGTGGGGAGCGAGGCGATGAAGTCGTCGTCCTCCGGGGGAGGGGTGAGGACGGTGCGGTAGTGCACCCGCTTCGCATCTTGGAGGGCCTGAGCATCGGCACCATCCGGAGGCGGTGCGTATGTCGCCGTACTGGGACCAGTGTCATCGTACAGCTGGTGAGAGAACCAGGGGTGCCATCCAAAGGCGGGCACGACCTTGCAGGATGAAGACTGAGAAGGCGCTTCGAAAGGCGGCGGGCCGGGCCGGAAGCGGGAAGCCACATCGGCAACGAGATGCTGATCCTGAGAACGGGTGGCCATGATGGCGAGGACAGAGGCTCGCATCGAAGGCAGGTGAGTTGTGAGGGCGCCCATGGTGTCGGTAGGGTGGCAGTGGGCGTCGAAGATGGCGAGGTGCCAGGGAAAGGGCTCGTCTGCGTTGGCGGCGGGCTGCGACGCTTGCGACGACGCTTCCTCATGCTGGCCGTCGGTGCCGTGCTGGCACATTGCGGGCTGCGAGGGGGTGGGCGCGGTCGGGTGCGAGGTGAGGGCGCCTCGTGGGAGCGCAGCAGCGATGAGATCACAGGTGGGTGAGGCGAAAGGAGGAGGCAGGCGAACGAATCCCGACCGGCAGCTGCGTGAGCTTGATGCGATGAAGTGAAGTGGGTAGACTCTGTGTGGGTGGATTGGATGGAATGTTGTGGCGTATGGGGTGCCCAGGGGGGAGCTGCCGGTGCCGCATCTCCACTGGAGCTTGGGAGGGGCGCGCGCTAAATTCCCCGAGGCACAGGGGCTTGTAGCGCCCTGGGGCACGTCTACATGCGGATGAAACCGGTCGCATGTCAGACGGAATCAATTGTCTGCCATCTGGGCAGCAATCTCAGGGTCCAAAAAGTGTATCAGATTGGATCATTGATTCGAGGAATGAATGGCCCATAGCATACGTCACGCCGCTCTTCAATTGTCTGTGTCTTCTCCCGGAAGCAACTCGCGGCTGCATCCTTGCAGTTCCCCGCGCGAACCCTGCCCTGAGTCTCGCCATCAACAAAACACCACCTCAGGTGTTCGTCATGCTCTGCAACATGCCTTGCGCCGTGGGACGAGCGTGCACCCATCACTCCTTATCGCCATTGCTCTCACCCTGCGATGCCCCGCCGGTATGACACGAGTGCATCTGCAACGACGCAAACGACATCGTCGACAACGCATCGCTGCCGCATGCACGGCCAGCCCCTGACGCCATCGTGCCGCGGCGGCGTCGACACTGGTGGCGACAACCGCATCCCATCCCCCAAGGCGCAGGACCGGCTCTCTCTCCGCCGTTGCATATCAGGACGACGGCACGCGCGATGGCACCTGGGCGCCGCCCCGGCTCGCGCATGTTTGGCTCGGCTTGGGCGATGCAGGGTGCAATGGGCGGGCGCCAGGCGGGTCAGGGCTTGCGAGCCGGCGGGGGGGCAGGTTGACGTGCAGCCCGCCGGCGACATGTGATTGTCTCCCCTCTCGTCTGCCCTCTGCCCTCTGCTCTGCCTGCCCGTCAGCCAACCGGCCGCCGCTGGCGAACGACCGACCGGTCAAGCCATCTGCAGCCTCCGTCCAGCTTCACACCATCTCGACACTCGCACGCCAGACTTGAGCCATGAGTCCAGCGAGGGGGCTTGGATGAGCGCCTCTCCGCCTCCCGTTCTGCCGCCTCCGCTCCCGTCTCCTTCCTGCTGTTGCCCATCCTTTTCTCCTCCTCCTCTATCCTGCGCCCTACTGTGCCGCCTTGGACTTTAAGCATCGACGGCCGCCTACCTCGTCCGTCCAACGACGGCCCACGTTTTGTCGACGTGCCGCCGAATTGCCAGGAACAGGAGCGCCCAGAGAGAGTGTGCGAGAGCGACGATAATGGCCCTCCTAAACCCCGTCTACGCCTTCATGGTGCCGTTCCTCTTCATCGTCACCGCGCCCCTCGCCCTCTTCGCCGGCATCACAACCACCCTCGCCTTCTCTGTCCTCATCCTGCGCGTCCTCATCGTCTACCTCGACATCGCGCTGTCTCTCGTCCCCTCTTACTTCAAGAGGCACCAGCGGCATCCCCAATCCCGCCACGACCACGGCCTTCGATCCGTCTCTCCCACGGCCACGAGCAGCAGCGCCCACAGCGTCAACGACTATGCCAGCCCCCCTACGCCCACCCAGCAGCAGGTCCCTCTCTTCAGGAGAAGGCGTCGCCGGCCCAGCAGCGCCACCAGCATCGTGTCCGCGGGCTCGACCACCCCCTCGGGCAACGTGGACACCGGCCTAGGACTCATGCCCAGCGTCGGCGCCGAACGCGACTTTGAGGGCATCGGCGGATGGCGCGCCGGCAAGGACGGCGACGAGGACGACGACAATGCCTGGACGACCATCAACTCGCGCTTCGAGTTCCCGTATCCCCGCAGCCACCACAATCGCACCCCCTCGGGCGGCGCCTGGCCGCCAACCCCCGGCGACAGCGGCGTTCTCATGATGAAGTCGCGGCGCAACGCGAGCCCCGACTCGCGCCAGTCAGGCAAGGGCCCAACCTCGCCCAACAGCTCGCGCACGCGGACGCCGTCGGCGTCTCGCGTGGCAGCCGCCATGACCATGGGTCACGGCGACAGCTACTTTCCTCTGGCCATGTCGCCGGCCGCCACCAAAAAGGTGTCGGGACAGCCCGCTTGATTGGCCGGGTCCTTTATGATGCAACGTCTCCCGTCTCGCGACATGACATGGCATGACATGACGTGTAATGATGTGTATACTACCAGAGAGTGTGTGTTGTTTGTGTCTGGCGCCGTGGCCGTCCGTGGCGTGACGGAGCCGGCCATGGCTTGTCGGGGTTCCAAAATCGCAAAAAGAGAGCAGTGTCGTTCACCAAGAGATGCTATGATAAAACGACGTTTTTTTTTTTCTTGAGGCAGCGAGTGCCGTCTCTCTGCGGTGTTAAATACAAGATTCATTATTCATTGCCAACGACGGTGCATCGACAGATGGCATGGATGCACACTCCTTCAACGCCTGGTATCTGTAACGGAATATACAAACAAACCCTCCTCCCAAGGACTATTCTGTTGCAACAAGTCCCTAGAGCATGGTGGCCCAGCGACCGCCAATTGCAGCTCATCACAAGGTCTGCCAAAAGTAGTTTGCGTAAAAGAAGCGCGAGAACTTCTTGTCCATGTTGACGACGTGGACGTCGCCCTTGCGGTCGTTGCGCACCACGGCACGGGACCACTCGCCGTCGCGGCCGTCGCGCTCAATGTCGATGCCCAGGCTGCGATACACCTTGAGCCGCAGGAGGACCTCATCATCGACGGGGTCCTTCCCCCTGCGGCCGCCGTCCCCTCCTGAGCCCAAGTCGCCCTCGACGCCCTGCAGGTCGAGCTCCTGGAGGCGGGCGGCGAGGTCGGCGGCGCGAGAAGCCAGGCGCTCGGCCTCCATCTCGGCGTCGGAGGCGGCCTTTGCGGTGCGAAACTTTTGCGTGTCGAGCGTGGCGATGCGCGAGGCGTGGTCCGCGGGCGACGAGTGCGCGGCGGCCTCGTGCTCGTGCTGCGACTCGAGCGTCGCCAGCTGCCGCGCGAGCTTGCGCAGCGAGGCCTCGGCGTCGCGCACCCGCAGGTCGCGCGCCTGCTGCAGCGTCGAGAGCGACTCGGTGACGCGCGCGACGGCGAGCTTGTCGGGCTGGATGTTGAAGTTGTTGATGGTGTGGTGGATGAGCTGCGCGGAGGGTTTGTCCTTGGTCAGCAATCTTCGTTCTTGCCAGGCCTTTCTTTGGTTTTCGAGATCGTGCTTGAACAACAGGGACTCACCGTCGCGGGGTCCTCGGCGAGCAACATGGTGGCGGCGGGTGAGTCGAGACGACTCTTGCTTGCCTGCTGCTTGGTTGCTTTCTTCCTTGCTCGACGCGGGTACGTGCGTGCGCGTGTGTTCGCTGAGTGTATGTGTGTGTGTGTGTGCACGCGTGTAGATGCCAAGGCGGTGGTGATGTACCGCACGCTGTTGCAATATTCCTTTTCTTGTCGTCGGCAGATGTTTAAACCAGGTCGCGAATGAAGCACCATTAATCACCAGAACGCGCGATGCGGCGAACCCCTGGCGCCCAAAACAGTCGAATCCACGTCTGGTCGCGTCGCCGGGACGACCAACCCACCCCACTACCTACAGCGGCAGTCCGCCCACTATCGGGCCATGGGGCACCTGAAGTTTCCCCTCTCCACCTTGCGGCCCCCGGGGTTTCGCCGGCGCTCGGGACGCGGCCACGGCGCCTCCACTCCACTTCCATCCATGGATGTCTCGCCTGCCTGCCTGCCAACCTGCCTTGGTCGCCCGCAAATGACGGCCCATCTGATGCCTGCGCAGCGGCGGCGTCATCGTCCGCCACAGTCACGCGCCACAAAAGCCCACCCGCCCGCTCTGCCCGCCGAGGTTAGGTAGCAGCACCAGCACCTTCAGTAATACTGACTGACCTGACGCACCGTCGCCGCCCATTGCGTCAAGCTCACCACCACTCATCATCCTCAACCTCAGCTTCCCATAACATCTACCTACCTTGACGCTCCTATATCCGACACTGACCGCCCCAGGGCGACAGCTCATCCGCGACGACCGCGATACATCCATCAACAGCAGCGAGACATCCTTTCCCCGACGAGAGTTCTCCGCACAAGCGCATTGCCCCATCAAAGCTCCTCGCCGCTGCGACCCGACGGTCCCCCTACTACGATCACCACCAAGTTCACCTACCAGTCTTTCGCTCCCGTCCGACCCAGCTGCCGCAGCCATGGTTGCGGAATTGCCATGTTAGTCCCTGTGCTCGCTGATACCCGTTGCAGTGCTTGCAAAGCGCACGCCTGCTGACTCCATCCGGTATTAGACGCGCTCGACGCAGAGACGTACGCCCTCGCCTCTCCGCAATCCGTCCGTCTGTCCGTCCGTTCACCGCTCGAGCTGACACTCCCGTCTTTCAACACAGGCCTCTGAACGCCTCGGAGCTCAACGTCCTGCGCGCCCAGTATGAAAAGGAAGGCGACATGGTCGGCGTCCAAACAAAGTTCAACTACGCCTGGGTAACGCTCTCGCCTCCCCGTCTCGAGCCCACCAAAGCCTCTCCACCTCCCCCTTCTTCTACCCCATGCACTCTCCCCGCCATGTGTATACGTGTAAGTGCTGCTAACGCGCGACACCCCTTTTCCCCCACATAGGGCCTCGTCAAGTCCAACAGCCGCCACGACCAGCAGCTCGGCGTCCGTCTCCTCTCCGACATCTTCCGCCTCTCCCCCGAGCGCCGCCGCGAATGCCTCTACTACCTCGCCTTGGGCAACTACAAGCTCGGTAACTACGGCGAGGCCCGCCGCTACAACGACCTCCTCCTCGACCGCGAGCCCGCCAACCTCCAGGCCTCGGACCTGCGCCAGCTCATCGACGCAAAGGTCGCCAAGGAGGGGCTCATGGGCGTCGCCATCCTCAGCGGTGTCGGCATCGCCGCGGGCGTCGTCGGCGCGTTCCTCTTCAAGAACGCACGGAGGAGGTAGGCGGCGGCCTCTTGGTCTGGACGAGAGGAATACTTTGGGCTGAATATCTATTACCCACGAGTAGGGCGGAGTGAACAAGACCACCACGGCACGCACAAGCCGCGCCCTCATCACCCATCGAGGCCGGCCCGCCTCGGAGCGAGGACCCCGCGCAGGCCACTGTACTACTACTGCTGCTATACATACATACACGACACGAATCTGAAGGAAGCATCTCCTCATTGAGCGTACACATCTTTGCGTTCCGTAGTCCGCCTCTCTGCGCAAAAATAATAAAGAAAGCATTGCCGCCATCAGCGGCACGCACGATGAAGCTCATGATAAGCTATTCCAAGGGTACATACTTCATCTCTCACGCTCTCTCACGCACGGGCACGCACCCAGCAAGGGACTCCTGCCACCGTAAGGAAAGCATCAAATCAAACTAGCTAAGAGACGACAAACGAGCCTAGACGACGATTTCGTGTGTCGAGACGACCAAAAAACCTGTCCCAGTCACACGGGGTTAAAATACAACAGTTGCTGTTCAGTCCCCGCAGCCAGCCAACCATCCATCTGCTCCCGTCTAGTTCAAATCCGCAGCCAGTGCTCCATCCAGTCTTGTGAAGCGGGATCCCATCGGCATGCCGGGCGAAAAAGACATCGAAGCGCAGGCGTCTGTCTGCCAATCCTTGCGGGCGTAGATCAAAAAGGAAACCGTAAGAGTGTGCAGGGTGTCGCACGGGACAAGGCGCATCGCGTTAAGGCCGGCTCGTCGGAACTCGACATTTACCACCGCAGCGACACTGCAGCCGCGCTCTCGCACAGGCTGAATGTGGGGGGTGGTGCCTTGTTCCAACACGGTCCATGAAGGTCGCAAGATGGAGCTCTCGTCCCATTACTCCATGCACCCATGCCCACATCGTGCTTGGCCATCACTTCCTCGCGTTTGCAAGACCGTGTTCTCATGACGTTTTGGTTGGTCGTCTGCGCTGGGACGAAGCCTTGGCTGCCGGGCGATTAGGTGGGAGATGTATGGATTAAAAAGGGGTGAAAAGGTGTGACAAGAAGGCGAGAATAAACGAGAACCGAAGGAAAATGGAAGGCGTCGAGCTGCTGGTGTATGGGGCGTCACAGATACGCAGACGTTGATCGTAGAGAGCGGACAAGAAGGATGTCGAAGGGCTGGCGTGTCGCTGCCGGCCATTTATCGCAACGAGAAACCCTTGCGCTTGCCTTCCTTCTCTAGCGGCCGCCCGCTCTCGATGCGCTGTTTCTTGTCCTCCAGCTCCATGCGCTGGCGGTCGAGCTGCTCCTTCATCTCCCGGTGTCGGGCGTAGAGTTCTTCTTCGGACTGCTTGAGCTTGCTCTCCTTCTCGGCCACCTTTTGCTGGAAGACCATCTTCATCTCGGCCTCCATCTTGGCGAGCTTCTGCTCGTGCAAGGCGCGCTCCTCCTCTTGCTTGACCGCAGGGTTGACCTCCTTGAAGACGCTGGGGTCTTGCGAGACTCCCATGGCGATCAGCTTGTCGGTACGGTAGTTCTCGTAGAGCAGATTGTTGGTATGCTCCTTGAGTTCTTCCATGTGGGTGCGGATGAGCATCTGGCGGAGCTTGACAAAGTCGCAGTGCTCCTCGTTGTCGACCTCGATGATGCCCCAAGGATACTCGCGACCGCGGACCTGGCGCCCGTCGGCCGTCTTAATCTCGTTGGTGGCACCAACGACAGCGAAGGGGACCTTGGACATGATCTCATTGTTCTCCGCAATCGTCTCCTCGTCATCAAGCTCATATCGAGGACCCTCGAAGATCTGAATGCCGTGATACTTAATGTCGGACAAGATCTGCAGCGCGTTAGCAGAATGCAGGCGTTTTATCTCACACGGACTTGTTCACTCACTCTGGCCTTGAAGTTGGCGATCTCCTCGTCCGTAAGAGTATCAGACTTGGCGATGACGGGAATAAGGTTGACCTTGGTGTGCAGTCGTCGCATGACCTCGATATCGAGGGGCTTGAGGGAGTGGCCCGTGGGCTGGATGAAGAAGACGCAGGCGTGGATCCTGTTGTCGACAATGTTCATCCGGTTGACCTTGTTCTCGGCATCGAGGTAGGCATCGAAGCGCTGCTCAATGTTGTCCACAATGGGACGCCACGACTCGTCGTTGTTGACAAAGTCGCCGAAGCCGGGAGTGTCGACAACGGTCAGGCGAAGGCGCACGCCAGCCTCCTCAATGTCGGCGCTGATGGACTGGATGGTGACCGTCTTGGGAATGATGTCAAGGCTCGGGCCCTTGCGCTCCTTGGGGGGGTACAGGGAGGTGTTGAAGAGCGTGTTGACAAGCGTCGACTTTCCGAGGCCAGACTCGCCTGAAAAGCCTCGTTAGCGATTATCGGTGTATTTGGAGCCTATGAAACTTACCGACAACCATGACGTTGAAGTTGAAGCCTTTGCGGACACTCTTGCGGTGCCACTGGTTGGGCAGGTTGGCAAAGCCGACATAACCAGTCAGCTTCCGGCGGACGATGTTCCGGTTGTCCGGGACGGGCGCGGCCTGAGCGGGGACTAAGGGAACATGGTTAGAAGGCGATGTTCCATCATCAGTAGTCAATCCATCAGGCTTGCCATTGACAGGCGAGGCAGATGCCGCCGCCTGAGGAGCGTCAGAACCGTTCGAAGCTAGACAATCAGAATGTTAGCCAGAGGTCAACGACAAACGTCTGTTGTGCAATAAGTATGTTCCAGGACGAGACGCGAAGAGAGTGCGCTAACGAGGCATGTCCTTCGCTTGGCCATCGGCACTCTTGGAGACGCCATCGGTGTTCTTCGACTCGTCCGAATCAGACTTTAGAACATCTGGAAGTGATCCCGCATAAAGCTCGTCGAACGACATCGGATTCCAAGGTCCGACATTTGGGGGGTCGTCGACATCAAGCATGCTGCGGGGGTGGTGTATGGTGCTCTGGGCAGAGGTGCCATTCGACGGGGAAAGAGACAGCTGGCTTGCGTTCGTGTTCCCAGTCGACGGGCTTCTGGGCGGCGCCGATGGCGGTGAGTTGGATGCCACACGCTCCGACATGTTGGCGGCCACAATGGTTGTATGATGCGTCGAATCGACAGCGTTTCCGTTCGTGACAAGGATGCCAAGCTGTATCACGGCTCCTGCAGTTGGCTGGTGTGGGACACGGCGGCTAGGAGTGGTGTTGGTTGGGCGTGATAGGTGTTGTCGAGGGCCAAAAAGGGGCAATCCAAAAAGCTAGATGGCGGGGAGCGAATGTCGTCTGGATGTCGAACTGTAGTGGGATGGGAACGAAGCAAGGTCGTCCTTGTCGAGGGGATGTAATTGTCGACTCTGCCTCGCAGTGCATCGTTCTTGCTGCCTCAATGACGGCCAAAGAGGCTCTAGGACGTCCCGTACCTCCCATCTCCGGCCACGCGCTCCCTCCCTCTGCCTGGAACTAGGCGGTGTCGTGGAAGTAGAAGAAAGAGTATCTTACCCATATCGATGTGTAAAGAGCGTTCGACTGGTCCTTAAAAGAATGGAGTTCGAGAAAGGGCGGATCTGGTTGAACGGGGTCAGCAATGATGTCGAGCGACGGGGGGAGCTGCGACGTCGCGAAGAACAGGTGGTGGGAGCGAAGCACGACGCGCAACGACGCAGGAGAGATTGAGCAGCCAGCAACAAGAAATCGGGGAGGATCAGACGGAGCATCTGTCGCCGACGCACGTCGGCTGTCCAGAACTGCAAATCGCATCCCGACTTTGCTGCGGCGAGCGGCGGCGGTTGGTGGTGGTGACGATGATGATTTTGGCCGAGAATGCGGGAGTAAGGGGGCGAGGCCAAGCGTACGAACCTAAAGGGGGGGAACTCCGGGAGAACCCGACAGCTAACGAAGGACGCGTGTCAAGGGATTCGAAGAAGAAGGGCTCACGGGCAAAGCAGGTGGCCACGAAGAGTCGACAAAGGATGCCTTGGCGGCGTCGCTGGCGATGTCGACGAGAGGAAGTAGCAATGATGGATGGATGGGGGAGAACGGAGTGGAAGTGAAGTCAAGGTCAAGGTCGAGGCGAGGGACGAGGGACAGTGGGAAGGGGAAATTTGGGGAGAGGGGGGGCGTGCGCCGTGCGGGATCTGGGGCGAGGGGGGCGCGGCGAGATGGAGGCGGCTTTGGTGCGCTGGCCTTCCAGACTCCAGAGGCGAGCAGCAGGTGGAAGTGGCCCGCCAGAGGTGGTCAGTCGAGTCGAGTCCTGTTCGCTGCTGCCCAGCGCAGGGCAGCACAAATGCGGGTAGGTACCTGATGCCCTGCAGCTCACACAAAGGGTACACCCATCATTGGAACTTGGAAGTTCTCGCACATGGAGGCTGCAGGCCCGGTCAGCCATCCCGATTCCTGAGCCGGCGCCAGGTCCAGGTACGAGCAGCCGACCTGGCGTCGGCAAGTCGGGTCCCTTCAGTGGAAGCCTCAGTGGAGGCCAGCCGACCTGGCCAGCGCCCGCAGCCTGGGCTCCATGCCCATCGAGTTCCATCCCGTCGGCAACGCTGGCGCTAGGACAAGGTCAGTCAGTGGCAGCCAGGTACCAGGCTGGCCCCTGAAGGGCCTGGCCAGGCAGGCCTGTGCACGCTGACACTACCCAGGTGGCTCTACCACGCCCCAAGAAACACCCCCGTGCTGTGGTGGGTGCTGGCGCTGGTCCTCCGTGGCCGACGACGGACTGAGGCGGTTCTGCCATCTGCCCAGCGACCTTCCTGGGCGCAACTTGCCCGGCCTGGCAGCCCTGCCCTCAATTCCCGCCCCCAGGAGAGCCCACGGCCGGCCAGCGAGCGACCGCGAGTCTCTGGCGCAGGAGGAAAGGGGGTTCGTGTCCGCCCTAAACCCCGCGCGGCCTAGCGGCAGCAGGGGTGGTGGCTGCGCTGGAGAGTTACAGGTTTAACCCAACGGCAGGGACACCCGCCGGAGCTTCATGATTGGGCGCGGGCCCTGGGCTGCTCCAACCCGGGACCCTTGGGGGGGTGGGAAGCTGCCCAGTGCTTGGATGCTTGGGGGAGCTCACCATGGCCTGCTCTGTGGGGGGAGGCCGTCTGGGAGATGAAGGCTCAAGGGGGTTTGGGCAAGCCAGCTGCAGCCACCGAGCTCGCAGACTCGCCAGGCTTCTGGCGTGCATCCACTGGGATCCCGCTTCGCCTCAAAATGTCACCCGACGAAGTTTCGCCTCATCATGGGCTCATGAGCTGTCTGCGCAGCTCTACACGGCTGCTGCTTCAATTGTGTTTCCGCGTGCGCGACGGGAAACGCCACAGATGAATCAATCTCGCGTCGTCGCTCGCTGGAATGCTGCGTGAAACGTGGTGCGTGGGGCCCTTCCCGTCGGCAGTCTGTTCCGCACATGCCAGCCAGGCAATGCGACCCTTGATTGCTGCCATCTCGCCCGCTACGTGATGCCCTGCTACTCTCAGAGCGCTCTGCCCGATTTGCCTTGTTGCCTTACCTTGGATTGTCTTGACTGGGCCTGTCTGAGGGTAGCCAGCGGGCGCTGGAAACAAGACGGCGACGACGTCGCACACGCACACGCGAGCAGACGGGAGCATGCGGAGGTTGAGCACGCCGACTTCGCACAAGCTGTCTGAGTCTGTGATGCTCGCTGTCATCTCGTTCTGGCGACATGCGTGCGCCTACAAAGTGCATTCGCACATGCTTCCTTCTCGTCGCCCGCGCCAGTCTCAGTTGCTCGTCTGCCATGCCGCCAGTCCCATTCAACCCCAACGAGATGTGACTCTCCTTATCCCGCGATTGAGCTGCCAGGTTGATGGACAATGGCGCTGCTTCGACGAAAAGCAAGCAGCGCCGCTCGGTGGTGCAAAACAAGACTGGCGTTCAAGCTGCCCCAAATCAAACGCGACGACGACTGCCCCTTTCGAGCCCGGTAAACCCCCCGGTTCTCAGCGCCGTTGCTTTTGGGGGGCCCAAACGGATCGTCCACGAGCGGCATCGGCAATTTTCACACCTTTTGTTTTTTCTTGTTTCCTTGGGTGTCCTTTCTTTGTCTGCAATTTTGGGTGATCGACCAGGCAAGAAAAGGGCCCTGCTCCCCAAGGAACCCCCCCGCCTTAATCCCTGAGACACATGAGATGACGCCTCGACAGCCCCTGCTTGCTGTGCACGGGCGCCTGCCATCCCGGCTACCGAGGCTGGCCTCATTAATCCCCCCAATCTGGGCGAGCTCATTGATTCAACCCATTCGCTCACCCGCTTGGATAGCGCCTCGGCCGCCGTCGCCGCTGCGCCTCTTCCGCGCGGATGGTGGTGACACCGTCGTGAGCATACGGACTACCATCAACGTATTCGTTGTCTGCTGCGCTTCGCCCGTCACTCTGTGATACGTACGGCCACTTGGGCATCGACGTTCCAAACATAGTACACCGCTCCGCGCGCGTTGGGACCAGGCAGGAGGCCTCGATGTCTCGTGACGCACGGCGAGCTTGTATTCGATTCGATGCGGTGGGCCAGCTCGCATGCGCTCCCGCGCCGATTAATGCTGTACGACGCCCCTCTGCTGCTGCAGCGCCTCGTGTTCCGCTCCAGCCTTGCATGCAGATTGTATTGTTGTGGTCCAGTCCTTTCGACCGCGACGCACTGGGCATACCAGATTTGCGCATCTCGCTCAGCGCGCTTCGTACTCGGCAAGATATTGTGTGTGCTTGAATCCCGCTGCGTGTCACACGTCGGCCAGGTACCTTGGGCCGTGCGAGGCGAGGCGATGGATCGCATCTCACATCCAGGTGAGCCTTACGCGCCCACCTGGAAGTGACCGCCGAAGAACATGACGCACGGGTGCGCGTCCGCTGCAAGCAATATAACGGCTAGATGCCACTGTTCGCGTCTGTCCATAACGTCATATCGGCATTCAACTCGTTACCAAATCTGCCTTGCAAGGCACGTGCAGGGTAAGTCGCCTACGACGAGCGAAAATAGCTCGAGACAACCACATCGCATGCCGAGTAGGGAGTATTAGAGTGTTGGTTGTCTATAAGCCGCGTTTTCCTACTCCTTACCGAGTACACCTGTCACAGCCGGGTACGCCGTGGGATGGTCAGGCTGCGCCTTGCTCTCATACACGCCATGCCTCACTTATTATACAGCGGTGCAATTACCGAAACCCTGCAAGTGCACCCGCGAGCACGTAGTCCGTAAATAACAAGACCTCGCTAGACCGCCGCCTTGCCACCCAGAGGGAACACGTTGGCCTGCTGGCCAGCGAAGAACTTCTTGGACTCAAGACACCTGTCACTCTTGCATCCTGGGCAGCGCAGACCCATCTGCTGAGAGCAGGCCACTCCGCTCTCGAGGTGCGTCTTCGCGATGTCGGCTAGGGCATCAATGAAGACGGGGCTGCCGTTGAGACTCTCGGCCCGCTTCACCGTGTCCGTATGCCCACTCTCGCCAATCACCTCCTCGTCCAGCTCATACAACGTCTCAATGTGATCAGACGTGAAAGCGATTGGGATGAGAACGAGGTCCTTCTGACCCTTGGCGATGTACTCTTCCACGGTAGTCGCTGTCTGCGGCCCCAGCCAGGCGGACGGGCCGACCTGCGACTGCCAGCACAGGCGGTATGGATTGGAGAACTTCAGGCGCTGCATCACGGCGTATACAGTGGCGGCGACCTCACCGGGGTATGGATCACCTGGGAGGACTGTGAGCAATGAAACTGTGCTGGGCCTGAAAGGATGACAAACCTCGGTTGACGACAGACATGGGCAGGCTGTGCGCCGAGAAAAGCAACACGACGTCTTTGCGTCTCTCCTCTGGGTACTCCGCCAGCTTGGCCTCGACGTTCTGCGCGAACGCCTCGACGAGGCCGTGGTGGACTGGCCATCTGTCAATGACGCTCCACGTGATAGTCCCGTTTCCATTATCCGACGCAGATTTGCCCTCGAGCCTGTGACGCCACTTCCAAAGCTCGTTCAAGCTGCTGCCTGTCGTCGAGCACGAGTACTGAGGATACTGCGTGAAGGCGACGGCTCGGCCGCCCCTCCCGTTGCCGAAGCCATCTTCCAGAAGCTTGGTGTACATCTCCTCCGTCAGAGGGTTTGCGTACCGGAACGCGACGTAGGGCTTGTGCGGCGCAGTCTCCGGGGAGATCTTGTCTAGGATCTTGCACATCTCGGCGTTTTGGTATTCGGACCACTTCCGGATCGGAGACCCGCCGCCGATGGCGGCGTACTGCTTCTGAATCTTGGGCGTCCGCCTCGCCGATATCAATGGCCCGAGGTATGACTGTAATCGACCGAGAGGGATGAGGTCGCCGTCGGCCTGGGGCGCAGACGTGTTAGCGAGAGCATTTCGGGCGCACAATCGCAGACTCATACAAAGAGGCGACTCAGGAAGTCGCCGACCTCGCCGGTCGTCGACGGACCGCCCATGTTGAGGAAGACCATGGCGGTAGGGCCCTTGGAGCCGGTGGCGTCCTGCGTCACGGGAGGCACGGGAGTCGCGAAGTGCCTGCTCTGGGACTCGAGCCGGGGTAGGCTGAGGCGGGAAGAGGTGCTGCTCCTCAAGGCATCGCGAGCCAAGCGCTGCGTCGGCGTTCTCAGCGCCATGATGATGCGACGAGCGAATGAAGACTCAATGAAGGGCAGAATGCGACCTTCGGGATCGAGGAGGGCGAGGGGAGGGCGGCCGGCCGATTTAAAAAGGCCGATTTCACGTTCTGCGCGGGCGGCGGAACTCCGAGACGTCTGGAGGCGGCATGGGCGTCAGCTCTGGCCCGGCCCGTCGGGACCATGATGCAATGAGATTCTTCGCCGAGCGGGTTTCAGCAAGTTAGCAGGGTACCTGTTAATCTGACAAGCCAGTTGGCTGAGTTGAGTAACTTTTTAACGTTCCGGCAACTGGCCAATGGAAAGATGCGTAATCTTCGACAGCGCCGCACGTGATGTCGCGACACTCGGCGCGGATCCCTGCTGCCTGGGGCGCGTTTGCCTGGAGCTACGGTTGACGATGCTCCACCAGAGCTGGCTCACGGTGCATCTCTCAGATGTCTTTATGAGCGCGGCACTGCCCATCCGCCATGTGATTCTTCCACCAAAAGATTCCAATTACCGACAATGGCAGATGGCAACTCAGACTGGAGGCGCGAAGATGACGATGAGGGCGAGCAGGAGATTGACGAAACTGTAAGCGCCACGATGACACTGTCGAGCCGTTTGGTGACCTGACCCTTTGCACAGAGCTACAAAGCCCAGAAGGATGCAATTATCCTCGCCATAGATGTCAGCGAGTCAATGTTGGAGTCGCCGCCGGTCTCGGCCTCGAGGAAGGCCGATCGAGACAGCCCGTTGGAAGCGGCCATGAAGGCCGCCTACCACCTCATGGAGCAGCGCATCATCTCCAATCCCAAGGACATGATGGGAATCCTTCTTTTTGGAACCGAAAAGACCAAATTCCAAACGGACGGCAACGGCCGGGGCGGGCTAGGCTACCCGAATTGCTACCTCTTCACGGACCTCGACGTACCGTCAGCCGACGACGTCAAGGCGCTCAAGTCTCTAGTCGAGGACGGCGAGGACGAGGATGAGGTTCTCACGCCTTCTGCAGAGGGCGCTTCCATGTCAAACGTCCTTTTTTGCGCAAATCAAATCTTCACAACCAAAGCAGCCAACTTTGGCAGCCGCCGCCTGTTCATCATCACAGACAACGATAACCCGCATCCCTCTGACAAAGCTGCCGCATCGGCTGCCGCCGTACGGGCCAAAGACTTGTACGATCTCGGTGTCACGATCGAACTCTTCCCGATAACTAGAGGAGAGGCCACTTTTGATCTAGCCAAGTTCTACGACGTACGCCTCCCTTCGATACCGTATCGGAGTCTGTCCCTAATCAGGCATACAGGACATTGTCTACCGCGATCCCCTGGCTGAAGCCAATTTGAGCACCATCTCCGTCTCCAAGTCTGGAGACGGGCTGAGCCTTCTCGGGTCACTAACCTCCAACATTAATTCCAAGCAGACACCGAAGCGGGCATTGTTCTCTAATCTTCCATTCGAGATTGCCCCCGGTCTGCGCATCTCGGTCAAGGGCTACAACGTTCTGCATCGTCAGACTCCAGCACGGACATGCTACATTTGGCTCGATGGAGACAAGCCACAGATTGCCGCCGGCGAAACGACGAGAATCGCCGAGGACAGCACGCGGACGGTGGAGAAGAGCGAGGTCAAGAAGGCGTACAAATTTGGCGGAGAGTACGTCTACTTTTCTCCCGAAGAGCAAAAGTCCCTGAGAGACTTTGGTCCGCCCGTGATCCGAATCATCGGGTTCAAGCAGCGAAGTCTCCTCCCGTTCTGGGCCGCCGTGAAAAAGTCAACGTTCATTTTCCCCAGCGAGGAAGACTACGTTGGCTCAACGCGTGTCTTCACAGCTCTGTGGCAGAAGCTCGTCAAAGACGACAAGGTGGGCTTAGCGTGGTGTGTGGTGCGGGCAAACGCGCAACCGATGCTCGCGGCCGTCGTGCCGTCCAAGGTACCCTCGGAGGAGGGGTCCGGGACGCCGTACTTGCCGGCCGGCCTTTGGCTATACCCACTCCCGTTTGCGGATGACTTGCGAGACATCAAGCCCCCGGAGAACTTGCAGCGGAGCTCAGATGAGCTCACGTCGAAGGCAAGGGTCGTTGTACAGCAGCTGCAACTGCCCAAGGGCATGTACAACCCGGCAAAGTATCCAAACCCTGCACTGCAATGGCACTACCAGATCCTCAAGGCCCTGGCCCTAGAGGAGGAGGTGCCGGACGAGCCAGACGACGCAACGAAGCCCAAGAGCAAGGCAATGAGCAAGCGAGCAGGCGGTTATATGCAAGAATGGCATGAGCAGCTGGAGGAAGAAGCCAAGAAGGTGGCGTCGACGAAGGCACTTAAGCGAGAGGCCGACGACGACGGTGATTCAGAGCGGCCAGCGAAGCAGAGGAAGACGGCCTCGGAGAAACCGAACGCGTCGTCGATGACGGTTGCACAGCTGAAGGCGGCGGTGGAGAGCGAAGGGATCGTGAAGATGACGGTGGCACAGTTGAAGGATGTGGCCGGCGCCAAAGGACTCAGCACAAGTGGCAAGAAGATGGAGCTTATTGAGAGGATAGAGCAGTGGGTGGAGGAGAACACTTGATGAGGTGATGAGCCTTGACAAGGCGTGTCGTGGCTGCGGTTGGTAGTGGCTGGGAGTTTGGCTGGATACACGGACGGGGCAGGATACGAACACGGACCTCAGTGTGGTGATGTTGACCATGTCCTTGAAAGGCTGTAAGTGGCACGATGGCAGGTCGCCAGGTGGCCGACTGGGACGCGGCAGCTGGCTGGTCCCGGCTATGGGCGCATATTCTGGTTGCTGTAGTAAACTCTTGCTCATCAGACTCGGGATGAAGCCTTGATCTCTTCTTTCTTTCAACTCCGTGCCGCCACATGCCAAGGTCATCGCTGCCTTCTTTCTCGTTTCTGACGTTTCTCTTCTGCACCCTCGTCGGGAAATGAAGCATTAATATCGAGGTTCCTCTCGTAGATGCATCATCGCGATGGCGGAGGCAGCAAAGCAGCCGCCGGTATCAGCACCGACTGGAGCGAGCCAAGGTGCCCGAGTCGCTCCACCGACGCCTGTCGCGACGCCTGCCGGCAGACCGGCCACTGGAGCCAGCCCGGGGCTGGCCAATGCTAGCGCCTGCGCCAACACCTTTGCCAGTGGCAGCCCAGCGACCCCAGCCTCGACGCTGGTGGCTGGCACAGCCCGCAAATCACTGGCCTCGAGCCCCTACCAACAGCAGGAGTCCCACCGCAACCAACAATTGCGACCGCGACGCGGACCGCTCCAACGACGGCATCCTCGCCTCGTGTATCCGCCATCACCACGCTCGCCAGCCTCGTCGCCGCTGCCCCCCCGCCCGCACACCGGCGCGTCGCCCTCGGACCAGCAAGAGCCCGGCGCCCGAAGCTACCTCGAGCGGCTGCTGCGCGTGGTCCAATCCGCCTGTGCGGCCCCGCGGCAGCGCGACATGGCCGACTTCCTCGCGAGCTTCAACTTCGGCGCCGCCGAAGCCCTCCCCGCAGAGCCGTCGGCCTGCGACTCCGTCGAGGAGCTCCAGTTGCGCCTGCACGAAGTCCTCGAGGCCAAGACGAGCCCGACGCGCGCCGAGCATGTCGCCACCACGATCGACCTCGCCGCCGGGGCGCACCTAACGCTCGGCGTCTCACAGACCGAGAACGATGCCCTCGAGGGTCTAAGTAACGTCGACCCGTCGCTGGCAGGCATGGCCTCGAGTGGCGGCGGAGATGGACAGCAGGCGGCCCTGACGCGCACCGTCAGGGTGTCCGATGCCATCTCCAACCAGCCGCAGAACGACCCAGTCCTCCAACGAGCCATTGCCAAGTATATCATCGCCGCAGTGAGCGCCGCCGATGGCAGCACATGGGTCATGCGCGAGATGTCCCGCGCCAGCCAGGGATGGAACTTTACCTACCAGTGCAGGGACTCGACCCAGCAATGGGAGCGCCAAAACAAGGGCAAAGCCAAGCACATCATCGCCGAGTACACCCACAAGGAGCCCGACCCGGCCGTCGTCAGCCGGCCAGCGTTTGACTGCCGCGGCTCCGTCAAAATGTCCTTCTCCCGAGAAAGTCGCACCATCTCCGTAAGCTACACCCACACGCCGCTGCACAGAACCGTCGCAGAGATCGCCGAGCTCTTCCGCCCAATCCCGCGGGAGGTGGCACCCCCTAAACCAACCAAGCAAAAGACACCCAAGACCCCGGGCACTGGCAAGAAGCGCAACGGGCCAAAGTCACAAAACGAGACGGGGACTCCCAGAAAGAGGAAAAAGAAGAACAACGGCGAGGCGCAAGCGGCAGCGGGCGCAGACGAGCAGCCGTTGGGCGAGCTGGCACAGAATGGAGGCGAAGGCTCCGGTGCAAATGGACCACAAAATGGCCAGGCGCCCGCCGAAGCTACAGCTCCGGGATCTTTCCCGGTCAATGTCACTCCAGAGGAGGCCGTCCGTCGGCGCGAGTTCGCCATCCAGCTGCTCAGCGGCTCGGGCGTTGACCCTGACTCGCTTTCCACCGACCAGTTTAACATCTTTGCGAACCAGTCTCCCGATCTACAGAAGGAATCGCTCAACATGCTCGTCAAATATGGCGCCGAGCGGCTTCGTATCGTGCACCCGAGTAATAGAGATACTCCAGCTTCAGCCTCGCCAGGCACGTCGGCGCCGCCAGAGCAGGCCTCTCAACCTACGCCGTCCGGGCCCACAACTACCAAGGAGCTGGTGCCGCAATCGCAGGACGAGGCCGGCAAGGGGCGCAAGTCCAGGAAGATGAGCAAGTCACGCAATGCCTGCTTCCGGTGCAAGGAACGCAAGGTCAAGGTAAGATTGCCACGCCCAGACGTAACCACTAAATCCTCCCACGCTGACACATATCCTATTTAGTGCCCGCGAGAGAGACCATCGTGTGCTGAGTGTGAGACTGAGGGACTCACGTGCGAGTACGCGCCGCAGAAGCCGAGGAAGAAGAATCCCAAGGGCAACGCCAACGCCAAGTCAGAAGCTACAGTCCCGGCTGACTACGATGCCGAAAGTGACGATGCACCGGCAGACGAGGCCGCGGATGAGGGCCAGGCTATGGACGAGGAACAGGCAGAGGACGATGCAGAAGAAGAGGCCGACGAGGTTGACGAAGACCATGTCGACCAAGTCGAGTACTCAGCCTACCCCCAAGTCCCAGTGTCTGACATGCTCACGCCCAGCGCGGATGCTCATAACCATGGTGCCCAGGGCACGTCCGCCGGGCCGTACTTCCAGTCGGCATCTGGTCTGGCCCTGCCCCTACCCGAAGAGCCGTCTGTCCCTCAACAGCTCTATAGCTCTGGAACAGGCCTCGTCTTGCCGCAGGGGACCATGTACTACCCGCCCCCGATGGAACCGACCATCGACACGGCAGCGCTACAGGCTGGCAACAACGGCGCGAACCTAGCGACGGCCTCGCCCAAGCAAGCCAAGCAGCAAGCCAAGAACTCGCGTCGAAGCCTGCCATCGGCCCAGGCCAGCCTCCAGGCGAGGGACAACACGTCAGTACGCCACAGCAACGCGTCTGCGTGGGCGTCTAGTGTCGCCCAGAACAGCCACGATCCGGCTGCCCAGACAGCCGCTACCTCAATGCAGCAGCAGCGAGCTGCGTCGACACACCGATCCCGTGGCTCGACGTCGAGGATCCAAGGCCAGTCTCCCCGCTTGCAGGATGCCGCATCCTTGTCGCAGGCTGCACTGGAGCACCAGAGGCAGACCCCCGTCGCGAATTTGGCGATGCAGGCTGAGGCCACCAGGTCCGCATCCGCGCAGTCCGCCGAGAGGCCCCGCGCCGCGTCTCGACAGGCCCAGCGAGCGCAAGCCGGCACTCCTCGGGGCACCAGGACCGCGGCGAGCGCTTTCCAGCCCCCTCCACTATCTGTGCAGCAGCAGCCTCAAGCGGCGGAGCCTGCTGTCGATAACTCGGCAAGTCACCACCGCACCGGCTCCGCGAGCAACATGAACAGCTCGACGGCGTTTCAAAGCTTCGGGCGGTACGCGGACCACCAGGCAGCTCCAGCCGCGTCGGCGGAGCGCATCACGTACGAGCCGTATTCGTATCAGCGCACCACGCCCGCTGCCGCCCCCGCGTATCCCGCCTACGACTACGGCCACGGGGCGACGCAATCCGCGACGGCGGCGGCGGTCGCCACCAGCGTGTCGATGGATACCATGCACACGAACCTGGCGACGACGTACCCCTCGCACACCACGAACCCATCCGCCCTCTCGGCGGGCTCGCGCGCGAGCAACAACACCTCGCCCAACCTGACCCGGTCCTCGTACGGCTCACCACAGGGCTTCAACGCGCGGCCCGCGGCGGCGGCGCAGCCGGCTCGTCAGGGGGCGCGCAGTTCTGTGGATCAGCACCAGCAACAACACCAGCAGCAGCACCAGCCGCAGTCTCAGCACAACCAGACCTGGTACGGCTTCGGCGGCAATACCAACAATCAAAATAACAATAACAGCACCACGGCACATCGTGGAGCGCATCGCGGCCAGGAACAGCAGCACCAGCAGCACCAGCAGCACCAGCACCACGGCTACGGGTGGAAGATGACGGACCATTGGGGCAACGTCTCGTGAAGTAGGCGCGTGGGCCAATCTTGCGCCAATCTTGCGCCAGCCTTACAGGCAAAGTTACAGAGTGTGTGGCCGGACGTTTGGCGTGCCGAGAGCACGCTGTGCCGCAGACGGTGGCAGCACCGGTGGGGAAACGAGCGAGCCAGCGCAGCAGTGCGTGAAACCTCGCCAGAGTCGGAGAGTGCTACTGGGCGGGTACAAAGATGACGAAAGGAAGCGTATATGCGTGAGTTTAGAAAGGCGTTTGAGGGGTGCGCGGGTGGGTTGAGACGGGAAATGTGGATTGATGCATCTCGCTTGGCCCAGGATGGCCCCTATACCACGGCAGCATGCTTGCTTGTGTTGACACTTCACTTGCACTTGTCAAATGATGAGACGGTCAACACATATCCGGAGGAAAGAAAGCTGGGCAGTGTGCAAAAAGGTTGCTCTTTTAATTGTGCTCCTTGGAGCTCTATCCCTCTATTAGATGGTTCTATTTTCTGAACCATACCATATACCCCCCCCAAGACCCTGTCGTGGTCTTACCATGATATATAAAAAACGACAATTTCCAAGAAACAAAACGCCTGCTGAGATGCCAGGGTATCCCAGTTCATTATTGCGTACAGTTATTTTCATGAGGAGTTCCAAGAGGTGACGGTGCCATTGCCCTAATCCGAGAGGGCAAATTTGCTAAGCGCGCGGAGGCGGGCGCCATAGAAGTAGAGCAGCCAGATGCCGACGATGCCGATGACGCTGAGGCCACCGAGCAGGCTGGTGCCGCGGGCGACGCCCAGGTTGCCGAACAGCGGGTGCGCAAAGAGGACGCTGCCGCAGGCGAGGGCGCTGCGGAAGAAATCGTTTGCGGCGAACAGGCTGGCGGCGTACTGGGGGTAACTCAGGGGCACGTAGACGAAGATGCACTGCATGACGACGAAGCAGGTGGCGCCGTAGATGGTGATGCCGATGGTGGGCACGATCCAGTGGATCGAGGCGCGAGCCGTCCACGCGAACAAGAAGAGGCCAATGGTGGGACCAAAGGAGGCGGGCAGCGCGGGAACCAGACGGTTCTCCTGAGCGGGCATGCCGAACTTCATGATGCGCGGGTTCATGTAGTAGTAGAGGTATCCCACATATAGGGCGATACCAATGATGCAGGACACGAGAATGCACAGGAAGACCAAGCCGATCTGGCCGAGGTTCATGTGGTAGTCGACGGGATAGACGAGAGGGAAAACCTCGAAGACTGGAAGCCGTTAGCGTCTGGACTGAAGGGCACGAGATGCAGAGGAGCAAACTTACAAGAGTAGTAGATGCCGTAGATGATAGCCGTGTAAATCTGGACGAAGAGGACGGCCGGGTCCTTGATGGTGATCTCGAGAGGCTTGATGAGGGCGTCGAGGGCGATGGACGACACCTTCATGTGGCGCTGGTCAATCTCGCTCTGGGACATGAAGCGCTCGTTGCCCGTAAGCTTGCGCAATCGCTTGGCTCGGCGCAGGAGGATGTTGGGCGAGCTCGTCTCAGGGAGGGAGATGAACATGGTGACGAAGACGGGGGCGGATGCCCAGATGGAGATGAAGAGGGACCAGCGCCAGCCCTCAACGGGGACGGCGAATCCAGACAGGAGCGGGCCAAGGGCGGCTGCATTGACATTCGTTAGCATGTATTTCCCTTTGCGAAGTTGGGAGCGTCAAGAAACTTACGTCCACAGTAGGCAGCCGAGACCCAGGCAACCATGGCAAAGGGGAGCGCCATGAGGCTGTACATGTCGCCAAGCGAGGCGCCACCCGAGGCCAGACACGGCGAGCCAAAGAAGCCCTGGAGGAAACGCAGGACCATGAGTCCAGCATAGTTGGGCGCAAATGCGGTCGGGATTGAGAGGATGACGAAGAGGAACATGGTGACAATGTAGACGGGGTTGCGGCCAATGCGAGGGATCTCGCTAAGGGGCGAAAAGATGAGCGGACCAATGCCATAGCCCAGGACGTAGATGGACAGGCCCAGAGTGGCCTTGAGCTGGCTGACGCCAAACTCCTTCATGACGCCCTCAGACGAGGACGTGTAGATGGCGGACGTGGTGTAGACGACGAACGTGTAAAGGCAGATGACGAGACCAATGTACGTGCGCTTCTTGTTGGTCCAGTTGTGCGGGTTCTCGGCGTCGTCGCTGTAGTACCAGTCGACGAGGATGGCGCCGTCCTTTGTGCGCTGAGGCACGACGGGAATCGACTTGACGCGCTGCACATCGTGGGCCTCGTCGGCCTCGAGGCGTGCCTCGGTGAAAGCCGGCGTCTCTTCAGGCGACCGTGTGCGATGGAGATGTAGCGGCTCCTGCTGGGCTCCTTGCTGGTCCTGCTCCCGCTTCTTCTGCTTCTCTGGGTCGACATCGGTCTCCTTCTCGGACAGGTTGCCCGCGTTGTTGTTGCCATCACCGCCGTGAACTGTTGAGGATGACGACGACGTCACTGGGCCTTCATCGACGACGGCATTGGGGTTGTCGACTAGTTGCTGCCAAGGCTCGGGCAACTTAAAGTCGGCTCTCTCTTCAGGGTACTGGAGGTACTTGTTCTTGGTGAGGAAGCGGATCAGCTGCCCAATGGGGGCATCGCGGATCAAGTCTGCCATGGCTGGTAGTTGCTATGAGGCGCAATTGTAAGAGGGTATCGTTGCACTTGAGTTTTGATGGTTGAGTTTGGTGGGTGAGGCAGCAACAACTCTGGTGTTATCCGACAGCTACAGCTCGATGGGCGAGCTAGGAGCTGAGGCTCGGGTTGCTTGCTTTGCTCTTGTCTGAAGGACAGAAGAACAAACAATGCACCCACGAGGTAAAGCTAGAGTCTTATATCCCGACGCACGACGCTCATCCATGGTGCGTTTCGCCATAACGTGCTCGGGGCGGCTCACTAATAGACATGCCCACGTTTCGAGCGCCATCCGCATCCGCATCCACATGCGCCATCCGCCGCCATCCACGGCCGGCGTCATGGCGAGCCAGGGAGCGTCGACTCACACGGCGGTGGAGGAGCAAACGTGACAAAAGTGAGTGTGCTAGTGCTCTCGCAGGAGCAGCTAGCTCCTCTGGGCCGTGGTGCTTAGCGATCGGATGCCGGACTCTGCGGATCTAAGAGCCGGAGTGCCACGGAGTTACGTCGAGACTCGAGAGGGCCGGCTCAATGGATTGGATTGGCTGGCGGCCGAGAGCCTGACATCAGCAAGGATTTTTGCGTTATGGTTGCCAGCTTCTGACATGTGGCGTCTCCCCACCATCAGTTTCGTTTGCGCCGGAGCAACTCGAGGGCCCAGATTACCAATGCCGGCCGGGTGCGAGCCTCATTACCAAACCAGATGCAGGCAAGCTTGGCAGGCACTGCAGTCGGTCAATCAATCAGTGAATCAATCAACGGGCATTGCATCACCGCGGACAGGTGTGTGCGTGCTCGCTGGCGTGGACGCTGGCTCGCTAATGCACCGTTATCTCGCGGTGGTCGTAGATCTGGATGGCAAGCTGGAGAAGGCCGTGGTAACTCAGCAACTCGCCTCGTCTGTTACGTCTGGCACAACACCCGCTCTCGCTGATGGCTGGCGCCGTCCTCGGACGAGATAGTTTGGGAGATGGTCGACGAGGGACGGCAAGGTTGGCCGAAACAAGACACGATCGCGAGCCTCGACCGCATCGACCCTTCGCGGGTGGCAGAAAGCCAACGGTCGGCCTGGTGAAACGAGCATCATCACTGGAAGGCAAGCGTTGCTGGCACTGTCCTGCGGCTCCTTCCTGCCCAGCAGCACGCCTCCAGTCATCCAGTGCCCAGTGCCCCACCCGTCATCTCGCGTTGCTGCACGGGGCAGTCGCCGCCGCCGCAGCCCTACGAGCTTGCAAACGTGGGTGCGTGCCGTGGACCTGCCCACTGCCGTGGCATTTCGCGGCGCGGCAGCCCCGCCGTGGACCTCCAGGGCAGTCGTTGACGCACCGGGTTGCTGGGATAGGCCTAGCGACAGCCAGCTTGGCAGGCGTGGCAGGCGCGAACGACGACTAGGGTCAAGGTGCTTAATAATTTGGACTCAACCGCTGGAAAAAAGGGCTGAAAGGGCGGGCAAGCGCGCCGTCGCACCCTTTCTCATCAACGCCAGAGCTTGCAGGGCCTCGCGCTCGGTGAGATTCCTTCCCGATGCGGTAACCGCCAGTCTCCTGCCCTGTGATGGATGGACGTGTAATGAACTTTTCCACTCACTGTGCGAGGATGCGAAACGTCTGTGCCGCTGTGCCTTACGAGCTCTCCACAACTCGCTCGCATATCCTTGTTCTCAGCATCTTAGCACAGTAATACTTGTACGCGACAGCTCCTTCGTTTCTCAAATCAGTGCCCATGCCGACCACGACGCACGGCGCAAGGTTCGCGTTCGGCTCGACTTTGGTCCATTTGGCCGATGACTCTTTTTCTCTTCTGCATTCTGCTCCAATTCACTTCGCTCCCCCCACTGTCGGATACTTTCTCTCTCCCCTGCACCCTTGCCCTTGTTCCCGCCCTGCGTTGGACACATTGTCTCCGCCTGAGGCGGGCCCAGTCCAGCCGGCTGGTGCCGTTTGTTGTTCACTATACGAGTTACGGCATGGGACGCAGCAGTAAAAATCGTGAACAAAGAGCCGACTTCCGCCGCAACATCTTCACCCCTCGTTGTGAGACGGCGGCCCTGCCGTTCGTCGACCCTCGCGCCGAATTCTGTCGCGCCAAGGGCGACAAACCAAAGGGCCACACACGCACACGCACGCACGCTCTCACGATTTACCATGCCCACGATCTCAGCTCACGGCGGCTCTCTCGGACCAGCCGTAAGCTTGTCGAGCGCCTTTGATGATTGAAAGGGTGGTAGGGGAGTGGAGAAAGCCCGCCTCGGGAGCGCGAACCTTAACCACTTGCCATAACCCCGTACCGTGTTAGCTCGGGTGAGGTCAGCGCCCCCGGCTTACGAGCCGCTGGTCCGCTTAACCCCGGCCGTGAACAAGCTCCGATCAGCCACCAAGCTCCGAAGCCGGGTCTCCGACGCCTCGACCGGCCGTCAGACAAATTCGGCTCTGGCTCGGTACTCTGATACCCGGCGGCACCATGGCATGTGCAGCGCAGGCATGTACCAGGACAAGGACCAAGGCAACCATCACGGCTCTTTCCTGTTCTCTGTCCCACATTGCGCCGGGCATCGCTTTTGCAACAGCTCCTTGCCGCGAGCTCCCCAGTATCTCTGGATCGCGGCGTTCTCGCACACGTATAATTACATTAGCTCATTCGAGGCGACGCGCTCGCCCGTCGGGCCAGTCGCGTCTGCTGCAGCATCCTCTGCACCTTGGCCGTCGTCTCGGCGTCCCCCGTTCTGCTGAGTTGGTCCACCACCTCCCAGATGCGCCCGTCCTCGCGCTCCACAGCGCACTCGACGAGTCGTCGCAACCACCCGAGGTGGCTCCGTGCCGCCGCCACCGCTGCGCCGCGGCCGCTCACCGAGGGCAGAGAGGCAGCCTGCCGCGCGAACCGGAACGCCAAGTCGAGCTCCCCAAGCTCGGCGCAGCTCGGGATGAGCTCCTCGTAGATGCGCGCGTTGCGCATCGCGTCGTCGTCCTCGGCGATGGTGGCCATGTAGTCTCTCGCCAAAGTGCGCTTCGTGTCCTGCTCGCGGCTGTTGACCATGAGGGTTTGCAGCAAGCTCGAGTCGGGCAGCTGGCCGCATAGCGCGGCTACGTCGTGGTACAGGCCCATGGCGCTCTCGCTGCCGTCCAGCTCGGACATGGCCTCCATCACCACGCTGACCACGGCTAGCGGCACCAGCCCGTCAGATGCCAGGCCTCGCAGCGCCCCCTCGGCGTCCTTGACGAGGCGAGGCCGGCCCTTGAGCGCCTCGTACACCATTCGAGTGTTTCCCCGCACGACTCGGATGCCATTCTTCTTCATGATGGACAGGATACGGAACGCCCCTGCCATGTCGCCCGCCCTCGCAAACGCCTCAGCGACAGCCTCGTAATGATACGCCATGACACGGGTTCTCTGCGCGATGAGGTCGAGCGTCTCCGTCGCCAAGGAAGCGTCTCCGTGCCGTGCTGCTGTTGCGAGCACGTTTTCCACGACGCCATCGGGCGGCTGCAACAGTGAGTTTCTCACCGCTGCATTCCACGCAAACATTGTCCCAGGGTAGTGGAACGCCTCGCTGCAGACATCCAGGGCAAAGTACAGCAAGGTCGTTGCCGCGCTGCCATGCACATCCCCGCTCATGCGACGATGCATCAGCTGCAGCATCTCGTCCAGGAACCCCAGCTTGCCGAATACCATGATGAATATGTCGTGTACCCAGGGGTCGATGCGCCCGCCCGCATCGATCAGCTCCGTCAGCCTCGCGTACGCTAGTTCGTACTGCTCATCACGCAGCAGGCCTAGTACAACACTCTGCTTGGCTGGCGTATCGATGACAAACCAAAACTCCTGCATGATGTCCAGGACCTCCTGCCGGAGCGCGTAGTCTGGGTGGTTCGCCAGTGCGGCCAACGCACCATGACACATGGCTGCCGTGGGCTTCATGCCCTGTGACGCCAAGTCGTCGAGGATCTTGCGCACGCCCTCGGCCGAGCCCTTTGGGTCGGCCATGGCGTCCATGACGCACTCGTAGACAAAGGGGCTGGCGGGCTGGCCGCGGGAGCCGAGCAGGTGTCGCACGAGCTGCAGTATCCGTCCGTGCCGGTCGATACTCTGGCCGTGGAAGCTCCAGCCTTGGGGATCGCGCATCGCCACGAGCGCCGCGACAATGTCGTCGACGGAAGAGTGTTGCAGGGCATCCTCGGTCGGCGGCGTCGGTGCCAGGAGGCGCTCCTCCCACGTCTGCGCTCGCGCCGGCGCGCGTCGCCGTGGTCGCGGTTCGCCAGAAGAGCTTGCTGGAGCCCTTGGAACTTCTCCTGCGCCCTGTGTGCTCGTCCCAAAACGACGACTGCTTTGTGCGAGTTTCGAACATCTGACAGACCGGATTCGCGGCGCGGAGCTGGCGAGGGCGAAGCTCCTCGAGCCGACTGCGCGGTGCAGTGCGGCCCCGTCAACCGCCGGGCATAGGCAGCGCCATAAGCCGTCGTAGATCAATTGGCCTCCGCGCATCGTCGTTACCGCCGTTGTCGTCGTCGTCGTCGCCCGGCGCAGCCGGTTGACCAATGCTGTTGCGCAGACGTAGCTGCTGTCGATGGGATAGCAGACCGATGATTTTCCTGCCACAGGGGACCGGGGAGCTGCCACAGGCAGAGCGCGGTCGCTCTGCGTGCGTGAACTGCTCAGTCATCAAGCGGGGCGATGCACATGGCGGGGCGCCGACCGCAAAGCACTCCTCTCACCTTGGCCTCACCGAGAAAGAGCCCACTCCAAACGACAAGCCAGTGCCGTTCGTTCTCAGAGCTGCTGCCACCCCAACAACTGAGCCTCCATCGTCACCCATCACCCCACGCACCGCCTTCCACGCACGACGCGCCACCGTGCGCAGCACCACCACAGCGACAATGGTTCGTACCTCTCCTCTCCTCCCTCCGCGCTCCCCCAGCGCCGGCAACCCCAGCTGACAGACACGGCGCGCGCCCGCCAGTTGCCCCTCGGCTTGCTCAACGCCGCTCAAGGCCACCCCATGCTCGTCGAGCTCAAGAACGGCGAGACCCTCAACGGACACCTCGTCCAGTGCGACACGTGGATGAACCTCACCCTCAAGGAGGTGGTCCAGACGAGCCCGGTGCGTGGCGCCACCCCTGCGGCCCTTGCCCCATGAACTCCCCTCCCATTGCCATCGGAGCAAGACAGACGTCGATGAAGCGAATGGCGGGAGAGGCGTTGCCATAGGCAGACGGATGGACATACGGACGCATGCTAACCAGCTTGACAGGAGGGCGACAAGTTTGTGAGGTTAAAGGAGGCCTACGTCAAGGGCAACAATGTACGTCCCCTGCCCTCCCCTCGAACATTGAATGGCCAAGGCCCCAAAAACACATACACACGTTGCGCAGATCGCTAACCGCCGACCCCTTACTCGTTCCAGATCAAGTACCTGCGCGTGCCCCCCGAGATCATCGACAAGGTCAGCGAGTCGCAAAAGGGCGGCCAGGGAGGCTTCCGCGGCGGCCGGGGAGGTGGCCAGTCAAGAGGCGACCACGGCGGTCGCGGAGGCGGTGACCGCGGGAGGGGAGGGCGTGGAGGCGGCGGCGGTGGTGGTCGGGGTCGCGGCAGAGGCCGCGGTCAATGATTGGGTTGATCGGGTTGCTGCTGGGTAGCAGTCGAGACGGCGGGAGAGTGGAAGGGGAGAGAATGGCTTGGGCTGTGGGCGGTTAAGAACGTGCCGCTGGCCGCGAGTCGGGGCCGGGATACAGGGTATGCACGACATAGAAGGGAGTCACGGACGACTTTGTAGGATTTTTCTGCTTTTTAACGCCCAAAATACCCTGTCTGAGAGCATGGGGTTCACGACCCAATTCCACAGGGACCTTTGTCTCGCAGAATCACTTGCAGGGACGGCGCTGATGTCGCTAAATTGCGGCCGGGGCATAAAGAATGACACGAGGTGGAATAGCTATGGTCGAGGGCAGGGTCGCCTTAAAACTCAATCACATCGCCGCAACGGAGGGCCGCAAGCCTTTATGCATGTGTAGTCTATTACTCTAGCGCTAAACCTCCGACATGTCCTCTCAGGAATCGCCCTAGACTCGTCTCCAGGATCCGTCGGCACAATTTGAACAAACACAGTTCGTCGAACGGCATGCTTCATTAAAAAACCATACGATCCCCGGTTTCCCTCCTCCTTCACGTCTTGACTCGTACACGGCAGTCCGCACATGTCTGCCCGCTCTAAAAGTTGGCGACGGCAACGGCAATGGCCTGGTTGTCCGAGTGCGAAATGGACAGGGTAATGTCCTTCACGCCAGCCTGCTTGGCAGCGGCAGCGGCATCGCCATGGAGCTATGCGTTGTTAGCATTTGTAGGGTCCATCGTAGGGCGCACACGCAGACTTACCGAAACAGTGGGAGCACCCTTCTCGTCACGCAGAATCTCAATGTCCTTCATGGCAGCGCCGGCACCCTTGCTGGCGACACCCAGGGACTTGAACACGGCCTCCTTCGCGCTCCACCGACCAGCAAAGGAGCTCTGCGGGCTGGGCGCAGTGCGGCAGTAGCTGATCTCCTCGGCAGTAAAGTTGCGCTCCAGGAACGTCTCGTTGTCAATGTTAACGGCGGAGATGTCCTCGACGTCAACGCCAACCTTGCTGTTCTTGTTGGCAACCTTCTGCGCCAGCGCCTCCATGACTTTCTGCGTCTCGCTGGCCCGAGAGGCGGGCAGAGTCTTCACGGCCTGCTTTGCAAAGTTGGCCGCATACTTGAGCTCAGCCGACTTCTTGTCCTCGGAGACACGGGCGTCAGGGTTCAGCAGAACGCTGCTGAGCTGCTCGTCCGAGTACGGCGAGTTGTTCTTGGCCACAAACAAGCTGTTGTTGATCAGGCCGTTGTGGAAGTAGCGGTACGCCTTCTTCTGTCGAGCCTCGACCTTGACGCAGTACTCGTTGTACGTGCGCTCGTCAAGCGTGGCAAAGAGATACCTGGGGTGGACGCCGATGGCCTGGGTACCCTTCTGACCGAAACCGAACGAGGTAACGGAGAAAGCCTTGATGCCATCCGTCTGGATGCTGCGGCTCGGGTACACAATCATATCGAACTCCTCCATGACAGGGTCCACGTTGTCGGCATTGCGGTTACCAGGCACGAGACCAGTGTTGAGCACCTGCAAGCAGCCGTTCATCATCCAGGCACCGGCGGCACCCTTGGGGTGGCCAGTCAGGTACTTCTGGAAGATACCTAGCACGGCGTTGCCCTTCTTTCGGCCGAGGTGGCGCAGCTGCTGGCAAATGACGGAAGACTCGTTCTTGTCGTTGGCCTTGGTCGAGGTACCGTGGAACGACGCGACACCGAGGTCGTCGATTGTGAGACCCCACGTGGCCAGGGCGCCGCGCAAGGGCGCGATGCTGGGGTCGTTCTTCCAGAAGTTGTTGCCCATGCTTCGGAGAAGCTCCTTCTCTTGACGAGCAGCCTCCTTCTCAATGTGTGCGAAGCGCTCGTGCGCGTACTCCTTCTCGTCAAACGACGCGTCTTGAGCCTTCATGGCGTCAATCTCATCGTGAACGAACTCAAGCTCAGACTCCTGCCACTGCTTGATCTGCTTCTTACGACGCTCAATCTGGCGGCGGCGGTAGTTGATGTCGAGCAGCGGCGAAGGGAACTTGCTCGGGTGCTCGCGGGCAGTGGTGAGGACACCCTGGCCGGGCGCGGGCACGGAGCGACCAATCTTGTCCGAGGCAGTCGCCGTAAGAGCCACGATGCCGTAGATCGGAACGCCCATGTCCAGGGCGAGCTTGGCAGTCATTATGACCTGCATGCCGCAGCCCTGAGACTCCATGAAGCCGTTTCTGGTGGTGGTGGTCGGGCGGGACATCTCCCGGGGAGTTCGGCCATGCTCAAATTCGTCGACCGTGTTGCTCGTGGCTTTCATGTTGGCGAACTCGTACGAGCCCTCCTCACCAAAGTCATCGAAGCCACCGACAAGGCAGACGCGAGCCTTGCCCTCCATGATGGTCTCGTAGCCGATGTCAACCGACTCAACAGCCGTTGCGCAAGCACCGACAGGAGTCTTGATGGGACCCGATGAAGAAAGCAGAAGCATGTTGACCCAGGCAGACATGGTGTTGATGAACGACTCCTGAAGAATGTCATTCTGCAGAGGCTTGTCGAGGAAGCGGTCCTTGTGCATGCCACGGAGAGCAGCAGCACCACCCATGCCGGAACCAACGCAGTTGCCGAGCTCCGAGACGTGCACATACTTGTAGAACTCGTAAGGGTCCGTGACACCGCTGGAGAGGAGAGCCTCGACAGTGGTGACGAGCAGGAAGAGAGTGACGGGGTCGACCTGGGAGACGATATCCTCCGGAATGCCGTAGCGCTTGGGGTCCCAGCCCGTGGGGATCTGGCCAGCAACGAGGCGGTCAAAGCGGAGGGCCTTGGGGATCCAGAGCGACGCACCCTTCCTCATGCGAACAATGTACTCGCCGCTGTCGGGGATCTCAAAGATCTCAACCTTGTCGCCATGCTCGCGCTTGAACTCCTCGGCAGTCTCCTTGGAGGCCTCGAAGGGCTCCAGGTCCTCTTCGATGACAACCTCGTGCAGCAGCTGCTTCTGGTTGGGGTCGTAGCCATCGAACAGCTCCGGCTCAATCAGACGGATGCCGGAGTGCTCCAGGATGTGCTTCTCGTACTTTTGCTTGATGTCCTTGTCGTCGACCGGCTCGCCAGACTTGGCATCGACCCAGCCAGAGTACGGCTTGCCCTTGAGGGGACCGTTGTGGTTCTTGATGAGACCCATGATCCAGGCCATCTCGACGCAGCCCTCGAGAGAGAACTCGCCAAAGGCCTCCATCTCCCATCGCGTGCGAGAGTTACCCCAAGGTCCAACCTCGGCAAAGCCGGTGACGACGACAACCTTCTCAAGATCAACCATGCCCTTGAGCGTATCATTGTGGGGGGCGATCTCGGTCTTCCAGTCGGGGAGAGTAGGGAAGTCGAACTTGATGTTGGCGCGGGGCTCAACCGTCTTCTTCTTGTACAGAGCCTCGGACTCGGCGCCATTGACGATGGTGTTTTCGATGGCGCTCTCCTTGGCAACAGCCCGGCGAATCTCACTGGTCTCCATAATATCCTTGCGGAGCTTGGTCATGGACTCGTTCAGGTTGGGGATGAACTGCAGGCCGCCGTTGAGATCGGCGAACACGGGCTCGGACTGGCAGAGGTCGACAATGGAAGGCGACATGAGACCCAGCAAGTTAAAGGCCATCTCCTGCTGCGAGAAGGTGCGCACGCCAAACGCCTCAACGCCCTCGGCAACGATGTTGTTGCCCGACATGAGACCAGTGCCACGGGTCCAGCCGATGACAGCGCCGCACACAGTGAGGTAGTTGGCCCAGCTCTCCGAGTACCAGCGGTTGAAGAGGGTCTCGAGAGCAAGCTTGGACTCGGAGTACAGACCGTCGTTGCCGAAGGTGCCGTGGTTGGGAGACAGAGGAAGCACGACCTGGGCTGGTCGGGTCTCGAAGCCGCGCTCGGTCTTCTGGGCCTTGACGCAACCCAGCAGGCGGATGAGATTGGTGAGCATGATGCGGTGAGCCAGCTCAGACTTGGAGTCGATGTTGTCGATCTGGCGGCCGTTCTCAGAGATGGCAGCGAAGGGGACGATGAAGTCAAGGTCCCAGCCGAGGCCGTTCTTGGTGTCGTAGATGTACTCAACCAGAGCCTCGACGTCTTGCTTGCTTCCCTGGTTGAAGGGAACAACGACGATCTGAGACCCGCGCGAGCCATAGCGGGTGTACATGGACTGGTAATACTCGGTGACCTCGCGCGAGAAGCGGCTGGTTGTAACGACAACCTTTGCGCCACCACTGACGAGACCTTGGAGGACCTCCGCGCCAATGGAGCCAGCGCCAGCGCCAGTCATGAGAACGTACTTGCCCTGGTAGGTGACACCAGACTTGGCAGCGTCTTCCAGGCAGTTGAGGTAGGCAGCCGTGAGCTTCTTGCTGTAGTCCCAGCCGTGGAGAGTCTTGCGCTTCAGGTGCAGGAAGGGGATGGTCTCAACCTTGCCCTTGTTGTTGCTGGAGCCTTTGAGCCCAGCCTTCTTGCCCTTACCGTTCTCCTTGGGAATGATTTGGCTTTCGTTCATGGCGAGGGAGCGCAGGACGTCGCCGTACAGAGACTTGATCTCAAGCTGAGACGTCTTGGACATCTTGTGCTGTTGCTTGATGAGCTTGTAGATGCGCTGCAGATCGCTCTGAACCTTGGTACGGTTGCCGTATTCGGAGATCTTGCCACCCTCGGCCATCTGCTGAACATAATGCTCGAGCTTTCTGCAGCTGGCACGGGGGACTTCCTCGTAGTTGAGGTTGCCACGGGCGTCTACTGTAGTGCGAGGGCCAGTGGGAACGGCCACGTCCTTGTAGACGGGAGAGACGTTCAAGACGTCCTTGCAGTTCTCAATGAGCTGCTGTCCAAGCTCCTTGGCGAGCTTGTAGGTCTCTCCTCTCTCGGTCGGGCAGTTGTCGATGTGATACTGCATGAAGTCGAGGAGCTTGGGGTTCGACCGGTTCATGATGCGGATGCACTGGCTAACAATCTCGCGGTCGACAGCCTGCAGTCTGCCAAAGATGATGTCGAAATACATGCTCAAGGCGTCCTGACGAGCCCAGTTCCAAGACGAATCGTAGGTTCGGGCCTTGAGGGGGCTGAACACGGGCTCGATGCCTGACGCGTAGAAGTCGCCGTGCTCGGCAGTCCACAGGTCGAGCTGGGCCTGGAGGACCTTCTCCGACTTTTGAGAGTTGATGAAAGCCTTGTCTCCGGAGCGGAGGTCAATTTTGAGGTAGCGGGCGAAGAGCTCCAGCTGCTGCTTGAACAAAGCACGCTGGTCCTTGGTCAGAGCATCGATGGCGGCCGGGTCCATCATCATGCCGCCACCGGCACCACCAGATCCGCTGTCGGCCGACGCCGTTGACAGGCTGAAGCCGGCATTGGCGGCATACTTCTGCGTAACGTCGTCGAGGAACGCCTTGGCGTCACCCTCAGAACCCAGACGAGACGGGGGCTCCATGGTCAGGGCAAGGAGCAGGGCACCATCTTGCCTGCCAGAGCCGAGACCCCATCTTGTCTCAAGGTATTTTCTGGCGGCCGTGATGTTGAATCCACCAGGCATCTTGGAGGAGATCAGCCTCGCAATGAGGGACTGAGACTGCTTGCCCAGATTGCCGTCAAAGGTTGCTTGCATTGAAGCACCAAGCTCGTCCAAGGGTGTGTCTTCTGGTTTCTCGGGAGTCGAGCCAAACTCCTTGCCAAGGTCACCAAGGATTTCGTTTTGAAGGGTGGATTTGCCTGCATGTCGCTGTTAGAGCATTGTTCAAACAAGCCTGGCGGCGCGGGAGCTTCTTACCTCCAACGAGGTCCTTGATCGCTTTGCTGAGGGGTACCTCAAGAAGGGGCTTCTTGAGCTTCTGTGCAATCAAGGCGCGCACGATGTCAATGGCCTGGACAGGCTGATCGGCAACCTGAGCAGCAGGCCCAGAGCTGGGAGGCGGAGGAGCCGCAGCCGCCGCGGGAGCCGCAGCGGCGGCGGCAGCCGGAGCAGCTGTGGCACCGGCCGCAGCATCCGAAGCGCCTGCTGAGGGCTCCGGCTCATCCTCGACAGGGTCGACATCGTAGTAAATCTCCTTGGCGTCCTTGTTGTAGCAGAGAATCTGTCGCTGAACGGATTTGGCGGCGTCGTAGGCCTCGTACTTGGAGGCGAGTGTGCGCTTGGCCATGACGCCGAGGGTGTCGGCGGGACCGATCTCGACGATGCGCTCGGCGGTCCTCTCTGCGAGGAACACGTCTTGCGTCTCGATCCATCTCACGGGCGAGGCGAACTGGTATGCGAGGAGCTCAATGAGCAGGGTGTGGGCGAGCTCTTGCTCGACTTCGGGCCGCATCTTGAGGGATGAGGAATCGGCACGTCGAGGTGTGTAGGAAAAGGGACTCTATCAAGTCGCAACCGGCGTAGAGGATGCGACAGTCTTGTCGTCGGCCCGGGCGAGTCTCGAGCGGAGCTCGCAGGCGGTCGAAGGAGGAAAACGTCGGCGGGTGTTCAGGGTGACCCGTCGAGGTGAGAATTGAAAAAGGCAGAATAAGGAGTGGCCCAAGTCTCCCTACCCAGCGAAGCGGAGGTATATTACGAGGTGGATGTGGAAGAAGAGGAGGAATCTGGGGAGAGGGCGGCGGAGAGACACTGGGGGGTGAAAAAGATGCGGGATGGCGATAATGAGATAGATGGTATGGATGGGCCGACTCGGAGAGACGGGCAGCAGCGGCAGCCAGACACGCAAGACGCGGCGAGGTACTTCGCACAGCGCAGCAAAGCACACAGCCAGGCGCGGAACACGCCTCAAGGCCTGCACCAACAGCGAGAGAGCGAGGCTTCGATTGTTGAACCGCGAGTCCCACCAAACCAGACGGGTCCCCAGGCGACAGGGCGCAGAAAAAAAATTGGGGGACGCTTTGGGCGGGCGGGTCCAGGGCCTGCAGGCGGCCTGCAGCACGGCGCGGCTCCTGTGCTGCAGGTGGTGAGGTGGGCTTCTCAACCAGATTGCCGGCCTAAGCCCAACTCGGCAAGGGGTGATTAATCCCGCCCAGGTCACTGGTGCTGCCGCCGGCCGCCGGGAACAAAAGCCGGGCCACCACCAGCGCCGCCGCCGACTGCCACCCACCACCTCCAGGGCTCACTGCAAGCCCAGATGCCAGCCGTAGCCCAGCATGTTCCAATGGTCCACGGGTGGATGGGCGATTGAGGTACCCGACCACTCACCCCGTGCACCACTCTGTACCACCACCACCGCCAGGGGCACCAACGGACCTGAGGCGTGACGCGCCTGGGAGACTTTTTTTACGGGCCATCCAATCCATCCAATCCATCCAATCCATCCAATCCATCCAATCCATCCAATCCATCCAATCCATCCAATCCATCCAATCCATCCATCCATCCATCTCTTCAAGCGCAACAGGGCAGGAAAACTCTTTTTCCGCCACGAGCATCTGCCAGCGTGGCGGTCGCCGCGGCCCTACTTGTCCCGAAAGCCTTTGCAAGGCCGAGTCTCGACGCTTTGGTCGCAGGATCCTTGGTGCTGCACGCCCGGGAGGCATCACGGCGTCGGAGGCACGGCGTCTGTTCTGGCCGCCGACGTCGTCATGGTCGCCTCATCAACCGTGGAGCTGGCGGTGATCACCACGCGCGGCACCTGTCATCGCCGGCCAGCGCCACGGCAGCCGCAGCTAAGGCTGGCCGGCTAGCAGCATGTACCCTTAGTTTGCTGGGTACGGTATCTGGGACGGACTTTTGGGGCCGAGGGCTGCAAGATGATGGCGGGACGCGCTACGGCGCGGTACCTAAAAAGAGTCCGTCCAGGTGCCACCCAATGGAAACAGGCGCCATGGCACCCCTGCCCTACCAACAGATCCAGTGCTTCCAACCGCGTGGTTGGCGGCCATGGAACCCTGCCGTGGTTGAACGATCCGTGGATGGTTGGAGCAATTTCGCTGGGGAGGTACCGGTACCAAGGACGCCAGGCCACCTGTTGTGTTGTGCAACCACATCGTCCTCATCCACCCTCCACTCCCAGTCTGCCGCCAGACTCGTTCCTCGCCACGGTGTCAACGATTGTGACGCGGGCTGCCACTTTATCCAACGTTTGCCCTTGGGGGCAATGCATGTCATCGGTCGATAGCGCGCGAGCCTGGACTCGCAGCCACAACACGATCGTGGTGTGCCGTGTCCTCGATTGCAAATTTCGTTCTCGCGGCGCGAACACCGAGCTCCAAGGCAGCGGGGAGGGCGAAAAGTCAAACTCCTGATGCCCTGCCTGTTGGTCCTCGTGTAATCTCGCGAGTCGAGCCTGCTCTCCACTGCGAGATCCGTCGTCACGGCCTGCTTGACAGCTACAGCTGTCCCCAGGCCTCCAGCGAGAGGACCCCGGCGTCCGACTCCAGGCACGGACTTTGGTGCGTCTCCGCTCCGGCCGGTCCGCCGGGGTCAACAAGGCTTGATGTCTGGACAGGATTACGGATCAAAGAGGCCTCGGACAGTGCTGCGGTGCCCCCGGGCGGAGCTGTGATGTGTCTTCACGGCAACGTGTGATGGGTGCCTGCCTTTACCCACGTAATAAGAGTGCCCCATCGTATTCGCACCGTTGCTTTGGCCCTGAAAGCCATCAGATGGGCTTCCCCAGTCCGCCGAACCGCACCATCACGCCACGTCCGCCGGCCCGCGATATTTTCTCGGCGCCGGCTGTGGGCGGCGTTGAGTGCGGGAGGAGGACGGGAGCTTGGGGAGGTCTTTACCTATCTCGCATGCCGCCGCCGCCTCAACGAAGGGAATGGGCTGATAGCAGGGGCGATAAGAGAAGCAAGAAGCTCCCGCTGCAGGGCGGAATCGGTGGCAAGGAACCACCAGCCAGTGTGTTGCGATACAGTCAATGGTGGTGTCGCAGATCGTTGGAAGCCTCTTCAACAATCGACCCTCTTCCCGTTGCGCGTAACCTTACGTACAACCACCCTCAGTGGCTGCAGCAGAGTGACGCTTCCCGGCGTCGAAGCCCACGCTCGCAAGTACCGGTACCTAGGCCTTGCTGGGGACAGACCCCTTCTTTCGCCCCGTCCGCCCGAGGTGCGGCATTGGAACCATCCCCAACAGAACTAAAAATTTGGCGAGCCACGCTTGCAGCCCCCCGACACAGCCGCTCCATGCTCTGCCGCCCGCCGAGACCCTGCACCTCGATAGGCCCGCGGGCGTCCCACCGCCGAACGCGCTGTGGCTGACCCTGGTGCTCCGTACCTGCCCGCCCACCTGCCGTCCCTGAGGTGAGGTGAGGTGGTGGTGTCGGGCCTGCAACAACTTTGGCCCCGAATTTTCTGCCACCCCAGGCTTCACTTATACGTTGAGCGATCTTGTCCTCGCCTCTCCTCCACTTTCCCTATCGTCGTGCCAAATCCATCCCTCTTCCTCTTCATACCCGTAATCAGTCCTCTTCCTCCTTACGCCCTCGAGCTCGTCTGGTGCTGTCGCGCGCCCGACCGGAAGCTCATCCGTCCATTTTCCTTGTGCTCGACGGCGGTTCGCGAGCCCCTTGTCTTCTTCACCCCAGGACCGAGCAGTTGCGCCATTGGCGATAGTCCGCTTCGCCGCCGCGTCCTCGACCGACTGCTCCGCGGTGGATTTTGGTTCCAGGTGTTGCATTGATAGGTGAGTTGCCGCCGTCACACTCGTTGTCGCGATCGGGAGTCTGTGTCTAACCTCAAACTGCCCCGCAGACTTGATCGATACCCCCCAGCTCTGCCACCATGTACGGCACTGGAACCGGCCCTCAGACGGGCATTTCCACCCCCAGATCTAGCTCCTCTCTCCGGCCGTTGACGCTCTCCCACGGCTCCCTCGAAACCTCTTTCCTCGTCCCGACCAACCTCCATTTCCATGCCTCTCAGCTCAAAGATCGCTTCGTCGCGAGCTTGCCCGCCGCCACGGACGAGCTCGCCCAGGATGACGAGCCGTCATCTGTTCCGGAGCTTGTCGCAAGATACCTGGGCTTCGTTGCCCGCGAGGTCGAGGAGGGCGAGGATGATTCCCAAGGCTCCTACGAAGAGGTCCTGAAGCTCGTCCTGAACGAGTTTGAACGTGCCTTCCTTCGCGGCAACGAAGCGCACGCTCTCGCTGCCACCCTCCCGGGCATCGAATCGAAGAAGCTTGAGGTGATCCGCAGCTACTACCTGGCACGCGCCGCCTCCAACCGAACCATCAAGCCCCACGAGTCCGCGCTGCTAAGGGCTGCTGATGATGGCTCGGCCGACATTTACACAATCTTTGGCGGCCAGGGCAATATTGAGGAATACTTCGAAGAGCTTCGCGAAGTCTTCCAGACGTACCCCAGCTTCATTGGCGAGCTGGTTGCGTCCGCCGCAGAGCAGCTTCAAGCCCTTTCTAGCCATCCCAGCGCAGAGAAGATGTTCCCCAAGGGCCTGGATATCATGGACTGGCTCCATCACGCGGACGCGACCCCCGACGTCGACTACCTCATCTCCGCGCCCGTCAGCTTCCCTCTGATCGGTCTCGTCCAGATGGCCCACTACGAGGTGACCTGCAAGGTTCTCGGCATTGACCCCGGCCAGCTGCGCGAGCGCATCAGTGGTACTACTGGTCACTCTCAGGGCATTGTCATGGCCGCTGCCACTGCCGCTGCCGCCTCGTGGGACTCGTGGCGGGAGATCGTGAGCTCGACGTTGTCGATCCTTTTCTGGATCGGCACTCGCAGCCAGCAGGCCTTCCCTACCACCTCCATGACGCCGACCATGTTGCGCGAGTCCATGGACCACGGCGAGGGCACCCCAACGCCCATGCTCAGCATCCGCGACCTGTCGCAACAGGAGGTTCAGAAGCACATTGACGCGACCAACCAGTACCTTCCTCCCAATCGCCACATCAGCGTCTCCTTGATCAACAGCCCTCGAAACCTCGTCGTGACTGGCCCGCCTACCTCGCTCTATGGTCTCAACTCTCAACTGCGCAAGGTCAAGGCCCCTACTGGTCTTGACCAGACTCGAGTCCCCCACACCGAGCGTAAGGTTCGGTTCGTCAACCGCTTCCTTCCCATCACCGCGCCTTTCCACAGCCAATACCTCGCTGAGGCGACGACCATGATTGATGAGGATCTCAAGGACGTGAGCATCGACGCGAGCGCTTTGGGTGTTGCCGTGTTCGACACCAACACGGGCAAGGATCTCCGCACCGAGGTCAAGGGCAACATCGTCCCCGCCCTGGTGCGTCTGATCACACGCGATCCTGTCAACTGGGAGAAGGCAACCGTCTTCCCCAAGGCTTCTCACATCCTCGACTTCGGTCCCGGTGGTGTGTCTGGCCTGGGAATTTTGACTAGCCGAAACAAGGAGGGAACCGGAGTTCGTGTTATCCTTGCCGGCACCGTCGACGGCACGATTCCTGAAGTGGGGTACAAGCCGGAGCTCTTCGATAGGGACGAGGAGAACGCCATCAAGTATGCCATCGACTGGGTCAAGGAGTTTGGTCCCCGACTGGTCAAGACGTCCAATGGCCAGAAGTTCGTCGACACCAAAATGAGCCGCCTGCTCGGCTTGCCTCCGATCATGGTCGCCGGCATGACTCCGGCGACGGTACCTTGGGACTTCGTCGCTGCGACCATGAACGCTGGCTACCACATCGAGCTGGCTGGTGGTGGCTACTTCGCACCTCCGATGATGACGGATGCTCTCCGCAAGATCGAAAAGGCCATCCCCTCGGGTCGCGGAATCACGGTCAACCTGATCTACGTCAACCCCCGCGCCATGGCTTGGCAGATCCCGTTGATCGGTCGCCTACGCGCCGAGGGTGTGCCCATTGAGGGCTTGACCATCGGCGCCGGTGTGCCTTCCATCGAAGTCGCCCAGGAGTACATCGAGACGCTTGGCCTCAAGCACATTGCCTTCAAGCCCGGCTCCGTCGAGGCTATCCAGGCCGTCATCAACATTGCCAAGGCCAACCCGAGTTTCCCTGTCCTTCTCCAGTGGACCGGTGGCCGTGGTGGTGGCCATCACTCCTTCGAGGACTTCCATCAGCCGGTGCTTCAGATGTATAGCCGTATCCGTCGCCAGGAAAACATCATCCTCGTGGCTGGTAGCGGCTTCGGTGGTGCCGAAGACACGTACCCGTACATCACCGGTGACTGGGCCAAGAAGTATGGCTATCCCCCCATGCCCTTCGACGGCTGCCTGTTCGGTAGCCGCATGATGGTCGCCAAGGAGGCACACACCAGCAAGAACGCCAAGCAGGCCATCATTGATGCCCCCGGGCTGGAGGACGACCAGTGGGAGCAGACCTACAAGGGCCCGGCCGGCGGTGTTATCACCGTGCGTTCCGAGATGGGCGAGCCTATTCACAAGCTTGCCACCCGCGGTGTCCGATTTTGGGCAGAGATGGACCAGAAGATCTTCAGCCTGCCCAAGGAGAAGCGCGTGGCCGAGCTCAAGAAGAACCGTGACTACATCATCAAGAAGCTCAACGACGACTGCCAGAAGGTCTGGTTTGGCTGCAACAAGGCTGGCCAAGCCGTTGATCTTGAGGACATGACGTACGCCGAGGTCGTTCGTCGTATGGTCGACTTGCTCTACGTCAAGCACCAGTCTCGCTGGATCGATCCCTCTTTCCGCACGCTTACCGGCGACTTTATCCACCGAGTTGAGGAGCGTTTCACGGCCTCCGCTGGCAAGCCTTCGCTGCTTCAGAACTACGCTGATCTCGAGGAGCCGTTCAGCGCCGTCGACCGCATCCTGGCCCACTATCCCGAGGCCGAGACACAGATCATCAACGCGCAGGATGTGCAGCACTTCCTGATGCTCTGCCTGCGACCGACCCAAAAGCCAACCACGTTCATTCCGGCGCTGGACGAGAACTTCGAGTACTTCTTCAAGAAGGACTCCCTGTGGCAGTCGGAGGATCTCGACGCGGTCATCGGCCAGGACGTCGGCCGAACTTGCATTCTGCAAGGCCCGACCGCTGCCAAGTACTCCACCATTCTCGATGAGCCCGTCAAGGATATCCTCGAGGGCATTCACAACTCTCATATCGCTGCTCTGACGCGCGATTACTACAACAATGACGAGGGTTCCATCCCTGCCATGGAGTACTTCGGCGGAAAGCTCGTCGAGTCGGAGATTCCTCTTGACCTGGATGGCCTGACTGTCAGCTATGACGCCCACAAGAACACGTACCGTCTGGCTTCGTCGGCGTCCAGTGCACTGCCGTCCCTTGACGCCTGGCTTTCCCTCCTGGCAGGTCCCAACCGCAACTGGAGGCATGCTCTTCTCATGTCGGATGTCGTTGTCCAGGGACAAAAGTTCCAGACCAACCCTATGCGGCGTATTTTTGCGCCTGTTCGTGGCCTGTTCGTTGAAATCCAGTATCCCAACGAGCCTGAGAAGACGACGATCATCGTCAGGGAGCAGCCCCGACACAACCAATACGTGGACGTCATCGAGGTCAAGTTGACTGGCAAGAACGAGATTCTTGTCAACTTGATCAAGGAATCGACGGCCCTGGGCAAGCCCGTTGCTATGCCGCTGAAGTTTGTGTATCACCCGGAGGCGGGCTATGCCCCGATCCACGAGGTCATGGAAGATCGCAACGATCGCATCAAGGAGTTTTACTGGAAGGCATGGTTCGGAAACGACCCCCTCAACCTCGACGCGGTTGTCACAGGCAAGTTTGACGGTGGCAGCACCACCATCAGCAGCGAGGCCATTAACGACTTTGTGCACGCCGTCGGCAACACTGGCGAGGCCTTTGTCGACCGCCCTGGCAAGGTTGTGTATGCTCCCATGGACTTTGCCATCGTGTTGGGATGGAAGGCCATCACCAAGCCCATCTTCCCGCGCACCATTGACGGCGACCTGCTTAAGCTCGTTCACCTGTCGAACCAGTTCCGCATGATCCCGGGCGCCGAGCCGCTCAAGAAGGGCGACGAGGTTTCGACGACCGCCCAGGTCAATGCCGTTATCAATCAGGAGTCAGGCAAAATGGTGGAGGTGTGCGGCACGATCACCCGTGACGGACAGCCTGTGATGGAAGTCACGTCGCAGTTCCTGTACCGCGGTGCCTACACGGACTACGAGAACACCTTCCAGCGCAAGATGGAAACTCCTGTTCAGGTCCACCTGGCCACGAGCAAGGACGTCGCTGTCCTGCGCTCAAAGGAGTGGTTCGCCATCGATGAGATCCCCAACGACATCGACCTGCTGGGTCAAACTCTGACGTTCCGCCTCCAGAGTTTGATGCGCTACAAGAACAAGGACGTCTTCAGTAGCGTCGAGACCCGCGGGCAGGTCTTGCTGGAGCTCCCCACAAAGGAGGTGATTCAGGTTGCCAGCGTCGACTACGAGGCTGGTGAGTCTCATGGCAACCCCGTCATTGACTACCTGGAGCGCAACGGTTCTCCTCTCGATCAGCCCATCTACTTCGAGAACCCCATCCCCCTGAGCGGCAAGACTCCTCTGCAGCTCCGGGCCCCTGCATCCAACGAGACGTATGCTCGCGTTTCAGGCGACTACAACCCCATTCACGTGTCTCGTGTCTTCTCCAGCTACGCCAGTCTGCCCGGGACAATCACGCACGGCATGTACTCGAGCGCGGCCGTCCGCAGCCTGGTGGAGACTTGGGCTGCTGAGAACGACATTGGCCGCGTGCGAAGCTTCCACGCGTCGCTTGTGGGCATGGTTCTCCCCAATGACGACATCTCTGTCAAGCTCCAGCACGTTGCCATGGTTGCCGGCCGCAAGATCATCAAGGTCGAAGTCAGCAACACGGAGACTGAAGAGAAGGTGTTGGTTGGCGAAGCCGAGATTGAGCAACCGGTGACGGCCTACGTCTTCACCGGCCAGGGCTCTCAGGAGCAGGGCATGGGTATGGAGCTGTACGCGAGCAGCCCTGTCGCCAAGGAGGTCTGGGACCGCGCCGACAAGTACCTCCTTGACAACTATGGTAAGCCTTGTCTACACCCGCCCCGCAATGCGAAGGAAATCTTCCTGCTAACACCAGCATAGGCTTCTCCATCACCAACATCGTCAAGAACAACCCCAAGGAGCTCACCATTCACTTTGGTGGACCCAGGGGCAAGGCCATCCGGCAAAACTACATGGCCATGACGTTCGAGACGGTGGCTGCTGATGGCTCCATCAAGTCGGAGCGCATCTTCAAAGACATCAGCGAGAGCACGACGTCGTACACGTACCGCTCGCCTACGGGCCTGCTGTCGGCGACGCAGTTCACGCAGCCTGCGCTGACTCTGATGGAGAAGGCCAGCTTCGAGGACATGAAGGCCAAGGGTCTCGTGCCGCGGGATAGCACCTTCGCGGGCCATTCGTTGGGCGAGTACTCTGCCTTGGCAGCCCTTGCCGACGTGATGCCCATCGAGTCCTTGGTGTCGGTCGTCTTCTACCGTGGCCTGACGATGCAGGTCGCTGTCGAGCGCGACGCGGCCGGACGATCCAACTACTCGATGTGCGCGGTGAACCCGAGCCGCATCTCCAAGACGTTCAACGAGGAAGCGCTGCAGTTTGTAGTCAACAGCATTGCCGAGGAGACGGGGTGGCTCCTGGAGATTGTGAACTACAACATCGCCAACATGCAGTACGTGTGTGCTGGTGACTTGAGGGCATTGGACACGCTGGCGGGCGTGACCAACTTCCTCAAGAAGCAGCAGATCGACATTGAGGAGATGCGAAGCAACATCGAGGAGGCCAAGGGAGCGCTGAAGGAGATCATCCGGGGGTGCGCCGAGGCGACGCTGAAGAAGCCGACGCCCCTGGAGCTGGAGCGCGGCTTTGCGACGATCCCTCTCAGGGGTATCGACGTGCCCTTCCACTCGACGTTCTTGCGGTCGGGTGTCAAGCCTTTCCGATCGTTCCTGCTCAAGAAGATCAACAAGACGACGATCGATCCGTCCAAGCTGGTCGGAAAGTACATCCCCAACGTGACGGCCAAGCCGTTTGCGCTGACCAAGGAGTACTTTGAGGACGTGTACAGGCTGACCAACTCGCCCAAGATTGGAGCGGTGTTGGCCAACTGGGACAAGTACGTCCAGGAGGAGGAGGGCAAGGCGAGCAGCGACAGCGGCGCCAGCGTCGAGTATGAGGGCCCCGGCGCGGCGGCGTAAAGGGGGGTCGCGCGGAAGACATGGAAGGCGGAGAGACGCGAGAGACGGGAGCTCTCGGAAGGGATTGATGCGCCTGATGACCCAAGGCAAGAGGAGTGGCCGATTATTTTGTGTTTCCTGCTGGTTGCTTCGGGCCTAGTCCCTACATGTATTCACTCTAGAAGAGCCGATGGCGGTCATACGAATGCCTCTGATATGATTAATAGAATTCATAGATGAACGAAGACGATGCTCGAATCGGGCAGGTGATTGAACCGTGAATGTACAAGCGACATGCGTCTGCTTCTGGCGGTGATGGTATGCGCTTTGGGCTGGCCTTGGGCTCTCAGACTCACGAGTGAGCAAAGTACTGCCCGGTATGGGCTGGTTTGTTTCGCGTGAGCGACGAGCGACAGCACAGCCAATGAACGATTGGGGGCATGACGCACGCTAATTGGACGGTCGTTGGCGGCAGGTGGCTCCCAAAGGTTCCTGCCTGTCGGTCACCGGCGACCACCGGCGGCAGGGACCTCGCGCATGGCTGCTGCCGGCGCAGGAAACAGTGGGTCCGAGTTGGGACGTCTGGGGACTCTAGGCTCTGTTTGCCGTCGACCATCTCCGTCAAAAGACGACGAGGCTCAGCGTCACACAACGTCGCCGCAGCCTGTGCGCGGCTTGATAGTTGGACCGCAGTCTGGTTCCTGACGATAAAGGAGCCTCTCTCCCGTCGTACAAGAGCGGGGTCTGTGCCGCTCGATTCTGGGCTTCTCCTTTCTCTCAGTTTCGTTTTCGCGCCTTTGTCTCTCTCTACAGTCTACGAAGTAACTCTACACCCGCGCACCGACATAGCCTCAGTGAGGGGCTGCAAGGAACTCGGACTCAACCAACGTTGCATAACCCCCACACGTGTCACAGCCTTCATCATCATGGGCTCCTCAGAAGCGGCGATGCTGCCCGTCAAGAACCAGGTCCTGTTGGGGACGTTTGTGCACAGCAAGACGGCGCAGGAGCTGGACTACATGCACAACACCGCCGTTGCCGTCGACTCCCACGGCACAATTGTTGGGATCGAGAGGGATGCAGCAGATGTCATGAGCGCCAAGGCGAAGCTGCTCGCCAACTTGGGCTGGAGCGAGTCTGATGTGCAAGTCTGCGTAAGCAAAGAGGGCCAGTTCTTCTTTCCCGGCTTCATAGGTGAGTCTCGTTCCACTGCGCAGGGTCACAACTTCATATATGACCCTATGATGCTGATAGGCGGGACCTGCAGACACCCATGTCCATGCGCCCCAGTATGCAAACGTGGGCATCTTCGGCAAGTCGTCTCTGCTTGACTGGCTCGAGAAGTACACGTTCCCTCTCGAGTCCAGCCTCAAGGACCTCGACAGGGCGCGCATGGTGTACAATGCCTGCGTGAGACGCACCCTGTCCCACGGTACCACCACGGCTGCATACTACGCTACCGTTGATGTTGCTGCCACAAACCTGCTGTCGAAGCTCTGTCTGTCCGTCGGCCAGCGGGCATTCATCGGCAGGGTGTGCATGGACCGGCCTGGCATCTGCCTTGACTACTACAAGGACGAGTCGGCGGAGCAGTCCATCAAGGCGACCCTCGAGTCCATTGCCTACATCAAGGAGATTGATCCCACGCACGAGATTGTGTCGCCCATCCTGACGCCGCGCTTCGCCCCGGCGTGCACGTCCGAGGCCATGCACTCGTTGTCCAAGATCCAGCGCGAGCTAGACCTGCCGGTGCAGACGCACATCTCGGAGAACACGGACGAGGTCAAGCTCGTGAGCGAGCTGTTCCCGGACTCCAAGTCGTACGCCGACGTCTACGACAAGCACGGCCTGCTGACGCCCCGGACGATCCTCGCCCACGCCGTCCACATCACCGACGACGAGGCGGACCTCATCGTCGCGCGCAAATCCAAGATTGCCCACTGCCCCTGCAGCAACAGCTCCCTGACGAGCGGCGAGGCCCGCGTCCGGTGGATGTGGGACAAGGGCATCGAGGTCGGCCTCGGCACCGACATGAGCGGCGGCTACAGCCCGTCGATCCTCGAGGCGGCGCGCCACGCCACCCTCGCAAGCAGGCACCTCGCCATGGACATTGCCGACAGGAAGGAGCGCGAGAGAGTCAAGCTCACGGTGGACGAGGCGCTGTTCCTGGCGACAAGGGGCGGTGCCAAGGTGGTCGGCCTCGAGGACAAGATCGGCGGCTTCGAGGTTGGCAAGAGGTGGGACGCGCAGCTCGTGGGCCTGGGCGTGGTGCAGCCGAACGGCTCGCGAAACGGAGAGGAGGTGGCGGCGGCCGCGCACTCCAACGGCGCCGCCAATGGGCACCCTACTCAAGGGGGACACGGCGGCGACGCCGGCAACGTGGACATTTTTGGGTGGGAGGCGTGGGAAGACCGCGTGGCCAAGTGGGTGTACAACGGCGACGACCGCAACACCAAGAAGGTCTGGGTCAACGGCAGGCTGGTTCACTCACGACAGTGAGTGATGACGACCAAAGGATGATGACGACGAAGTATCTGACGGGACGAGACGACGCATGTACGACGTAAGAAGAAGTTGTGGTGGAGAATCTGGGCTGTGTTGGGTATATCTATCTGATAGACTGACGGTCTAGACAAGTCAAGTACTTCATGGGAATCATCGCTGGCTTCCTGCGCTCCTACAAGACCACAAGGCAAAATGGCATGGCCCGCGTCCCAGATTCAAGATCCGCTCCTCCCCCCCCCCCCCCCCCCCCCCTTCTTCATGGCCCATCCAGTCCAACAAGACCCCGCCGGCGATGTGGCTTTCCCTTCTGCTGGAAAAACACCAAAGAAACTCACTCAACAGAACCGTCCCCTTCCCCTTCTTGTTCCCCTCACTTGCGCGTCTGGCGCTTCTGCTGCCTATCCCTCTGCGTCTTCTTGACGGTAAACAGGTTGCTCAGCTTCTTGTACGCGGAGCCCTTTTCGCCGGCCCTCGTAATCGCGTACTCTTCGAAGAGGGCATCCGCCTCCTCGAGCAGCGCGCGCATTTCATCCGGCAAGGCGCCCGCGGCGGCCGCCTGCTCCACGTAGGCGGCGAGGGCAGCCACGAGCTCCTGGCGCTGGGCGTCGTCCGGGCGCGAGGTCTCGTCATCCTCGATGCGCCACACGAGCTCCGTCACCATGCTTTGCATGTCCCCCCGGTAGTCGAGTAGCATCTCGCCCGACTTCAAGCGCTCGACGGCTGAGGAGGCTCCCGCGCCCGACGAGGGCCCCGCGGTGGCTTGCCTTCTCGGCGGCGAGTTGGACTTGTTTGAGGGCGTGGCCTTGCCGCCGGCAGGCATGGCTTGCCTGCTGCTGCTACTGCTTCCCCCGGCTTGCTTGCCGCCGCGGCCGCTTCCCCCGGCGGGCGCGGTTTGCCTGCTACCGCTGCTGCTTCCCCCAGCCGGCCCGCTGGGCTTGTTGGGGACGTTCTTTCGGGCAGGCATTATGGTGACGGTGACGGCCTCGAAAGGAGTGACTTCGGAGGCGGTGATGGTAGTGATTGTGTCTTCACCGAAGGCGAAGTCGTTGAGGTCCCGACGAAAAGAGACCGGGTCGGTTGTGTGAATCAGCGTTGAAGTGGTTCTACACGAGAATTGCGAAGGAAGGACGATAGCGAGAGCAGTGCGGTTGTGGATGGTAGAGTTTGGGCCCCGGTGCGACGATGAAGATGGTATTGACGATGGTGGTTTGAGGTGTTTGGGTGTTTGAGTGAGTGTGTGTGATCTGATCTGCTCAAGAAGTTCTCAAAGTCGAGCCTCAGCCGCGATATATATAATCGAGGAGAGACAGCAGCGAACGGCCGGCGCGGGCGGGAGAGTTGGCTGGCCCGCGAGGGGGGCCGCGAGTCCGCATTCAGAGCGAGAGAAAGGGAAAAGGGTAGGAGACAAGGAAGGTGAAAAAAGAGGGAGCGAGAACAGAGGTCGGACGTTTGTGCTGTTCGGGGGTTCGTGGGTTGAGACACAGACGGATAGAAGAGAAGCGACGGCGGCAGCAGCGCGTTCGAACATTTGGCCGCGTGCGGGTGAAAGTCGTGCCAGGATATGCAGCACACACTGTCCTCGCACCTTCACGAATAACGACGGAGAACAAGAAAAAAAAACAGCGAGAACGACATGGCGGCATTGACAGTGACGACCGTGACTGCTTGCGCACAGAGAAGCCACAAAGGGGACGTCGGCTGCCGCGAAAGCGCAACATCGCTGAACACAATTTGAGTGACGGATACGGATTCGGGTCATGGCATGAACATGGTGAACATGATGGACATGGGTTCTTAGATAGGCAGGGCACGGTGAGAGGGCGGAAAGGCCTTTTTGTTGTCTTCAATTTTGCACATTACCTAGTAGTTACGCGGTGAAGCAGAGGGGCCTTGCCATGTGAACAAGGGAATCTCGATACAAACAATTCCGAATTGAGAAGGCATGGAAAAGCCATGGAGAGGAACACGATGGGGTATCAATGCGTCTCGCTGGTCCAAATCTCAGTGCACGGCAACGATGTGGGGGTCTGAGGACCAGCCTCGCCGACCAACACCGCTCCATAACAGCACGTCTCTCAGTCTGCCCTCAACTCCCACTCCAAAGCTCCAGAACAGGTACTCAAACATGCAGGGCCAGACTCTGGGCTATTCCGGCTCCCGAACCACCGGGTCGAGGAGTTCAAGCATCTGCTCCGGATCAATGAGCTCTTCATCGATGTCGGTCCAGTCGTCGGTGATGTCGTCGTCGAGCGTAGCTAGGACCTCCTCGGTGGTCATGTCCTTCCTCTGTGACAGCCATGTGTCTACCTCCCTCGAGAGGTAGGCATTCATGGGCATCTGTGCCTCCGCCGCGATTTGAGCCCGGCGAATAATTGCTTTCTGAGCCGCGCTCCTGACGGACGCTGTGCCGCGCGCTCGCGCCGCTCCCTTGGTGCGATTCTGGCGCTGAGCGGCCCTCTTCTCCCGTAGATTGGTCGCCTTGTTGTCCAGGGCCTCGCGAATAACATAATCCTGCCAGCGGGCTCGTTGCTCTTCCGTGAGAGCCTCCCACGCGCCTCCGCCAAGGCCTTCACAAACCGCCTGCAGACGGTAAAAGCGTAACTCGGCAGTCGCCTGGTAGTACAGCCTCTCATAGCTGCCCAGGGACTCGAGTCGAGTGACGCGGCTGCGCTTTGCGGCCACGTTGTTTCGCTTTCTTTCGTGGATACCCACGAATTCGCAGATGCGGTTGTTTCTTTGCTCCAGATACATGCGAACGAGGGGATCTATGTCGTTTGGGATGTGAACAGTGCGTGGGAACACCCTCTTATCCGGGAGTGGCTGCACTTCTGTTGGGGGCAAGCTTGGTGGTGCTTCTTCCTGGCGCGCGATTTCGGCCGTGACCGCCATGCGGCGGGTGGCCGCGGTCCTCGGACTGATGGAACGGGGAATACCCAAGCCTAGATCCTCGAGGGTGTCCTTGCCGACCACGATGCGGTCTCCCTGCTGCTCTTCTTCGTTCCCACCCTCGGGCGTGGGTACAAGTCCACTTGGCCGCTGCTCTGCCTGGTTCGCGGCAGAGTCCATTTCGACAGGGGCACCACTTGCTCGCAGGGAGCTGGCTAGACTGTGGAATGGGAGAGGAGGTTCATCGCCATGGCTAAAGGAATACATGGCCTGCATGGCTGGCTCGCCGGCCAAGAAGGGACCAGGCTCTGTCAAGGTGGCAGAATCCCCGGGCTGCAAATGTGTATAGTCCGCACTACGGCCGAGGCCTGGGTCTGTGGGCTCTTGAGACCGGCCAGCAGCCATGCCGGATTCACCCAGCGTCTCCGACGACGCGCCGAAGAAGTCAAAAGTGCTGAACTCGTTGCTGTTTACCTCCTCTAGTCCGCTTTCACAAACGTTGAGGATGCGATCCATGCCAAGGCCTGTTTGTCCGCTGTGTGGAGTCGGTTGGAGGATAGCGACTGGGTTTCTGTCGACAGCAGAATGGGTTTCAGGGTCGAGAATGTCGGTATTGTGGCCGTTGTTTCCACCCTCAGGTGTCATCATGCCGCTGTCGATCTTGGTCGGTCGCGATTGATCAGGAGTCTTGGTCTTCTTTGTGTTGAGGCTCGCAATACGCTTGAAGATCGACTTGATCCTAGTTATGACGGAAATCATGTTAGTCTTCCGAGGTCCCTGGGCCCAGACTGGACGCTGTTCGTTGGGTTGAAGAGGCGAAATCTCTCGCCGCGAGTGCCTCAATGCTTGCGCCGCTCGTCAGGGAAATGGCATCGTCGAGACAGAATGCCAAAGGAGCACGAGGGGCGAAGTGCGTGGTGTCGACGAGGGCGAGGGGAATGGGGGAAATGTTTCGCAAATGAAGAATTGCACATGGCCTGTCAAGTACCGTACTTAAGCAAGTATGTCGTCGTACAAAGCGTCTCGTCTCGGGGATCGTACAAGTCAAAGGAGGCTGCCCAATGAAGTGATGATATTTGTTCCTGGTGTTGATGATACCCAAAGTCATCCCGTCATTTCAAGAAGTGGTGGGACGAAAACGGTCAGAAGAAGCGGTCTGCGACGTCAAATCGCCCCGAATAGATGGCTCGACACTCGCTGATCCTCCTCCCGCGATGGTGGTGGAGGAGTGTTGGTGGACGTGACGGAGTGGTGTTGCGGGAGAGAGGCGCAGAAGTTTGTGATGATGCAGGAGTCACGTCGCAGTGAATCCTGGTGGGCAAATTTATAGCCTGCGGAAGCGAACCGTCATGCAAGTGCGAAGCGCCGTCGGATGCGCGAGGTATCGTGCCTCGCGCTTGCGCAAGCGGCCTTATTGTTTGGACGAAGAATAAATAAGAAGTGCGAAAAGTAGACGAGCGGGGACTGCACCACATCAGACATGGCGTGTTCTCGCGTCGGTATTGTCATGAGATCAAGTGACTATTGTGTTGCACAATGACTGTTTGAAAAACGAGGGCAAGCATGGTCGCTGTGCGGCGGCGACCTTCGCTGGCGGTGTCGAATTCGAGGCAGGCTCAGGGACCTTCAACCTCGTGCGGTGGAAGAAGACCGAACGTCGGTCACGATGCCTCATCGTATTGCATGCCGCATGTCGACGAGTCGCAGGCTATTGTTGACGCTGCGAGAGCTCAAAATGTCAGCCATGCTCGTGCTTCAACGTGGTTGCATTCTGCCAGGGGGGTAGATCAGGGGGTGTTCATCGGTCGCGCCCCATTTGCGGACACGCTCGACGGTGCCCCAAGACTATTGCGCAGCTCTTTTGTTGAAGACCTCCTCCTCGTTTGCGATTGTAAGCTTAGCGAAACGACGTCGGCGAGGAGACGTGCCGGATGCACAAGGACAAAGGTGGTGTGCGCGACGGCCTTGTTCTCCTGAGGCCCCCACCACGTGCTGTGTCGGTGTCGACTACCCAGGCGGCCCCCTGAAAGAACTGCCCATTTCCATCCCGTCTGCGACGCCTGGCGAGGCACCATGCCGAAACTTCACCAGCATTTACGAGTTGGTGTCGTCCCGGCTTCACATCCTGTCCTGTGAATGTCACAGCGGAGCTTGCCGTGCGACTTGGTTCGACCTACACTACGAAGTACACCGAACCGGCAAGACTAACAGAGAAGCAGCTCCGAAATCGAAGCCCTGATCTCCGAACCGCCACACTTAGGTGAGACCAAAGCCTTCGACGTGCACCGATTCCAAGCATCTTGGATTCTGACTCTGGTCGTCTCGTCGGGCCGACTGACGCCGTCGACAGCGTCTACAGCCCTCGTCTTTCCCCGCGCGTTCCCCGCCTCCAACGACGTTTGCTTGAGCCACGCACCTCGTGTGGCAGCCAGAGTACATCACAGCACTTTGCGGCATTAGTCTTCTTGGTCAGCCGGGCTAACGGATCGTCGCCAGTCAGATTCTTCGTCGCTATGCCTCCTCCACATCACCGGGGCGCCACCCTCATCCCGGCCATCCCCAGCAGTCCGCCTCCACGAGCAAGGCAAGCAAACCCACACAGGACCCTTGCCTCCTCGGGCATGACAAATGTGCCGCACTTCTTCTTTTCCCCGACGCTCGTGAGGAAACTGGAACCACCCACGTGGCTCCATCCTGGACCACTCGCGTCGTCGCAAGCTTCTCGAGCAATGCGCCTTCGTCTTATGATGCCTCGTTTGAAATCTACAACGCCGACTCCGGGTCTTGACAAGCAAAGTACTGACCATTTGATCTCATTACCGGTTCGAATCGATCCATGGCTTATTCCGCTTCTGGCGCTCCATAAATGCTTTGATGATAGGGAACTGAAGTTCCCGGTCATCACGTAGAGAAATGCAGTCATGCTCGTAAAATCACTGTGCCGACAACTACCCCGAGTCGACCGACGATTCCCGACACGCTCCCCCATGTTGAAACCTCCGAAATCGGCTCGAGCTCGCATTATCCGCCGTTGTTGTTGTCGTGGTCTTAGGGCCGGATGGGCATGCTCAGAGAGCGAGACCCGTTCCCCCACCGGTCCATCGGTACAGTCCGAGGAGTTCCCTTCGCCGTTGGTGCTGCTCACCCAGATCCTGGGGTACTCGCCCACGAACAACAGCCAAAGCACTTCGCATAACCTTGCTAAAGTTGCGCTGTCACGGACGTCAGTCAACCATCCCGCGGTGAAAGCGACTCGATGGGCAGGCCTACCTGATACTCAGTGTTGAGCGTAACTACGCACGCTTCGTGAGCTCGCACAATAATCTCGCATGCCCTGATGACGTTCGGTGATGCCTCAAACTGGAGCTTATCGGCAATCAGGAGCAACAAAAACGATCCTTGCAAGAGGTAAACGCCGAAAAAGAATGGCATGAATTCAAGACCGGGATCAAACTCCAGGATCTGAGCGATTGCATCGGCTGCCGATACCGCATGTCCTGTCGCAGTAATAAAGGCCTGCGTCGAAATCCACAAGTCATTGTCGTCAAGGAGACTGATGGGATCCCACTTGTCGGCAAGTAGAATATGGAGCACATGCATAACATGCGTCCCGTACGCCACTGTTATCCGAGCTTGGATCTCATTCTCCGTCATGCGGTTTGAGGCGTTCGTGTACACGGACTGCGCTGACGGACTGCTCGTATCGTTCATTCTCGTATTGTCGCCATCGGGCCGACCGGAATCCCCCTTGCCACCGTCTGCTTGTCTCGGCAAGTGCTGCTCCTCGAATCTCTTGAGGCTTTGCTCGTAGACCTCGAGGTGGCGGCGAATCTCCTCCGCCTGAGCATCCCATTCGTGCGCTGCGCGGAAGTCGATGCCGAAACGAGGATGGTTCTTGGCATGATGCAAGTCGACAACCTCGCCTAGTATCGTCATGAGTGGGAGAAAGTAGCCAAAGATGCTATGCCCGCGACACTCGAACTGTGGTCCCGCGAGCCGAGCACCCTGAGCACCGAAACCTTGGGAACCGGAACCAAGCGCGCCCTGATCGGGGTTATTATCCGGAAACGTCGGAAAGGCTCCCTTCTGCCAGGTATTGTCGTTGAGTGGTTGCAGCAAGTTCTCGCACTCTATGTCGAGGAGAAACATGGGTCGGTTGTAGCACAGGGCCAGGTGCCTATCGACAGTGTAGAGCAACCACCAGATCCGCCGACGCTCTTCTCGCTCTTCCTCTGTTACAAACCCCGGTATGCTCCGGTAGATGTCGTGGTCCTCGATATTGCCGTCGTGGTCCGTCTCGTTGCGGTCGGTGTTTGGCGGTATGTTGCCGAGTGGTAGCTCCCGACCGAGCTTCAGCTCGCGAGCAAGTGACCATGCAATGTTCCACCACCTCACACTGGCGCCCTTGTACTCACTAGCCGATACTACCGTGGCCAGGTGAATGTATGTCGCAACGTCGTCAAGCTGACCAGCTGCTCCAAACGAGCCTGCCTCTCCCGACAGCCCATCCACGCCCAACGACCCCGGCATCGCAGCGCCCAGGCCGGCCATTCCCACGGCTCCGATGCTCGCGTTCCCAGTTGTCAGCAGGGTCTCCCCCATCGGAGTATGGATCAGAGGCTTGAGAAATCTGACTGTCAGGTCCAAGAGCTTCTGGCAGATCTGAGCCCTCGCCGTGGGAGAGCTCGTCAGCAAAGATGCATCACTTGTCTGCGCCGCCACCCAAAGCATGCTAGCCAGCAGGGCTGGCTGACATTTTCGAGGCCGGTTTGGATGAAGAAATGCTCTCTTTCGAAACACAAATCCTAGGACGTACGGCGACATGGGATGCATCTGAGCGGACGATGACGAGGAGAAGTAAAGGTCGAGCAAGTCGCAGGCGAGATTCAGGGGAATGATGTTGCTCAGGTGCGGCGCGAGTGGCTCGAGAACAGGGTAGCGAAGGCCAGTGTGTCCCAAGGGCTTCTGTTGGACTTGATGCTGGGGTTGTTGCGACTGAAACTGCCCAGAGGGCGACGAGATGCCGACACCCCAGCCGGGAGACGCCCCACCGGCCATCTGATATCCGGTAAGCGGGCTGTTTCCCATGCGGTATCCAGAGCCGTTAAAAGCAGCAGGACTTTGCGGGAGCAGCCCGAACGATAGCGGGTAGCCAGACATGTTGTGGCTGGGGTCGTTGGAGTAGCCCGGGCTCCCCATCATCCCTCCACCCATGCCGTGCCTTTCGTATCCGGTAGAGAGTCTGCCATAGCCGTTGAGGTCGATAGCCTGGTTGCTTTCCATCCCGTCCCTCTCCATGGGAGTGTCGTCGGCGAGGTGAGACTGGTCCGACATGTCACTGGAGACGGTGGTTTGGCGTGTCTGAAATTCAGGGTCGTTTGTGTGCCGCGTACCTGTCGACACGTCGCTGCCGTGGCCAGCATTGGCGGCCGAGTCTCCTTGGTCGTTGGTGCCGTGAGCTTTGTTTGCGTCACCGCCAGGGCCGCCCACAGCCGCAGCCTGCGCGGCAGCCCGCTCGGCGAGGTCCTTGCGCGAGGCCTTTCCTCGCTTCTTCTTTTCCCGCATGTACTCACAACTCAGGTTGAGTTCTGCGAAGACGGGGTCAGCAGGCGAAGACGGGGTAAAAGCTGGGGGTTGGCAAGCGGCAACGGGGTCTACGCACCGATGCAGTGGGCGCAGGGGTGTCGTCCATCACATTTGGTCCGAAGCTGGTTGCACTGATCGCAGGCGCGGCTTATGCGCCGCCTGATGGGCGCCGAAGCCGTCGAGGATCTGCCTCCAGGGCCGCCGGAGTGGTGGTGCTTGGGCTTCGAGTGAGGCATAGGAGGCCCCATGGGTGGGCTGGTGACGGGCATGTCCCGGTCCAGGGGAGGTGGCGGTTGGAAGCCATAGCCATGGTCTTGCCTGAAGCCGCCGAAGCCGTCTGTCTGGAGATGAGCCTGCGCGAGCTGGGTGTTGTAGGCCGAGGGCGGCCCGGTCACGGCAGCCGGCGCGCCAACCGGCGCGGCAACGGCCGAGTTGTGATAGGGAGAGTACCGCTGCAGCGGGTTGGACAGCATCTTGGGTCAGGTAAAGCAGGAACTCGGGGGTGTTTCTGTGTGTTGCCTTGTCCACCGCGAGATGGCAGTGTTGTTTGATTCTGGGAAGTTGCGGATCGGCCGCCTGCACCTTCCCAGGGTCCCGGGTTCCAAGGAAGGAATGAGGGGGGAGCTGTTGATTTGTCTGAGCAAGTGAAGAAGAGGGTGCCTTCCTGTTGCCTGGCCTAAGCCTGAGCCCCCGGGGCGGGAAGGAGCAGCAGAGGCTGGGCAGGAGCAGAAACAGGAGTCGGATCTGGAGCTGAAGCTGGAGCAAGAGCGGCGGGCGGCAGCGGCGGCGGCGGCGGCAAACCCCCAACAAATGCAAACTCGTGCTCGAGACCCTTGGCGACGTGACGACTCGACGACGACGATGCTGCTGCTGCTGCTGCTGCTGCGTTTGCTTTTGCCCTCTCTTCCTTCCGGCGGCGACAGAGTAGGAATTAATGACGGCGGCGGGAACAACAAAAGGCCCCTTCCAGTCGCCAGACCAGGTCAGGTCAGATCAGATCAGAACGGGCCAAGGTGCGGAGAAAGCGACAAGGCTGGCTGGCTGTGTGTCCCTAGATACGATCCCGAACAAGGCAATGCGCTCCGGGTAGCAAGTTGCGGGTTGCAGGGGAACCTCAGTGTCAGTCTCACCTAGCTCTCAGGGATGCGCTGCAGCGGCCAGGATGCTTCTCCGTCTTCCGATGGTCGCCGACGAGCCCCAATCCCCAGCAGCTAACAGCGATAGACGGCGCCCGCTTGGTGACGACGCCGCAGGACTGGGGGGTCCCAAGGGCTGCCTGCACCGCGCCCGCCTTTGCGTGTACTTGGCGCGCGACGGCCCAGCGACGTTCTCAGTTGCCTCCTCCACCACAGCTCTCGGTCAACAATCGGGATGTGGGCGGACTGAAGCCCGCGCGACGAGCGACTGTGACGAACGACCGCGACGACAACGATGACTCGACGTTCACCTGGCGGCGGCGACAACGACAACAGCAACGACTGTGACAACGATGGCAAGAGAAAAAGGTACGTGTCCGCCCCCTTGGGTCCGTCGGCATGCTCGTCCCACGTCAGATGGGCCCCGTCAACATTTCAAGGTTGTTTACTGACCCGGCGCGGAGGGCATCGAAGGTGCCATCGACCAACGTCTAGATGCCGAGGCGGCCCCGTCCACCCACTGGTGCCACACGCGGCTGCCATTATATTCCGCGCCCCATGTCGGATTCGAAGTCACCAATGACCCCATCGAGTTCATCATGGCCCTCTCAAGCCTCCTCCCTCCGTGGGACCCCGCCGCCATGGATGTGGATATGGCCGTGGATGTGGATGGTGTGGTGGTGGTGGTGGCGGTGGTATGGATGGCAGCGGCCGGCATCGAGGACCGGCGGCGCGGCCTCCTGTGGAGGCGTTAGAACCTGGCCGGGCATCCCTGGGTACCCGGGGGCAAGCAATCAGGTGCAATGTCGCCCTCGAGAGCCCGGACGAAGCAGACAATTCCGCGAGGCGTCAATGGTGCGGATGAGCGTTGTTTCCGTGGTGGCTAGCCGGGGCGCCACATGGCCCCTAACTGGCGGAGATTCTGCGGGTCACGCACCGCGCTGCCGTCGCTATTGTCGACGGCGAGTCGTTGGCCGCGCCCGCGCGTGCCCTTCATGACACGGTCACTCGGTGAAGCAATGCGCCGACAACACCGACCACGCCCGGTACCAAGGCGCCGGGCATGCGCTCTTGGAAGCACAGCGCCTCGCCCGCGGCCTCGAAGAGTCGGGGCGATCAAGGAGGCAAATTCGACGCAGCCACCGTCAAGCAGCGATTTGCACATCTTGTCTGATTGTCGGCACCCAGCAGAACAGAGCAGAGGAGCCCGCATGAGGTGAGCACCGGCCGAACGCCCTCTCGACCCCATCCATGCATGGGGCGAGCGCCATTGTTGCCCCTCTCTGGCATCTGGGAGCGAAACTCTGTATCCGCCGGGAGGGGGAACGGCGACCAGGGAGGGATGCTACTAATCACGAAGTTCGTACGAATAGGGACACCTGCGTGATGGTGCGAAGCCGCCAAGCAAAGTGGTTGAGGAAACCCGACCCAGCCAAGCGGGGACGAGACGCCGACTCAAGTTGACCGATCCATGTCAGTGACGGACGGGTGGTGATGCAGGAGCGGGTGGTGCAGATAGCAAGGGGCCGGACTGGACAGGTGGTGAGCACCAGAAACTCACTCCACGTTTGGAGCATTCGATTTTCTGACACAGGGGACCCTGACGCCGCGCCAGTCCGGCTGGGACGGCGCAGGGGCTCCCAGCACGACTTCAGTACGTACCGGACTGGGCACTATCCTGACCCAAGATCTGGCCCTCGTCCCATTCCCGCCAAGTGGGTTCTCTCAAGCTTTAGAGTACGGAGCGGTTCCTCGAGCTGACGCTGTCCTGGTCCCTCTAATCTCGAGGGCAGCGGCACGCATGATGGCCAGGGACATGGGCCGTGGAGAGCTCGCCTCGTCTCGTCATCGAGACCTCATGGGGCAAAATGATCATCCAGCAGTCCCGAGCATCAAGCGTTCAAGCCCTCGACGGCCGGAGCTGGCGGCTTGTCCTGAGTCTCGCTGCAGATTCCAGAGCCTCAACAACAGACGTTCCTGGGTATCGTGGCTGCTGCAGAATTTCGCGCAGGTTTCCTGATTGGCCCTGGGCCGTAAGCCCAACATCCACCAGGCTCAAGCCATCGTCGACAACGGACGACCAGCAGCGCATCCCTTCATCCGACTGGCCCGACCCACCAGGGCCAGGCCACGCATCGCACCAACGGCCATGCATCGACGCATCGTCAGGCTTGCCCGAACCTGGCGTGGCCAGGTCGTGGTCGCCACTGTCAGCTTGTCACTCACTGTCAACCCCCCACGGCCGCGGCCACTTTCGTCAGCCACGGCTGTCAACCGCCAAACCCAACAGACCAGGCGCCGCCACGGCCACTGAGGTGGGTGGCAGGGCCCCCCAAAGCACTACTTCACGCGGCACTTGAGACTGAGACACCTCAGCCTGGCAGCCCAGACCTGGTCGAGGGGGGCAGGCGTCGCGCGCTAACACGGATGGCTGACATGGCCCCCAGGAGTAGCGCCGAGGAATCCCAGGTGGTGGTTGCGCGTCGGGCGGTGACAGATGGCTGACAGAGCAGCTCGGTATGCGGGCCGTTACCCCGGATTGGTATCCTTCTCCGCCCCCAGGCGCGCTGTGTCCAGAGCGCTGGAACGGCGGCGGCGTCGTCCCTCGTCGTCAATCAGCGACCACATCGTGTTGTTTCGGCGCAAGAGCGCTGCGCATAACCACCCGGCAGTTGCCTCGGGGAAGGCGGAAGGGGAAGGGGGAGGGCAGCAGATCACTTGCATCATGATCCGCTGCCACGAGGGCCTCTCCCGTCCCCACTGGTAGCAAATGGCGATCAGCAGCCAGCAGGAAATAACACGGCGTGCCGCCGGCCCTAAGGTTGTTCTCGACGACCTCCACGGCCAAGACCCAGGCATCCAGGGCACGAGGCAACCGCCGGCGGTGTTGCCTGCCCCTTTCCGCCCCGGTCCAGTCCATCCAGGCGCGCGCGCGCGAATACGAATCAGTCAGTCAAACCAAACTCCCGGCAAGGGATTCCCTGGACGCAGGGCCGGGTCGCCACGTGGTCCACCGCCCCGTCGCCCGTTGAGCACTCGATCGTGGTCCATCCGCCAGCGCTGTGTTAGTTCGTCGAGCGCGCTGCGCTACTCGGGCACGGAAATGCAGTACGTACCGCCACTGCCCAGCATAGCGTCCCGCTTCGGATCCGAATATCGCACCTTCGTCCTGCCCGGCTCCGACGCCAAGGCGACCACAATCCAAAACACATATCTGCAACGAGGACCTGTGCATGCGACTACATACAGAAAATTATGCCCGTCGTGTATAAAGTATGGCATGTTCCAACGGTGTCTGCGGGGCGTGCTGCTGCCATCAGTCGATAAGGAGGTAGATTGCTCACCAGGTTGTGGCAGGCTTGACGGGGGTACCGTACCCTGCAGCCTATGCCCCACGAGACTTGATACCTTAGTCTACAACAACATTGCTAGTCGCCTCGTCGTCGAATGATGCAACTATGGACTTCCGTTGTATGACACAGTATGCAACTCTTGGGCCAAATCAATCCCAAGGACTGCGGTACTGCGCAAGCAGAGCGCCATTGCGAATATATCCTGAGAAGTGCGGTTGGTTCGCGCGCGACGGCGGTCGAGTGGCTGTCTTTCATTCACAAGTCTTCTGGTGACAAGACTCATGCACGAAGAGCAAATCGGACGGCGGGGAATTGCTACCTACTTCCCAAAGCTTTAAGCCCCAATGGCTGCTCTGGTCTTTAGCCGCCAAGCATTCCCACATCATCTGATATCACGGGAACGGTCCCAGAGCGTCGGATCGCCCCACGATGGCGTCGTGTCGCGTTGCACGGCATGAACCGCTCGACCTTGACTTGGGATTGGCGGGGCCCTCCTCATGGGGGTAATGTATCCTGCTATAGTAGTTCAAGTTGCGGCATCAATGCCTGACCTCGTGTCGCGTCACGACCCTTCGTGCCCTTGTAGAAGTGAAGGCAGTCACCGTGTCATCCAATCATCCAACAGCGTACGACTGCGACGCCCGCTACACGTACGAAATACGCTACGGTGGAAGCTAATATTTGGTATACAAGTCAATGCGGGGTTTCCGAGTTTCGGGAATGCGTGGTCTTCATTGCTAAACGTCGAGGGAACTCGTCCTGCGAAGAGTAAGTCAGGATGGGAACAACCCAGGTGACATTTGATGCGCCGAAACTGCCAAGCGAGCTCGGGTGCACGAAGAGCATACGTACGACCATGAAGAAAACGCCTCAACGAGGCTTCATAATTTGATCGTCTATGCCTCTTCTAACCCTGAGCATCCGGGGAGCGCCAATTATCCAGCCACCCCTTATTGACCAGTTTGGCAGTACTATCTTCAGATCGAATTCGACCATGCCCCGGCCCCTGGACAAACGCCAACCATCATGATTTTGAATATACATCCAATGTCAAACGCCTTTTCATACAGATGAGTCCACGGCCTGCAAAGCCAGCCCCTCGTCGCATATATCATATTTCGTATCGTGTGACAGTGGCAAGATACAAGTGCGCACCTAGTCGAGGCCAGTGAGCCAGCCACCGCCGTTCAGGGACGCTGCGAGACCCTCGAAGCCGGCACGGGACTGATCAGTGGGCTCTGAAGGGTTCTGGAGGCTGTTGCTGCGGTTTTGGTCCCCGAACATGAACACAGAGTTATTAGGGATGCCTCCAACCAGGTCCCAGCCGTCAAAGTTCTGGTGCCATCTGGCGCTGTCATTGATGAGCCAGCGCTGGCTGTTTATGCCAGCCCCCTGTCCCGGCGGCGCTTGTCGACTGCCAGATTGGCCGCCATTGTTTGCCATCATGCCGCCTCCATTCGCTGGCATGAATGACGTGCCAAAATCAGACTCTGGGGCACCGGTGGCTTGGCGCGTCCATCCTTCGAGAAGATCAGGGTTGAGCTCCATCCGCTCCGAGTCAAAAGGAACACCCTGGGGCCGTTGCGGCTGGGGCATCGCCGGGGCGCTACCAACCGCATCGAGCGGGGGCATCATGGCCATCCGATCGTCAATGGAGGAGGGGGGCAGCGCGAGCTGGGTCATGTGGGCCTGAGCATACTGGCTGATGGGGCTATAGTCTCTCTGCGACGTGGAAATAGATGCGTCGTCCGAAAGCAGAGGAGATGTGTGAGGGCTAGAAGCCGGAGAAGGGACGTCGGAGGTGTTAAAGAAGCCATACTTCTCGTCCGTGCGCTTGAGGACAAACGCGGCATCCTCAGGGAGCTCACACCTCCACTTCCTCGCCAACACGCTGAGGATGCTGAGTGTTCGCCGAGCGCAAAGCCAGTCCTCGGCAATCTCTTCCAAGTGCCTGACGCCGTGGGTTATATCACGCCGAGCACTTTTCTCAGGAAGGTTGAGGAGATGAATTGTGCAGGCGCTGTGAGTCATGTACACAGCAATGTTGCAGATTTGCCGCAGATTGTAAGTTTTCTTGTAAAGCCTCATCAGTTTTGAGATGGCCCCAGCGTTGGCCGTGCAAATCCTCCGGGGCGAAACGTGGGCAGGTAGCGGTGAGACAGACGGAGAGTACTTCAGGAAAGGTCGGAAGAGATGAATGTATTGCAGATGAAAGAACATGCTGCGTCAAGTCAGCAACGGCGAATAGCCCCCTTGCGAGCGAGTGCATTGAAGGCGGTCGGCTACTTACTGCATGAGGATGACGTTGGGCAGCTGGCCCTCCTTCGGTTCGAACTCGATGGGTAGCTGTTTACGCCACTCCTCGAGGCGCTGATGGAGTTCGCTGAGCTTCTTAAGCTCCGCAGACTTGCCTCGGGACCGCCCGATGTGATTGGGATGATAGAAGAATATCAAAAGTTCACTGCTGATCTCGGATAAGCTGGACAGCTGAAGGGCGGCTGCTCGCGTCCTCCATGGCTGCTCGTAGGTCTCGTCGTAGCCCTTGTCCGTGAGTGGTGACCAAATCGCGGCGTCTTCCTCGGGGAATACGTCGAACTTTGCCACGTTGGAGCCGTTCCGAGGCAGCTGCGGTAGTCTGCCCATGTAATTGGACCAGCACTTGTCGAAAACAAAACAGCCCCAGTACGTCATTTTTCTGGCATCGATCTCCTCGTCGCTCATGCGCTTCCTCGTTGTGCCCGCGATCTCGAGGTTCAAGCCAAGATCCTGAGCCATGCGGAAGCTCATTCCACTGTAAACCCAACCCTTGGATTCCCGAGCGCACCCAGCTTCTCGTACAGACATGAGTGCCAGAGCTTGAACCGTGACCAATCGTGGCCGCGCGAACTCGTCGTTGACCAGGATGAGTCGTTTGGCCTCCGCGAAGAAATGATCGCCCTTGGTCCTGCTGTCGCCGGGAGTGGCGTATGCCCCGGGAACATCCGTGAAGTGACAGCCCAGGGCAAGCATCGCGTTAACCAGTAGGGGGGAGCAATGAGGTGTTGAGCTGCTCTCTAACCCTTCTCTGCCCTTGAGGAAATCGCGCCAGAAGAGCTTCTTAGATAAAGTGGTGAAGTAGGCGTAATGATAGTTGAAGTACATGTTGATGAGGTGAGTGATGAGCGTCGCGTCTGCCGTGACCCGAGTCCAAGAGGCAATGGGATTGTCGCTGGCAGGGTATTGTTCAGGTTGCCCTTCTGCGTCAGGCGCATCTGCGGGCTCGCCGTGGTAGATGAGATGTGAAGTGCCACCGATGAAGCGGACACAGCCGTTCTCAAGCCGAAGCTCACCCATCTTACGAGCCAGCTCCTTCTCGCCCTCGACAGGCATGACACCGAGGGTGTATTCTTCATCAGTCTGCTCGGGAGTCGCGACACCACTGTCCGGGGCCGAGTTTGCGATCTGCTGGGCGACAATGTCGAGGGAGTCACAGGCCCGGATGCGCCGGACTATGCCTGGGACGTCGTCCTCGGAGGCGTTGAGGATGGCTTCGACGAGGATCTGCAGGGTCGAGTTGCGAGCTTTCATGCTGTCGACCTTCTCACGGTAGACGCCCTTACGGCGGTGGTCCGAGTTGGGATCGTAGATGCACTCAGTGCCGTAGACGCTGGCGCAAGCTGCGCAGCTTGGGATGGCGCCATCGCACTTGGACTTGCGTTTGCGACATGCGATGCAAGCTGTACTGATGCATCGTCTCTTTTGGCTGGCCGAGGACTCGGGCGCTCGGCGCGGTTTCTTCTTGGTGCCGGTGGACGAAGTAGCAGCGGCGATGGTCGCGGCCGATGCACCCGCAGGAGGATGGTGAGCCTCCAGGAGTCCAGGCTGCGACATGGCTCGGGAGCCGGTGCCGGCCATGGCTGGATAGCAGGGGGCGACGCCCGCGCTCTATGGAGAAGGATTGCTCGAGGGCGCAGGTGTCGTCGAAAGCAGGCGCGACGTCAGTGTCGGTGGGAAGTCTGGCGGGTAGCTGCCGGTGACCCGCGAATCCGTTCCAGGGACCGGCCCACTCAAGTTGTCGCAGGACGGGCGTGGGGACGCGGGCTGCAGCGCACAGGTCCCGTCTGTCTCATCAGGCGGTGGGCGATCTGCTTGCCGGAGACCCGAGCAGCGACAAAAAACGAGCGAGCCGCCTTGTCTGCAGATATGCAACGGAGGCAACTTGGATGTAAGTCGAGAAGGCGATTCGGTGGTCAGGGCGCGAGACAGAGTGGCGGGGAGGCGACAGCAGAGCGCCTGTGCGTGACAAATGGCCGATTGAGGGCGCCGTTGGTGGATGATGCTGGAGCTGGAGAGCTGAGGTGAGTGCTGGAGCCGCTATCGCAGGCTGTACATGCCTGGGACGGATCAGGGCAAATGTGGCTTGCGGAGTCAGCGCCCCACGGAACGTTCCCTTATCTCGGTACCGCCGCCACCGCCTTGGGAGCCGGGGATTGGCTTCCAGTCCGATCAAAAGGCGCAGCAGAGCAGGTCTGACTCGGATCCCGTTGGCCGTCGTTCGGCAGCAGCCGGCAGTTGGGAAGATGGAAGAGGGCCAGAGAGGAATTGTGGTCAGATAAGGTGGGAATGGCGGGTAGGAGGAAGAGGGGGATCGAGCAGGCTGGACCGGGGCTGACGAATAATAACGGGGAGGTTAAAGCAAAGCCAGGCTGGCTGGCTGGGATGGGGGGATCTGGCAGGTTCCGCTCCCGCCGCCCGGGGGGGTGGTTCTGTTTTGTTGGTAATGGCAAGAATCGGTATGGGTGCTGGGCTGTACCGTAACTGCTGTTCGGATCACAGGGCAGTTGCCATCGCTGGGCATATGCAAGCCGGGCAGCCAGGGAAGGCGCCGGCGGCCCGTCAAGGCAAGCAGGCTGTCGCTCCTTTCGTCAGTCGCCCGTTCGTGCACGGCAGGCACGAATGCAGAGGCGGCGGAGAGCGAGGAGCACGAGTCGGCAATACCAGGACTGAGCCTGGGCTGGGGCTGGAGCTGGGGCAGGGACAAGGAGGCAGGAACGAACCTTGATGCCCACGCGACCCGGGAAGGAGGTTCCCAGCATTCTAATATAGGATCCTTCCACCCAAGGTAACGACGTGACTTTACGGCGGTCAGGTGCTCAAAGCAAGGTTCCGGCCCCGACTCCTTACTTTGGGGTCTCACTTTCTCTTGCTTCGAGGCTAATGGCTGTACGAAGTGGCATCATGGCCATCAGTCGCGGCCCGCCGTGGCAGACGCTGGAGTCTGCGCCCTCCAAACTCACCGACCGGCCCCCTTGCCGTTCGCGCGTACTCAACGCCCGCATCCCCAATCACGGCACCAGCAGGACGAACAGCTTGACACCCTGCGCATGCGCACGCGCAGGTCGGCTTCGTCGGGCTTCTCCTTTGGGCCAGGTGCTCGTCCGTCTGGCTCCAGCTCTGCACGCCGGCTTTCACGCCAGCTTCACATCGGGGCCGGCCCACAAAGCGTGGACGAGCGCACTCCACCATCCCCAAATGGCAACGGGCGTCATCACACCCCGTCTGAGAGCCTCACAGGTGACGGCATACAATGGACTCTAGGCTGCTTCCTGAACTTTGCTTCGGGACATTTGGGCCACTCACAGCCAGGACGCCTCGTACACGCAACAGTACATCTACATCTACATGCGATGCTGTGGATGTGGGCGGCGGCTCGCCCGCCTCGGCCCTCTTCCGTGAGATCGCCCCCGCCAGCCCCTGCTAGCGGTCCAGCGGACGACCGTCGTCGTGGAGCCGCCACCTGCTGGCATTTCAACTTCGTCTGCGTCAGGACCACAGCCGTGGCTCTCATCATCAGACGCATTACACGTCTGGCGTGCATGCAGTCTCTGAAGCGCCGAATCCTTCTATCCGGAAGGAGTCGCGGCCACCCTTCACGGCTTCGTCCGCCAAAGCGCGAGGCTAAGGAAGCCGACTGACTGCAGCTGCCGCCCTGACCGCGAATGACCGATCGTGCCCGAGCGCGCCGTGCCGGACGTTTCCCGCTGTACCAGCCTCTGGCCGCCAGCGGTCCTGGTCGGCTCAACGTAGCCGAGAACATGACGTGAAGTCGGCCATGGCTCGTTCCTGCGTACTCAGTGAGCTTTCTCCACCGGGCATGCTCCTCTGAGTCGCACACGGCACGCACGGCCGCGTACATATGTATGTCCCACTGACATTGGAGCCCTGCCAGGGCCCTCACGCTCAAATCGGCTCAAAGAGTCTTTGCGAGTAGACTAGATTGGCCAGATTTAGCCCGACCAGTCCTGTGGTACGACCACACGGGGCCATCTGCTAACCCACATCGTGCAGCCTAACGCGAGCTTCGGCCATGATGAGCACGTCACGGATCTTGACACGGCGGTACTAGATCTGCCGAACCGGTCCCGCCTTATGCTCCAGACGGCGGCCGGATCGCAACCCTCGCGACGTCAACTCGCTACACGTGGAGGAGAGGCAAATGGCTGTGCATCCTCGCGCGGGTTTGCGCCTCCAAGTTTTTCGTGCGGTGCCGTCCTATCTTTGCTTTGGCGCACACAACGTCCGCCAAGATACAGGTGCCAGAGACAACAGGTAGCTAAGAGCTGGACCTTCTCAGGGTCGACTTCTGTTCAACTGCTCGTGGCTTGAGTCTCGATCGCCATAATCTCGTCTCTTTTTGGAAGCTGCACGAAACCGAATCTGGGAGGAGGCTGCTAATGGGGTTTGTCCACCACTGATGCTGCCAGATCGGCTGAGTCCCATCAAGCGCAGCTACACACCAACTAATACAAATTACAGAAATATCAAGGCACACGGCTACGGGCGAGCAACAAAGCTCCACCCACCCAGACCATGCATATGACGTGCACGAAGAGTCACGAAACGCGAGGCCACCACATTTCATCTGCCTTAGATCAGGTCAACAGCGCCGGGCTTGAAGGTGACTATGGACAGCCGAGCCGCCCTGCCGTGGCTAAGATGCCGTAAAGAAGGCCCATCTTCTGGCATGTTATGGTAATGAATTGTCATCATCTTGATGCATGGCGGCCGCTGGCTGAAGTGGCGTTTACGAAACTGTAGATGTTCCTCAGGTTGTGGTGCGTGCCGCAACCACCACGACTACCGGCGGCCTCATTTAGGTAGGTAGTAATTAAGCTGCGGACTTCCCATGCCTCTTGAGTAATGGAAATCAGGAATGCTTGTGACCCTGGTCACAGACGCTCCCACGGCCGAGTGGTGTTTTGCCAGTGACCTCAACCCACGACGCCAACGATGCGCATCTACATACAGTGTCGCGGACCTAACCTCTCGGAAATTAGCTACCCTGAGCATGCTTAAAACTTTCTTGCAACCATTTTGACGGGCCGAGGCTTCTATTTTCGTGTCGATGGATGGCGGTCATGGCCGTTTGCCATTGCAAGTGGAGTGGCAGGACGGCAAGGTGCCACTGAGCAGGCCTCGACCACGAGGATGCCCATAGCTACATGCTCTCCCCGGAAGGGACCTGCCTCGCTGGCAGCCGGATCAGGCTTGGACTTTTCGGCTCCGACGACGATGGCATCCCGCCACCGGATGTGGCGTGCTGCCCCAGCCCACGCTCAAGAGCCGATCCGCACAGCTAAGCTGCGGACTTGTTCTCTCCGCTGTGACTGTCGATTAGTGGCATCAAAACCGGTGGATAAAGCGGCGGTTCTTCGTGCTCCGTCTCACGTTGCCGGAATACCTTCCGTCGCCCATCCTAAGCCGGATATCTCGGCCGCCAAGCATGTGCACCCTGTATGCGGACGCAGTGGTACTGCAAGTCTCAAGCAGCGTTCGGATTGCAGTAGTGAATGGGTCACGACTAATAGTCTACAGCCAACTGGGGTCGGTAAAAGGTTTGTGGTCCTTTTGGCCTTTCATCGGCGTCCACGGCTTCCGATGACATGTCTGCTGCTCAGGACCAGGCGGCGCTCACGAGATTGGGTCAGTCGGCGCTTCCACCCAGGGCTCTCTTGAATCACCCGCAGCGACATGACATAGTCGCTAATGTGCAGCCTTTCCGCCAGGGACTGCTTGCACGTCAGGCTAGACGCCTCCCATGTCGGGTCGGATTTGTGCTCATCTACTTGTGGTACATGGTCTTGCTGTTTGTATATTACACGCGGGGCGAGGCCACAAGGCTCGCTGATTCTTTCCGCCGCTCCTTCGCCGGCCCCTTCCAATGGCCAGCCGCCGATAGTAGCATCGTACAGACACAATCTACCCTGACTCTCACACGCAGTCAGCGCTGCCGCAACGCCTGCACTCCCTTTCAACCCCGCTCCAGGTACCAGTTGTGGGTCAGCTGGTTCGTCAGGTAGCTGAAGGGCGTCGGCACCTCTGCCATACCCTTTCGCGCGACGGGGTGGCGGAGGTATACGGCTGCGCAGATGTTGGGGTTGACCTCGAGGTAGCGCGGAATGAAGGCAAATGCCGACATGAATGGCCGTGGCCGCCACGGCGTGGCGTACGGCTTGCTGTCGTCGACGGGGTTCTCCTCGTCGTACTTGAGGAGCCTGCCCAGCTTGCGCATCTCCTCCCTCGACAGTTGGGATGAGCCCATGATGCGCATCGCCTTCTCCTTTTGCTCCTCGGACAAACCCTCCAGGCCCTTGTCCGTCTGGCGTTGCCTGTTGTGCTGCTCCGATTCTTGCTCGCCCTCGGCCGCCGCCTCCGCTGCTCCCTCCTTGTCCTTGAGTCCGAGCCTCTCAAAGCTCTCGCGCATAAGCTCGTGGCTCTTCATCTGCAGCTGAAGCTCCTCCATGAGCTCCTGGGCGTCCACCTCGCTGTTTTCGGGATGTGAGAGGAAGCGCTTGGCATCGGACCGGAACAGCCGTAGCTGCTTCTTCTCCTTTGCGGTTAGGTCGCGGGGGTTGTTCTGCAGAATCTTCTTGACGTCCTTGAGCAGGAACTTGAGCGCCCTGTTGGTCACCTTCCACTGCTCCTCCTGGCTCAGCGACTCAAGACTCGGCGTTGAAGCCTCCTCAGCCTCGGCGCCTTCAGCCTTGACAGCACCCTCCTCCGCGGCGGACGCATCGGGTTCTTGCTGGCCTTCAGTAGCTTCCGCGTCGGCTGCAGCGCCTTCCGAGACTTTACCATCGGTGGCTCCCTTTACAGCCGATTGATAAAAGGCGTCGGCCTTCTTCTTGCGCGCCTCAAGGTTCTCGCGCAGGCGCTTGTTACCGTCCGTCTCCTTTTGCTGGCCAGTGCCGTACATGACCTTTTCGATGTCGACCTGGAACATGTCGCCGGGGTTGAGCTGATACGAAGGGTGGATCATCTGGAGAAGGTTAGCCAACCCGAGGAAACGAGGTCGGGCATTGAGTAGTGACGGATGGAGGAATTTAAACGCACCTTCTTGCCATTGACCTTGACGGCACCGTGAATCACGAATTGACGCGCCTGGCGGACACTGCTGGCAAACAAGGCCCGGAAGACGGCAGTATCGAGCCTCCGCTCGAGCGGCGCAAACGTCATTTGCATGTAGGGCGTCATGCTGGCGAACTGGTCGGACAGGAGCTTGTTGACGTCGCCGAAGGGGGGCGGCCGCCGGCGCGACTTCTCCTGGGTGCTGAACTTGGGGACCTTGGAGTAGGACTCGGCGGTGAGGCTCGACGTGGTGAGGCCGGAGCCGCGGCCGGCAGCCTGCTCGGAGCCGTCATTGGCGGCGAGGTACTGCGGCGGCAGGTCGACGGCGGAGAGGAGGCGGCGGGAGAAGAGGCGCACCCACTTCTTCTCAGGGATGTGCTCGCCGTGGTAGGATCTCGTCTTGGACTTGGCAGCCCACTTCTGCTGGAAGAAGGTCGGCGTGCCGCGGATCTGCGGCTCGCGGCCGACGTTGCGGTAGAGGTTGTAGAGGTTGTACTTGTTCCACGACTGGCGCAGTTTCTGCGAGGACAATCTGCTGTCAGCGACGCCGATACCGAGGTCACGAGGGGGCGCGCAGGAGCAGCAGCGAGTTGTGGAGCTCATGCGCGGGCGCATTGGGTTGGGAGAGGCTTACCGGCCGGTTAAGGCTGTAGAAGCGGTATGGCTTGCGCATCTTGGCGAGCCTGCCTCCAATCTCCAATGGGCTGGAGGGTGTCGGGGCAGGGTTGTGATGTGCGTCAGGAGCAGCGACGGCTGGCTGGAGATGCTCATCCGCGACGTTGTCCAAAATTTTGGAGCGTTGCGCAGTACGTACCTTGGCCGCTGAGCTCAGTCGCCGCCCGGCGGATTATTCCGGCGCCGCTCCGACCAGTTGCGCCACAGCGGTCTCCACGGGGTGAGCAGAGGAAAGGTGGGGCTGTCACTCAACGCGTCTGGAGCAGAACGGCAGACGCGTCTCATTCATCGTCCCTGCTGCAGCGGTGCATACTTTCTTCACGTCGACACATGTCTAGATCGTCATTTCCGCCCACACCCGAAGCGTCCAGATTCTTGCGGCCGTCGATTTACACCTACTTCGATCCAACTCGTATGGCAGCTTCTTAAAAGGAGAAAATGCTGTCAGCGTCGACGCCAGCCGCGCTGCCCAGGAGCGCGTCTCCGCCGAAACGCTCAGCACCACACGACGACCAGCGCCCCAGGCCGAAACCCCGCGTCAATGGGGGCTTCTTGATTGAGGATGACGATTCGGAGGACGAGGATGGCTCCCAGGACCATGCGCATGCAGCAAAGAAGCGCATGCTGCATCATCCCGGCGCAGTGGACTTGCCAGTGGACAGCGCCGAGGCAACACCTCCAGACATCGATGGGGATGCCAGCGCAAACGATGTCGACACGAATAGCGGCGCCAATGTCCCGCTGCCGCCTTCTCAATTCTTCTTCTCCCTCTTGTCAAATGGACAAGCACTGTTGCCCTCGTCGGTCCTGAACAGCATCAACCCAACCGCATACAGTGCCAGGTCTCACGACGGGAAGACGGCAACAGTCAAACAGAGAAAGGCGACTGCGTCAATATCCTACGAGTCAATTGTTGCCGCACGGTCGAGGACGAAGGAGGGAAGGGCAAAGCGCAGCTACTATGGTATCGATATCCACGAACTCATCGACTCTGCTTCCAAGGAGTTGTCCAGCAAGCAACAACCCAAGCCAGCAGAACCGAACGTGCCCGTCAGATCTGTGGAACAGCCTTCTGTCCAAGGAAAGAAATCGAAGAAGTCGTTACTATGGACAGAAAAGTACCGAGCTCGGAACTTCATGGATCTTTGCGGCGACGACGGGACGAACCGCATGGTCCTGCGATGGCTGAAGCGGTGGGACCCCGTCGTGTTTCCGGGCGCAGCGAAACCCAAGGCCGTCATAGCGAGGCGTCCCGGCATGAATAACCAAGCAGAAGAAGAAAAGCCACACCGCAAGATACTGATGCTCACGGGTCCACCTGGGCTGGGTAAAACGACACTGGCCCACGTCTGTGCGAAGCAGGCTGGTTACGAGGTGCTGGAGGTCAACGCCAGTGATGATCGCAGCCGAGACGTCGTCAAGAACCGTATTCGAACGAGCTTGGGGACCGAGAACGTAAAAACGGTCACCAACACCAAGAACGACAAGGGCTCACAAAAAGTCGCCAAGCCGGTCTGTGTCGTTGTGGATGAAGTTGACGGGGCTACAACCGGATCTGGCGCGTCCGGAGAAGGCGGCTTTGTCAAGGCACTCATCGACCTCGTTCTCATCGATCAGAAAAACGCATCGATAGTCAAGGATTCGGCGGCAAATCTGCACGGGAAGAAAAAGAAAGGCGACGACTTCCGGCTGTTGCGGCCGTTGATTCTCATCTGTAACGACGTCTACCACCCATCCCTGCGACCCCTGCGGCAGTCCAACCTGGCTGAGATCATCCACGTCGGACGACCTTCGATTGAAGCTGTCGTCGGCAGGCTGAAGTCCGTGTTCGAAAAGGAGGGCATACCCTGCGAGAAGGACGCCGCGAGAAAGCTGTGCGAGGCGGCATGGGGTATGACGACGGGCATAGACGCCAAGCGCGGCGCGGAGAGCACCGTCGAGGGCGACCTCCGCGGGGTCATGGTCGTGGGTGAATGGGTTGCCGGACGCTTCAGGTCATCGGCCTTGGCGAATGAACGGCTGCTGTCGAGGCAGTGGATTGAGCGCAACATCCTGCACGACTTGGCCAGCAGCGCGGCGGGAGCACGGGGTCTCGGCCGAGGCAGCGTCAGGGACATCGTCAACCGCCTCTTCCAAGAAGGGGGAGGCTTCCCCAAGCAGGCCATGGGCCTGTCCGAGTCCAAAATCAAGCACGAGCAGCCCAAGACGGAGCTTGGCTTTGGCGAGCAGCAGAAGAAGCACTCTATGGAGCGCCTGCGGCAGATGGTCGATACAAGCGGCGAGGTTGGCACCATCATGACGGACGTCTTCGCCGAGTACCCCAATCGCGAGTTCAACGACGATATTTACCTGACCAAGCCCAACGAGGCGTACGACTGGCTTCACTTTCACGACCTGTGTCAATCCCGCCTGTACGCCAGCCAGGAGTGGGAGCTGGCCCCGTACCTCAGCCAGCCCGTCCTCGCCTGCCACCACCTCTTCGCCTCGCCCAAGAAACACGTCGCCATGTTTGAGAAGCGCTGGGGCGCAGACGCCGAGGAGGATGCCGGGCCGCCAGTGCCCTTCTCGGGCCCACGTGCCGATTACCAGGCCCGCGAGGCGGAGAAGCAGACGCGCGCTGAGCTGCAGGCGATGCAGGCACAGCTGAGCCCGTCGCTGACGCGCTCGTTCCGCAGCGCCGAGGACATGGCCGTCGAATTCTTGCCCTACCTGGTGCGCATGGTGTCTCCTGACGTCAAGCCCGTCGTCGTGGGCGGCAGCCAGGGGACTACGGCCAGCGTGCGCAAGGAGAGCGAGCGCGAGATGGTGCGCCGCGCCGCCGAGGTGCTGGCCGACGTGGGCGTCGCGCTACTCAAGGGCAAGATTGAGGGCGACTCCGTCACCAGCCGGGGGCCGCAGTACGTCTACCGCATGGATCCGTAAGTCTCCAACCTCTCCTGGCTCCCAGACATGTGTATCGCGCAAGGCAGCATTGACTAACAGGTGTAATTTCACAGTGATCTCGAGGCACTGTCTACTTTCGAGACAGGCGCGTCTCTCCTGCTGTCTTCCCAGGCGCCAACCCGTTACGCCGTCAGACAGGTCCTTGACCAAGAACTCCGGCGCACCATTGCCCTGCGCGAGACCACCGCCCGACAGGCCCGCTTCCGCGCCGGGGGCGGCGTAGGCGGCGGCGCCTCGTCCGTGCTGCCGGTGGCCCACCCCCTCGCGGCCGCGTCCGCCCTGCGCCCGCACGACAACAAGGAGAATCTGCGCGCTGACGGCGACGCGACAAAGAACGGGGTCAGCCATCAACAAGCCGCCGCGGCGCTGGTCAAGCGCGACTTCTTCGGGCGCGTCGTCGAGGTGAAGCCCCTGGCGGAGCTGGACGGCAACAGCGCCGAGAGGAGGGCCAGGCGCGAGGAGCGCAAGGTGTGGGTGACGTTCCACGAGGGGCTGAACAATGCGGTGCGCAAGCCCATCTCGCTACAGGAATTTATGCGCGCGCTCTGAGGACGGGACGCTCTGCATCGTACGAGAAGACGACGGTGTATTGGTTGCAAAGCCGACCTTACGAAAGGAGTCAATGGGGGCGACTGCAGATTCACGATGAACATGATAGGATAGGGGTATTGAATATAACGTGCATAAACGTTAAGCCCCCGGGACAAAAGGGGAAAACACAGCGCTCGTGTATCAATGTATCCTGTACATACAAGCCAAGTGTCTAAAATAAATGCATCTAGATGCGCAAAGGTTGAGGATCATCCAATCCAAAATGCCATTCCCCCACCATAGTACGCCTGGCTCCCCGCCCGACAAGCATCGCTCACAGCTTGGCCTTGACGGGAGGGCCCTTGGGCCGCTGCGGCGGCACGACAAGCGGGTCGTAGACGGTGGCGGACAGGGCGTCGGGGGGCGTCGAGTTGGAGTGGATGAAGAGGCCGCGCGTGTCGAGCAGGCCCGGGTGCAGGTCCCTGACGCTGGCGCAGCCGATGAGGCGCATGTTCATCTCCATCTCGTCCTTGAGGAGCTGCATGGCGCGCTCGACGCCGTCCTGGCCGTAGGCGCTCATGGCGTAGAGGAAGGGCCTGCCGATGCCAACGCCCGTGGCGCCGAGGCACAGGGCCTTGAGGATGTCGCTGGCGCGGCGGAAGCCGCCATCGACGAAGACCTGGAAGCGCTCCGGGTCGACGCCGCGCTCGCGCAGGACGGGCATGGTCTCGGCGAGGACCTCGATGCCGGAGCGGGCAAAGTCGAGCTGCCGGCCGCCGTGGTTGGACAGAACGACGCCCTGGACGCCGGCGTCGACGGCGCAGAGCACGTCCTCGACGCGCTGCACGCCCTTGAGGATGATGGGCATGCTCGTGATGCTGCGGAACCAGGGGATGTCCTTCCACGACAGCGAGGGGTCGATGAAGCTCGAGATGGCGCGCGCGGCGCCCTGGCTCGTGTCCGTGTCCTGGCCCGACTGAACGTTGCTGCCCTGGTCGGTGAACTTGCTGCGCATGTCCTTTTCGCGGCGGCCGAGCTGCGGCGCGTCGACGGTGATAAAGAGGCCCTTGCAGCCGCGCGCCTCGGCGTGCTGCACGATCTTGCGGGTGATTTCGCGGTCCTTGTTGACGTAGAGCTGCAGCCACTGGACCTGGTCGCCCTGCCTGGCGTCGACGATCTCGTCAAAGGAGCACGACGCGAGGGTGGGTATCATCTGGACGACATTGTGGGTGCGCGCGGCGCGGGTCAGGACGACCTCGCCCTCGGGGTTGCCTAGCTTGCCGAGGGCGGTGGCGGTGACATAGAAGGGCACGGAGCATTTCGTGCCGAGCATTGTCGTGGAGAAGTCGACGTTTTCGACGTCGACGAGGATCTGAGGGCGAAACCAGATGCGGTGGATGGCGCTGTGGTTCTCGCGCATCGTCTGCGGGCAGTTATCAGTATATATGCCATGGCAGAATACACGGCGGCGGCAGCAGCAGCAGGACAACAGGGGCACAGCGGAGGAAAACTCACAATCTCATCGTCTGCGGCGCTCGAGTAGTACCCCCAGGCGGTGCGCTTCATGACCCTCCGGGCGACGGCCTCAAAGTCGAAGAGGTTGTAGCACTGCGACAGCAGGGGCTTCTGGGCGACGCGCTCCAGGCGGTCGGCCTCGTCCGGGTCCTCCTCCTTGACCTCCTTGGCGACGGTGCCCATGTCGACGGCGCCGAGGTGCTTGGAGCGGTCGAGGTACTTGTCGAGCGTGTCGGGCGGGTGGATGGGGTCGAACTCTTCCGTGGCATCTTTGCCCTGGCGGCGGAGTGTCAGTCACGAGCATCTCACACAAGTAGGCCGCATGAAGACGTACGGCATATTTTAGGATAATCTTCTGCCCGCCCGGATGTTCTATACTGCTGTCAGCTTCGCCGTGTCTTTCTCGACCGCAGGCGATTCGTCCGGCTCACTCACCGGGCAGGAACTCGGTCACGTCGTATGCTTTGCCCTGTGAGAGACAGCGTCAGCTGCCTCACGTCTTTTCCTCATGACGCAGGCTGCGGCAGCGTCCCCGGCCATTGCTCTGGCGCCGACTGGAACTCACATGGATGATGACCCAGCACGACTTTGCATTGTCATGCGCAGCGACGTCGCTCCCTTTGAGCGCCATTGTGTGTCTCTGTGTGTGCGCGCTCGCGCGGTGCTTCTCCTCCCGGCGGGCCGAGGTCGGTGACGTCGAGCCGGACCTTGGAGAGCCGTGGTGTGCGTGTGTGTGTGCCTGTAAGCGGTAGAGGGGACGATATATACGGCGGGACACACGAGGAAAAGGGAACGAACAAGACGATGATAAAGGTGTAAAACGGAGGGACGAGGTGTGAAGCCGGTGAGTTGGAGGAAATTATCCGGACTTGTAGTTGGAAGGAGGGCAGCTCGCTCGGCATGTACCCGCTCCGGGGCAGTTGGCCCCCGGCGACGGCAGCAGAAGCACCAGCGCGATTCCATCCATGGAGCTGGCCATAGCCGACGACGGGGCGGGGCGCGGGCTTGTGCCCGCCCGCGACCCTCCAGAGGCTCCAGGGCTCCATGTCCAGCGAGCCTGTCCGCCCCCGCAATCGGCAATGGACGCCTGCTGACTCGCCACTCCCGCCGGAGCTCCCCTGCGCTCGCTCACAGTGGAGTGGCCGTCCAACCGTCATAGCGGTGGCCCAACTCCCTTCCATCCAGCCCAGTCACTAATCCCGTGGGGAACACTGGACGAAAGGCAACGCAACCCCCGGCTCGCTCTTCGGGGCAAAGGAATGCGGGGCTTCCACTAACACGGACAATACCCGACGGGATTCTTCTCGTCGTCCTGTCGGCGCAGCCCCTGGCGAAGGGCGCCTTCGGCATTTGTCACTTTCAATGGCGACGGCACGACCTGCAGCCACCGCATTCGATTTCTTGCTTCAAGTTCCTGCCACATGCACCTTGATCCCCAATATCGAGCAAGCCATGCATCAGATGCAACAGTTTTTGTTCCTCGCGGCGGCGCTGGCCAGAGCCTCTTGCTAATCAGAATGCTACCTATTCAATTGCTTTTGCCATGTGAACCCAGTCCGTCCCACCAACACACTGCCTCGTTCAAGTCACGCAGCAAGCCTGTCCAATTCAACACTCACTTCCACGCGCTCAGTCCCGCCCACGGGTCGTGAGCCTGTTGCGCCTGTGTTTGTGCAGGTCTCGCCTGGCCGCCGCTCGGCGCATACTCGTACTCCTGGTTGCCGTAGTGGATCGTCTGCTGCGGTCCCAGCGGCGGCGGACCCGGTGGTGGAGGCGGCGGCACGAACCCGGGGGGCACGTAACCCGCCGGCGCCTGCTGCTGTGCCGCTTGCTGGCCGCCGTACCCCTGGTACATTTGGTGCTGGCCTTGTCCAAACGTCGTCTGGTTCGGCGGCGGCGAAGCTGGGCCTCTCATGGCCCCCATGCCAAACGACGTCTGGTGCGGCGGCGGCGATGTCGGGCCCGGGTTTCGTCCGTACTGGCTCGGGTTGTATGCTGGCTGCGAGAACGTGCTGGCCGGCGGCGGGCTCGAATAACCTGGGTAGCTCGGCTGCTGTTGATGTTGCGGTTGGTGCTGCTGCTGTTGCTGCATCATGTGCACTTGATTCGGCGGCGGCGACGTCGGCACCTGGTATTGACCCTGGAAGTTGGTCTGCGGGTACCGCGGCCCCTGCCCGGGCTGGAACAGCGGCGCCGGGGCAGGTCGGCTCGACGTCGTGGTGGCCGGGGGTGACTTTGCTGGGTCCATGGACATGCGCTCCATCAGCCCGCGCAACCTCTCACGCTCCAACTCTGCCTGACTGCTCTTGCCCGCCGACCGCTCTTGCTCGATTTGGTTGAGTAACTGAGCGCCCTCGGCTCTCCGGTTGTTGACAAACGACTCGACATTCTTGTCCAGGCTCTCCACCGTCTCCCTCATCTCCGAGTACCAGTTCTTGGCGCTTTGCAGCCCAGCCTCCAGGTCCAGGAACTCCTGGTACGCCCGCTTGTACTTGTTGATGACCGACGACCGCTGGCGCTGAATCGTCTCATACTTGCTCTGTTCGGCGCGCACCCGCTTGTCCTGCAATAGGGTGTTGAAAGTCGCCGTGAGCTCCTTCATCAGTGCCGACTGCTTGTGGTTCGCCTGCAGCAGTCGGTTCTGATGCGGCCGAAACTTCTCCAGCTCCTGCTCGAATAGCTGCGCTTCATAATTTGATATCGACTTTTTGTTTAGAATCAAAACTTGTGAGATGTCGTCGTTATGAACCTGTTCCCCGTAAGTTAGCGCCGACTATGTCCTTGAGTCGCACGAGTGTTCCCTACCTTCTCCTTGAGATCTTTCAACACTTGATTGCGTTCTCGCTTGACAAGGTTCAGCTTCTTGAGAATCTCCTCGACCCGGGTGATCTGGTCCACGACGCTGGGGCCACTCTCGCCGAAGTCAGTGTCCAGGAGATTCGGCTCAATCGCCGCCGGACTCGTCGCGTTACTGCCCCGTCCTCTGGCCACAGCCACGGCTTGCTGGAAAAGTCTGTCGACTTCACCGTCTTCGGCCGCCCGTCGCATCTCATCAAACTCGGCACCGTTCTGGCGAAGTTTGGCTGCGAGCTGGTTGTCGCTTCTCAGTGCCTCCTCGAGCGCATCGCCGTAGTTGCGAATATCGCCTCTCAATGTCGTCGTCAGGCGGGCGCTGGGCTGCTGACTCCACTCATTCTCGTATTTGGAACGCATCTTCTCGCAGACGCTCTCTTCCATGTCCAGCTGCTTCGTCTTCTTGTCCAGTGTCGACAGGATCGACTCCCGCTCCGTTCGCAGGAACTCGAAGATCGAGGCGGGGTTCTCGTGGTCCGCCACGTCGACACACCATTGCCGAAAGTCTTCGTCTGGCAGGATGTCCTGGTCGAATCCGCCCTTTAGGACTTGAAGTGCGCCAGGTAACCGCAGATAGTCCAGGCTAGCAGCCATCTCGCCATTGGCTGTGTCCACCTTTTCCGTCTCGGCCCGCACCAGCTTGGCCTTTTCCTCATCGTACAGACTGGCAGACTCGGTCACGGCCATGGGCACGATTTTGCCAAACAAATCCGGACCAGTAATGCGCGAGATGTCCTGTCCGGCGTAGAGCTCACTGACCGGTATCGGCTTGGCGGCGGGAAGCTTGGAAATGGCAGGCAAGCTGGCCTCGACGGGAACAGTCTGGTGGTAGACAAAGTCGTTGTCTTTGACGGCTTCTCGCACCTTCTCCTGAACAGTTGAATACTGTCGTTTCGTGAGCTCCTGCAGCAAGCCGCTCGTCTCGGCGCCGAGATTCGAACTCGAGGGCACCGAGGCGGGAAAGTTTCTCGCCATTCGGTCGGCCTCTTTGGCGAGCGTCTCGGCTACTTGGAGACGGCCCACAGCAATTCCGTGCTCGCCCGCTTCATCGTCGGCCAGGGCTTGGTAGTATTGCGCCGTGGAGTTGAAGAGATGTGCTTTGATCTAGACGACGTCAGACTGATGTGACATGGAGGGCCATGGCAGACCCATGGCATTAGTGGCACCACTTACCTGTACAAGCGTCAACCAGACCTTCTCAAAGATGGCACGGTTGACGTTGTCCTGAACGCCCTCGATAGACTGGCTATAAAGGTGGCCAGTCTGCGCCGCCAGCTTGGCTAGGAGCCCAATCTTCTTTTGATCCGCCACCTGCTTCTCGAGGAATATCTCCTGCGCCTGCGCAAGCATGATCTGGATGAGCGTCTTGACGGTCTCACGGCTGAGATCGAACGACGGCGCGTGAAGGAAGTTTTCGTTGATGTAAGTGAACATGCCGGCCGAGGCCTGGAAGGAGTGGTAGGCCGTCTTGAGAGCGGACTCGTCAGCGCGGTTCTGGAATGCGCCATGGCCGGAGAGGATGGCAGAGATGTTGAATATGACGGATGCCTTTTCGAAGGCCAGCGAGTATTGCGTCGTGGGCTTGTGGGTAAAGGCATCGAACCTGCATTTGCGCACAACAGGCTGTGGTCAGCTAAAGTCCTCTCTCAAGAGCCGCAGGAGGAGCCCGATGGCGGGAAGCTGGACATACCAAGTGAAGGATATCTTGATATGCTGCTCGTCTATGGGGAACCGCAGGTCCAGCAGCTCGAGCTGGCCGTAGTAGCGGTAGAGCATGTCACGGCCCGAAGTGCTCTCCTTGCCGGCGCCGCGCATGTCCTGGCGCAGGCGGTTGAGCGTCGCGCACTCCTCGGCGTAGCGCTCGGGGTCATCGCCGTAGGTGTCACGGATGTAGCCCTTCAAGGGGGCGACCCAGTCGATCTCGTTGGTGGCCTTGAGGGGCGCCGAGATCATGGGAGACTGCGTCATGGTGTCTTGTACGACCGGACAGGTAGCTCAGCTGGCGGTCGGCGTGGTGTGCGATGCGTCGGTCGGCGGGCCGGTCAGCCAGTCGCATGCGCGCGCAGCTGAGGCAGCGTGGCCGATGGGAGCGAGCGTGTGTTGGGCACGCACAGCAGCGGAGCAGGAGCGCAAGGCAGATGCGGCGGCGGCAGGCGGCGGGCGGCGGCGGCAGCGCAGCGCAGAGCCGTGCCTGTGCCGCGTCGCGGTCTCTCGTCGACGGTGACAGCGGGGTTGGGCCGGTGAGGGGTGAGGAGGCGACGAGGACGGCCGGCAGGGCTGGTGGGAGCTTCGGGAGGTCGCCTCTTATGCGGCCAGGTCGACACGCAAGGTACGCTGCTTGTCGGGTGCGGCAGCAGCAACAGCGTCGGCACCTGGGTGCTTCCCGCCCGTGGCTTCGGCGTGAAGGGGGGTGGGCGTGAGGCCAGGCAGTCGAGCGAATGGCGGCCGGGTGCACCGGAGGCTGTGCCGCGGTATTATCCAGGAGGTATCGCGAGCGGACTGGTTACTGGCGGCGGTGGTGGTGTTGGCGCGGCCGTCGAGGGTTGATGGACGCAGGTCACCTCAGGTCGTTCGAGAAGCAGAAAGCGGGGTCTGGGACTCAAGGTGGGAGGTTGACCAGCTGTCGGAGTACTTCGTACCTGCCTTGCTTCAGCTGCCGCAACGCAGCGCGCCTCTGTCAACCGCACAGGTACCTTTGGCGTACCTTTTTAGGTAGCTGTCTCCAGCGCCTGGTCGTCTAATTGGCGTGCGTGAACCCGCTGGAACCACCGCAGCTAAGCTATGACGCAGGCGGGGTCAGGGCGCGTTGGGCAGCCGCGGCTGGAAGGTACTGGCTTGTATTGACTCAAGTTCCCCCTCGTAACCTGAAGGTGCCATGCATTCCGAAGTGTCGCGTTTGATGTGCTGTTGGAGCCATGCCAACGGCCAGACGCTGAAACGGCCAGTTTCGAAACGCGCTCGCCCTCTTGCGGGAGACGCTCCCGTGTGGCTGCATACGCGCACGAGTGATGGGGACGTCGAATGTGTGGCGCGGGATGACGAAGCGCTTCGCGGCAGCGTGGGCTGGGCGGGCTCGGTCCAGATACCTGGATTGGACGAACCCCCCAAGCTGAGGCACTCCCAACGGGAACAACCTTGGAGGGCCCTCCATCCACTGTGATGGTTATAGCAGGGACAGGCCGCCGTTGAGCCCGACGATGGTGTTATGTACGCTTGTAGCCGCCGAGAAAGCGCCTCCGAGGGACCTTGAGGCAGCATATCCATCCTGGTTGTCAGGAGTACCGCAGCTCGATGAGCTCAGGTTGGCAGTCCAGTCAACACATGTTTGTTTCGCGCAGAGTAATATATTTACATAGGCATCTCTCCTATCTGAGACGCATCATCCCAGGATGTGCCCCCACGGGCTCCGTCATCGCCCACCTACCTAGGCAGCATCGTGACCTGGCCCTATACAATACAGTTCGACCCGTCCAAGTCCGCTGCCTGGGAAAGCGACGCGCAACCGCCCGCCCACTCTGCAAGCGCGTGGCTGCTGAAGCGCACTCGACACGACGACGGCGACGTGGTCGACGACACCACTCGTCCAGCAGTCGAGCCGGCGCAAACTACAGCAGCGCCCCTTACAGACTTGCCCCCCAAACCGAACACAGCGCTCAGCCAACACTAACACAACCAACCCCCGGAGCTTATGCAGGTGACGAAGCCACGTCCGATCCGGCAAACGCCGCCTCGGCGCCCCGATTGGCCCGGCCTCGGCGCTTCGGCGCTCAGGTCCGTTTGATTGCTTTGCTGTTGCACACACACACACACCACCACCACCACCTCGCGGGCTGCAACCGCTGCTGCCGCAACGGCCCGTGTTTCCCCAACGCGGTAGTTGCTTTGGGGCCTGGCGCTACATCACGGACACTGCAGCTGGATGTCTCACGGGCGCAGTGAGCCGGCAGTTTCTGCCTCGCAGCCTGTGCAAGGCTCAAGCTATCAATTTGTTTGATGGTCGATGCCAGCATAGCGACATATGCTCCCTTCGGCGTACAAAGTACAAGATTCCCATACCCAACGCCTCGGGGACTGGCAGCCAACAGTCCCCCTTACCAAACGCCTCTGCCAAAAACGCAACTCGGTCTCTCAGTCGTTAGTGTCCTACGTGTAGACGCTCTCTGTCCACGAGTTGACCTGCAGCCCTCGCTCCGCCATCTCGGCGTCCCGCAGGAACGCCTTGGGCATCCAGACCAGGTGGCCCTTGATCTGGGACAGCTTCTCCCTTGCGTCCTCGGCCGGCATGAACTGGTCGTAGATGTGGCCCGACTTGACGCCGCGAGGCGGCAGATATCGGTCGTAGTCGTCAAATGTTTTGACTGTAGATGTGTAAGCAACAGCATGACCTCTCGGTGCCATAATCATCAAGAAACCTACTGTGGTCATCCGGGTCCGCATGGAAGAGATGGCGGAACAGGCTGGTGTTCTTATCGGCCTGGCCAGTCCAGGTCGACCACAGCTCGTCGCCCATGGGGTCCTCGACAAACTTGTAGCTCTCGTCCTGGTCGTGGATGTTGTTGTCGGGGTTGACGTTGGGCGGCAGCGCGTTGATGTCCTTCTCCGGGTTGAGGTCCTGGGGAGGCAGCAGGCCCATGTGCTCGCGCCACAAGAACCGTCGCAGCGTCGCCGCGTGATAGCCGGCCTCGAATGGCTGGCCGTCCATGGTGCTCGGGATAAGCTTCGTGTCCTCCATGACGATGCTCAGCTCGCTGTCGTGGTTTCCGAGCTGGCTGCGGTCGTTCAAGTTACTGGACCCGCAGATGACGACGCGGTCGTCTGCAATCAGGAGCTTGGCGTGCACATACAACTCCTCCTGGATCCAGTTGCGGATCTCCGACTCCTCGTCGTCGTGCGTATCCCACGGCTCATCCTTGAGAGAGCCCTGGCCAGCCATGGCATGGTGCGCCACCGAGGCAGCAGACACAATCTTTTCCTCGGGTTTGGCGGCTTCGAAGCGCTCCCTAGCTTGCTGCGCATCCTTGTCGGCCTCAATCTCGGACACGGACTTCTTTTCCGTCTTGTCCTTCTTCTTTCCCAGGTGCAACTTGCTGGCGTCCAGGCCGTGATGCTCATGCCCGTTGCCCCCGTTGCCGCCATCGTCAGAGCTGTCATCTTCGTACCCATATACGCCCTCGGACATGATCTCCTCCGCCTCGGCTCGCTGGACCTGCTGATAGCTGACGCCAGTCTTCTTCTCCGCCTCGCAGATGGCGTGCGTCTTGTTGAGGCGATCGTACGATCTGAGGTTGAAAAAGAAGATGTGCTGGTCAGGATCGACTCCTTGCGCCCTGACCTGCTCGAAGATGGAGTTCTCTCCGCGGCAGATCGACTTGTACTGATAGTCCATGATGGCTCTGGTGCCAGAGGCTGCGTTTTCGCGGAGGTCGCCGGCGAATCCGGGGATGGCTGGGATGATGACGATGACGCGGAACTTGCGCTTCTCCTGGCCCGCTTTGACGACGGCATCGACAATGGCCTTTCCAATCGTGTTGTGGATGGGCGACTGCTGATCGCCTGTGGCAGTGATGAAGAACTGGTTCTCAATGTACACGTAGTGCTTCGCGTTGCGGATGACCTCGCAGTATGCGTTCTGGATAGAATGATCGGTCAGAATGCCGCTGGACCAGTCGGCACTGGACCGAACGATCTGAGCGTGGACAGTGCCGCGGTTGTCCAGGTTCTTGGTGCTCAGGGGCGTCAGCGGATGCTGGACGTAGTCTCCGACGGGGTGCTTGGGGCGCTGCACGCCGACCAAGTCCTCGTCCTCGCCCTGGCGGCCCTCGAGGATGATCCAGTCGAAACGATCATCGCGCTTGTACTTGTCTCGCTTGATAAAGTTCCAGCGGAGGACAAAGTGCTCCGCAATGTCGTACACGCACGGGCCGATGAGACCCATGGCCACGTCGTGCCACGGCATGCGGCCGTACTCGGCCTTGCTCAGCTCGTTTTGCTGCCAATCCTGCACCTTCTTAAAGTCCATGATGCGGTTGTTGTTAAAGTCCTGGCCGGGCCAAATCTCCTCCTTCACGCCCTCGGGATGCACGTCGGACAGGGGGTGCTGTCGGGCGTCCCAACGGCCGAAGCAGAGATCCAGGCCGCCAATGAAGGCCATGGCGTAGTCAATGACGATGAACTTTTCGTGGTGCGCCCAGTACATGGTCATGTCGGCGGCGTTCTCGAAGACGTTGTGGTCGGGGTGCCTCATGATGCGAATGTTGCCGTGGCCGGGCGTGCCTTCAGGGCAGAGAGACTGGAGGGCGTGCTTGGTGTGGATGGAGTTGCACGTCAAGGCGGCCTCGACCTCCTTGTAGACCATGACGAAGATCTTGACACCAGCTTCCGCCTTGCGCTTGAGGATTTGGTCCAGGCGGTACTCTTGGCTGTGGTAGGGCGGGCGGCGCATGAACAGCTCCGGAGAGAGCCACCAGTCGGCAATGTAGATGGACTCTTTGGCCTGCTCGAGCGCCACCGACACGGCCCAGAAGTAGTCGCAGCCATCGACGTACCACTTGATCAGGTTGCCGTCGCGCTCGGGGAAGAAGGACTGGAACCGGTGCGACTCGCAGATCTTGGTGCGCTTCTCGTCGCAGCGCTGCTCGTGCTCCTCGTCGTGGCGATGGTCCTTGTTGAACTGCGTGGGAAGAATGTCAGAATGCGCGCGAGGGTCAGGTTAATTGTCGGCGCGGCGGCTACTCACGAGGTTGCCCAGTTTGCCAATCTGGTGCCTGCGGGACGGATCGCGGTTAGCTACAGCTACGCGGATGCGGTCATTGCGGTGGCGGGGGAGGGGTCAAGCTGGGATGGCCGAACTTTTTGTGGATGAGCTGGACCTTGGCATCGTGGAGCTTGGACTCGGAGAACTTGTCCTTGAGGTCGTCCATGAAGCTCGAGAAGCCCGAGGAGCCGCCGCCTTCCTTGGACTCTGACATGGCGGGCAATTGGAGTCCGATCGAGGGGGCCAAGCCGGGGCAATGCGCGTGTTCAGTGGAGACGACTGGAGCTTCGCGGGAGTGTTGAAGTGGGCAAATGCGGTCGCGACTCTACGGCGTTTGGAGGAGAAACGGCGTAGAGGGAAGAAGCAAGGAGGAAGAGGAGGAAAAAAGGAAACAAGGCAGAGGAGTGAAGGGATCGTGAAGGGACGATGTCATCGAGGAGAAGAAGAACAAGCTTGTACGAGTTTGTACGTAGGACGATGCAGCTCCCTGTCCGTCGACCCTGGCACCCGACACCCTCGTACAGCTGCCAAGGTTGTCTGGCGCAACTGAGTTGGTGGTGGGGGTTTGCTCAGGTCGGCGTCGGGTTCGCTGCCAGCATGAGCCCATGTCGCCAGCCATCCACTTCCATCCATGCATCCATGCCATCGACGTCGTCCAACCTGGCCTGGCCGGTCGGTCAGTGGCTGCTCCGGGCGTAGCGCACTCCGCTACGGGGGGCCGCGATTCACTATTTTCAGCTGCCCACCTCCGGGGGGCCGCCCACCTACGTAATGGCACGCGGTCGGATATCGAACCGGGCGCCGACATCTGCGGGCGGGCTGCGCGCGGGCAGGCAGGCAGGCAGGCAGGCAGGTCGTTCTGTACTGTGCTGTGCGCTGCAGCTGCGACAGCCTGCCGCCGTTTTCCGGCTGGGCGTTTCGGCGCTTGGGGGGTGGTGCCGTGTCTGCCCCGCGTCGTCGCAAGGCGGTCGCGCAGTTCCCAGAAGCGGGATGCGGACGACGAGGGGGATTGCGCTGACGTCATTTGCATACGACCTTGGGCATGGCAGGCACCACCACTGAGTGCTTGCGCAACATTGAACAACTGATCTTCATCAACGCGCGCTATGGGAAGCTGGCGAGACGAAAGTGCCAGCAGAAACATGCACAGTGCCGCATGGCTGCGCGTCGTGCTGAAGCCACCGCCGCAGCTCTAAAATATGGTTTTCCTTTGCACAGAGGAGCGGGGTTCTCGGGAGGTTGGCTGGCTGGCTGGGCAGCTGAGCTAATTGAGTTCGTGCAGCCCCCGACACGACGACGCGCCTGCCGCCTTTGCCTTGTGATTTGCAAAGATCTCTCTGCATCTTGTCAGACGCAAGCGGGATCGCTGCAGTGAGTGCTGCAGTGAAGGCCCCGACGAGAAACCATCAACGGAGCAGAAAGGTCGGGGTGCGTGTAAGGCGAGTCACGTGGCGACGGAACTGAGAAACTCAATCAACCTGACAGGTGTTGCTTGGTGCTACCCTGCGTACCATGGGGCTGCGACGACGGTGAGGTCGCAGCGGTCTTGAAGGCGAAAGGTCTCCTACGTTACCATTGCTGCAGACAGCATGGTGCGTGGAGCCTGAGCTGGCAGCCAATTCAGGCGGGACGGAGCTCGTAGACATCGCCCGGAGCTCCCCATGCTTTTGTGCTGCTCCCCGTTGAGGAACCCGTCCTGGACTGGCTGTCGGGGAATGGAAGGCCGGCCAACACAACCCCGCCCCCCTATTCCCGCCGCTGGGCTGCCCTGTCAGCGCCTTTGTCTGGTTGCTTGCATTGCCTTTCGTGCCCAAACGCTGAGGGGTCAAGGGTGCCTGCACGCCTCCCAAAGCACCTCCCTCCCCTCCCCCTCCGGCCCCGCTCCCGCCCGCTGCCCCTCCCCCCTCGTCCTCCAATGACCGTGGCCTGTCCACCGACCTGATCCATTTCCAGGAGTCCAGTCCCTGAGAACCCCACCGGTGCTTCGCCAGCTTGCCTGACCGCCACGAGGGGGGCGGCGTCGAGACAACAACCTCACCTTTCCCCTTCCCCGGTCGGTCAAGCAGTTCGATCGCAATTCCTCAGACCCCTTTCCCTGCCGCCTCGTGTGAGCTCGCCGCTGTGCTACGCACCACTTCCTCAAGTATCTACGTCTCGACATAGCAGCCACCACCGCCTTCGCCGCCGTCATGTCCGCTCCCGTCATCCCCCCCGGCGGCACCATTGTCCAGACCTTCCGCCAGTCGTTTGTCGACGTCCCCGTCGACAAGGAGAAGGACAATGCCATTGCCACCACTCAGTTCCTCGACGCTGCCGAGTCCCTGACGACCATCTTCGGTGAGTGATGTCTGGCGCCGACACCATCTCTCGATGCCTCCCCCTTTTGCTCGCCCGAGGCAAGTCGTCCGAGCCCAAACAGCGCTGACCATGCCTCGCCGCCATCCAGATGCCCTCGGCTCCGTCGCCTTCTCCCCCGTCAAGTCGGACATGCTCGGCAACGTCAAGGCTCGTGGCCCCTTAACCTTCCCTCCCTCCTCACTTCTGAACGCCGTCACTGACAAGCCTCGATCCTGCAGAAGCTCCGTGACCGCCAGCTCGCCGCCCCCGCCGAGTCCGAGAACATCCAGGACCTCTGCCGCAACGAGCTCAAGACCAAGAAGCACACCGCCACCGAGGGCCTTCTGTGGCTTGTCCGGTCCGTCTCTACGAGTCTTCCCAACTGATATAAGCCCTGCTTCTAATTGGTTTTAGTGGCCTCGAGTTCACCTGCATCGCCCTCAGCCAGAACCTCGCCAAGCAGGCCGAGGAGCTCGCCGACTCGTTCCGCGGCGCCTACGGCCAGACCCTCAAGCCCCACCACAGCTTCCTTGTCAAGCCCATCTTCAGCGCCGCCATGAGCGCCTGCCCCTACCGCAAGGACTTCTACGCCAAGCTCGGCTCCGACCCGGCCAAGGTCCAGGAGGAACTTCGCGTCTACCTCGCCTCCCTCGAGAAGATTGTCGGCATCCTCAAGGGCTTCCTTGACTCCAAGGAGGCCAAGTGGTAATGCACCGGGAGCCTACGAATAGCGGTATGGCTGAGCGAGCTTATCTGCGGAATACACATGGGTAGCAATCAGGAGAAAAGGCGTACCAATTGATCGCATATTATGGAGGCATCATCTGTTCGGGCCTAGATATTCCAGCTCCAACAATTCGTTTTGCAAGATACACTGTCTCCTGGCTCTTTCCCAGACTGCCCGCTTATGACAGTAGAAAGAGGCGTCCAGGAACGCTGACAAGCAAACATCGCGGCACGGAGAGCTCACTCAGCTCGTTCTTGAAGCCCCTGCTCGTGAGGATAGTCATTGACGCCTCAACCTCCCTTCAACACAGCCACCGGGGACTCCTGGTGCTCGCCAGACCCTGACCAGCTCTAGGCCAGCGGCCTCGAGCATGTTGGAGAAGCCCTTCTCGGTTCGTTCTTTACCACCCATGGTCATGACGGCTTGGTCGAGAACGGCAGCGGGGAAATCGGCTTCACCCACGCGTGATGGGAGCACCATTTCACAGATGAGAACCCTCGAATCTAGAGCCATGGCCCCTGCTAGCTGGGACAGTATCTTGATTCCGACACAGTCCGCGTAGTCGTGGAGTATCATGCGCATGAAATATGCCTTTGCACCTGCAACTCTCGGCCGTCAGCTTCATATGACACAGTCTTAGTCCACCACCCCCTCTCACCTTTGACGGGCTGCTCGGCCATAAAGTCATGCTCCTGGCGCTCAACTTCACCGGGGAGGATGTTGTTTGCCCGCGAAAGAGCAATGACTTCAGTCCTATCCTGCAAGATGCAAGTATTCGGGTCGAGGCTGTCTTTGTGAAGATCGAGTATCCTTTTAAGGACCGCGCCGTGACCTCCGCCAACGTCCACGAGCTGTATGCGCCGGCTTGCAACCTCCGCTGGGCTGTTTCGCAACGAATCAAAGTCAAAATGGCCGACGACAGGTATGGCAAGGTCAATGCCCGCCATGCCCGTCTGGAAGGTCTGGAACCGCTCCGGGTCCTGGCTCATGATGGTCCAGACTGGCGTACCTTCTTGTTTGCGATAGAAGGTGTAGGGGTTGAAGAGGGGGTCATCCGGTTCCTTGGCATTTTGCAGCTGACATTTCTCCGCAAGATAGTCATCAAAGTTGTGCATCGGTTTGAACCACTCGTCATACCTAGACGCGATGGTCACCCAATCTGGACTTGGCAGTCCTAGCCGGAACATGAGGCTTACATGGCGAGGAACAGATGGCCTGGTCCGGGTTCATCCAACAGATACGCTTGCGAGAACTTTGTGTGTAAGTAGTCGCCGCCATCGGGCTGCGTTTGATCAAGAAACCCAGACGCGACTGGATCGCGAGGCGTGAATTAGCATCACCGGTGCCTCTGCGCAACACAGATGGTGTCACGAGGTAATAGAAGCCACCGCAGAGGATATCGTAATTTGATGCACGTACCGAGTACGCGGCTCATCCGCTCTATTCGTACGCTTGTCAATGCAACCATCCAGCAAGCCACATGCTGTTATGTTGCTGCGATGGGGAGCAAGTGCCACGCACCTAAAAGAGACTCCTGAACTCCAGTCGCACGGGACAAGTCCCGGAGAGAAATTGCCCCTGGGCGGGGAATGGCGTCAAACACTCTGAGCTTTATCAAGGTGCGAATGGCGACGAGCTCGGCAATCTGTAGATGTCCCCAAGCCGCGGGCGGCAGGGCGATGCTTTCATCAGCCACTTCCAATCGATGCTGTGTTACACAGGCGCCGCTTTGGGTCAAAAGCGCAACAGTTCCGGGATTTGGGCCGCTGGGATTGAGGGGAGCGGTAGAAGTATTGGCGTACATTGAGACCATGATAATTTGGCATCATATCTGGAGACACCAAGTCGCGAATGAGCTTCTTTGCCCGCGTAATTATCTCGACCCGCGACGCGTGACCGGCTAGGTTAGGGGCGTCTGAGTATGACCTGCCAGCATCAGCCAAGCTTGCGATGGCCTCGTCGACTTGGGTCTTGCTTGGAAACACGGAATCCATGGTTGTGTGCAGACAAATCAAGCGCCCGCCCCGAGGTTGGAACCCTGTGAACAAGTTGGGAGCGCAGAAATTGTCTTCGTGGCTTTACTGTAGTATGTACGAGACGAGGGAAGAGAGTAGTATCATCCGCGGCCAGCTGGGGCACCCTAATAGATGGACTAGGCGGTTGCTTCCAGTCGCCTCCCTGCGAAGCAGGTACACATGGCGGTGTCGCTACATGCTCTGGATCGGCCTTAATTAGTGCCGCTCATTTGTGGTTTAGTGTTTCAACTGGCAAGTGAATAGGCATGTCTTGTAGTAGTACTTGGAAGCGGGGTCGCAGATTCGGCGTTCAACAAGCACGGCAACTACCTGATTCGCATACGAGGGCATCTCGAATTACGGTTGAGTAGGCAGCCTGCTGCCGCTGTGCCGTGAACCGCGGCCGGCGGCCGTACCCCGCGGATAGTCAAGGTAGTCCATCGCTCGTCAGTTATGGACTCGCAGCAACCTGTCGAACTCGGACTTGATCTGAGCGCTGATATGCCATGTTTGGCTCGAACAGCATCAAATGCATGCGGCCAGGATGGGGCCCGCTGCCGTCAGACGTCCCCGGGCACAGAATGCATGAGCCGTTCTGTCTGAAAGTGTCAGGCAACACTACCCTGTTGCATCCTGTGCGTTTGCATCCAGTAAAGGCAAGTGTACGTCCTTCACCGCGAAGTGGCCGTCGCTTCCAAGAGGCAATAGCGCAGCTGCTTGCTGGGGTTTGAGGTTGAGCAGCCCCATCGACCAGGCTATTGTCGTCCCTCCTCACAGACGAAGCAAGCGACAGGGGTATCAACCTGGACGAAGCGAGATGTTTGCTCTCGGGCGGCTTCTCAGCTCGCGCCAATCCCAGACGGCTGGTGCTGAGTTGATGGGACCCGTCGCCCGCAGGTCATCGGTCTCGGCTTTTGAACGATTGGGAGCGGAGGCACAAGGAATTGCTGCCGTCAAACGCTTTGGCAGTCTTGCCTTTTCATTTGGCCAAAGGCCGGGAAGGCATGGTTGGCAGTTGTTCGACCCTGGCACTGGCGTTGGCCGGAGTGCTTCATACTGTACCTATCCAGGTTCCTAGATAGCCAAGGTACCCTGCCCAGGAGAGGGCCTTAGCTATGATACCTCAGATTACATTGTGTGAGGCAATGCATGCCAGCGAGGCCGTTGCGGTGAAACGTGCCTGCCTTTGTGGGCACGGGCAGGATGTGGTGGCTGCGGAGGAAGGCTTCCTGCAGTCGGCGTGCCTGCCCTCGCAAACCCCCAGCATCAGCCTGGCCATCAGGCTGCCGCCTAGGTATACTTCAGTCTTCGAGGCTGTGCGCTCGCATGCCCTCGCGTCTCATCCGGGGAACTACCTAGGCACTTGACGTTAACGAAGCTGCTGCCCAGGACAAGCCAAAGATTCCCGAGCCAAGACGCGAGACCCGAGGCCGCTCGTTGCTGCTGCTTCCGTCCCTCCCGCGTCCGAGTGCCGTGCCAAGTTGCAGCGACGTACTGTACAGCACCAGCAGATTGAAACCTGGAGGGGACTGCCAACCGATCGTTCACCCCGTTATCGACTCATAGTCCACGCGTGGGACGCCTGGCTCTCTCCGCCGCGTTGGTCTGTGACTGACGACGGTCCCGTGCCACAACAGCGCCCTCTTCCTCAGTCCGTAAGCCTGCAAGCCACGAGGAAGCCTCAGTTTATCATATAAACACTGCGGTGCGGAGCGAAAGGCATGTTAGCCCAGCTGAGTTGCCGCCGTTCATCCGTCTTCCTCGACTTCCCCGATGTGCTGACGGCTTCCAGTAGCACCCACTAGGTTTGGCTCGCTCACTAGCTGTTGTCCACGCCGTGCCTGACTTACGGCCTGCGGTGTCGCAGCCTTGACGACTCCTGACCTTGCTTTAGCATATCGTCTGCCAGACCCCAGTTGGCCCAGAAGTAGGCGCGTTGCGTCTTCGCTATATTGTTTGCCCGGGTCCTGCAGCGAGCACATCCTGCTCAGGCTCTAACTATTTCTCGCTACGTGCATTACGGCCATCGCGAATATTCTAAACCAGTCGGCACAGAGAAGGGTACTGGAATTTGTGCTCAACATGTCTAGCGAAGCAGAATCGCCAGCATTACACTCGGCGCCGTCGGGGCCCCTTGGATGTCCCGAGCTCCAGGCACCTATTTCGCAGCGCGCGTCACACACTAGACACACATATCTCAACGACGAGGCGCCTGAAGACATGCAGAGCTCCGGCTCATCGTCGAGCATTGAACCAGATGCCATCAGCGATGACGAAGGGTATGCTGCGACGACGTCGACTAGCTATATGACGTCCCTGGCCTCAGATATTAGGCGTGGCATCGAGGAGAACGGAAGGGTCTACGCTGCATACGGAATCTACAAACCCTGGATGCCCGTTGACGATCGCGAGGTTAGTATTTGATCTCAATCGCGCTATCACTTGGAAGCGACATCGACTTTGTCTCTAACACAGTCCCAACGTCAGATGGATCGCAATGATTTACAGCACTGCAAGTTTACCCTTCTTATGGAAGACCGGCTTTTCATTGCGCCGATCGTGAACAGCCCGCAAAGGATCCTTGATCTCGGCACTGGTTCTGGTATCTGGGCCATCGACATGGCCGACCAGTATCCTTCTGCCAAGATCATCGGCGTAGACACGGCGCCAGTCCAACCCAGCGTCTTGCCTCCGAATCTTGTCTTCGAAGTGGATGATATTGAGCACGACTGGCTATGGGCACCATCCAGCTTTGACTTCATTCACGGCCGTGAACTTATTATGGCCATCCACGATTGGCCGCGACTCATCCGCCAGGCCTTCAATCACCTCAAGCCCGGGGGTCATTTGCAGCTCGCCGGGTCCTACCCGGACTTTCAGTCTGATGACGGTACCTTGCCCTCGGACTCGGCGTATGTCGAAATGGGCAAGATCTATTTCGACATGTCAGAGCGGATAGGTGCATCCGGGCGAGAGGTACTGAAGTGGAAGCACTACCTCTCGCAGGCCGGCTTCGACGACGTTCACGAGCGCATATACAAAATACCCACCAATCCGTGGCCAAAGGACGAAAGGCTCAAGAAAGTGGGTGTATTCGAGCTCAACCATTTCCGCGACAGCATCGCCAACGTCTTCGCCCGAGGGTACGAGCAGATCTTGCACGGTGACCCGGCATACTTTCAGGTCCTCCTTGCCCAGGCCCGTAAAGAAGTTCTCGACCGACGCATGCATAGCTGGGTACCATTGTATGTCACTCCAAGGCCTTTGATCGTCGTGGTATCTAGCCAGGCTTCGGGCTAACACGGGACTAGCTATGTCGTCTACGGCAGACGGCCAGATAATCACGAATCTCGACATCCGGAGGCATAGAAGTAGTATGGGTACAGTTTGGAGGCAGAGCCCAGCCTCAGCCGGGCCCCGAACTTTCATTTTGCGCCACAGAGTTTGCAGATAGCGGAGATTGGCCAATCTCATCATTCATCATGCATGCCAAGGGAAACGGCGGCGGGAGAGGCAGCGGTTCGAACAGATGGTAGGGCTGAGTGGGCTGAAATCTGTCTCTGGATCTCGGCGTGTCACTCACACTGCGTGGTCTGGGCGATCGTGTTCATTTCTTCGACTACTGGAAGGCGCCCGGGTCGCGCAAACACATAGTTGTATTTGCAGGCAGTCTGCCCCAGTATTGCTGACGTCTCCTGCAGCCACGTGGGAGTGCGAGGTGGTGGCGCAAAGCTGAAGCGTCTAGTCTGGGTCTTTTGCGCAGGACCACCGGCCGATAGCCGGTCTCGACCTATTACGCCGGCCTGATTCGTACCACGAAGGGGGAATGCTCAGACATTTCGACAGGTTCCAGCATTCGACTCAAACGGCTGCCATCCCGGGGGCCAATCAGGCGATTGGCGCCCGCCAGTCGGCATTTGAAGCTGTCAGCTTCGGTCGAAGCCAATGCCGACTCTTGGATACTTATTCACACGATAGCTTCGACACGGAGGGGACGCGTGGAAGATGGCGTTGCCTCGCGTAAGACCGCGCAAGGTACCACGAACGAGGGCTTGAGCGCTTCGCAGACGCCAGGACAACTTCTTTCCGTACGATTTTGTTTTGCATCTAAATACTACAACATCTGGCCCAAAAGGTTCATTGCCATCCTCCACGCCTCGTTGTACGTAGAGAACGATCACCGTCTTCACCATGGCTGACAAGCCGCCGTTCCGTATCGTCATCGTCGGCGCTGGGCCCGCTGGCCTCTCAGCAGCACTGTCCCTAGTCAAGAAGCATGACAAAGGAGTCTCATCACCACTTCATGTCACCGTCCTTGAGATGCGCACGGAAGTGCAACGGCTCGGCGGTGCAATCAACCTCACGCCTTTGGCCCTACGGTACATCGACTGGCTCGGGGCTGGCGAGCGGTTACGACCGCAGGCTGCGCCAGTGAGTGCCATCGAACTTGTTGCCCATCGAACAGGCAAGCTCCTGGGACAGTTATGGCCAGGAGTCGACGCCATCCGTGTACAGCGACAGCTGCTTGTCGAGGCTTTGCGAGACGCACTCAGAGAGCTGCCGCAGAGCGAAGACGTCCAGGTCGATGTCATTTACGGGGCGAGAGTGCGGGGGATCGAAGAGTTCGGCGAGGCAGATGGCGATGGTGGCGTGAGAATCACGTTCGAGAAGAAGGCCCCTGAGGAGCGCAGGAAGGGAGCAACAGCTGCCTCAGGGGGGCGAGACGGAGAAACCGAGACGCTCGAGGCCGACATTGTCGTTGGATGCGACGGCATCCACTCTCAGGTTCGCAGCCTCGTCGTCGACCCGGGCCGCGAGAAGACGTACTCGGGCAAGTGCAACGCCTACGGGTACGCGTCCATCTCGGACAAGGCGGACGCGTCTGGCGACGTGGCCAAGGAGTGGCTCCGAACCGACGGAGAGCCACTCATCACCGACACGACGCTCGTAACCCATGGAAACGACGCCCTGCTTCTCACCTACTACGAGCCGTCTCGGACCAATCTTTACCTGGCGGCGGTGAACCCTGTCGCGGAGAACAAGGACGCCCGCGAAGGGTGGTCCGCCCAGGGGGCAGATAAGGCGGGCATCAAGAAGAAGATGAGCGAGACGTTTGCCGGCGGCGCGTTGCCGTACCTGGGGTCCATCATCGACCGTTGCGATGAGTGGTTCTTCTTCCCCGTCTACATGCTTCCTCCCGGCGGTGTCTGGGCCAAGGGCCGGGCGCTCTTGCTCGGCGACGCCGCCCACGCTGTAAGTGAACCTGTCGTGCCGTCGTATAATCACCGAACCCCCTAATATCCCCTTGTTTCCCACACCCTTTTCAGCTTCTTGCACTTTCCGCTGACACAGACTTGTTTTCTTCACGCCAGATGCCCCCACAAGGCGAAGGAACCGGCGTCGCCATCGAGGACGGCGTCCTCCTGGCGCACGTCCTGACTCGACGTGCCACGCGCACCGTCCCGCAGCTCTTTGCCGACTACGAGGCCCTCCGCAGGGCCGACATCGAGCAGACGTACCGCGACACCATGGCCCGTTGGAACGCGCCCGTGCCCAGCGGCTGGATGAGCGGCTTCGTCATGGAGTGGATCACCTGGGGCTTCATCAAGTTCATGAACTACAGGCACGACTACTTTGGCCGGGACGTGCGGAATCGCCAGCTGCCTGATTGAGCGAAGGTGTCGGAGGTGTGGTTGAATACAGCTACATGTTTTTTATGATTGAAGCCATACGCTATCAACTTGAATTCAAATCTATCAACCCCGTTCGAGGGCTATGCTACAACGAACCTTGATCAGACCATGTGACTTTGTTCAAAAACTCCCAGAACGCCTCTGCTTTCTGTATTGTAGCCAAAATGACAAGCCATGGGCTCGTCGTCCGTTCGTACACTCATGTCAACCTTTTCCAATGGCGCTAGAATAAAGTCTCGACGCACGCAATGCACAACAAGGGGAAGCCGAGCCAAAATGGATTCCAAGCGCTCATCGCCCAGGTCGCGCAAGCCCCTACCTCGCACTTCTCGATCTAAAAGACAGATACTTTGGTCGTCGTATGCGGGGCCTCTTTGTCCTCATGGAACTCATCGACTCCCTGTCCGTCTCGCAGTCTTGGCGGAGCCAGCGAGCCATGGCCTGCGTCGCCTCGCCGTACTCGACGTTGACGCTCTCCTTGGGAGCCATCGGGGGTGGCTTGTCCCAGCCATGGGACTCGCCTTCCACAACGCGGACGGAAAAGGGCATGTCGTGGTGCTGCAACCTCTTGGCGAAGCGAATGCCCTCGGCAAGCAGCATGTCGTACTCACACAGACAGAGGTGAATTGGCGGCATCTTCTTGAGCAGCTCATCCGGCATCAAGCCGGGCGATAGCCTCGGGTCGGTGCGTTGCTCCCGGGGCACGGGCGGGTAGACGTATGAGGCGTCAATCAGATCCGTCAAGCCAGGGGACAGTGTGAGCTCCGGCTTCATACACGTCTGCCGCTTCTCTGGGCGCGAAATTGTGATGTCCAGAGTAGGGTAGAAGACGACGAGGCCAGCGATGTCGGGTGATTCGGCCGGCAACTTGTAGCCCCACTGATACGGTTCCTGCATGACGATCCAACTGCTCAAGGCAATGGTGGCTCCGGCAGAAAAGCCCGCGAGTATCACACGATCTGCATCGATACCGAACTCGCCGGCACGGGCCACAATCTGGAAGATGGCATCGACGCAATCCTCGACGGGCGTGGGGAAGGGGTAGCTCGGGGCCAGGCGATAATTGACGGTGAAGACAACGGCGTCCAGAGCGCCCATGACGGCGCCAGCCCAACGAGCATCGTCGGTTCCCTGGCCGAGGATCCAACCACCGCCGTGGAAGTTGATGACCGCCGCGCGAGGGCCAACGGAGATGCGAGGCGGCACCCAGACCTCGACCTTGATCTTTTGACGCCCCTTCCACTCAGACAGCGTGGAATCGAGCCAAATCTCCCGTGAAAAGGTCGGGGCCGGAGGGTCGGATCGGTTGGAGATGCTAAAGCCGACGCTGGCAGCGTAGCGGACGGCAGATGCCTTGGCAGTGAGGTACCATCGCGAACTGGACTCGAGCGGGTTCACATAGTCCGGGGTGTCGGCACCTGAGGGCGCAGGGCTGAGACCGGCAGGAGTGGTCGCCTCACTGGGCGCGGCACTCGACGCAGTGCTCGTGGCAAAGCTGGCCGCCGTGGTGGAAGGGGTGATGGGCTTGAGTCCGTCCATGTGAAAGCCGGCACCTCGTGCGCTGGTTCCGTCGTCGCCGGCGCAGGGCCGGTGAACCGGTGGGCGGGGATTGGCCCGGGCGCGGGCCGCCGCGATAGACGCGATGCACTCAACCACGTCCGTCCAGGGGCCTGTCTCTTGGGACCAGAACAGGGGTTGGTTTGTCGGGGCGGGCCCGTGACTGTGCTTGACGTGGCGGCGGGCAACCGAATGCAAATGGACAGGCGAGGCTGAGAAGGGCGATAGGCAGAGAGCGCAAGGCGCGCGAGGGCCGGGTGGCTCTCGTGAGCAGCAGGCCGGGTCAGGGTCCGGCGACGGTTCCAAGGTTAACCGGGGGAAAGACGAATGAGACGCCGAACGGGGAAAGCTTCTTCTGGCACGCGCCGCCTGTGTCTCGGGAGCAGCGGAAATGGAATGCAACGACCAGGTGGAGGAGGGAGGGAATGGATGGGAGCGCAAACGGGCAAGCGATGGTAATGCAGTATTACAGGCAGCGGGATGGCATTGGATGTTGGACAAAGGACCGGAGGGGTGGATGGGGCCACGGTGGGAGGGGGCGAGAGGGGCACGGTGGGCTGGCTGGAGGCGCGCCGCTGGCCGGACAGTAAATTGTCCGTGTGGCGGCCCCGTTTTGCCGCCGTCCGGGGGCTGGCTGGCTGGCTTCTGGAGTGTTCCGCCGCCTGCATACGAAAGCCCAAAGTATGAGGTGCATGACCTAATCGCCGCGCTGCGAAGCATTAGTACGGAGCACCCGTCTTGCGCTCTGCAGAGTGCAGAGGCTGCCTGCAACGGCTGCACTGGTGCCTGCCTCGGCCGCGGTCTCGCTGTTGCCAGGTCTGGCGCCAGGAATGACGTGCCGGAAGGGCCGGCTCAGCACCAGGGCAGGAAGTGGGTGGCCTTGGCAGCCACGGCCGCGACTTCCGATAGCGCACGCGATGATTGACGTCAACCAGGCAGGTGGCTCTGAGACACACAGGGGACTCCCAGGCTGCCGGACGCCTGGCCAGTGCGTGGGCAGATGCGCTGGCAGGTGCCCAGTGCCTAGGTGCATGCATTCCCTCGCGCTGGGGTTCCCGTCCCGGGGCTCTTGAGTCTTCAGCGGGCAGGCAGCTAAGTCCACAGCGCGCGCGCAAGAGCCTCCCGGTGAACCGTGGGCTCGGCAGCGGCAGCGGTAGCGGTAGCGGGGCGCGGCGCGGACATCAGTTGATCTCGGAAGGAGACACGGAGCAGAGCGTCGGCCAGTCGGCAGCTTCCATGGCATGCGCGCGCGCGGCAGGAGTGACGGACTCTTGATCGTCCCGGCAGTCGCCACTGCATCCGCAACTGCCATCCTCATGAGATGTCCAGGCACGCGAAAAGCCGGCCCATGCCCAACTCCTTGATTTTTTTGGCATCACCACCCCGGCATCGTTCCCATCCCTGCGCATACTACCGCTCCAGTACTACTGCTCGCGCTCCAACGAGCCACGGAACCGCTGGGTCCTTTGGAAGGCGCGCACCACCGTGCTCCGCTCGCGCTGTACTGTAGGTAAGCAAGCTTTTGGCTGAGGCGTCCGCCATGTGCGCCGGAGGCACGCGCTACGCATGTACGAATATCTGCCCGCATCCTGGGGCTGGCGAGCTCCGCCAATCCCCCGTGGCGCTCTCCGGTGGCTGGTGGACCTGGACCTGGACAGTGGCCGAGACGTCGATGGCGGCGGGCGAGGGGCACGCTCACCTGTGCGCGGCGCCGTCGTGAGCGTGAACTACAGCACGAGCGTCGACGGGCGCACGATGCCAGGTGCCGAACGAGTCCGGCACGGCTGGCAGGAAACCGGCGGCTAGCACCCGGAGAATCTCGCACGGCCGTCCGTCGAGTGGGCATGCCGAGGCCAACGGAACGGACGACAGCGGGCACGAGTAAGCAGTCGGTCAGCGGGCGATTGTCAAGCCAGCGCCAGCAACGACCGTGAGTGGACGCCAGGTGTCGCCCGTCCTGGCGGCGGGAAGCTTAGCTTGCCCGAGGCCCGCTCAGGCGCTCAGTCGGAGTGGCGGAAACGCAGCGTACGGAGCAAAAGCGCGCGCGGTTGCGCATTGCCGGCGGGCTGCCCGGGGATGGCCAGGAGTCCAGGACTGCTTGCTCTAGGTGCGCTTTTTGCTGGGGCTCCATTCGCGGGTCCAGCCCGCGTCCGACGGCCGGTGCGGCGACCCAGCAAGCCAGCCCTACCCGCCCGCCCATTGCGCTTGTATCAGGACCAGAAGCCCGCTCGTTCTGCTCGTCTTCTTTTGGGGGGTGCTGCCCGAGGCTCGCCGACTGATTATTCACGCTGATGCCCGGGGTCTGAGGTTTAGTTTAGCCTGTCCCGAGCGTGCTTGTGAGAGCAGAGGTCCAGCTGGATAAGCAAATAATAAGAGCCGTAAGCTCCCCTTTGTTTCCCCTCTTCTTCCCGCTTCCTGCTTTCCCTCCTTGCTCTCCCCTCTCTTCACCAGCTCAGCTCACGATCGCCGCGCTGCAGCCCTCGTTCCTGTCCAACACTGCCCGCCACCTGCACTGGGTTTGCCTCGATCCCCGCGTACCTTCTGGGTGCCTGTTGCCTCCAACAAAGTCGGCCCTGCCGTTGCCCATAGGTAATGCCCCTTAACCGAGGTCCCTCGCTTCACAATCGGGCGTTGACACCTAGATGCAGTTACCTTGGCTTCCTACCTTTGCTGCCGTATCCCGTCCCAGCATCCGACGCCGTCCGAGCCCATGACGCTGGCGAGTCGTCGTCGGTGACATCGATCCTTCGCCCAGCCCGCACCCGAGACAGCCGGATCCGCCCTGCGACAAGAGCAACCACCAACCGTCCATCCCTGCCCCGTTGGCTGGTTGGCCGCTGTGACCCAACCCTCCCGAATCCCCAGCGCAAGCCCAAACCGCCAGCCCAGCCAGAGGTCTGGGGGGGGAGTATTGGTTTAGTGGTGGAGGCGATCCACATTTTCGGGCCACGCCCCTCCGTCATAGCCCAGGCCATCGCCATCATCGACGACACGCCCGCAGAAGCGCTGCAAGGGGCCGCCGTTAAGTACCAGCGCGCGAGCACCCGTCGTCTGGCACTACGAGCGACAATACCCTTACTACCGCAACGGCTTGCAGTGCAGCGCAGCGCAGAGCAGCCAGCGCGTCCACGAATCGCCTGCGTCGCCTAACCTCCATCAGCCGTCATCGCTTTCATCATTATGCCGTCCACCGCCGACATCCTCGCCTCAGCCTTTGGCCTGCCCCGCTCCCGCTCCCGGGGCAGCGGGAGCAGCAGGAACAGCAGCCCTGCCAGGCCCCGTCGTCATAGTGGCGACGTGCCTCGCAGCAGCGCCCCCGCGAGCCTCAACATCAACACCAAGGACGTTGCCCCCGCCCCCGTCAAGGCCACTTACACCGATGGCTCGCTTGCTTCCTCGCCCACGGCCAACACTCCGGCGCCCTCGAGCCCCGCGACCCCGTCTTCGCCCAGCATCCCCGTGCAGCATCTTACCCGCCGCCACAAGACTACCTCCGACGCCAGTCATCGTCGCAGCGGCAGCGCCTTTGGCAGCAGTAGGACTGCGCTCGGCCCGCCTCCCAAGATGAACGACAGCGGCGTTGAACTTCCCTATGGCTCTCGCCGGGCTTCTCCGCGTACCAGCATGGATTACCCGCGCCCCAGCATGGAAAAGTCGGTGCTTTCCCTCGACAGCGGCCGCTCCAGCATGAGCGCCGACTGGCCGACCCACCCGTACGAGCTTAACACCATCGCCGAGCTCGACCAGCTGCCTCAAGGCACCGAGGTGAACTTCCGTGCGCGCATCGCCACCCAGCGCCAGCTGTCCAAGGCGCTCGACTTCCTCCTATTCCGCGACCAGACGCACTCTGTGCAGGGCGTGCTCTCCAGGGAGCACATGGACATGGTCAAGTGGGTGCAAAAGCTGGCTCCAGAGTCCCTCGTCCAGGTCAATGGCATCCTCAAGACGCCCCCGGAGCCTATTCGCTCCGCCACACACTCCGGTGTCGAGGTCAGCATCCAGTCCATCCACCTTGTTGGTGCCGCGTACAATGCGCCCTTCACCAATTACAAGCCCCCGGAGTCTTTGCGCAACCGCATGAACTCGCGCATCCTCGACCTCCGCCACCCGTCCAACCAGGCCCTTTTCCGCATCCGCTCCGTCGTGGCCCGCACGTTCCGCGACGTGCTCGAAAAGGAGGGCTTCGTCGAGATCAATACCCCGAAGCTTCAGCCCGCCGCGACCGAGAGTGGCGCCGCCGTCTTCAAGGTCAACTACTTTGGTCGCAATGCCTTCCTCGCCCAGAGCCCCCAGCTGGCTAAGCAAATGTCTATCTCTGCCGATTTTGGCCGTGTTTTCGAAGTTGGCCCCGTCTTCCGCGCCGAGAATTCCAACACGCATCGCCACTTGACCGAGTATACGGGCCTCGACATTGAGATGGCCATTGAGCATGATTACCATGAAGTCATTTACGTCCTCGACGACTTCCTCAAGGCTGTTTTCAAGAACGTCTACGCGATGCCCGAGGTCAAGGAGGTGCAGAAGCGCTGGCCAAGCGGCGAATTCAAGTATCTCGACGAGACGCTCGTTCTCGACTTCCGCGAGGGCATTCGCATGCTGCGCGAGGATGGCCGCGATGTCGAGGAGGAGGACCTCTCCACCCCTGATGAGATGCGCCTGGGCCAGCTCGTCCGAGAAAAGTACAACACTGATTACTACATCCTCGACAAGTTCCCCGCCAGTGCTCGCCCCTTTTACACTCACAAGGACCCCGAAGACCCCAACTGGACACGCTCATTCGACATCTTCATCCGCGGCCAGGAGATTTGCTCCGGAGGCCAGCGCATCAACGACCCCCACGAGCTGCGCCAAAACATGCTTGACTCTGGCATGACTGAGGACGGCATGGAGGACTACATGACCGCCTTTGATCTCGGCGCCCCCCCGCACGCCGGAGCCGGGTTGGGTCTGGAACGAATCGTTGCCTGGATGCTCGAGCTCGGTGATGTCCGATACGCCTCGCTCTTCCACCGTGACCCCAAGTCGCTCCCCGAGCGGTCTCCCGGCCTGGCTCATCCCGAGGCAGACACGACCAAGCCGCAGGCAGCAGGCGCTCCGCCGCCAATCGAGAAGCTCATCGCCAACTATGGCGATGCTTCCAACACATCTTGGCTCGACGAGCGCTTCGAGATCTGGCGCCACCCCACGGGCGCCGCCGTCGGCTTCGTCAAGCAGGAGAAGTTCGCCATGGTCACGGGCGACCCTCTGTGCGACCGATCACAATACAAGGACGTCTGTGCCGCATTCGTCAAGTTTGTTCTTACCGAGCTGCGCCTCACGCCCGTGTGGATGCTTGTCTCGTACGAGGTCCAGAAGATTCTCGCGCAACAGTTGGGCTGGCGCACGCTGTCCTGCACCGAGGAGCAGCGCGTCGACACCAACAAGCATCACAACACGACGGGCGGCCCCAAGGCCAGGCGCGTCGAGCGCGAGGGAGTCAAGGTGCACGAGGTCAAGGCCGACGACGAGTTCATCAGTCGCGCCAACCCGGCCATCGAGGAATGGAAGGCGAGCCGGAAGGGCAAGCAGATCCATCTGACCGAGGTGCGGCCTTGGGTCGACATGGAGCACAGGCGATACTTTGCCGCCGAGAAGGAGGGCAAGGTGCAGGCCCTCGTGGTGCTGGCCAAGCTGTCTGCCAAACACGGTTGGCAGGTCAAGTGGGCGCTCGACTTCCCCGGCTCCGTCAACGGCGCCATCGAGGTGCTCATCGAGTACACGCTCTCAAGCGTGACGGGCCAGGTGACGTTTGGCGTCGGCGTTTCGGAGAAGCTGACCCCCGGAGAGCATCTTCACGGCATCCGCGCTCGCTTCCTGGCGACGACGTACAACTCGATTGTCGAGAGCCTGGGTCTGCGCCGCAAGGCCGGCTTCCGCAGCAAATTCGGCGCCCTCGGCGAGGAGGTGTACATTTGCTACCCGAAGCATGGCGTTGGTCTGCGCGACCTGAACCAGATTATCAAGTTCTTCCAAGACTGATCGTCTGCGCACTGGTGTATGTTGTTGTTTGGTGGCCAAGGCCAGGGATCACGACGTGAAACGGACAGTCAACGAGAGCCTTGCCTACGACGGCGTCCAAAAGCGTTGTGAAACGGAGTTATGCGACCCTCGCGCACAATGTGTGCATGATGTGCGACGAGACGAGAGAGCGGGCGATACACGGCGGCGAGGCTGGATATGGATGGACACTGGCGGATGGGGGGCACTTGGCTTTGTCTTGTTGTCTTGCAGCTTACACGGTTCACTAGATACCTCCACGGGCGGCTTTTGGTTCTTGAATTTGTTTAGGGAGAATGATTCGACGTCAATGCATATGAGTTAGTATTACATCTCTGCTTTACTCGCCACTTGGCTCCTTTGGTCCCGCAAATGCAATGAAATCGTGGTGTGACTGCAGTGGCATGGCGCCGCGAACAACTTACGATCGCGCATCCACTGTCGCGGCGCACCGAGGAGATGGTACACCACGGTATGGCAGTGTACGACAGTCGCGCGCGCACAAGCCACGCGAGGTACAGCTCCCTGACCAACCCCCGAACCAGCAAAGATGGGAAATAATCAAGACGTAACTACTCCGTAACGCTGTGTGGCGATCTCCCCCTCTGGCGCGCCCACCGCAACAACAGTGACAACACATGGGGGCACGCGCGCATGCATCGACCGATGCGATCCTTTGCCACCCCGGCACTTCGCCTGCGCCACGCCCCGGCACTTCCTCTTCCCACAAACGTGGGCTACCTGACTCGGGCATGTCGGGCTCGGGCTCCCTGCGACTAAGCACCAAACGTACGTGGACGTGGGCATGTTCCGTTCGCCACGTGGGAATGAAAAGAATGAATGAAACGCCGGGGGGAGGAGGGAGGCTCGCAGTGGGCGGTCGGCACTGACGTCAGCGACACGGGGCGCCGCGGGTGACGCGAACGGGAGACAATGCAGCCAAGCCGGGCTCTGGACAAAGTCGCAGACCATCCGAGACAGAGATTGACGCTGGATGCCCGTTTCGACCTGCGTTGCTGCTGCTAGCTGGCTTTGATGGCATCCTCATCATGTCGTGCGACCATGGCTGTCGGTAGTATAACGGCACGCCCCCCTCTTGTGCCCCTGGTCGCGGAGACGATAGCTTCCTTGGCAGCCCTGGATCGACGCCGGAGCGGAGCAACTCGTCCGGGGCCTGGAATCAGCGGACTTGGATCAGTTCTCAACCACATGCCGCGGTACTTGGTGACGCAGGAAGCCCTCGAGCTCTGTTTACATCGAGATACGAGTGCTCGTAGTACAAGAATGCCTCTACCCAGCTAGCGCCCAACAAATTCGGCCTCACACAACCCTGCCCAAACTGCATTCCAAATATAGAAAGGTCGTCTCTCATCAAATCCCAACCGTCATATCGTTCTTGTCCTACGTTTTAGCCCTTCAATCAAAGACGTCGGTGACGTATCGCTCGTTGCGTTGCTTCTCAAACCAGGCCTTGGCCTTGTCCTCGGTTACGTCCTTGGAGCTGCCGCTCTCCTGCACCATGTCGATGCAGACCGCTTCCACTGCCTTGCCCACGTCGCGACTGCCGCAAACGTAGATCTTGGCCCCGCGGTCCCACAGCTTATAGACCTCTTCACGGTCGTGCGACAGGCGATGCTGCACATACTTGCAGCCGAACGACTTCTCCGGGACGCGTGAGTATGCCCGCCTGACCTCAACTGCGCCGAGCTCCTCCCATCGAGCAAGTTCGTCGGCGTATAAGTCGTCTTTGTCGGGATTTCGGCAGCCAAAAAACAAGAGAGCCGGAGCCACCTTGCGTCCAGCACCGATCATAGCCGCTCTCTCCTGCATGAACCCGCGGAAGGGTGCCATGCCAGACCCAGCCGCAACACACACGATGGGCGTGTTCTCCGCATCGCTCGGTAGGTGGAACGACTTGGACGGCCGCACCGCGACGTGGAGACGCTCTCCTGGCACGAGGCCGGCGAGGAAGTTAGTCGCGACTCCAACGTGTGCCCCTTGACCCGATAACGCCGGCTGCTCCAGAACCGAATACGTGAGCGTGACCTTGGCGGGATCTGCGAGCGGCGACGAGGAAATAGAGCTGTAATCACACGAGTTAGTCAACATATACTGCCGATGCCAGGTCAGGACCAACGTACTATTGGCGAACACGCATAGGCGGCAGCATGCCCAGATACGAGCCAAACGGCAAGGCAATGGTAGGAAATTGTTCCAACAGGTCAAGGATCGATATCCGCTTGACAGTGATGTTCTCGTGGTAGTCTTCGCCCGCCAGCTTTTGCAGCTTTTGGACGACAGCCTGATCTTGCGTGGCGTCTGCCAGAGCCTGGATGTTCTTCATTTGCTGTTAGCCTGCGCACCCTTGATTGTGTGCTCTCGACTGTTTGCTTACTCTCTTTGTTGCCGGCTGGCTCAGCTCAACATACGCAGCGAGTACGTCAGCCGCAGAAATGGCAGTGTCCGTTGGCAGAGTTGTTGGCCGGTCTGAGCTGATCTTGAGCGTGGCATCCCAAGAGAGCTTGAACCGCCGGAAGACGCGCGAGACGGTCTTCTTTGGGTTGAATGGCAAAACTGCCAGGTAATCGCCGGCCCGGTATGTCATACCCGTGGGGAGCTGGATCTCGATGTGTTTCTTCACGGAGCCACTGTCCGTGAGGGTCTTGCTCGAGACAACAAGCGCCTCCTCAACATCCTGACGCAGCGTCGACTTGCGAGGAAGCGAAACTTCCACGTTGATGCCGTCGCCGTTGCTATCGCCGCTGTCTTCGGTGCCGTACATCTTTTGCAAGGCCGGCCACAGCGACTCATCTTCCCAAGCCTCGAAGTCACTGAACATATCTCGCTCTGCCGCGTCCGTGGTGGCCAAGGGCACAATGCGTTGGCCGCCGAGCTCGCCGAGCTTCGAATCCACGAGTTTGGGAATGCGGTGGAAGGTCTGGACCCAGTCGCGATGCCCACAACCAAAGACGGCGTAGGACACGTTCTCCATCTCCTTGCCCTTGAGGCTTTCCATCCAGGCAACAAACAGCGCCGCATTAGATGGGGGCTGGCCCTCGTAGGACGCCGTAACGATAACGACGGGGCGGTCCTTTGGAATCTTCTGGTTAGCATCGTCCAGTGGCGCGACCGTCGAGGCCCTGAAGCCGTGCCGGGGCGCATCGGCAGCGATCCTTTGGGCCAGAGCCTCGCAAGTGCCACTGTTAGAGCCATAAAATACGGCAAGCGGCTTGCCAGCCGAAGCCGAAATGTTGGAAGACGTCTTCCTCGACATGGCGTGATAGTGCTCCGAAGAAAGCTTGCCGGCAAGATGCTGTTCCAATTCCGTAGGGGTCATGCCGTGCCTGAGGCTCGCTTTCATGTAGAAGTCCTTGGGCTTGATGGTCATTGTCTCCTGGATCTGGAGGTTGTAGTTGGGGTCGTCCAAGGTAAAGTTGAAGTTCTGGAAGAGCATAGCTAGCGCGAGCATGGCCTCTTGCCATGCAAATGGGCGTCCAATGCAGCCCCGCTTGCCGTTGCCAAAGGGCTTCCAGCAGTTGGGGAACTCCTTGTTGAGCTGGGCGAAGCTGTCATCCGACATGCGCTCAGGCCTGAACTCGCGGGCGTCCTCACCATAGACCACGGGGTCCAGGTGAGCTCGCGCAAGAAGCGCCGTGATTGGCTCGCCTTTGCGCACAAAATACTTGCCCGCGAGCAAAGTGTCTTCATATGGCTCGACGGTGAAGCCAGGAATGGTCGAGCTAATGCGCAGGGTTTCCCTCAAGACCTAAAGCCGAATGTCAGTGCCTATAAGGGATCATTGTCACGCTGGATTATTTACTCACCGCCGCAAGGTATGGGAGCTTTGTGACGTGATCAACCGTCACCTTTCCCCGGCCAATAACCTCATCAACCTCTTGCTGCACCTTGCGGTAGGCGCTTGGGTTCTTGAGGAGATAGTAGAAGGCGAAGGACATCATTCCCGATGTAGTCTCATGGCCAGCGATGAGAAACGTGATGAGCTGGTCCGTGATGTTTGCATCACTCAGCTTCTCACCCGTCTTGGGGTCGGCGCCGTTAAGCATGGCGTTGAGAAGGTCCTTTCGGTCGGTCGGATTCTTCTTGCGTGCTTCAACGACCTCGTCTGCGGTCTGTCTCATAATTGCAATGTCGTTGTAGAACTTTTCGTTTGCGGCACGGTAGAGGAAGTTTGGCGCAAACGAAGGACGCTTGCTGCGACGGCTGCACTCGGTCAAGAAATCACCCATAGCCTTGATGAATGGGTGCATCTCTTCGTGGTAATAGGAGTTGAAGCGGAAGTCCATCGCACACAGCGCCAATGTGTCGAGCGCCATGCGTGTGAAGTCGTCAGAGACGGCGATAGGAGCTTGGGGGCCATGGCGCGCAAACTTCATGGCAAGTTGCGTCGCAATATCATGCATCTCATCGAACATGCCACGGATGGATAAGGGGCCGAACGCGGGGATGAGTATGCGATGGGCCCTATCCCAGTTGGGCTCTTCATCGTAGGCCTACAGCCCTGTGAGCAAGAGGTGCGCAGATCAGGGTGCGCGCGCGCAGGAGCCAACTCACAGTGAAAAGGCCATCGTGAACACCTTCACGTACAATCTGTGCAGGGGTGGTTATCAGTCAAGCTACGCTACGACTTCCGACGTCAGATGGTACGCACCCTGAGCGCGGAACCCAGAGACTTGTGGAATCGCTTCTCGTCGCAGAGCTCGTTGACGAGCTCATTAGTGCTGGCAAAAACGACTGGCCGGGTGCCAAGGTAGAGTCGAAAGATGTCGCCTGGACAGTTACGACTGTCAGCACGTCTAGAGACGACGGGGAGCACCACGTCGAGGCTCGGTCTCACCATATGTATCTGCGAGCCGCAGAATATCCTTCAGCGGGCTCGTAGTGAACTCTGCAAGGTTGCCGATCAACGGCAAACCCGGGGGCTCGGGGATAGGCACAGCCTCAGCCATGGCTGCCACTTATAGTATATCAATGCTCGGCGCTGAGGGCGGTTGGCAAGTCAGCGGCTGGTTGAATCCCAAGCTGTTTGAGAAAAGAATGCAGACTTGGCAGGGTAGTGCCGGACGGCTCAGAAATGCTGGGTTGCAGAGCTTGAGGGGTAAGTTATCATGAGACGACGATCCCCGGGTGTGGGGTGCGTTGGCGCCGAGATGTGTCTCTGCAAGTGGGTTTCTGGAAGGGGACGCAAGGAGGCCAGCATGTGGGCTGTTGCTGTTGGTTGTGCAACTCTGCTCATCGTCGCAAGGCGGCGGGACGGCAATTGTGCGACGCAAGGATGGCGGACTGTGGATCAGGACTTCAGGAGGCACCTACATCTCACTGGGCTTGATGCCAGAGGCAACGTCGTGAGCGACCCGGCGGGCGCAGACTGGTTCGGGCGAGGTCAGGACGTGGGCGGCTGGCGAATCGAGGCACCGTCGTGTCCGCGGCAGAAAGATAGGATACGGATGCTATTACTGGAGACGGCGTGCCATGATCGCCCATGCGGAGGGGCCGCCGTCGATTTAAATACGACGCGGTGTTGGACGCAAGCTGGGCACTGCGGCCTCATCCATCGGAGGCGCCAGTCGATTCGGGCAGGGAGCAGCAGAGGGCCGGCCGCCTTCGTGACGACGACGACGGAGCCAGGGGCAAGCCGGTTCCCCGTCGCTGGTGCCATGCCAGTCCGTCCGCGCGCAAAGGCTCGCCGACGCGGTGGGTTTCCATGGCTGCCACTGGCGTCCAGCGACGGCGTTCGCCCTTGTGGCTCCGAGTCCCAGCTGCCCAGCCCAGTCCAACCCAGCCCAGCTCGTGGTGGGTGACGGCGGTGGCACAGCGTGCCTCGGGTGTGTCCTGGCTCAATCGCAACGGCCGCCACGATGGGGCCTGTGTGTCTGAGTGTCTCTCCTCCGCCATCTGGCTTGGGGGGAAACGCCGTAGGCGGGTTTGGGTGCTGGCAATGCCGTCCCACGCGAGATGGCGAGGTGCCAAGTGCGCTCGCACCTACACCAATTCGTCGTAGTCTGGCGCCACGGCACCTACAGCCGAGCAGTCGTCAGGTTGCCAGGGACAGGGCACGTTGGCTCATGCAGGAAGGGTGCGTTTGGCCGGCTGGAAGGATTCGCGAGTGGGCCGTGGCTTGTGACGGCGCCGGCACAACTCTGTTGGGGGCTGTTGCTCGTGCATGAGTTGATGCAGCCTGAGGGTTTTCGCTGCAGGCAGCCATAACAGGTGGAATTTGCACCCCGTAGGTGAATGGATTGGGGGGGCCGGGCAGCGTGCCAATGGGCAGGTGCGCAGGTCGTCATGACCCCATATGACCAAGTCCTTCGGAGGTTTTTTCACAGGCAGGTGCAATCTGCCGTCCGACAACCAAACCTGGCTGGTCTCTCCGGACGGCAGTACCGTGCAGGTACATACCAGGGCAGGCTACTTTCCAAGGTATCCTGCCCGCTGTCGCGTCGGTTGCCCTTGCCAATAAAAGCCTTCAGCTCAAGGTGGTGTTTAACAACTGATACCGCGCAGATACACTCACTCACGGTGACGATTGGCGATGCAGTTCAAGGTTCTGCACGAGGATCCAAATACTGGTGGTGCACGTAGGCCGCCCAACGCCAAGCAACAACAATAAACTTTTGATCGTATTACTGTGCTACTGCCCCTTCCCACCGGCCCGCCGAGGCATCTGCCCGTGCCCTGCGCATCTCGGCCGCCGGAGATCCACTGAGGCGTGCGGGTGCGGGATTAGGTGCCACCAACCCCGGCCGTCGCGGGCCCATCTCTCGACCCCGTCTGCGACAATTCAAGTCACCGTACCCTGCCTGCCCGCGTGGCCCAACCGGTGACGAGCCACTCGTCCACGAAGAAGAAGATTGCGACAATGACAGAGTTTCCGTGTATGCATGTTGAGAACCACCAAGCACCGCCGATCACATTCGCTAAAGCGACCCGTCGTGGCTCGGCCCAGCAGGGTTCGGGGAATAACGCAGGCGACAATCGACCCGCGTCCGCCCCAGCGATGAAACCCAGCTACTGTACGTAAAGCGTTGGCAACTTGGTCCGTACGTACTCGTAGCGCGGCGCTGGACACCTCACGGTCCACCGGCCCAACCGCCCTGCTGGGTCCGGCGACTCCCAAAACGCCGTCTCCCGGCCGTCCAAGCCCGGAGCCCAACTCCATTTACGGCGTCTCCCATTATGCCTCGGTCGGTGCCATCGGCGTCCCCGCCCGGCAACCAGCGCCGACGACGACCGCGACAACCACGACGTAATTTCAGGGCGAAGCTTCAGGCGCCGTCTATTAATGGAAGATTTGCGGCCGGTGCGACAGTCCCGCCGGCGGTGGTAACGGAGCCAGCCACGCAGGGACGTACGAGTACCGGCGATCGGTCCTTGTGCGACCGACGAGGCACGCGCCCCAGAGACACACACCACGAAGAAGGTTTCCGGAAGCTCCAGTCCCGATGCAACGGGTCATCCTAGCGAAACGCGACGCCGGAGCGGTCCGACCCCGCAACGTACCAATCCCGTGGACGCCATATCTCTGCCTCGTCATCGTCTTCTACGAAATACGACCATCCCCCCAGAAGTGCAAAAAAAAAAAGGCAGTCGCAAGCTGAATCATTGACCTTGATCGTCACCTTTCTTCTATTGTTATCTGACAAGCCAAGAGCTCCTGCACCGGGTTGTCCGGCGCCTTGCTACGGTGTCTTGACCAAAAGACATGCCTACCCTGCATCCACTTCGCCGAGTCCGGTCCTCAATTTCTTCGGGTTTGGGCGTCAACATCTCATGGCGCCAATCGCAGCAGGTATCTCACTCCTTGTCGTGTCTCGTAGTCGTTAATCATTCTCCCCTCGTGAATCGTGGCTGCTACGCTCCCTACAGCCCGACTTGTATGCGCTGCCTCACCCCCAGCCTTAACCCCTTCCTAGCAAAGTCTGTCCGTGTTCGGGATATCGCAACAGGGGCAGCCTTCTCCAACGCCTATGGCCGACACATACACCGTGCAATTAACGTCGTCTATCGTCTCCATTCACCCCTCAAGGCCCTCGCCGCCAGAGCGCCTTCTACGCCGTCTCAAGCCGCAGCCAACAAGTCATCACCGTGGCTCACGAGCAAGGCCATCTTCCTACTGTCGCCTGTCGTCCCGCGACGAACCCTGATTGGAGCCGCCCGAGCCCGAGAAGCGATCGCGTAGCCAGCTGATAGGACCCTGTCCACCAGATCGGCCGTTCCCGCGGTCGGCTTGTCCTCGTCTGCTACTCTCCGACGGGCTGCGTTGCCTCATTCGGGCGCCGTAGTCAGCCGTCGCAGTTTGTCTAGGACTAGACGGCGACAGAGAGGTCCGTCTTTGCAACCGAGACGTGTCGTAGGCGGTATTAGACGGCGTGCCGCGTCCGCGCTCCCGATCGCGCTCCTGTTGTATGGTTGAGACGGCCCGGAGAGCCTCGTTGAGCTGACTAGGCCGCCGGCTGGGGATTGCCCGAGGAGATGTCGGCTCAGACGCCCTTGGTGGCTCAGCGTTTGCCCTCTCGGAGCCAGTGCCGTAGTTTCCACCGAAGTGGCCGCTGAAAGTGGCTCGAAAGCGTCTCGGGCCTTCGTTCCCCGCACCCGAGGCGCTGTCAGTCGATGAAGGGTTGTGAGGGACAGGCCAGGGTCTTGAGCCCGTAGCGTTCGGCGATCCGGCGCTGTCAGGCTGGCCGGTGCTGCCAGCATCGTTCCCGCCACGCTTCTCGATGGGCGTTCTGCAGATTGGACATGTGTTGTGCTCCTTTAGCCACAGAACGACGCAGTCTTCGTGAAACCAATGCTTGCAGGGCAGAAACACAGCCGTGTCTCCGATCTTGAGCTCGTCGATACAAATCGTACACTCGGTCTTGCTCTCGCCCTTGAGCATTTCGCGATCGACGGGGCGCCGATCGAGAGACTGGAGGGCTTGCTCGGAAGCCGGAGGTGCCGCATTAGATTGCGGGTTGGCCTCCATGAGCTGCGTTATGATCCTGTCAAGAGCCTCCTGAGAGTACACCGCGTCGCCAGCCATGGCGTTAGCAGGGCTGAACAGACTCAAGATGTCATGCAGACTGCGAGCAAAGGTTTGAACTTGGGGGCCCATGTCGTCAGGGTTTGGCCCTGCGTTGCCATGGCTTCCTGGAGGTGGGCCTATGTCTCGAAGGACATCGGAGAAGATGCTGAAGCGCAATCGTTAGCATGTTCAACAACAAGAAACATTGGGTTTGGTGTGGACTTACGACTGGAAAGGGTCAGCGGGGGGGTAGGTGTTGTTGGCACGGCCCAGAGTGTTTGCATGGCCCATGTTGTGTCTGACTGGACCCGAGTAAATTGTGACAGACGCGGTCCCTCCACCAAAAGGGCCGGTTGTGAAAGTAGCGCGATGGATCCTGGGAACAGGAGGAGTCGCGTGGTCATGGTGATCGTGGTGGTCGTGGTAGTCGTGGTGGTCGTGGTGGTCGTGGTGGTCATGGTGGTCATGGTGACCATGGTGACCGTGGTACTCATGCTCGCGACTAGTGGGTTCCTGGCCGTCCATAGGCCGAGGTTGGCCAAAAGTCTCGAGCATTTCGTAGAAGCGATTCAGAACTGGGGCGATGCCGGGGTCGTGGTGATTGCCGTGGCCATCGCCAGCCCGTACGCTCCGACGGTGGATAAAGCCATGTGGCCCGAGGTGCTCCTCTATATCAGCCTCTTCTGGATCCGAGTCGTCCGCAAAGTGGTGCGGGCCAAGTCGCCCTGAGGAGGGCGCGTTCAACGAGTCGTCGTCGATCTCGCGGGGATCATTGTCGGCCTCGATCTAAACAACAACGCGTCAGTACAGCACTGGAAGCTGAAAATGAACATGGAATGAACATGGAGATTTACAAGGGGTGGCGTACGATTTCTGTGATGTCACTCCCACAGTCTGGGCACTCGAGGCCATGCTCGTCGCGATACCATTCGTGCGTGCAGGCGTGGCAGTAGACAACCTCGCGGCCAGAGGTGGCGTCGAGATGGCCATCCTGCTGGCCGTGGGAGGCCATCTGGGCCTGGCTGCGTTGGTATGCCGTCAAGGCACTGAGTCCGAGGCCGATAGCGAGGCCGGCGATTCGGATCGCGCGAGACGCCAGCGTGAAGGCTGGGTGTGAAGATGTGTCAGGTAGCAAGGCTGGAGTCGGGAAGGCGGCCAACGCAGGCGAGGCCTAACAGCTATCCCAAAACAGACTCGACAGAGCAACAAAAGCCAAGGTAACAGGTTGACGTTCAGAGCCCAGTTCACACTGTTGGAAGGGGCATCAAAGGTGCTAGCCTCAAAGGCTGGAGGTGGGGTGGCGACAGCGTGAACCGTACAGGTAGAGAGCCGACTTCGCTTGTGTTTCTGCAATGGGTCAGGCACGGATCTCTAGTTTGCATCTTGAGCCACAGCGCAAGCTGTCGAGAGCGAAAATGGAAAAGAAGACACCTGGCAATGCTGGAGTATGGATCGTGGTGCGGTATGGATGAGGCAGTGAAGGCAGGCTGCACGTACAATGTGCCGAGGTGGTGGTCGTTGAGGCTTGAGACCCAGGTCAGGTACTCGCTCGTATGACTCGCTAACAAAAGATGCTGGGGCTAAGAGACGCCGTCCTGCGGGGGCAGCTCCAACAGCCGTCCTGGAGCACCGGGCGGGCGGGCGCGAGGATGAAGCGACGAAGAGGACAGCGAGGAGGCCGGCGATATGTGGAAGGGCCGCGAAAGTCGAAGAAGCACAAGTCAAGATTCAGGCTGAGGCGACGGCCGATGGGGGAGGGTCGGGGCGGATTGGATTGGATGGATGACGTTTGTCAGCCGAAAGTCAGTGAAGGACCCTGCCTGTCGATTTAGTGGGTTGGTTGGAGGTGCGTTGGCGGCGTTGGCGGGCACCTGGCAGGCTGGCAGGCGCTGGGTTGTCCAAGAGGAGCCGCCGCAGCCTGTCAACCATGGCGGAAGCTGTGGGGCCGTTGTCGGCATCCAGTCAGTGGAGCAAACGCTGTTAAGACAACGACTCTGCCCGTCAACGGACGGCACCCGGGACGGCATCTTGCAGCTCCAGCTGCGCTAGGTGTTCGTTCAGGTTGCTCTTCTGTACGCAGCTGCGCAGCAGTGACCTGGAGCGAGCCCCGGTGCCTCAACCGCCCCAACTTCCATCCCACGGGCGCTAAATGGTAGGTCCTCGTTGAGGTTCTAGTGGAGTGCATCACTGTCGACATGGAACTGGAACCTCGCCCCTCCGCTGCCAATAACGGGATCCCGGGTCTTGTTGGCAGCCAACACATGGGCATTGTCTCATGTGCCTGCATTATTTCGCACGCGGCACTTGGCACGGTGTTAGAGAGGCCCCTCACGGCTTCAAACGACGCCTGACCTTGCATTGCCGCGTCACCTACGGCTACCATTCGATGTCCGCTACCACGAGCCATTCATGCCCGCGCACACATCGCGCTGCATGTCCACGCTCAGCGCCGGCTGAGTGGGCATGCGCCTGCTATGCCGCCAAGCCATGGCGCTGCTTGCACGGCGTACGACGACGTGTAAACAGGGGCCAGTGTGGTGATGCGGCCGAATGGAACGCTGCCCCTTTTCAGCGCCTAAACACGCTGCCGCTCGCGAGCATCTACCAAGGAAACACTGACACGACAAGCACAAACGAAACATTTGCTACGTATGCGGCAGTCAAACGCAGCCCACATGGCAACATTGCCAGGTCCACTATGAAACGCACCGACGAGTCACGCCGTCGCCGCATCACATATTGGCGCCAGGTCAAAGAGTTCGGCAGAGTCGGCGCGTCGTCGCCGGGTGCCGCCTTGTCACTCAGCACTACATGGGAGCCAGACGCCGCGTGCTGCGTGCGCCAGCGGCTGGCGTTTCACCGCATGCGAGATCCCCTGCGGTGAGCCATGGTGTCTGCAGCGTCTCGTTGGGGGCTGGGCCGGGTGCAGCATGTACGCCGACCAGCCTGCCTTGAGAAGAGGGCTTCTCCTCCATTTAGGTCGTCTGTTGCGCCGGCGACACAACGAGGAAGACTCGTCCGTTCGAATCGCTGAGCCGTGTATCACAATGGCCGCCAGGTCGGGGTGACGAGGGACGAAGAAGCACGTCGGATTCGAGGGTCGTTGGTTGTCGTTGATGATGGTCTTTGATATAAGTAATTTGTACACGGTCGATTCTCCGACTCGTCTATGGATCACTCCTTGGCCGCCTTCGATGACTCCGCCTTCAACCGGTCCTCCTTGTCCCACTCAATCAGCTGCTTCGACCAGCTACGGTTCACGTCGTCAGTAAAGCCATAAAGCCATCGAGGCTATCAACGCCGCGCGTGCGCCGGCTGGGGAGTTGACGTACTATCTGCTCGGGTGCCACTCCCAGGACTCGGGTTTGCGCGCCCACGTTTCCCTCTCGGCGCTGAACTTCCAGGTGACGGCGACCATGCCGACGAGGACGGCGCCGGCGACGAGCGTGTTGGCCCTCCAGTTGGCGGGCTGCGCGTACCAACCACCGGCCGGCGACCACACATGCTTGGGGTACCTGCGATCCGGGACGGCCATGTCAGAAAGGGCTTGCGGACTCGATCGAGGCGGGATTGAGGTCGGGTGCTGCGGATTGTTTCGACGATTGGGGGGCCGGGTGCGGCGAGGCGGCGAGGCTAGAACTTACGGGATTTTTCCACCACCACCCTGCGCGCGGGTTAGCCAGGCGTACAGTCGCTTGCAATGCCGAGAGGGAACTCACCATTTTGATTGACTTGCCGACGGGTGCGTGAGGGAGATGCTGGGTGCGCAATTGCGTCTGGCGATGGGGGATGAATGCAATCCGCGTAGGCTAGGCGTGGTCGGTCATGGGCATTCGGAGGCTTGCGTGTGGACGGGCCCAAGGTCTCCACGCGGGCCGAGGATATTCCGCACAGCGCGCGCTGGGTGGCCGGGCGCCAGCCAGTGAGCGAGCCTCTCTACCTCAGGCGGCCAGCGCTCACACGACTCTGGCGCAGGGGACGCAGAACTTTTTTCCGCGACTCTGGGACGACGCCCAGGCGAATTGAGAGCAGCACATCACCACCTCCGACGAATCCATCCCGACCACCAATTCCTCACCCAGCCGCCAACGCGACACCAGCACGGTACCATCCTTCCCGTGTGGCGTGCAAACTGGGGTTGAATTGCCCCCTTTTCACTCTCGGCCTCATGAAGAGGTTACGGCCGGCACGATGGAGCGGGCAATTGCTCCAAGCTCGCGCTGGAGCTTGCCCGGCTGCCGCCCCTAGACGACAGCCCTTCCTCGTCCACGCCGTCCGGTGCCAGTCCTCGTCCGCCGCCGCGGAGCATCACGCGTCTACAGCCGAAGCCGAGGACGCGGCAAGGATACCGCTTCCCTCTCCGCCGCACCATCGGGCCGCCGAGTCGGCCAAGCTCGCCGCAATGCACGCCCGCCTCTCGCTCTCCAAGAAGGTTCCCCTCGAGACGCTCGCCCGCTCCCTCGTCACCCCATCCGCCGACCCCAGCGCGAACTTCAACAACTCGAACCTCGCCTTCCTCGGTAGCACGCTCATCAACTACCACGTGCTCGAGTACCTCGTCTGCAAGTGGCCGCGCCTGCCCATGGCCATCCTGTACGAGGCCCTGCGCGCCTACGCCGGCCCTAAGTCACTGCAGCAGGTCGCCCGCCGATGGGGCGTCGAGGCCGCCGCCGCGCCTGGCGAGGAAGTCGACCCTGGCTTGCTACAATGGACGCCGCATGCCGCCGACCAGCCCGTGGTAAACACCCGGTGGGGCTATGTGCGGTCCGAGGCGCAGAGGAATGCCGAGTACCGCCGCGGCATCAGCAGCCGGGTCGTCCTTGACGATGACTTTGGTGACGCTCTGGCCAAGCCCGCAAAGGAGGGAGAAGGTGCCGCGGAGAGCAGCCAACACCTCCAGGACGAGGCCTTTGCCTCATTCGTCCAGTCCGTCGTCGGGTCGATATACACCCACTGCGGTCGCGAGGCCGCCAAGGCGTTTGTGACATCACACATCCTGTCCCGGCAGGTTGACCCGTCGGTGCTCTTCGAGTTCAAACTGCCGACGCGTGAGCTCGCCATGCTGTGCGCGCGCGAGGGCTTCGAGGCGCCACTGGCCCGCCTGGAGAGCGAGACTGGCCGGCTGTCGCGGACGCCCGTGTACGTGGTCGGCATCTATAGCGGCAAGGAGAAGTTGGGAGAGGGCGCGGGGCCGAGCCTGGACATCGCGCGGCGAAAGGCGTCCATGGCCGCTCTCAAGGCGTGGTACCTGTATAGCCCTGGGAACAAGGTGCGGGTGCCGAGCGACATGATGGAGGAGGGCGCCAAACCGTGGAAGGCGCCGCACATTGACATCGGCGAGATCATTTAAACGGGGAGTTCATGGCGGGCAGCGTGGCAGGTGTACGAGGTACAGTGTTAAAGGGGCGGTGGACTCCATGTGGATTGGATCATACGACCCATCATCGGTGTATGTATATTAAGCACACTCTGTAAAACAAACAAATCAAGGCTCATTGTGGCACGATCAACGCCAGTGTGGCTATTACTTGTCATTGTATATGCATGAAAACTCCAGGCCAGATTACTAGCCGATATCCAAACGCGTCGGGTGGGTCATCAGCTGAACTGGTCTCCGTGGCCCATGAGAGCCCTCCTCGCGTTCTTCCGCAACGTCGTTTCCTGCATCTCCTTCTCTGCCTTTTCACGGAGCTGCTTCTTACGCTCGTAGACGGCGCGAACGGTCGAACGGATCTGCTGTTTGCCCTCGTCGTAGTTGGCTCGCGCAAGACGCACGACGCTGTCGATCTGCTCAGGGGTGTAGACAAAGTTCCAGGTGCTGAGGAACTCGGTCGTGCCGGGCGATATGTCGGGAACCTTGTCGTTGGAGAGGAATGGGAGGTAGACCACGGCGATGCCGGCGTCAGGTTCCATGAGGTTGAACGTGTTGGCCTCGGTGATCTTCTTGGATGGGGGCGGCTGTTCCGACTTGCGTTCTTGCGTGGTGCCGACCCAGACCGTGCAGTAGCCCAGATCGCCGGCCTCCTCGTCTCCTGGCTCAAACTTGGCTTCCTCGTCTTTGCCGGAAAGGTCTTTGGCCTTGTCTCCCGCCTGTTTGCGCAGCGCAACTTGCTCCGCTTTTGCATCCTGCACCCTTTGCTCCGCTTCGCGCATCGAGTCCGCCTCGGCATCGGCAAGCTCCCTTGTCGTCTGCTGGACGGACTCGCCGGGCTTGGGCCACCCGATTCCGACTGGCCATCCCTTGATGCCTCGCTGGCGAGCGTAGCCATCTGCCACGGAGAGCCAGTTGTCCGACTTGATGTCAGCCGACGCATCGAACGCAATGAGGACGTCGACGTCTCGACCGGGGCGCAAGAGGGGGTAGATGGGCAGGTTGTTGGACATTCCGGCGTCCATCAGTTGGATGTACTCATGCTTGTAGATGCTTTGGGGCGTAGTCTTGGCTAGTTTTCCGTACATATTGTAGGCAAAGTTGGGGATGCTGGCAGGGTCGATCGGATGCACCTTGACCAGATCGTCGTCCCTACCAGACACCAGGTCGTCGACGGTACTGAAGCCGGTCAGGCTCTGCACCAGCGGTCTAATCTCCTTGTAGTAGTGACTCAGCGTCGCGCAAAAAGCGCTTCCAAAGATGCCCATGAGGAGAGGAACGCGAATCTCAGGCAAGTGGAAGCTGTCCTCGGGGGGCACATCATTGCCATCGTTGAACCTTCTCCCCATGGCCCAGGTTGGGATGCCAGCACCGAACTCCTCGCAAAAGAATTCGTAGGGCGTGATTTCGAACCATTGAAACCAGGCTTCTTGCTTTGCTTTTTCCTTGGCCGCCTCAGAAGGGGATGCAGTAGGGTCTTCGCGGGCTTCTGGAATCTCGTGCCGGACTGCCGTATAGATCGGCAAGGGACGTTGACCGAGCTTGACGTAGTCGCGTTGATTTGACAGCTTAAAGTCCTGGTCGTTGACACCCAACTCGCCTTTGGGCACAAGATAGCGGGCACCGAGAAGCAGGCCGTATATGTCAACCAGACCAAAGTCGGCCTTGGAATCGCCCTTGAGCTTCTCCACCAAACCGCTCAAGAGGTACTTGCTCGTAGGCAAAGATATGAGAGAATGGAAAGCCACCGGCGGGTACGCGATGTGTATCGACGCGCGTGCTTTAAGATGTTCCAGTAGGGCTGAGATGCTGCCGGTGAAGGACGACAGATAGAGTGTTTGAAGCCAGCAGGAGCCGCTTACACCAGCAGTGTAAGTGACGCAGTCAAATAGCCCGTCTTCTTCGGTAGCCAGGAGTGAGCCTGTACCGGCAATGAGGGCGCGGAGGCCGCCACCAGAGCCACACATGGCAATGGTGGGGACATCATCGGGATGAACCTCGTCCTCCTTGAGGCCGAGATATTTCGCCAGGGCAACCCGGGCCACCCTTCGTCTCCGGGACAGGTACTCCTTTTCCTCGTCACACAGGTCTGAAGACACTCGAACGCGGGCAGAGTATCGTATCTCTGGGTTGATGACCGGGTCGTGGGCCTCTTGCCAAATTTCGTCGGCCAAGGAGCCCGGTGACATGGACAGCTCACGCTGCAACTTTCTCATGTAGCCTGGCAGCAGCTTGGACCACTCGGGGAGTATGAAGCCAACGAGCCGATCCGACCACTCGGTCCACTCGAGGTCAGACATGAGTGAGATAGACTCGAAGCGACGAGCAAAGTTGGCCCATGCGGATTGGTCCTCTTGCTCGTCGTCGACATCGTCTTGCTCCTCCAGTTCGTCCAGGTCATCTTCAAGCTCGGAGCGTGAACGCCCACCATGATGATGCCGTCTCTTAGGCTGGGAGGACAGCTCGGCGAAGTCTTCCGAGGGGTAGAGCCACCAGACGAAAAGGCCGCTGGTGATGATGGCGGCGGGCAAGGTGGCGCCGATGCGATCTTTTAGGCGCGGACTCGTAGCCTTGGTGAAGAAGCCACGGTGCAGTCGCTTGGGGAGCGGCGAGCCGGGGTGTCCAGCGGCCCTTGGCGCCCGCCGCAGAGGGGCCAAGGCGCCGGGTAGACGATTGAGGCGTCTCATGGTCGCGGTCTCCAGATAAGGAAGCAATGGCTGGGCCGTTGTCGGTCAAATATGGGGAGCCGTTACCGGTTCATGGCCAGCGCTAACGGGTGAAAGGAGTGACGTCAATGAAGCGCAATTGCGTCTGCCGCTGCCACGGCCGGCCGATCGTGTGTCGGTGACGAAGCGCACAGCACGAGGGAACTCAATGGCCTGAAGAAAGAAAAGACGCCTGGTTTTTTTCACATGCCGGAAGTCGGTGGTGAGGCGGATCTTTAAGGTTGAGAGACGCGGTAGCTTCAGGTTAGCTTGACCAGAATCAGGGCAGCTGGCTGCTTATGTCATTTGTTCGTAGTCGCTCATACTACTAGGTATCTACGTCGAGCTGCACTGGAAGCTTTTTTCTGTTGGGATCGGCGATGCGGTCGCGCCCGCGTTGATCCCGCAACTGGCGCCAGATCTGCTAGATTGATGGAAGAGACTGATCGCTATCCGTCACTACCTGGCATATGCCCCATATACTCGTCTTGTCTGGCAGCAGCAGGGCTCTGGGAGAGCGCGCCTATGTAGGGGTCGTTGCGCCTGCGCGCTACTTGTTGAGCAATGAGGACTGCCGTCTTGGCTCAACGTGAATTGAGACAGAGGAATGGCCATCATTGGGCTTTCAATGGGCCGTCGGCACTGGGCGAGTCTCCGCTGCAGAGTTCCTGCATGCGGCAGTGCTCTGGTGGACGGGACCGAAAGCCTATTTATTACGGAGCGCAGCCGGGACTGGGGACGACGGAGAGAGACCGTATCCAGGCACGTGCCGTGGGGGTCCTGGGCCAAATTGGGAAATCTCCTTTGTCGACGGCCATCTATGGATGCTCTCGGTTCATCACGTAAGTACCTCTTGACTTCTTCGGGTCTCAATTGAATGGCGTTCCTGACGGGATGCATGGATGATGTCGAACCTGGAATTGAGCCCTCCAGCGGCAGGGTTCAGCGGCGCCCACTAGAAAGCCCCGTGTGGTGGAGCGACTCGCAGTGGCCAAGACTTCCAGGTTGACGGCAGCAGCCTGCATCTAGGAGGGGCAGTCGTCGCTGAGGTGCCGCTGCCGCTGATTGCTCCTCGGTGGGCGGGACCCCGACATGAGGGCGGATAGGCGCCAGGCGGCCACACGGGCTGGTGGGCAGGTGGGCAGGCAGGCAGGTGGGGAAGCGGGCGGGCGGTGAGGGCGCATTTTAGATTTTCGCTGCGTGCAAAGCTTCTGCCCGTCGCGGCAGAAATTCCGGGCAGTCTTTTTTTCCCCATCTCAGCGGCACCACGGACACTTTCTGGCACCATCAATCGCTGCATCGCCTCCCTCTTGCAAGACCTACTATCGATTGAGTAGCATTGTTCCAGGTGAGTCTACTCAAGACGGTCCTTGTCATTTGCGGCGGGAAAAGCGCTGGCACCCCCCGTCTCGCCGGTGACTCTTCGTTCATTCAGCCCCGCCACCAGTTCGCGAGAGAAGCGATTGCCTGGACCATCGCTCACGTTTCTCGTCGCTCTAGAAACTCTTCCATCCTTTGCGCGCCCGTCCATATTATTGCCCACATCGATTCGCTTGCCTCTGTGCTCTAGTCAAAATGAGCGAGGCCGACGCGACCACCCAGCCCACCGAGGCAGTCCAGGCCCCCGAGGCCGTCGAGGTCGTCGAGGACAAGGCCCAGCAGGAGGAGAAGGCTCAGACAGCCGAGGACGCAGCCGAGCCCGCCAAGGATGAGCCCGCCAGCGAGGAGCCTGCTGGCGAGACGCCCGCCGCCACCACTGGCAAGAATATCATCAAGACGACGGCCAAGATCGACCAGGAAAACCCCCGCAACAACGTCAAGTTCGACGCCAGCACCCGCAAGGATGTCGATGACCCCGCGGCCATCCGCAAGCAGGTAATAATGACGGCCCGAGAGATTCCACTGGCTTCACACGGCAGTGGCTGACACACCCTTCCTTTGTGACTAGGTCGAGTTCTACTTTGGAGACTGGAACTTCCCGCAGGATAAGTTCATGTGGGAGTCGTGTGAGGGAACGGCCAACAAGCCGATGCCCATCTCCAAGATTCACTCGTTCAAGCGCATGCGCGTTTTCCAGCCCTACAGCGCCGTGGTCGCGGCGCTGCGCGAGAGCAAGTTCCTCGAGGTGTCGGGCGAGGAAGGCGAGGAGGTGATCAAGCGCAAGGTGCCCTACAAGCCCATGGCTGAGAGCCGCGCCAAGGCGGAGGCCGCTACCGTCTATGTCAAGGGCTTCGGCGACGAGAACCCTGACACGCAGTTCGACCTCGAGAGCTTCTTCGCCCAGTACGGCGAGATCAAGGGTCTGAAGCTGCGCCGCACGCCCGAGGGTCTGTTCAAGGGGTCCGTCTTTGTGACCTTCCCCGATGAGGACGAGGCCAAGAAGTTTGTCGCGTTGGAGCCGGCGCCCAAGTACAAGGAGCACGACCTGAAGATCATGACCAAGAAGGACTACTGCGACGAGAAGAGCGAGATGATCCGCCAGGGCAAGCTGGAGCCCAGCTCTACCAGCTCCAAGAGGTTCTTCGAGGGCCGTGATCCCAGCGCCAAGAAGGGCCACCGGGGCAAGGACAACGCCGGGCCGCGCGACCGGGACGACTGGAAGAAGCGTCGCGACCACGACCAGAAGCACGGCTTCCAAGGCGGGCGGGGCGGACGCGGTCGGGGCCGGGGTGGCAGGGGCCGGGGTGGGTTCGGCCGTGGCGGCCGCGACAACGGCGGCAGAGACCGCGATCGCCGGGACGGCAAGGGCGAGGAGCGCCGAGGCGACTTCAAGGAGTACGTCCCCTCATGCCTGTCTGCGGACGGGCACAGCGAGACCGAACTGGCGCAGAGACTGACTGACAGCGTTTACAGTGCCAAGCCGCGCATCCAGTCGACGAGCGAGGACGCGCCGGCGGCCAACGGCAAGCGGGCGCGCGACGACGAGGGGGGCGCCGCCGAGGGCGCACCGGCTGCCAAGAAGGTGGACAGCAAGGAGACGGCCGCGGCGCCGGCTTCGTGAGGGTAATGCGGAAGCTATCACACATTCACAAAGGCGTTATCTTGCTCATTGAAGGGCCGGAAAGTACATTTTGACAATCAGAGGGCGCACCGCGTCTGGCAATGCTTGGGAGACGCGCGTATGAGGAACCTGTGACTCTGGCTGAGGGCCCGGGGTCGGGACTGGGCGGGCTTGTTTCGCATAGCAAATCTTTCTGCCTTTGACAAATAAACGGGCGTTTACACGAGGCCGCCGGACCGGCATTCAACTTTTAAAGAGATGACGGAACCGGACTTGGGGCCGGCAGTCGCTCCGTGGACAAAGAGTCGGGTTGCGCAGGCCGGGTGCCGCCAAGGACGATCCGTGGAGTTCCCGTGGCCTACGGAGGCGGCAGGTGTCGGGCCCGACGACTGCGTCCGGGGTCAACCCACGGACGGACTTAGGTAGCGAACCCGGGATCCCTAACTGGAAAAAGAGGCCTTAGTAACTGGCACGCCCTGACTTGCCTGCCTTGACGGGCCGGCGCCACTGCCGCCACCACTAACGCGGACGGAGGCTCCAGCCAGTTGGCAGCGCTCCATTGTCGGCGGCGCCGGTTCGGCGACGGATCGGCCCCCCCAAGCCCCATGCGCAGCCCAACCCAACCGCTTCTTTCCCCTGCTGGACTGGCCTGGCAGCGCAAACAGAGAAGAGATTTTGCACGGCACGGCTACCCGACCCGAGGCGATGCGGTGTGATGCGATGCCAGTCCCAGTGCGATGCGCTCCGGCGCGGTGCGGAGTAAGGGCGCTCGCTCCCTCAACAAGTCAATCCCGGTTGGGCGGTGCGCCTGCTTGAATGAACTTCTCTCCTCCTCCTCCTCCTCATTCTGTTTCCTCCCTTCTCTTCTTCGAGCCCTTTCGCTGGTCTTGCCGCCTTGGGTCTCTCCCTGCTTATCCCTTTTGGAATCAATTTCGTCATTCTCTCGAGTCCGTTTGCATGTATCACTGCCGGGCCTGGGGCGACCAACCGACTTACACGCCTGCCCACCCGCTTATAAGTGAGGCACGCGACCGTACTACCCTGACACCCACAACACACAGGACTCCTTCATCGCATGCCAGCACAACTCGTTTTGCTGCGGTCTGAATAGATCTATGACCGTCGTCTGTGATCATGGACGAAAAGAGTTCGATGGCTGAGCAATCGGCACCGGGCGTGACGCCCAGGTCGCCCTCTACGGCAAGCACCGTGACCTCGCATCACCAACACCAGCAACTGGAAGATCGCTCCGCGCCTCACTCTGACTTCGACCCGGAAAAGCACGAGCATCTGCGCACCTTGACGGACTCGGAGGATGACGCCTCCTCCACGTCGGAATCCCGCAGGGGTCGCAGCGAGCCGCTCTCGCGCGCTGCCACCACCAAGTCGGCCAAGTCCACAGCGGCTGATCCCCTGTCCCGGACCGTCTCTGAGGTCAGGGACGGCATCCCTAACCAGCGGGACCTCGAGCTCGGGGGTGACGGCGACGGCAAGGACGGGGAGAAGGTGACAGCTGAGGCGCAGGCCGCCGCCGCCACCGACGATGACCCCAACCTCGTGCGGTGGGCCGGGCCCGACGACCCGGACAACCCCAAGAACTGGCCCATGAAGCGCAAGTGGGCGGCCGTGCTGTGCGTCTCCTTCTTCACGCTCATCTCGCCCGTGGCGTCGTCCATGGTGGCGCCCGCGCTCAATGCCATCGGCGACGACCTGGCCATCGAGGGGGGGCTCGAGCGCGCCCTCGTGCTGTCCATCTTCGTGGCCGCCTACGCCCTCGGTCCGCTCCTCTGGGGCCCCCTGTCGGAACTGTACGGGCGCACCATCATCCTGCAGTCTTCCAACCTCGTCTTCCTCCTCTTCAACCTGGGCTGCGGCCTTGCCCGCACCGAGGGCCAGATGATCGCCTTCCGCTTCCTCGCTGGCATCGGCGGCTCGGCGCCCCTGGCCATCGGCGGCGGCCTCCTCAGCGATCTCTTCAACCCGGAGCAGCGCGGCAAGGCCATGAGCGTCTACTCGCTCATGCCGCTGCTGGGCCCGGCCATCGGCCCCATTGCCGGCGGCTGGATCGCCGAGCGCACCAGCTGGCGCTGGGTCTTCTACAGCACCACCATCGCCTGCGGCGTCATCCAGACCGCGGGCCTCTTCTTCCTCCAGGAGACGTACGCGCCCGTCCTGCTGCAGCGCCGTCGCGCGCGCCTCGCCCGCCAGACGGGCAACGCGGAGCTGCGCACCGAGTTCGACCGCCCGGACCGGACCCTCGCGCAGACACTCGGCATCGCCCTCACGCGGCCCTTCCGCCTGCTCGTCACGCAGCCCATCGTCCAGGTCATGTCCCTGTACATGATGTACCTGTACGGCATGATCTACCTCGTGCTGTCCACCTTCCCGACCCTCTGGACCGAGACGTACCACGAGTCGGTCGGCATCGGCGGCCTCAACTACCTGTCGCTGGGCATCGGCTTCTTCATCGGCACGCAGGTGTGCGCCCCGCTGCAGGACCGCATCTACGCCGCCCTCAAGCGGCACTACGTCCCCGCGGGCGGGCCGGGCCGCCCCGAGTTCCGCGTCCCCATGATGATCCCCGGCGGGCTGCTCGTGCCCGTTGGCCTGCTCGTCTACTCGTGGACCGCCGACGCCGCCACGCACTGGATCTGGCCCAACGTCGGCGCCGCCATCTACGCCGCGGGAACCATCATAAGCTTCCAGTGCGTCCAGGGCTACATGGTCGACTCGTACGCCCGCTACGCCGCCAGCGCCGTCGGCGCCATGACGGTCCTGCGCAGTCTCGCGGGCTTCGGCTTCCCCCTCTTTGCGCCCTACATGTACGCCGCCCTGGGGCTCGGCAAGGGCGGCACCGTCCTCGCCGCCTGTGCCGTCGGCATCGGCTGGCCGAGCCCCATCCTGCTGTGGGTGTATGGCGCCCGGCTGCGGGCCAAGAGCAAGTTTAGCAGCTGATCCCGCTTCTCGGTCTCTGGTCTCTCCCCTCCCCCGGAGGAACCTCTTTTCCATTATGATTGTTTCGTCTCGTTTTCATTTAAAATGTGTTTTTGTTCGGCATAGCGTTGCAACGGCATGGCATGGTTGAGGAAACTTTGTGCAAGCAAAAGACAGGAGACGACAACAAGCAGCATTGGAAGGCGTTTCTGCATTCACCGTGTATAAGACCCGTTACGGGTGTCTTTTCTGCCACATATCGGGCTTTGTCTATATATCATATATATATATAATTCAGCATAGCATGAACAAAAACATCTTGTCCCGGTCATCATAGCGTCATCTATTCTAGCCCCTTTTTTTTTGGTTTTCATGCACTCACGTAGTGGTGGCTGTGCTCACAAGGCAAGACCCACGGGAAGTCGAAGCCCCCGTTGGTCCAGCTACACCGAGTACTCGAGCTTGCGGTCGCCCATGACGGCCCAAAACTCCTCAACCAGCTCCTCCTGGCCGGTGGGCGCGCCCCGTACGGCCAGGTACACGCGCGACTCGAGGGGCGTATCCCAGTCGCGCGGGTTCCCGCCGACGACGCGCCCGCCCGCCTCCTCGAGGATGCACCACCCGGCGCAGACGTCCCAGGCCCAGCAGCCGCCCTCCCAGTAGGCGTCGAGCTGGCCCGCCGCGACGGCCGCCATGTTGAGGGCGGCGGAGCCGAGGCTGCGCAGCGAGTGGACCATGCTGCCGCCGGACTCGCGGCTGGCGGCCAGCTGGCGGAAGATGGCGGCCTTGGCGTCGAAGTTGGCGCCCTCGCGGTCGGACCCCCACTCGACGGCGAGGAGCGCCGAGCCGAGCCCCGTGAGGGGCCGCGGGGAGCGCGCCAGGGGGAGGCGCTGCGGCGGGGTGCCGCGGATGCGCGTCATGTGGGCGCCGCGGCCGCGCACGGCGGTGAAGAGCAGGTCCTGCCACGGGTTGTAGATGACGCCCACGGCGGGGCGGCGGTCGACGGCCAGGCCGAGCGAGATGCACGCGTTGGGGAACGAGTGGACAAAGTTGGTGGTGCCTGCAGGGCCCTGGCCGTCAGCGTTTGGTGTCTTCGTCACCGCAGGCGGCGGCGGAAGCAGCCGTCGTAATCGCCGCTGTCGTCGTCGACGACAACCAGGTCGTCATTTGGGTGACAGGAAGGGGGGAGAGAGAGAGCGCACCGTCAATGGGATCCACGACAAACGTCGGCTCCGGGCCCAGCCGCACGCCAGGCTTGTACGTCTCCTCGCCCATGAACGCAAACGAGGGAAACGCCGCGGCCAGGCGCCCCGAGACCATCTTCTCGACGCCCTTGTCCACCTCGGTGACGATGTCGACGGCTGCGCGGGGCGCGAGTGAAGGCACCCCTCGGGTCAGCAACCGTTTCAACGCATCCATCGACGACGAGGAGAGTCCCCTCCGCTGCGGAACATACAGTTGAGCTTGGTGCCCGTGTCAATGTCGGCCGGGTTGGCGGCGAGAATCATCTTGCCGGCCTCGTAGGCCGCCGACACCATTGCGTCGTGGACGGCCTGGAGGTCGACGTCGACGTCGGCCATGGCGGCGGGTTTTGTTGGTGCAAGGTTCGAGAGTGGGTGGACGTGCGGACGGGAAGGAGGGTGTCCCTTGGGTGGTCAATTGAGGGATCTGAATCGGGGGACCGAGCGGCTCGTCTACGCGCGCTGCGTCTGGCGGTGGTTGTCGAGCTGGCGTGGTGAGGTGGTTGGAGGTGGCATGTTGACAGTGAGCGCCACCGTGGCGGGGCAGCTCCATGAACGGCCGGCACGGCGGCGGACGGGGAACCGGCGCTGGAATTGGAGCTGGAGCCGGAGCTCTGGCGGGGCAATTGCGTCTGTCAGCATCATTAGGGTATGTACTTCGTGCGAAGTCACACAGCAAACATTATCACGGTTCACACCTCGACGAAATATGAGTGACAACAAAGGTGCCATTACATTGATGCGCTGCAAGGGTGTCAAGAGTCGACGGATGGACTTCGAAGTGCAAAGCCATCCATCCATAGCAATACACCAGCCCACGACTCCACATCGACGCTGTCAGCGCCAACCAACGCGCCGCAGTCCTGCAATTGCCCGGGTCGCATACTGTACAGACATAGAAAGGGCCCTCCGAGAGATACAAGCAGAAACACCGAAAACTCCATCTCCACTGCCTCGCGTTTTTCCCCCTTTGTCGCGGATCTGAAAACAACAAGTGCCAAGCCCAAACACGCACATCCCCCCTCGGTCCGCGCCGGCGGTGGTAGTGGCCCCTTGAGCTCGCGCAGCGCTCCCGGAGGGGGGGTCTATACGAGCAAATGTGCGCGTGTGCGAATGAGCAGATGCGATGCCGGGAGCTCAGCTCCAGGCGCTCAAGCTACAGCCCATGCCCATGCCCATGAAATGTCAAGGGTCGCTCTTCGTGTTCCACGGCCACTTCGGCAGCACAGCCCGCTGATCCATCTGTCCGCTCGACGCCGCACTCCTCAACACCCAGCCATGCGCGGTTCGCGGCGTCTCATACGTTCTCTCGGAACATGGACCGCCGCTCGGTAGGGCTGTTGGCGCTGTCCGGGTCATCCTTGGCCTGGTGCGCCTTTGCCTGCGCGTCCGTCGTCTCGACAATTGGCCGGGGGCTCACCCCGCGCAGGCTCTCTGCCGCGGCGGCGTCATCGTCGAAGGGGTTGGGATTGCGCTGGCCCGCCGGCGCCGCCCCGGGGCTCCTCGTCGGTGCGCGGCCGCGCGCCGCCTCCTCGTCGTACTCGGCACCCGGCGTCGCGGCCAGGTTCATGCTGTAGCTGCCTCCGTGGTACTCAGTCGAGCCGCGTCGACCCGCTGCCGCCGGGCCACCGCTGAGCTCCTGCTCTTCGTAGTAGCCGTAGCCGTCGGCTTCATGACCGACGCGCGCGTCCCACGCCTCGTCCGGATCCAGCGGGCCGAAGCCGCGACGTCCGCGGGGAGCGGCTCCTCCGCCGTGTGACGGCTGCTCGTAGGCGCCCGCGGCGGAGCGGTTGTTGCGGTTCTTAAACTTGCGCACCTGGTCGTTGAACCAGCCGACGACGCCGCCAGGCGCCGGCCGTGGCGGGCCGTACGGGTTGTCCTGTTTCTTCCAGGGCAGGTAGGAGGATAGGCTCGGCGGGGGGAGCTGCAGAGAGACGCGCCGTAGTTAGCGAGGGCCGGTCCATCGGGCAGCCATCCGCCTGTTGCTCTGTGCCAAAAGGCGGACCTGTCGACGCCGCTCGGCGAGACAGCTACCTCTGCGGCGAGCGACGGCGACGACCGAGGAGGAGGAGGAAACACTCACGCCGAGCTTGCGGGCGCGCAGCTGCGTAAAGACGATCCATCCGACGGCTGCGGCGAGGAGCAGCACGACGACGGCGATGGCGATGCCTCCGCCCGTCGACACCATGGCGATTTGTGCGCGGGACTGTGCAAAGGCTTCGTGAGGTTGGTTGTTGGGCTTTTGGGAGGGTAGGTCGCAATGGGGTGGGCGAGTCTAGGTCGAGACCGGGACGGGAGCGGTCGTTGGGCGATGCGCGTTGAGCATCAGGGCCGAGCGCTGGATGCGACAGCGGCGAGTTTGGCGAGCGCACACAAAGAACGGGTCGAGATGATGGTTTGCTTGCCTGGGTTCAAGGTTGGAGGTCTCGAGAAGCGGTCTGTTTGGAGACTGGCTGGCTGAGGCCCCCCTTCCAGGTTTGTTGTGTGTGGTGTGTGGGCTGGGCTGGCTCGCGTGAGATGACAGACAGCGCCGGAGCTTCAAAGTGGAAGGTCAAGGTTTCCGATGACGCGCCTGGGGGGGAACCGTAGCAGCAGTGGAAGCTTGGGTTGATGAGCCTGGGGCGTTGGTCCACGTCGCTGCAGGGGACAGCGGGCAAGTTTAGTGCGATACGCAAGCCCTGCTGCTGCTGTCGCTCAGTGGAGGTTTCAAAGGAAGTCGTTTGCCCCCGCTGACGAAGCGCCTCCCCCGTTTGGAGCGCCTCCCGTCCCAGCCCGGGCAGCTGTCAGCTACCAGGTTTGCCACGCTCCAGGGCCCCAGGCGGGCAGGGCCAGCGCCTCCACTGCGATGGTTCCGCTTTTAGCGTGCCATGTGCTGCGGATCAGTGGACCTAGGCGCTCCCCCGAACGGCCGGATGCTTCCAGTGGAGGCTGCTGCCAAGACAGCGCCTGGGCAGGCGACCAGGCTGCTGCTTTTCTGCAGCGCCGAGTGGCTGCAGCGCCAGTGTGGGGGTGGCATTGGATAGGTGCATGGAAACAAACAGCCCTGGAGCTGGGGCAGCAGCCTGGGCAGGCTCCCGTCACTAAAAAAGCTGCGACGCAACCTTCAACAGCCATCGAAGGCCCCGCCAGCAGCAGCCAAAAAAGCAACGACTGTTCATGACCATGGCATGGCGGCATCCGGCCCGAGATGCGCGAGACCTCCGAAACAAGGTGCGGCGATGTTACCTCTTCATCCCCATTGCGCAATGTACTGTAGAAAACGCTGCCCACTAAACACCTCAATGTGCACATCGTGCATGTACTGTATGTAAGCTTGGATCTGCCATCCATCGTTCATGTCTCTGTTGTGTCGCGTCAGCTCAGTGATCACCCTCCTCGAGTCTCCTCCACTCCCCGTCCCCGTTGGGGCGCCTGCTGTTGCTTCTGCTGCTGCTGCTCAACACCGCCGTCCATGACGTGGCGCCTACCAAGGCACCGGCGCAAGCTGCGCCCGGCCTCGCCGCGAGACGTGCGTCCTCTGGCAAGCGACGCAAAGACCCGTGGCTCGGCCCTTTTGTTGGCGCATCCTGATGACGAGGCACGGACAGTCCGCACCCCGTGGACATTGGCCCAACAAAGCGGCCGAAGGACAGAGAGCGAGAGAGAGACAAAGAAGGAGCCGTGACCGCCATCTCCAAGCTGCAGCTTGGGTATAATGTACGCACTGCTGTGCATACAGACATACATATATACATATACTAACCGCCCGTTCGCGACAACGCGCATTACACAAACACTGACTGCTCAGTCCACCGTCACGTTACATGTGACAATGACACGTTTGCCACTTTCTCTCTCTCTCTCTCTCTCTTTCCCTTTCTCTGCCTCTGTATCTATCTCTCTCTGCCTCTTTGTCCACTGTATCTCTCTGTCTCTCTGTCTCTGTCTCCATCTCTCACTGTCTCTCATGCATAGCACAGGGGCCAGTGGCCGCCCGACCTCGCAAACGACAGGCCCTCGACAAAGTCTCCCAGCCTGCACCGCCCATGCCCGTCGGCTCGACAGCCCTGCAGCGGGACGACCCGGTCGTTGACCAGGATCCTCACCAGCTCGTCGCTCCCCGTGTGGCCGGCGCACCGCATCTTCTCCACGTACATGCGCGCCGCGAACGGCACCGTCCACGACGTCGAGTAGCCGTGCGTCTGGCCCGGCGACAGCTTGTGCGTGTCGGGCAGGTCGCCGGTCCGGTTGTATAGGCCGAGCGCCGCGTACACCGACGTCATTAGGCTGTCGTGGCTGAAGTCGGCGTACAGCTTCCGGTCCAGGGGAAATGTGTCAGGCGATGCGTCCAGCGTCGAGTTGGCCGAGGTGTTGTCCACGAGAGCCTTTCCCGTCAGTCGAGAAATAAGCTCGTTGACGTAGCCGACTCCCTGCGTCGGGCCAAGAGGGTTCCCGTTGCCGTAGTTGTACCACTTGTCGAGCGACAGGTAGTAGTCGTAGCCGTGCCATTCCTCCTGCGAGAACAGCCTGCAAAAGTCCGACTTGGTCGCGTTGGGCGTGCCGACCGTGTCGAAGGGGCACAGATCCATGAGATAGACTGTGTCCTCGAGCGTGAGGTTCGCCCCGGGCAGCTTGTGGTTGAGTCTCTCCATGATGGGCGCTGCCCAGATGGACCGCCAGTTCTCTTGCTTGCCATCCCCTAGCGCACTCCAGGGCCCGTCCTCAAATCCTGGGCACGTGCCGTGATCAAGCGTGTTGTTGAAGCCAACCTTCTCCGGCAGCACAAGTATCTGCTCCAGCTTCCCCATGCCGCTGATCCCCTGAGCCTCGTAAAAGGCCCTCGTGAAGTTCTGAGCTGACATGACGACGCGCGGGGACCCGGAAGCACGCACAAACGGTTCCGAGCCGTGCGCCAGGTCCTTATACCGCTGATAGAAGGCCGCACCAGACTGGACGAGCTCCTTTTGCCCGTACAAGGTCAAGTCGTCGACACGGTTCGTGAAGGTATAGTCGCGGATAAACTCGAGGCCCTTGCCATACTTGTCAACCGACGCGTGTATGCGGTCGAGGAGCTGATGGTACGGCGACGACTTGGCCTTGGTCGTATACCGCGAGCCATGACGGGACAGCACGGCAGCAAAGGTCAGCTCACAGCCGTGGGGCAAGGCCGGGTCAAGGGATGACGGCGCCGAGAAGTAGGGCGAGTACTGTCCCCAGGTGTGCGGAGAGACGCCATCGCAGGAGCCCGTGGCCTCGCATCCGCGTGAGTCAGGATGGGCCTGCCTGCGCAAAGTGAAAAGGAGGGAGGTAAGCTTTCACTCGGTGCTTGGGATATCGGGTCAAGAGTCAAGACGCCAAACGGTCTGCGAATCACGTACCCATATACGGCGGCAGCGGCCAAGACGGCGAAGAGAATCATGGCGCCAGCAGTCAGTTTAAGCAGCCTTGCTTGCTCGTGGAGCGGTCTTGGGCGGTGATTGCCATGGACGAGCTGCTCATCATGGGGGGGCGGCGGCGACTCGCAGTCCTCGGTCGACGCCGGGACAGCGCTGTACTTGTATCTGATGCCGTCGCGGGGCAAGAGCCCGCTGACGAGCGAGGTCAAGACGCTGGCCACGCCCATGGCTGCTATTGTCCCTCACCCATGGCCCTCCCCGAGGCCGGCGTGCGCTCCGGGGTCCGAGGAGCCAGTGCGCACCGTGGACACGGACAACGTGCGCGCTCTGGTGGCGAGCGCACACTTGGCAGTTAGTGGGTGGAGGTTGGCCCGGGCGGATGGGGATTGCGATGATGTCGCTGGATGTTGGGTGATGCGAAGCGATGCTGTGCGGTTAGGTTAGGTGAGGTGACGGAAGTGAGAGGGAACCTGGGCGGCCGGCGGTGGCGTTTCCGGTCTCGCTTCTTTGCCGTGCCGTCCCGCGCGAGCAGGACACAGCCCAGGAGAAAGAGCGCTGTGCAAGGTTGCTTCCAGGTTTCTTTTATTTGATCCACGTCCGGCGAACGGCGCCCAAGCTCAGGGCGCAGGCTGGAGTCGCCACGGCGCCGTCGAACTGGCAGCGCACGTGGCCCTAGTCTAATGGCTCCTCAGGTACCAAAGGTAGTACGTACAGTCCCGTCCCCTACCTACCTAGTAGGCCGGCGCTTTATTCATAGGTACCTTGGTAGCTTGGGCAGGGCAGAGGGACACGTGCCGAAACACCAAAAGACGCACGGCCGCATGCGCCGCACTGGGAGCATCCATGGACGTTTGCTCAATGCTCACTCACCCTGCCAAGGCAAAGGTAGCTCCGGTAGATGGGCCGGGAAGTGCTCGGGTAATTTTCTAGGTGAGGGCATGCTTGTTTGTTTGTTGATAAAGACTACATCTGTACACCGAGCATCTAAGCCCTAACGTTCACGTAGAACCGGGAACTCAGACGTCCGTAAACGGATACCGACGCCGCCGCTTCCTTTGGCATTTTCACTGTGCGGATTCCCGTTGCCGCCTGCAGAGCACGACTGGGTGCCTGCCAACCGAGTGATCGTCGAGAACCGCGAATCAGTAATCGCAACTGTCACATAATTGCGTGAAAGTGTCAGCCCGGCGCGTCTAGGCCAACATGCACACGACGATGCAATGCTGCAGTAATGTCGTCATGGGAGTGCCCAACCTGCCGTGTTGGTCCGCCTTCCAGTACGATGCCGCGTCCCAGCGCTGCGGAGCCGGAGGAGCCCAGCAGGTCCGCGACCCCCAAACGTCGATTGCAGCGCAGGCACGTGCCGCAATGGCAGGTTCGCCGTGCCGTAGGCATGCCTTCGAGGTTGTTGCTTACTAGGAACTTATTGCCTATATGCAGCCCTCTCCGCCATTGCTACTCTACGGGGTACATACGAGCCACACTCTGCTGTTGCAGCACTTTTGGGTACTTGCCTCTCCTCTCGCTTTCGCCGCCAGGCTCGGAATTACCACAACCGCCCTTGCCCTTGCAGGTAAGGTAATCATTAGATCCCTGCCCTGCCCCCTTCTCTTGCTCGTCACAGGACCGCGAGCCTCTGTGTCAGCCCAAGGTCATCACCGTCGCACACCGCCCATCTTGCCGCTTGCATGTCTCACATCTACAACGCACTCAATGGCACCAAGGAGTCTCTGAATCGCGGGGGGCAAAAACCTTCAGGGCTCACAAGCCTGTCGACCTTTCACTCATTACCAGGGTCGTCGTCGACCTTGCGCTCTATCTGATGGTATGCAAAGTGCTTTGTCTGCGTCTCCAGCACGCAGAAGCCGCCGAGGCCGCCATGGGCCTCGTCCAGCATGTAAGTCGAGGTAGGTACGTTTCGCACACACCCGGTGGTATCATCATCGCCGACCCGCCGTTTCGTCCTGGCCATTCCAGCTATGTACAGCCTCTCCCCTTTTCATCTTCGCCCGCCCTTTACATCGCGACGCCAACACTCGTCCTAACCCGAGGCTGGTCAATCTTTCCAAACGTAGCCGACCTCTCCAAGGGCGGCTGCGGCAGTGGCTCGTCTTGCTTCGCAATAGGTGTGCTGCCGGGCGACCACGTTGTCGGTGCAGTCTGTTTTTCCTCTTCCGAATCCCACGTCGACAAGGAGTCAAGCGAGTCGTAGCTCCGTCGTCCCTGCAGTCCTGCCGCAGCGACGCACTGGTAGAATCCTTGGCGGCCCTTGATCGGCTTGGGGATGTTCGTGACCGAGTCGTGGCTGGCGTCCTTGCCCGTCTCCGAGCCCGGGAAGAGCCATGACGACACGCGCGAGAAAGACTTCTTCTTGCGAAGCGGTGGCCGAAGCACCAGCGGCAATGGCGGCGGCAGTGGCCGCGTGTCTCGGCGCGGGGACACTGGAGTGACTGCCCCTCCTGACGCCGTCGCCCGACTGTCGGTCCGGTTGGCCACGCATGGCTCCGCCTTGGTGGGTGCCGTCTGCGGGCGCTCAAGCTCAGAGTTAAGGCGCTGCGCAAACGACGGCGCAGCAGGTGGGAGAGCGGGGATCGAGGGCATTGGCTCTAATTCTAGACGAAATACATGTAAGCATCGGTGCCGATGTCCTGCCTCGATGTCAGGCTCACCTGGCATTGTCCGTGCAATCGAATGCGGCGTTGACGGCCGGCTGTTGGTGTAGATACTTTGACGCTCAATCACGTCGTCGATCTGCTTTTGCAGCCGCTCCACTTCAATCATGGCGCTGGCGACGCGCTCCTTGATGGCATCTACGTCCGTCGCCGTGTAGGCCCGCATGCGGTTCCTCGACTTTGGCGGGATGCGCGGTGGCGCTTCGTCCAGGGTGGTGGACGGAGAGCTGTCGACGGCATGCCGACGCGGGACATGGAACGACATGGACGTGTAGCTCCGCTGGCGCATCAGCGCGTGATCTTCCTCAGTCCGGCTGGCGAAGTAAGCTGGCGGGGGCGGAGTCATGACCCGCGGCACGTCGAAGTGTGGCAAAATCGGCGACGTGCGGCCGTCTGACATGTAGATGCTGAGCTCCAGGGGCCGGAACGAGCCTCTGCGCTGGGGATGACCGTCTTGCCGTGGAAGGTCCGACGAGTTCTCGCGTGAGGTATGGTAGGACCCCGAGTGCAGGTGGCGAAACTCGTACGGCGCGGATATCTGCGGCCGGCGCGATGCCGCGTCTGACCAGAAGGCCCTTCTCGCGGAGAAGCTTGTGCCTCGCGAACCAGCGCTCTTCCTCGGCATGTCGTCTTTGAAAGCCGTCCGAGAGAGATCCGCTTGCGGAGCTGCCACGGGACGAGGCTGGTAGGACGGCGGACTCTGTACGACGGCGGTCCGGGCCATTCGACGGTCCTCAATATCTGGATGGGCAAGTTAGACGTCGGTGCTCTTTTCGTCGAACGAGGCAGCAGCGGCGACTTACCAACGGCGGAGCCTGTCCTGAGGCGAGAGAGAATAGGTGCGCACGAGAGGAGAGCCGAGAACCATGTCAAGGGGACTTTAAAAGCAGCGCCGGCCGAGTCATTCATACTGCGCCAAGGAGAACAGACGCATGCCGAGCGGGCCTGCCGGAGGGATGAGGTAAACGAATGACTGCTGTATCTGACGCAGTGTCTGCATCAGGCGGACGAGCGACGACGCAGACGAGGAGCACGCGAACGTCCAGCGATGCGCTGCGATATAAGTGCGACGGCGGAGAAGAACATGCGACAAGTCCAGCTGGAGCGCTTGTACCTTCGTCTGAGTGAGCGAGAGCGAGACAACGACGGGGCCGGGCAAAATAATAATAATAATAATAGGGCCGTCAAAGAGGCTCACTTGACCCAACGCCTGAGCTGAGCGCATTGTGGCCCAAAGGGCCTGGCCTTGCCCGCAAGACAAAAGGCAGAGAGGCTTTGCCTCTGCTGGGTGGCAGCTGAGCGAGGGCGGTTCATGATGAAGGTGCGTGATGGGCGGCCGTGATAGGCTGCCGTGTCATCCAGGCCGTCCAGTCGGCGCTTAGAACGCGGGATCCGGATGGCTGGCGCGCCACACCAGATTGCAGGACCCACCGGCGGCGTCTGACGGCCGGGCCAGCGACAGCGAGTCGATGTCTTGCAGCCGCCTCTCTTGGCCGTTTTGCCTTTGCTGGCGAGGCCGCCGCGCAGATTGGTTCGTGGGCGACGGGGCCGGCATGGAACCGCGATGGGGACGCAATGACTGGAAACGGGTCGCGGCGCAGCTCTCGTCAATCTGAATCTCGTGTCCCGTCGCCCTCGTCTCCGCCGTCTCCGCCGCCGCAGCGTCTCGCGGGCGGGCTGATGTGAGCCAGGCATCCATCTGCGAAGAGAGCAGGGCCCTGCCGCGAACCTCTCCCGGTGCGGCGGCGACGACAGCGACGCGACAGCCCGCTTCCATCTCGCGACGTTTCGTCTGTCGCCCGCCCATGTGCCCGTGTCATCATGTCATGGCGGGGGGCGGAGCTGCCGAGCATGGGCGCTGGTGGTGCAGCGCAGTGGCGTCGTCGTCGTCACGTCCCGAGGGTGTCGTGTGTCTGTCCATCTCCGTTCTAAGAATAAAGGTCCGCCATAGCTCGATGGTGGCTCCATCATGTCGAACCGGGCACGATGGGACGTTCCCCTGGCGATGCCTTGGGCCACATGATTCCGTCATGGTGGCCAGGCATCCTGGCTCGGTTCGGCGCCTCCGCTCGAGTCGACGAGTTTTCCATCGACAAGCGCTGATGCCGCGGGCAAAGCCTTCATGCTTGTCTCAGGTCGTGGCCTTGGTCGTGGCCTTGCAGCTGTCCAAAGGCATTGTGAGGAATTGCGTCGAGAGGCAGCGAATGGAAACACGAATTAATGCTGCAGGGACGGGCCTCTCCAGGGGCAGACATGGCAAGCCCAGCGCATGCAGGATGGCCCAGAGTGGCCTAGCGCGGAGCGGTCCCTTCCTTCCATGGTTCCAGCCCGCTGCCCGCTGGTGAATGCGGGGCGCCGGCAGCGGTGAGGCGTGGCAGAACTCCAAAATTATTTGGCGGGCTGCGCGCAGCGATGGCTAGCGATAGCACCGCGAAGGCACTGCATGCTCTGCGCCCACGCCGTGTCCCAAAGAAAGAGACCGCCCGGCCACCACACCCCCGCGTCCTCTTTCCAGATATTCGGAAAGATGGGCAAGCGGGCTTCCAATGGCGGCACCGACGGTGCGGCCGCCTTCCGCAAGCGCCAGAAAATCGCCCACGAGGCTCCCTCGTCCGAAGACATCGAGTCCAGCGACCAGCTGAGGCGCCTGCTGGCGTTCGACCAAGATCTACGACGGGCCCGACATGGTGAGCTTTTACTCTGTCTCATATCCCGCGCCGACATATAATTGACCTCTTTTTAGGACTCCAATCGTTCAAGAAGCTCCTCGACGAAGCCATATCCGGCGACGGCGACCGGAAAGCAAAGCTCGCCATCCTTCAGCAGTACCTCGAGACGGTAATGCCCAAGGACGCCGCCGACAACGACGATGCCGTATTTCTCAATGATATCATGGAGATGTGGTCTTTTGCGGCTCAGGTCAACGACGATGGCGTCATGTCGTCCGTTGCCGTTGTCCTCGCCTTGCTCCTCCAACTCGTCTCCGAATCTCTCCACCTCGTCGCCCACGGCCTCGGAATCTGCCGCACACTCCTCCAAGAGCGACAGCTCAAGTCCTTGTCCAGAAATTTGTCGGCTGAGAAGGGCAAGGGCTTCATCATCTCGCCTACGCTGCGCCTGCTGCGGGAAGCGGTCTGCCTGGACGGCGGCGCTTATGCCAGAAGGGTTGTCCGCGAGAGATCCTATACGTTCACGTCTCTGGGGAGGAATCTCGAGATTGGCCATACTGGCGACGGGCAAGAAGACTCGAGGCGAGCGTCTGTCCGAACCAACGCCGTCCGGTTCTTCCTCAGCTGCCTCAAATATCTGCATCCCGAAGGGCGAAGAGAGCTGCTCTCGCAAAGGGAGCTCCTATCCCATCTCACATATATGATCAAGGCCGACCCGCCGTACCTCGTCTCCGAAATTCTCGACACCCTCAAGACTTATGTCCTGGCGGAGGTCAAGATACCCCGAGAAGTGAAGTTCAAGAGCTTCAACACCAAAACACTACTGCGATTCCTCGCACTCTACAACTACTCATCACCAACCGGAGAACCAGATGATCGAGACGCTGTCATTGAAAAGGCACACCATTTCCTCATGTATGTATGCACAACGCCGGCTGCCGGTGTGCTTTACCCATACAAGGGCCTATATCCGAAGGAGTCGGATGAGGAGACGACGAGCCGCTCGATCAAGGGGCAGGCCGGCGCCAACTCTGATCCCTGGGAAGGCCGGTTTCAAGAGGGCATCCCCGTCTTCAACTTCGTCCTGTCTGAGTTTGCCGCCAAGTTGCGCCCGTGGTCCAGCTTGAAGCACAGCGAGCTCCTCGTGGCCATGTTTACTGCCGCTCCGGAGCTCATCGCCGACTACTTCTACAAAAACCGGTCATTCACTTTTGAGCCGAAGCTGTCGATGACGTGGATTGGATACGCCGCCTTCCTCTTCAGCACAATGACTCTACCGCTGCCCCCTGCGTTCGGAGATCCCTTACGCTACGCCAACGTACCGCCTCCTACTTCTGTCCTTCTCGACAACATTCTTCCGCCGGCCATCAACGAGAAAGTCCTTGTACGATGCCTGTCACCCAAGTCTCATCTGACATCCTTTTTCGCCACAAGAATCCTGGTCGCTGCGCTAGAGAAGCTCAATGCCGCGGTTGGTATGCTTGAGAGCAGCTCATCTCGAAGTCGCAGCACCGTCTGGTCTGCAGCCGCTAGGCGCTTGGTCGACGCCTTTTGCCAGCGAATCCCGGACATGAAGGAGGTTGTCCGTTGCTACAGAAGCGTCCCACCCGAGAATGCATTGCACAGAACCCTAGCGAGCCGCTCGTTGCGATTATACTACGAGGTGATTCCTCGGGTTGCTCTCGCAGCAAATTTTGATGTTTCTCCCTTATTTGTGGACATCCTCAAGTCCATGTACCAAGACGAGTATGAACCGGGCACCAAAGCTCTGGCCACAATGGAACTAGAAAACCTCGTTTCCATTGCTAGCTATTCTCCTGGCATGAGGTGGTTCTCGAAGATTGAAGGTCTTGGGGATGGCGCCTCTCTGTCTGCCTTTACCGCCCTCCTGCGACTGCTGTGCGATGGCGATCGCGACACCCCCGATAACCAGCTCAAGAAGACATTGTCCGACGTTGCAATCGAAAATCAGCTTGTTTCGAGGTCAACAGGATTAAGGCCTCTACTCAGGGCTCTGCAATGCACCGCTGAAGATGCGAGTGTCAAGGATCTGAGTTCCGTATGGTCTCTGCTCGACAGCTGCATAAATCGGTGTGCCACTTCGCCCATCAAGTACCTTGATCAGCTTCAGAGCTATTCGTCAACTGATACCGTGTCGGGCGGAACTCAGGTGTCTTTACTCAGCGTCGCCTTGGTTGAGCAAACGCCATACGCAATAGACGCCGCGGATTCCAAGTCAGTCCGTACTCTTGGACGGTTTCTTTCTTTGTATCTCAGTGCATGCCACCTCTGGGGCGGAGATGGCGCACTTTCAGCGGTCCTGCATCAGAAAATTGGCGAGCACATGGCGTCCAAAAAGGTCAAGCTCTCTGCTATCAGCAACAAAGCTGACGTTGAGAGGCTGCAAGAGCCCGGCGCCGTGGCTCAGCCCGAAGCCGCTGCTGGTCGCGTCGAGCACAGCAAGCAGTCAAGGCTGAGTGACGCGTCATTGCAGGAGATGCTGCAGGTCCCTTTGATGGAGGCCGGAGATGCTGGAGCCCTCGTAAAGTGGACATCGAAGAGCGTCGAGGATTTCGTGGAAGACGGATGGGCTGCGAACCTTGTGCGCCTCCTCTTGTCCGAGCACACAAACATTCGCAAGGAGGCACTCGTCAACATCTTGAAGATGGCTGCCCAGATCAAAGAGTCGTCGTACGAAGAGAAGACGCAGATGTGGCTGATACTGTCAGAGGTTGCTGAGTCTTCAAGGGCGCAGGTGGAAGTCGGGCCAGTACCCTCGGCATTCACGGCTTTCACCGTCCACGCCATCGACATCTTGAGGAACCCGCTCCATCCGCTGTATCCAAAGATTAATTCCTTCCTGACGCGCAGCCCGGTGTGGTCACTGGAAAAGCTACCGCTTGCGCACGACATACTCCATGGGGAGCCGTCGGAGGATGACAAGTACTACGCGGAGCTCGCGTGGCTCCTGACCTATCTCCTGGACAGCCTCAAAACGCCGTTCGACCTGGGCGTCTTCCACAAGAAGAAATGGTTCGAGAAGATTCTCGCTCTGGGCAGCAACCCATACCTGAGGTCGAATCTGAGGACGAGGATTCTGAGGATCATATATCGAGCCACGTGTATCGACGCCGGCAGCACCACGCTGGTGACGAGGTTCGGGGTCATGAGCTGGCTGGACGCCCAGCGGGCAGCCTGCGCCGTCGAAGACGACGCTGCAGTATTCAGGCAGCTGATGAAGAGGGTTTGGGATACCTGCGACCAGCAACGGGTCACGGCATGGAGTAACGGCGGCATCACCAAGGTTTTCGGGGCGTTTTTGGTTTAGACACACAGCGATGAAACGAGACAGATATCCAGGGGCTCAGTACCCTTCATTACTCGAAGCAATGCTCACTGCTTCCTTTGACCTTGATAACGTGTCTTTGAGGTTATCGATGCACCACCACCGGCCCGTATCAAATCGTTCGTTTCGTGGCCGGTATGAAAACTTCGGACAATGTGCCGTTCCGGCCCCTCCTAGACCAAGCTACCCCCACGCATTGCCCGCGACGCATTCAGTCCATTTCAGGCACGCTACAATTCACAATGAGTCTTCCTATTTGCAGGAGGTGCAAATGGGTAGTTACACGAGTGAGCCGCATTCAATCAGTAGGGTCACGATCACGACGTCTGCCTAACCCCGTGCTCAGCAACAACAGCAACGACAGCAACGACAGCAACGACAGCAACGACAGCAACGACAGTACTACGTAGCGGCATAATGTCTGTCCTACTTGATTTAGTTCAGACGGCCTGTTAAGATATCTGCTACCGCTAAGACCGGCGTCTACCGCGCTACTCTTCTCCAGTAAAGATACGAGCCGGGGCTGGACGCATGGCTGTGGCCTCGAACTATTATAGGCGACAATTTGAAACTAACCATGTGCACCTTTGCAATTAGGAAAACTCTACAGTCAAGGCTAGACGCAAAGATCGATTTCTCCAAACATGTCGGATTCCTCGAGGATGCCTGCGGTTGATGACGAAGCCGTGAACGAGCCGACCACGACCACTGGCGAAATATGACACGACTCTACCATCGTATTCGTTCCCCGTAATCACTGTCCGGAGGCAAGATGGGTAATATCCAAAAGGTTTGCATTACACTGTTATGTCTGTACAGTCCACCCTAAACCGAAAAACACCTGATAAATAATACCCTGTGTGCAAACGCTTCGTGCCCGTTCAACCCCTGTCGCCATCAATGATGGTGTGAACCCCGCTCCTTTCGAAAATGCCCCGACAGTCCAGGTGAGATTATGCAGTGTATGCGAGCTGTCCAGACATTCTCAGGTGACACAGCCAAGATGGGCTGCTAAATATGTCTCGTTCGCCGCCTACTCCTAAATTGTAAAACATCACAGTATGCACCAAAGCAGGCCACGGCTGCCGTCGCCTGTCCCCTTAAAGCTGGCCAGAAAGAAGAGCCTCGGTCGCTGCAGCAAAAGTCAGTTTCACGTCGGACACAACCCGTTGTAGCGCAGGGGGGACATACCACTGCTGATGTAGGCTCGCTTCGCGTCCAGGGGTACGTCAAAGCGGCGCTCAAGCTCCTGCTTGATGCCCTTCTTCGTCACCGTCATCAAGTCCGCCGTCTTGAGGATGTCGCGGATCTCGGCCAGCAGCGCATCGTCGCTAGGCAAGCCAACCATGTCCTCGGGGCTGAAGAACTGCGAGCCGCCAAAGTGGCTCATACGATTGCCCGCCATCTCTGACGGTGCCAAAGACATGCGCGAGACGTTGCGGGAGTCGTACGGCAGCTGCTGCATCGAGGGATGCGCCGCGAAACCCGTTGTCGAGTCTGGTCGGCTGGGGAAGGCGTACTCGGACACAGCGACCGGGGCTTTGGTGCCGTAGCTGAAGCCCGAGATCTCGGAGCGGGTGTCGTCTCGCGATGTCTGCGTCTCCCAGAGCTCGGCCTGATACTCCTCCCACTTCTTGCGCGGGATCGAGCTGGGATCAAACTTGCCCTCGTCGGTGACGACGACCTTCTTGCCGTTCTCGCCGGCGACGACACGCGTGTTGCCCCAGTTGAAGTCGTCCATGTGCCAGAAGGCGTACAGCGGGAGACCAAAGCTGAAAACGGGGATGGCAAGCACATACAGGATCATCCACCCGACCATTTCCCACTTGCGACGGAGGATGAAGATGATGGCCTGCAAACCGTAAATGGCGCCAAGAAGGATAAAGGCCGTGATGGGCACGACCGTAGCCTTGGTTGAGACGAGGACAATCAAGTAGACGATATAGGCAATCGTGACCGGCTGGACAATGGTACTGAGCAAGTCGACAAAGACGATGAAACGCATGCTGAAGCAGCAGAAACCGCAGAGCTGGTTCATCGGGATGAGCTCGATCAGGTTGTGCACGGTCGAGTTGATCCATCGGCGACGCTGGGACAGGAAGACCTTCCAAGAATCCGGGGCAATGGTCCAGGCATGGGCCGAGAAGAGATACTTGGTCTTGTACTTGGAGTGATACTTGAGCAGTAGTGTCGTCAGGTATCGATCCTCGCCCAGGTGCAGCAGATTCTTCATGTGTAGGGTGTCCACGCGAATCGTGGCATACGAGTCGACGACCTCGCGGCTGACAAACAGGGGCTTGCCCGTCTCGGCGGCACGGATTCGATACATGGAGAAACAACCGGGCAAACAGGTAACTGAGCCGAACAAACTCTCAAAGGCCTTAGACAGGTTATGAGAGATGTAGTATTCGTAGACCTGAATCATGGTGATGAAGGACGACTTGGCGTTGGTCAAGGCTGTCTCGCCGCAGCAGGCGATGAGGCGAGTGTCGTTGAGGAAGGCAGCCACCATGCGCGTAGCGGAATCGGGTGCAACAACAGTATCGGCATCGATCTGGAACATAAATTCGTAGAAGGTCGGGTTGACGCCGATGATGTTGCGAATCTGATGGTACATCTCCAGCTCCAGTGGGCTCATGGCAAGGTTGTAGTGGACGCGGTTGAGGAATCGCATGAGGATCATCTGCGAGTCTCGCTTGCCACGATTGCCGGGCCGGGCGACTTCAGACGGCTTGCCGACCTTGACGATGACCATGAACGGGACGATGTGGCCCTGTACCTCGTATAGACCCGAGTAGACCTTGCCCATGTTGTGCTGCTTCTGGCCCTCGCCGAGGGATTCAAAGCTTAGCGGCTCGGGGTCGATGCTCTCCGATACGCCAAGAATATCAAGCACAATGCGAGGAGTCGGTCTATCGTTGCCCTGACCAATAATCATGCCGTCACAGACGACGACCAGGAGTTTGCGCTTATCGTCGTAGCGCATCCTGGCGGCCGAATCGATGGCGCGACGAAGGGACTCTTCATCCTCGGTATATGCCGGGATTTGACACATGACGAACTTGTCGAGATTCTCTGGCAAATTCTTGCCTCCAAACTGGAGGGCAGCAAAGAACTTGAAGGCGATGACGGACGCCAGGAGGACAGACACAGCCAGCACGAGGTATTCCGCGAACTTGCAGCGAGTCGAGTTTCTCGTGTCGACATCGCCGACGTAGAACAGGTGATCCAGACAGGTCATCATCCTGTTCTTCACCTCCGGGCTAATCGTCAAGGAGTTCCAAAACTTGGTAATGTCGTCTCCGGCCGAAACCTGGAACAGCGACACGACTGCTTGATCCATGAACTGGGTCTGGCTGACGTCGTCGTCGAGCTTCTCCCCAGCCTTGGCGCGCATCTTGCGCCCGCCAGTTAGATACGTCGTCATGTCGTAAACCTTGCCGTTGAGGATGGCAATCGACTGCTGCTTCTGACTGAGCTTCTGCACGTACTCGGGCGAGTACCCGATCTTGCCAGCACCCCAGTTTCCTCGGAGCATCAGTAGGCTCTCGAGGTACCAGTCGGGACGGCTGTCATTGGTGAAGTGACGGAAGTCATGGTATTGGGAATTGAGGTCCTGAGTGTTGATGAGGCTCGGCGAGCCACTGAAGTTGGTGTTCTTGTAGTCCAGCGTCACCTGGGGGCTGACCGAGCCGGTAGCGCCCTGGCACAGCGCAGAGACCTGGATCGGGAACAAGGAGCTGACGTCCTTGCCCGCGTACTTCAGCAGAGGCGCCGTCCCCATGAAGGTCGGATAGTGCGATTTTGCGAAAGCTCCCAGGTCAATGACATAGCCGCGGATGGACACGAAGGCACTGTTCCCACCCTTGCCATCATGCGAAGAGAGTTCCTGGGCGCTGTAAACATTCTGCTTGGGGCAGATGAGCATCGGGAAGACGACGATGAAGAAGGCGGCGACAAGGCAAAGGAACCAAATGAGCATGTTGATGGCCACCTTTTCCCTCCACGCCATTCGCACGTCCTTGCGAGGCATGCGGCCGAGCCAGCGGATGAGGAAGTCGGGGATGAACCAAGTCAAGAGGTAGACGGTGAAGACCCATCGCTTGCGGCTGGGGCTGTCCTTGAACTCCTCCACCTCTTCGAGCTTCTTCTCGTTGCCGCGCTCCGCCATCTGCTCACGGGTGTCGAAGTTCTTGAACATGTCGCCAGCGCCCAGTGCTGACGCGCCAGCTTCAGACCGTGCGTCGTCCGAGCCGCCAAAGTACCCCATCTTCCCCTTCTCTCCGTACATGAGAGGGGTGGTGCCGGCGGACAAGAGCTGCTCTTTGGACGCACCGTAGACATGGTGGGCTTCGCCCGGCGTGAGGCCGTCGCCGCCATCGACATCGGACGACGCACCGAAGCGGCCGGTCGTTGTACTTCCCTTCTCGGAGAGATGTGCAACCTCCATCCAGCAACGCTCGCTGAGGAAGACGCCGGTGGCGCCGACCTGCACCTCGTTGCTGGGCCACCGCTTCTCGTCAATTACCATCTCGACTCGCTCGCGTTCACTGCCAACAAGGATAGTTTCCGCATCGGCCATCCCAAGAAACTCCCCGAACGGGAGGAACAGGCTGAAGTCGGCGGAGCGCAGCCTCTGACTGATCTCGGCGATGCCAAAGGTCTGCACCTGGGTGCGGACACACTTGCTGTCAAACTGATTGGCAATGCGGCGGTCGTTGGGCTTCAGGCAGAAGACGAAGTAGGCGTTCGTGCCGGGGTCAGTCACAGCCTTCTGCAGGTTGTCGAGAGAGGCGAGGAACTGGCCAGAGGCGCCTTGTTCAGTTGGCTTATTGGCTCCGCCGTTCTTGGTGCTCTTGGTGTCGCTCCCCTGCTCCAACTGATCCAAGGCTTCCTGCTGCCGCCGCTGGGCCGCGAGGGCGGCGTTGCGGCCTCCTCGGCCCCCCTTCCGCGTGAAGACACTCGGGGCACGCATGGGCTTAGAGCTGATGGTTGCCTGCATGACCGTGGTGCGCTCATGGGGGTGTGATATGGTTTGAAGGGCGTCTTGGCCGAACAGCCGGGCAACAAACTCGCTCTTGGTCGAGTTGAACATGTTGAGCAAATCAACGGAGACGACTTCGCCGTTCTCCTCGATCAAGCCCCTTGTGGGGTAGTCCACCTCACCAGCGAAGTGCTTGACAGTGAAAGACGCGGACGTGTTCTCAGTCAGGAAGTTGCTGCCAGGCAGCCTGGCAGTCGACGAGCTGACCTCGATGGCCGGGTTCTTGCCCTCAAAGCGCTTGCGAAGGCTCTCGAGAAGCTGGACGTCAGTCCTGTTGCGCCGAGTCTGGTCGTCAAGGATACTCAAGAGGCCGTTTCCGGACTTGAGCAGACCCTTGACGGCATCCGAGTTGTCGAAGTAGCTCGTGGGAGCCACGCCAACCTCCTCGGACTCGAGCATCTCTGCTTTGCGATCGAAGAAATTGTGCAGCGTCATGTTGTAGATGGCTTCAGTGGCCGCATTGTTCAACAGCTGGTCCAGGGTTGAGCCGGTGGAGCTCTGCTGAGCAAAGCCGGGGAAGTCAACGATCGAGATGGTGTTACCAATCGTCTCTTCAGGGGCACAGATCCGCTGGTTGGCACTCTCCATAATCCAAGCCACCAAGAGGGAATAGAGAGTGCGTGCCAACTCATTGGCATGGAAGCGAGCGCCATTGGGATCCAGCATGACGGTAACACGCTCTTTTTGGATCATCTTGGTCTTGTAGCCCAGGGTGCTCTGAAGATCGCCTGTGCTGACACCCAAGAACGCGGCGATTATGGCGAGGACATCCTTGTTCCTCACCGTCGTTGTGATGTTGCCGCCTTCGTGGGAAAAGCCGCCGCTGTCGTCGGCAGTGGCACTCGTATTGCTTGTGGACTCAAACTCGAGCTGCCCCAGGTGCAGAATGCTTGCCAAGATTTGGCAGATCTCGGCAATCTCGGTCCTCGGGAACTCGAGCTTCCTCAGCGCATTCTTGAAGAGCTGGAACCCCTCAGCATCATTGATACCGACCTTGAGCTGAGTCGGGTGGCCGAGGTACTTCCACCGCTTCGACTCATCGAGGCCCAAGTGTTGCTTTTCAGCCTCGCTGGTGCCAGCCAAGAGGTAGTAGAGGATGTGGAAGTTTCGCTCTCCAGTTGGGACGTCGGCAATACGGCTCCTCTCCAAGCGGTGATCCAGCAACTTGCCACCGATAAGGACTGGGTTGGTTGTGGCGGCGGTGTCGTACTGAAGCTCATAGAAAAGACCAGACTTGGAGGCAGTTGGGGTAGTCGCAGTCTTGGTCGTGGTGAGAGTGTCGAAGACATAGGCGGCTAGAGAAAGCTTGGTGGAGAGTGGCGTGGACGACTTGTCGAGCAGAGACGTAAGAACGTGGTTACGGACAGTCGACTTACCAGAGCCCGACTCGCCGCTGCAATGGACTGTGTCAGCAGGCACAGGCCCGTCTTGGGACTGACTAACACGGTACGCAGACTTACAGAAACATGATGGCCTGGTTCTCTGACCGATGGCCCAGCCGCAGCCAGGCTCGGTCGGCCAGGTCCTCGGCGCCGGCCATGGCGCTGCCAGCCTTGCCGCCATCGGGCCCCTTGGTGGACGACGTGTATGTGTTCAGGCAGATGAGGCCATGGGAAGAGAGCCTGGCGGTGGGGAGAGACACATGGAAGCGGCTGGCCAGGTGTCCGGTGATGTGCGTATCGGATTGGAGATGGGCCGGGAGCGAAGGTAACGAGTGCTGGGTATGGGCGCCTCCGCTGCCGGCTCCCAGAGGCGGGAGGGTCGTGGCCATGATGGGCACGGCGTCGAGCAGGAGCTGCCCCTGGCGGTTGGCGGGTACGAAGTCGACGGCGATGCAGCGAACGTTTGGGCGGCGGGAAAATTAAACGGTTCGGTCGGTCGTCGGCAGCCACAAGCAAGCTGGTAACGGCCGCTGGGCGTGTTGTGCGAGCGACTCGAGGCCGGGCGTCGAGTTTGGTTTAAGTCGGACGATGAACAGGACACAAAGCGAGCGTGAAAAGTGAGCGATGGGAGAAGAGGTAGGAAAATGCACACGAGGCCAACGAGCGGCACCGAAAAGCAAGGCCCTCAACTCACACTGCAGGATGATGAAGGTTTGTTGGAGTGGTGCAACTCTCGACAAGGCCACCGGCTCACAGCCAGGAAAGGGGACGGATGTTTTCTTGGGCGAGGGGGGGCAACGGAGGCGTGCATGGGTACGGCGGGCGGGAGGGACCAGAGACGCAGCGTCTCTCACACATGCCGTGTGGTTAGGGGACACCGCACAGCGAGATGGCCAGCAGCCGCAACCTAATTCGTACCCGCACAGCCGTCCCCAGCAGTGCAACCCAGGCGCAGGCGGTGCCCTACCTACCTACAGAGCTCGGGTACAGTGGCTCACGGGTACAGTACATTTTACGAATCCCTTTCCTCGTACCAGTTGCGGGCTGTCCCTCCCTGTAAGGTCGGGTAGCACCCGGCCGGACCTGGGATGTGCCCGCTCCGCTGAGCTCAACTGTGACGAGCCGCCGCCTGCAGTGCCCCCGGTGGCATGCGGTGGACAGGCTCGGACGCAAGGCGCCGGCTGGTGCTAATGTGTGTGGATGGAATGGAGGTGCTGCTGCTGCAAGCCCACGGTGGCGCCCGACTCCCCGACGCGTCCTGTTGTTTTTGTCTGTTTAGACCAACTGCACTGCATGGACGGGCAATGCCTCTCCTTCTGCATCATGATGCTCGCCGTCTTCCTGGCCCTGACATTTCTTCCACGTTGGAATCTGCTCCCGACCGTGCCGCTTGGGTTAGGTACGAAAGCCTCCCCCGTCTGCAGGGCCCCCCCGCTGGCCGAGGCGGCTCTCACTCGCATCCACCGACGTCGAGGACATGCCCCTGGAACGCCCTCGTCTGTCTGGTGGGCGCCCGGTGATCGAGACCGGGCTCCAGGGGCCCCCTGCCTGCCGCCAGTGGCGAGCTGGGACCGGCGGCGGCTCGCTCGACGCCGTTAGCCGCGAAGACAGCCAGTTGTCCGTGTGCGCTGTCACGGCTGATTCATGTCGCGGCCCCGGCTTGAGACAGGTCTCGAGACAAGCGAAATGCGTCTTTGGCAGGAGGACCTGATGCTGATGTACCGTCAACGGACAGAGTTCTTGTCGCCGCCGGCCATCCACCCATCTGCCCATCCATCTCTCCATTCATCGTCGTCGTCGTCGTCGCCGCCGCCGCCGCCGCCGCCCCCTCCGCCTCCGAGCCGCGGCGTCCCGTCTTTTTGGCCGGCGACTGGCATGCCGGGCTGGCCCAGCGTGCTGCTATTTTTTTCCGTCGGCTCCCCGGCATCACAGGCTGGCGATGCTAGCGCTGTTGGCTCGGCAGTCCACGGGTGGTGTGCGGCCAGGGTTTGGGGCCAGGCCACGACCCTCGTCTCACTCGTTGGCCAGTTGTTGCACCTCCATGCAAGTACCTCTGCACTCCGTGCCCCGTACAATTACCTGCATCATTCCTGTTCGGCTCTCGTCTTTTTTGCTTTTCGTCGCGCCCCCTGAACTCCACGTAATATTTTTTTTTTCTTTCTTTATTTTACGAAAGCTTGATTATTCTCCGGCCGGCATCGCAAACTTGCTCCAAGGATGCGGAGGCGGGCGCGGCGAGGCAAGGGGCTTGCTGGGCTTGAACGTAGTATTCCTTGCGTCCTCCGGACTCTCGGCGCCGTACGGGGTACATTCCTGCTCGTACGAGTACGTAGGAGCGTAAGCCGCTATTCGGACGCATGCGATTCGATTGACGATCGGGGCGCAGGCGATCGTCGTGCGATGGGTCCATTGCTTGTTTCTCGGACGGACTTGGCCCAACACGCATGCATTTCGACGGCCTGTGTGCACAATGGCTTTTTACCTCGGGTGCTCACCATTCACAGCGAGACGGACGATCGAGATGGGACGTGTCGGTCCGGCCATGGCTCGTGCCTCGCCCGTTGGTGTTTCAGACCAACTGAGTGCGTGCAAAAAGAAGCACGGAGCCGCCAGATCGTCGTCTACCCTGCAGGGAGCATGCTTTCTTTGTCGTGGTGACTTCTTTGTGCGAAAGCGGTACTGTACTGTACAGTACAGCAAGTACAACAAGCACTCCGTACAATGTGGCCGGCCAACACGCCAACAACAGCACGAAAGAAAGAAGGAAAGCAAAACAAAGAGCCAAGCCATCCATCTCGTGATGGAGACCGTGGTAAAAAAAGCATCACGGCGCATGTGGGTGGAGCCGCAGCCCGTGTGCGGACAGCCGGGTCGCGTCTGAGGGTGGTGAGATGCGCATGGATTGGCTGCTCGTACGGCGCGGGCGTCCACCCGCATGTCCGTCACCAGGGCGCGTGCATGATTGCCCGGCCGCCCACAAGCACCGGCCGACGACGACGAACGCCAGCAACACAAACAGCACACGCACGAGCCGGAAGCACAAGCACAAGCACAAGCGCAGCGCATGGGCTTGGCACAGCAGCCCACCCAGCTCCCCAACGCATGACGCGCTGCCCCCGATTAAGCTCTCGCTAGTAAGGGGGATGGGGTGGCCCCTCGCACAGCCTCAACCTCCGCTTCCAGAGCTCTGCTGGATACGAGCGGCCCCAGCCGCGGCCCTCGACCAACAGAAAACTCTGCTCGCTGCCTGCTGGAGACCGCCACAGCCCACCAGCCCACCCACCACGAGAGCACCAAGCTTCGTATTCACTGACGGCTGGGTCGGTGGTGGATGGATGAATGGATGAATATAGAATGCTGCGCCGGCCGTCGCGCCCGTGAGGGGAGCCGGCGAGGGGTTGTGGCTGCACCCGACTTGAGCTTGTGGCCGACGATGCTGCCGCTGTTTCCATCCATTCCAGGTCGCTACTCGACACTGCCCTGCCCCGAGCGAGGCGAGACTGCGTGACTCTGGGCCATCGCCCGGCATCACCGCCGCTCCTCGTGTCCGTCATCCACAGCATTACGCTTTAGGCGGCCTCATTTCGTATACCCAGGTCGTGCTCCCAGCTGGTCCCGCCCGGGGCAATATACTCGGCACGCCCGAGAATTTGCAAGCGTCGGTCGGGTGGGTGAGGGGTCCTGAGAGCAGCGACGGAAGAGCTGGAGTTGCGACGGGGGCGAACGGGGAGCGCTGAGGCGCGCTGCTGGGCGCCTTTTATCGTACCATCGACAGTGGTCGAGTGCTGTGACGCCGTGCTCGCAGGTCGTCGTCGGAAGGGCAAACCCTCTATCTGGTCTGCACCAGCCGCTGAGATGCCCAGGGCCAGGGCCCAGGTCAGGAGCTTGGCGCCACAACCACCGGCGCCCGTCCGGCTCGCCACAGCGCCTGGAGCTAGCGGGGTGGCGGCCCCTGCTGCCCGAACCGACCCCTAGGTAAGCCCACTTGCCCATGGGTGGATGGTGGCCGATGGTGGCCCACGCCCCCCCTGATGCTCCCGTCAGGCACTGGGACGGGCTGGTATGGACCACCAGGCTGCATCTTTGGACCGTTGCGCCCGCCGTAGCCCTCTCAGACGTCCGCTCTCGTTCGTGCCGCTCCATCTCTTCCTCCACCCGGGTCGACTGGCTGGCTGCTGAAGCCAAACATTCTCGTACGCCTTCGACATTGACATTTGCCTTCCAGCAACGCGGCGAGTGTTCGTCTCGAACAAGTTTTGCCCTTCATCTCTCGCTGCACGTTGAAGACGTGGTGGACCTGCTGCCTCACTCGCTTCGGCAGCTCCCATCGTCCCATCCTCCCATCGTTTAGCTGTCTCCCCCGTTTCCTCTTCGCGTCAGTCGTTTTTGCGTTGCAGAAAAGGAGTCCAGGCATCCTCTCATCACTCACTGGAATCGGCAATCTCGACCCCTATTCATCGACGCCCAAACCCTCTCCCGCTCGCTTCTCGCCTTCATCGAACCAGCTCCGGCGGGTGCCCCCTTTCTTCGCTCATCAGCTGCGTCCAAGGCAAAGGGTTGACGACCGCACTGAACTCTCAACAAGCCCCCTCTTCACCGCGCAGCCTTGTTTGTGATTGTCCAGCGAGGTCATCACTGACCCTTCCGCGGTCGAAGCCATGGCGAACCGGCTGTCCATGTTCTCCATGGCATCAGAGGGCCCCGGCTCGCGAGCCGGGGGTCCTCAGACGGCCCAGGTCTCGACGACGACGCTCCTGAATGCCATCCACAACATCTACCTGACGTCGCAGGCTCACCAGCTGGACGCCAGCACCAGCCTCGTCGTCAACACGTGGCTGACGGCATCGCAAGGCGGCCCGACCGTCGACGCCTCGCTGGCCACCAAAGCGTGGGAACATGCCCGCCGGCGCGCCGAAGACGGGTGCATCATCCTCAGGTACGTTCAGAGTTGAATACCCACTCGCCGCCCCCTGCCTTTGCCGTAGCTGACCACACGCTTCGTAGTTCCCTGCATCAGTCAACGCCACCTCTCCTTGCCCCGTTTCTCTCCAGCTTCCCTTTCGCGATCCCCTCGAGCCTCTACAAGTCCCTCGACGCTCTCCGACCGTTCCTCCAATGTGTCACGCCATACAACCCGTCTCTGCCCAGGCAGGCGGCTCTCGGTGTAACGCTGACCCTGAATCTCGCCGGCAACCTCAATGCGGCCTCGCTGGCGTTGTCGCAGGGCGGCATTGACACAGTCAACGGTCTCCTCAATATTCCGACCGAGGCTGGCTACCGCGCCTTTGACGTCTTCTACTATCTCTTGACATCCGCTTCAACTCCTGCTGAGCGCGAATTCCTCGGCCTCCAGAGCCCGTCCACCTACACCTTGCTGGGTCGATCTGGCACATATACGCCGCCTGCATACCTGCCTACGGCCGACGATGCTGCGTCCGCCGAGGATTTCCGCCAGGCCCTCAAGGACATTGGCATCAAGGGATCGGCCCATCGCAACTTCATCTCCACCCTCGCCGCCCTTCTCAAGCTTGGAAACACTCTTGACTACGATGTGGACTCCGATATCCTCGAAGAGACGTGCGAGGATGTCAGCGGCCTTCTCGGAATCGAGCCTGAGACGCTTATGAATAAGTGCAGCACCGAGGACCGGTGGACATTTGTTGGGGGTCTTTACGAGTCCCTCGTCGACTGGGTCATCAGGAAGGCCAATGAAGCAATTGCCACTCAGATGGAGCGTATCAAGAACGGCGACGAGTCTCCCGATGGTCGAGGCGCGCGGACGCCCACTTCCAACGAAGACAATGGCGACACTGTGTCCATCACGGTCATGGAGGTCGCCCATACGACCCTCGGCAAGGCCCTGTCTATGCGGTCCATCTTCGATGACACGCAGGGCATTAATGCCGAAATGATCGCGGACGGTGTGCAAGCATCCCCCGCCGGATCGTCGGTCTTGCGGGAAATGCAGCAAGCCGTGTCCGAAGTTGCTCCCGACTTGGGAATCATGACAGGTCCCGAGGGACGCGAGCGTCAGCACGAACTTGAGAAGCGTGAGGTGGTCCTCGAGAAGATCGCCTTTGCCTCGGAGGAGGGCAGTTTCATTAAGAAGCTGCTCTTCCCCATTGAGGGCGAGGGCATCAATCTCGGCCGGGCTGGCAGAATAGACTTACCAGTCGTACTCAACTCCAACAGGCTGTGGTACCACCTTTCTCTGCACCCGACTGATGACTCGCCTGCCCAGCTGGCGGCTCTGCCTTCGATCACGTCCGCTTGGTCTGCTGGCACCGTTTCGCGCCAGCTGCGCTCTTGGAGGCTTCCGGAGTGGGCCAATCGACGAAACAGATGCCTCGACTTCACGGCGGACTTTGACGTTGATGAACTAGTTCAGCGCTACTCTGTCCTCGGTTGCAAGGATGGCAAGGACGGCATCGAAAGCTGGATGCTTGAGCGCGGCTGGAGCAACGGCGAAGTCTTCGTCGGCAAGGAGCGCGTGTGGATGCGAGAAGGAGCTTGGTGGGAAGCAGAGAGCATGCTCGACCTCAAGCCTGTTGACCACATGGCTGCGCAGAGTGTCCACACCAACCCCTTTGGAACGGGCTTTGACACGGGCTACTCTGCCAGCGGCAGCGGCTACTTCCCGCCGCAAGCTGTCGACGCCAGCTTCAACGGGAGCAACGACCACCTGGTGCACTCGCGCAACTTTAGCATGGGCAATGGCAGCCAAATGACGCTGAGCCAGCCTCTGAACGTTGCGCCTTCTATTGCACCAACGGCCGCGCGAAACGTTAGCAACGGCGACTACGGCCTTGGCGCCAAGGGCGACACCTACAAGGGCGACGTCTACTACAACGAGGAGGGTGAGTTCACGGGTATGATGGACTCGGAGTTGGCCAAGAACAAGAAGATCGAGACGAAGCCGGTCGACGCCTTGCGCCGCATCTGGGTCATTTTCGTGTGGACTCTGACTTTCTGGATCCCGTCTTTCCTCCTCCGCTTCATCGGTCGTATGCGACGACCGGATGTTCGGATGGCCTGGCGCGAGAAGCTGGTTCTGTGCTTTCTCATCTTGCTCCTCAACGGTATCGTCATCTTCTGGATCGTGGAATTCGGCCTCCTCCTCTGCCCCAACTTCGACAAGGCCTGGAACAGCAAAGAAGTGGCGACCCATACTGGCGACAATGATTTCTGGGTCAGCGTCCGTGGGGAGGTTTATGACATCTCCAAGTTCTGGAAGCAGCAACACTCTGATGTCGACATTCAAACGACCACGGACAACATGCAGCCCTTGGCCGGCTTGGACCTGGACGAATACTTCCCTTTGCCGCTGAACGAGGCGTGCCAAGGCCTCGGCATCGGAGAATCCACAAGGCTGATCGCGAACAACACTCCCGTGTTTACCGAAGCAATTCACAGCACCGGCTTCTTCCAGCCGAACAAGGGCAGCAAGCTGAATGATCCGCAGTGGTACTGGAAAAGATTCATTCCCAAAATGAAAGAGTACTACAAGGGCGACCTCGTCTTCAGTGAAGGCATGGTTCAGTCAGCTGGCAGCGATGAACAGCGCAAGTGGGCTATGTATGGCGACAAGATCTACGACCTCACGGACTACTTCCACACGCAGTCCCTGAACCCCAGGGTTTCCATTTACGAGTTCCTCGACTCATCCGTCAGTGACCTCTTCAAAAACAAGCCGGGCCAGAACATCAAGAGTGATCTGGACGAGGCCATTCAGAACTCCATGGGCAACCAGACCCAGCACGCCAAGATCATGAACAGCTGGAATTGCGTCCAGACTGTCTTCTACAAAGGCAAGACTGACTTTCGCGAGACCCCGAGGTGCACAGTGAACAATTGGATCCTGCTGGCCTTCAGTATGGTCCTCTGCGCTGTCATCCTCATCAAGTTCATCGCCGCACTGCGCTTCAGCTCCAAGCGTCGCCCTTCACCCCAAGACAAGTTTGTCATCTGCCAGGTGCCCGCGTATACCGAAGGCGAGGATTCACTACGCAAGGCTCTAGACTCGCTCACCGCTCTCCAATATGACAATAAGAGGAAGCTGATCTGCGTCATCTGCGACGGTGTTATCGTTGGACAAGGAAACGATCGTCCCACGCCCAAGATCGTGCTCGATATTCTCGGCGTCGATCCCAAGGTCGATCCTCCTGCACTCCCGTTCAAGTCGGTTGGACCGGGCGCCGAACAGCTCAACTACGGCAAGGTTTATTCTGGCCTGTACGAATATGAGGGTAATGTCGTCCCCTATATTGTCGTTGTCAAGGTAGGCAAGGAGTCGGAGCAGTCCCGCCCCAAGCCCGGCAACCGTGGCAAGCGTGATTCGCAGATTCTTCTCATGAGCTTCCTCAACCGCGTTCATCATAGATCGCCAATGAGCCCGCTCGAGTTGGAAATGTTCCACCAGATCAACAACATCATTGGCGTGGATCCGGAGCTATACGAGTATCTGCTTATGGTCGACGCCGACACCTGCGTCAGCGAGGACTCCTTGAACCGTCTTGTGTCTGCTTGTGCCCACAACGCCAAGATCGCGGGTATCTGTGGTGAAACGAGCCTGGAGAACGACGAGAAGTCATGGACTACCATGATTCAGGTGTACGAATACTTCATCTCCCACCATCTAGCCAAGGCGTTCGAGTCGCTCTTTGGTAGCGTCACTTGTTTGCCTGGATGGTACGTCTGACCCCTTTCCCTGCTCCCAACCCTGCGAGCCCGTCACTGATGCCTCTCGATCTAGCTTCTCCATGTACCGACTGAGAACAGTTGACAAGGGCAAACCGCTCATCATCTCCGATGCCGTCATCAAGGAATACGCTGTCTGCGATGTCGACACGCTGCACCAAAAGAACCTACTCTCTCTTGGTGAGGATCGTTACCTCACGACTCTGATGACCAAGCACTTCCCGTACATGGCCTACAAGTTCGTTCCCGACGCGCAGTGCAAGACTGCCGCCCCCGAATCTTGGAGCGTTCTCTTGTCGCAGCGCCGACGGTGGATCAACTCGACCATCCACAACCTGGTGGAGCTGATGCGCCTGAAGGAAATGTGCGGCTTCTGCTGCTTCAGCATGCGCTTTATCGTGTTCATCGACCTCTTTGGCACCATCATCCTCCCGGCAACTTGCGGCTACCTCGGTTACCTCATCTACAGAGTTGCGTCCCACACTGGCCAGTTCCCGCTCATCTCCATCTGCATGTTGGCCGCTGTCTACGGCCTGCAGGCGCTGGTTTTTATTCTCAAGCGCCAATGGCAGCATATCGGATGGATGATTATTTACCTTATCGCCTTCCCGATTTACTCGTTCATCCTGCCTGTCTATTCATTCTGGAACCAGGATAACTTCTCGTGGGGTAACACGCGTATCGTCATCGGGGAGAAGGGCAGCAAGCAGGTGGTAGCAGTCGACGACGAGGGCTTCGATCCTCGCTCGATTCCGCTGCAGCGCTGGGACGACTACGCCATGGCCAACAACCTGCCAGGGCGCCGTGGTGGTACCATGGAGAAACACGACTATGGGTACGGCGACCAGTATGAGATGGACGAAATGAAGTCGGTCTATTCGGCTGCTCCTCAGGGCTCCGTCCTTGCCGGGATGGGTGGACGCAACACGTTCATGCCGCCGCAGTCGCCCGCCTTCGGTCAGCCCATGAACCGCGCGTCCACAATGCAGGGCCCGTACCAGGATGCAGCCATGTCCATTCGCCGACAGTCGATGATGTCTATGGGCACAGCCATCCATGACGTGCACAGGAGCCAGTCGCCGTACCAAGATGTGCCGGCCAACCGACACAGCATGCTGAACATGCCGAGCCAGTCGAATATCTCCCCGGCCATGGGCCTGCCCGCGAATCGATCCGCCTCGGCGCTCGGCTTCGCGGGCGGGCAGCGTTCGCCGCTGAGCCACGACCCGATGCAGTCGACGACGTCGTTTGACTTCCAGCGCGGTCACCTGCCTGCGGATGACACGGCCATCGTCGAGGCGATCCAGTCGGTTCTCCGTGAGGTCGACCTGGACACGGTGACCAAGAAGCAAGTCCGCGCTCTCGTGGAGCAGCGCCTCCAGAGCGAGCTCGTTGGGGAGCGACGCACTTTCATGGACCGGCAAATTGATCGCGAGCTGGAGAACATGTAATAGTGCGAGGAAGCGGCGGCGACTCTGCAGCCCGACATTGGTCGCATGCGCACACGGGGCTCATTTCGACTGGCATTGGTGCGGTGTAGTTTTCTCGTGGGCAAGGGGCGTTTCTGGGATATGGATTTTGGGGCGAGAGCATAGGCCGTATTTCTTGTTTATTTTGCCCCCCATGATATACATGAGGTTTACTAATGGAGCAAGAGATGTTTTGGGAAACGAAGGGGAGCTTACAAAGTGCAATGGAGCACGCCAAGGTGCTGCCATGTCCCTTGGAACCGGGCTGTCGCACTTGATATGATGGGACTCTGAGAGTCGTTCATTTTTCCACCAGATTCGCTGGGGGCCACTCCTTTCGTGCAATACATAATACCATATAATACTCTATATGACATGAAGCATTCTGAATACCCATGTTGACACATGCTGTGCACGTGGCGAGTGAGTTGCGAGGTTGTCCGTCGCCCGCCTGCGCCTACTAATTCGTGCGCATCCGGGAGGGAGGACCTGACCAGATCGGGGCGGTCGCATAACAGGCCGCAGGTTGGGGGCCAGGTTTTACCAGGCACACCAGTCAAGAACCGTACACCCAAAAATGCAGAGGCAACTTGCCGACTTTCACGACGATGGTTCTGCTCTCTGAAGGGTAGGAGAAAAATTGGGCAAAAAAAAACATACAACAGCCGGTGTTCGCTGGTCGTCACCGACCCAACTACTAATCTGCCCCTTACCAGCTTAACTATGGGAGAGCGGACGGGATCCCGTGCTTTCTAGTAGGTATGGTCGTATGTACCAGAAGCTGGCATAAACCAGATTATATCCATCTCGAACACGGCACCTGCCTATAACCCAAGCATCTCATCGTCAGGCCGTCGTCTGCCAACATCATTCTTGACCAAGCAAGCCAGTGGGTTCCGCACATTTGTCGAGAAGCAAGCACGGTCTTGATGCCAGCTAATTAGTAATTATTCCATAGTCTAGTAGATTTTGTATTCCCGTGTAGATTGCTCGGCCGCCATCCGTCGTTCCTAGCTGACCCCCAACGCGCTCTCACCGTGTCATTCAACAACGTAGTGCTCTCGACGCAGGGCCAGAGTCCACAAGTCTGGTACCGCCAGCTGCCGGCGAGCCCTTGTCTGCAGCCAGGACGCCGCCGGTGCGGAGCCCTCGGTCTTACCTTCAACTCCATTGCGGTACCAATATCTCGTCGTACCCGGCTCCGGCAGCCCGTCCCAGAGAATTCGCTCCGCCCTGAGCTCCATCTCGTAGCACGGCATGACGAGACGTAGATACTCCTCCCAGCGGCCCTGGTCATAGAACAAGTTGTAGTGCGCCCTGGTAAAGTCCCAGTACTCGGGATACCACCCCGCAAAAGCCCAGTCGAGAGTGGTGGCGACGCGCCCCCCTCTGACAATGATGTTCCTGGGACACAGGTCTGCGTGCGCAAAGTGAGTCTGGTAGCGGCGCGTGTGCATCTCGGCGATTTCCTCGCCGAACATGGACGCGACGACGTCCAGGGGAGCCCTCGCTCGTGCGAGTGAGTGAAACTCATCATGGGTAATGGGGCCGAAGAAGCGGTTTCCGATTCGGCAGTCGTAGGCGGGATTCTGAAGAGCCGACGAGACGAGTCCCTGCGCGGGGGGTTCAAGCTCGCGGAGGGTCGACAGGTGCTGCTTCAGGTCGGCAAAGATAGAATACTTCTGGTCCGTCGACAGGTCGGCCCAGGCCTCGTCCAGAGCCTCGCCTGGCACGTACGCCATCTCGATGTAGATGAAGTCATTGGGCTCGGTGTGGACTGCGTAGACCCTGGGCACGGGAATCGTCGTGTGCGAGGCAACGTATTGCATGGCCTCGACCTCGGTCGGGTTGCATGGTCCCTTGATGACGCGATGCCAGCTCACTCTCACAGCGGCGCGGCTGAGGGGACGAAAGAGCAGCCTGCCGAGCCATAACCGCAGTCGTAGTGGAAACACGGACAGAACGGAGATTGAAAGGCCCATAGATGCGGAAATGCGGAGAGGACGTTTTCTTTGACCGCCGCCCTAGCTCTTGCCTTGGATAATGGTTGCATTCAAGTCATCCCTTGTAAGTTGTGCCGCACGGAGTAAGGTCCTGGTTGGCTGTAGGGCCAGCACCGTGCGGAAGGAGCAATGAGTTGGCCGGCATGCCGGGTGCAAGTCGTGATTGGTTTCTTGGACACGATTTACATTATGTAGGTCAGGGCGCTTGGCCAAGAGGACCGCCGGCTGCAATTGGCCGAATTAAAGCGTCACAAACAAATACGAGCACAAGCGCTGCCCAAAAAAAGTTGCTGGCAGAGACGCGGGCATCTATATACAGGGGCGGATGCCACCTACCGGGGGACTTTGATGCATGCTGTTCGCTCACCCGCGCGCGTTACTTTCTTTTTCTCTGGCATCAACTGCAGCTTTGGTCTGGCTCCGTGCGCTGCTGCTGGGAGCATTCACATCGCAGTACGCCAATCTCTGGCTGGTCAAAGACCGCGCGTCGATTCCGTACTACGTACTTCTTGAACGGCCATGGTGCTACTAGTCACCGTGGCTTTACACCACCGAGACCACTTTTCTCAAGGCAATGCCAGGCGGGCCTTTGGCTACGAGGCTTACCACTGGGGCATCATCGTCTCGCCTCTGGTCAGCCAGGCACAAGACTGCTGGGCTTACGACGCCACCGACAAGTGCTACATAGACCCTGCCACCATGCGAGTGGTGAACCCCACCATGGACTGGTGGTTCAGAAGCACGGATATCGACCCCGTGCTCAGTGACAAACTTCTCGGGCGCATCATCATCGGACAGGTGCCAGACGGAACAACAATCTCGGAGATTCACATGTTTTTTGAGAGCGTGCCCCTGCCGGTCAAAGACATGGATCCACAACAGAGCTGCGTGACGTGGGTGACGAATGCTATTCAGCGTCTTCAGGGACACGGTTGGGTGAGAGGTTTTGACCTTGGTCCCTTCAAGGACTTCGCACTCTCTTCCGCCGATCACTGGAACGGCCTACCGGGGTCGTCAAAGCCTGGGGTGATAGAGTGTGACAATTAGAGAGGTAAGAACAAAACTGGCTTGTATATACGTTGCGGCTGCAAGCCAAGCCGATCGCCACCACTACACCACAATGCTCACATGCTTATATGGCCCTTCAATTGGGGAAAGGGCTAGTGTTCCGCTGTTCTCAGTTGGCGCAATCGCATCATTTCCATTGTCGCTCTCCCTCATCTATTTGTGATCAATCGTGCCGACGCCCTTGAGTCTGAGATAGACGTCTGTGCCCCACCCGTAGAGACTCTGCACGGCAATGCCGCCACCAAAGTACTCGGCGTAGGCACGGCTAAGGGGCAGGCCGTATCCCAGGCCGGCAATGGAGCTGCCGCCGACGCTGGCAGTGGCGATGGCACCGAGGCCGTCGGTAGAGCCGTCGCCCGATCCCGGGAACTCGTCTTCCTCGGAAAAGGTGGTGAAGGAATAGGACCAGATATTGGGGAGCACGTCCGGGGGAATGCCGCCGCCACGGTCGCGTATGCGGATTGTCACGCCAGGGGCATTGTCATCTAGTGGCCGGATAGCATCGCTGCGGAAGAGGCCCCGGTCCTCCGTCGGAAGCGTGATATGAGGGGCACCGCCGGGCTGCTGCTTGAACGGCGGCTCTGGAGCAATGGTCACAACAACAGGCTCGCGTGATCTACTCTCGACTGTGGCGCGGAATGCGTTCTTGAGCAACTCCGTAACGATATACTCAAGGTGCATGGGAACAAAAGCAAAGGTGGTGTCGGGCTCGCCATCAATGTAGAGTTGCGGCCGAGAGCCGTAGCGCAGCTCACAAATATCGGCGACGAAGCCGGCACAGGCCTCAATGGTTTGCGAGGGTCGCAGCGCCGTGTCAATGACCCCAATGTAAGACGGATGCTCCGGACACGGCGTGGGGCTGTCCTCGGGGGCAAAATGAGGCTGGCTGCTAAAGTGCAACGCTATGTGCTGCTCGCCAACGAGCCGGGTTCCGATGCGGGCGCGAAGATGTTCGTCGAGGAAGCGCGTCACCTCGGAGGGCGAAATGTACCTGCGGCACTCGAGGAAGCCCTTCGCCAAGATGGGGATGGTATCGGTGTGTGTTGCCACGAGCTCGGCCAGCACGTTTGTGAATTTGATCTCGTCTTGCAGGGTGGCAATGGGCTGGCCCTGAGCGGCAGCATGCCAGTAAGGTAGCAGTATAGAGAGGGAGTGTAGGTAGTTGTTGTATATGCGGGAGATGTTTGGATTCGAGACCACAATGTAGGGTAGATTGCGGAGGGCTTGGATGCGACGGGCGAGGCGAATCGGCAGCAGGGAGAGGGTGAAGTTGGCGGACGAGAGCAGCGACTTCTCCGAGAGTGGCGGGCGCCCATGTCTATCAGCACCCATTTGTGAGCAAGAAGAACTCAAGGGCGCATAGCAGAGATGACTGCAGCCGGCAGCAACGGGAGAGGGGCGCCGCTGGCAAACTTACTTGACCAAGTCGGCAAGACTCAGTGAATGCTGATGCTGACCGGCAAGGGCGGCAATTTCAGCATCAGACACCTTGTGCGCGCTGCGCCCAGAAGCGTGAGCGGCCGAGGGCCGCCATTGAGCTGGAACCTGCGACGGTTTAGGAGGTCGAGACAGATTCCTCGCGGCCGGAGACCTGGCAAAGGCCTTCATTGCAGCATCTCGGGGCTATCGACGCGGGCAGATGTGACGCTGCCTTGGTGCGGCCAAGACTATGCGTGGTAACCGATTGTAGGCGCAGGATACAAGAGTGCCGGATGGGCGTAGAATGGGGTCCGAGGATGCGTATACTGGCGACGGGAGGCGGCACACCGGGGAGGGTTCGAGAGCGATACCGAAGGGCGCGCAGCGGGGAGAAGGCTCACGTCGGCGCGGGGCTGAACAGCTGAGATTCGAGGATTGATATGCGAGTATGTACGGGCGCGGGCAGAGGCCGTTGCAGATGCAAACTGAGAGTATACACGTAGGGCACGGACGCGAGACCGACCGGGGAGGCTGAGGGTATGCAGGGACAGAAAGCTGGGGAGTTGCACGAAGCACAAAGCGCTGACCACGCGACGAATGAAGTCGGCCTCTGGTGCAGTTGGTTGGGGAAGCTGCGGCCCGGGGCGGTGGTTGCTAGCCGCGACCAGCCGAGCGCTGCAGGCTGTTAGCACTGCAGCAGCTCGGGCAGCTCCCAGCCAGTCATGCGGGTGCCTATTTGCGGCAGGGGCACGGGCCTGGGCCAGGAGGCTATCTTACCTGACCGTGCAGGACGGCGCAGGACAGCGCAGCACGGCAAGCGTGACCGCGCAGGACCAGTGAGCGACGACCTCGCAGCGGGAGCATCCACTCCGAGCGCCGGTCGCGACTTGCCCATTGCGGGAGGTGGGCGCGTTACGTCACGCACCACCAGCGCAAAGTGAGGGGCATCTCAACAGCCAGCGCTCGCTGGTCCACGTGCATCCAAGCAATCACAAATAGCGTCGCGATCAGATACTGTACTGTATGGTGGTTCGTGCCTAGGTTCTATTCGTGGCATATACACTGCTGTATCCATCACCATGTGAGGTACACGGCGGGCTGTGCGAGCCGGCCAGACTGCAACGGCTGGCCCCCGCACCTCGCCGTCATGTCATGCATCGGCATCATCCGTGCAGGCTCCTTCACCATCGCCCGCTCGGCGAGGCGGCACGACGCTTTCCGTCTACTGCGTGTGCATCTGGCCGTCCTGCTCGACCGCCTTGACGTGCTCGTTGCTCTCGAGGGTCGTGACGGCGTCGTTGGGGAAGGAAACACTGTGAGCGCGGGACACTGTCAGCCGTGCACCTGTAGACCAGCAACTGGGTTCGTGGAAACTGACGAGAAGCCCTTGATGAGCGAGTACTCGTGTCCGATGGTGCCGCCTTGGTCCTTGGCGTGCTGCTTGGCACTATATGCGATCGACAGCATGAACCCGTCAGCAGATGAGGCGGACGAGGCCCCGAGGGCGGGTGCGTTGCCGACTTACGCCTCGACCTGCTCAGGGGTCGCGTCGTCCTTGCAAGTAACCTATCGAGCACGGCCAGGTCAGCGAGACGATGTCCTTGTTGGCGGCTCGTCGGACTTACAATGTAGCTAGGCATGCTGGCGGTTGCTGATGGACAAAACAGGCGCTTCTGTGCGGTTTGAGGATGTGTGAGTAAAGGTAGTGGAAGAGAGAGATGAAGAGGAGGATGACGGCGATGACGACGGAGTGCGGCTCCAGCAGGGTGGGCGGGTATTATACCCAGGGGGCGCCAGGGCACGGCTCTGCTGCAAGTCATCACGAGCGACACGTACACACTTGCATTGGGACGTGGTACGTAGTGGCGACCGAGCAGCTACTGCTACCATCGAGCGGAGCAGGGTAGGCCCAAGTCGACAGCCCCGTTCCGCCTCGAGCATTTATTCGGCCGCCGACGCCCCAGTAGTCTATCTAGCTGCCTCTTTTGTTTTGACGTGCGACTCTGGCTCAACACGGGAGGGGGGTCGGGTATAGGGTAGCCGTCTAGACGAGGAGCGCCCCATGACGCAATCCCGGCAAGACCTCAGCTCTCCCTGGGGGCCGAAAGCTCGGGGCACCATGCTCGTCATCCGAGATTTCGATTCCTGTTTTCGTCCATGTGCTCGCCAGCTCATGCACGCATGACGTGGTGACTGCCTCTCGGAGCCGCCGTCAGCAGAACCACCACATCGTGATGGAGGTTGTGGGCGAGCTGTTTAGCCCCGCGGCACGATCAACTTACCTGAAACCCCAGCATGTCCGCTCCGGCGTGTTCAGCATCCGAGATGGAGCAGCACAAACAGCCAAAGGCCAAGCAATCTGCCCAGTTTAAGAACTTGGGAGTTGCGAAAATGAACGTCGCGCCAGCAGCTCCTGCGCCCGTGGCGGCGGCGGCGGTTGGCAAGGCCGCACCTTCAAAATGGCTACTCCAACTAACTCCAAGGCACCAATAGACATTCGTATCCCGTGCAAGCATGAGCCTCGGAGCCACAGACGGTACAGGGCGCAACACGGCACATCGGAGAAGCATTAGCCATTTGAATTGGAGCCCCGCGTCGGGCCACTTCACGCCGTCCTTCGGGTCCGTGGCCGGCCCCGGAATGCGAGCCCAATGTCGGGAACCCGGCTGGACGGCCAGCGGCGCCAACTCCGCGTTCGGGGAGTGGTCAGTACCCACGCCGCCAGGCCCCGGAGCGGCGGCCATTTAGCATCGACGATGCAAGCCATCCCAGCGCCCCTGAAGGCCCGCCCTCCACAGCGCAACCGAGCAGCCACACGAACCCCGCCCTGCGAGCAGGCACACTGTCGTATTCGTATCCGTCCGGACGAAACATGCACACCAACCAGGTGCTGTCATCGCGGGCGGTGAACAGGGCGTGCCGCGTCAGTCGATGGGGGCAACTGCGTTGTCGCCATGACACCATGAGGCCACCGAACGGATTGCGGACCCGGCTCAGCAGAGTCGTATCAAACATGCCTGGCCCAGGCCCAGAGAGCAGCTAAGAGATCGGTCGTGTCGCCTGTGATGAATGGCCGCGGTCGAGTCGAAAATGTGCGTCGCCGCTCGATCGAAGCGGTGCAGAGGCCCGTGGGCAGCCGTGTCTCACACCACGTCTCAGTGCTCTGTTTGCTGGAGCCCATTGCCGCCGGGGCCGCCATCGTCCACCCGCAGAAACGTGGGCGGGATGGTGTCATGAAGAGCCTCGGGCTGGGGCGTCAGGCATTCTGTAGTAATCGACAGCGCGTGGTTGGGCCTGGCTGGCGTCGCGCGGCCGCCTTGGGAGCCCCAAAGAGAGGAGACGCATATTAATCACAAGGAAAGGATTCCTCAGACGCCAGGGATTTCAACTGGCGTATCCAGTGCTTCTGTCAGGCCATGGTTCGCAGCGCCTGCACGCCCTTGACAGCCGTCGGAGGCTTCGAGACAGGGCATCTGCAAAAGCAGATTGATGTGTGGCAGCGCCAGCGTGCATCCGAGTACGAGAAGTACCTGTACCTAGGCATGGGCGAAAAAAGTGGCCTGGTCGGGGTCCAAGATTGCCGCCCGCAGGATGGAGGCTCTTTCTCCTGGGGCACCGGAGCTCCACCTGCCACGGGTCGAGCACTGCCCTTGGTCGGGGTCGGTGCCGTGACGATGCCCTGAGAATGCAGGTGTTTGCTCCAGTCTGACGACGACAAAATGCGATGGATTGCAGAACTCGCTGTAAGCTGACGCGCGAGCGAGAAATGAACCCATGGTTGTTTTCTGGACGCAGACCTAGGGAGCGGAAATTGAGGGCTTCCACTCTGCGGTTGCAAGCACGTCGGCATCCCTGTCGCGCTTGCCATGGTCGGCAGCGTCTCGGCGGACGATTCCAAGGCTCCTTCCGTCCTGGTCCCGGGCTCCAAGGTTTCCATGCGCACAGCACCCCGTGACTTGCTGCACGGCAGGCGAGAAAAGGCAGGAAGGAAGAGGCAGGGCAGAACAGAGCAGAGCAGAGTCGCTACTGCCACGCAAGACGGACGGGACGCGACTGCTTCCTTCGGTAATCAACATTTTATTTATTTTGATGCTGCGCCATATCAAATGCATGTGCACGGCCTACAGACGCACCGTGGAGCGCTGCGCATCACCTCTTCTTGCGCGCTGCCCTGTTGCGTCGGTGCCGCAGACGATCCCCGTGCAATCTCACAATCTCAGCACCCCCCCGGGCCGGGTCCTTGACAACCCCGAGCGGCAGCACCGGCCGGTTCCATCGTCCCCGGCAACACCCAGCAACACCGCAGAGGCACCACCTAGAGGACACACAAGTACCGGTACATGCTCGCAGCACAACATGGCCTCCCACCCCCCCACCAAGACTCAAATTCCACTGCTGTGATTTTTTCCTACCGAGTCCCCTCCCCCTTCCCGCCTAGCCCTGGTCCGCCCGTGGGCCCTTGCACCCGCTTCAACGGCGACTCTTCACCCTCTCGCGCTCTCACTCATTTGCGCGTCCGCTGCAATTCCGGGGTTCGATCCCTTCGCTCGCTTCTCCTGGCGCCTTCCTTTTCCCCCTTCCCACCCCGTCTGTCTACGTCAAGACGTCGCCGCCGGATTCCCCGTGCAAGATCGCTATCCGCTCGGTGTCTGCACAACACCTCTCGCTCGACACGCATTGCGCGCTCTGAGCCTCCCTACCGGGGCACCTCTTCTCGCAATGGACGCCGCCAACGCCTCCTCGTCCGCCTTCACCTCGGTGCTCGCCAATGCCAAATATGGCGGTGTCGCGGTGCCTCCCCAGCTCGACTATGTCGTCGACGCCATCACGACGGCTAGCCCGTGGGCTCTCCTCCTGACCATCTTTGCCGTCTGTGTTGTTTACGATCAGAGTATGTTACTCACTCTTCACGCCCCATCACCATCTTCGTTTCGGGCCCCGTTCAGAGCGCCCAGCTCGATTCATACTGACGACGCTGCGCGCGACTAGTGAGCTACATTCTGAGCAAAGGCTCCATCGCCGGCCCTGCCTGGAAGATGCCCTTTATCGGTCCCTTCCTCCAGTCCATGGACCCCAAGTTCGAGGAGTACTACGCCAAATGGGCCAGCGGCCCCCTGAGCTGCGTCTCCGTCTTCCACAAGTATGTGTGCCCTCTACCTCCTGAGTTGTAGACATCCAGTCTTCAGCTACAAGTGTTTATAAGAAGTCGGCGGAGTCAACCGAAAATACCATGTGACTGACCCTCATCCGCCCTGCTAGGTTCGTTGTTATCGCTTCCACTCGAGACATGGCCCGCAAGGTCCTCAACTCCCCGGCATACGTCAAGCCTTGCGTCGTCGATGTTGCTCACAAACTTCTCGGTCACGACAACTGGGTCTTCCTCGATGGCAAGGCTCACGTCGACTTCCGCAAGGGTCTCAACGGCCTCTTCACCCGAAAGGCGCTCGAGTGCTACCTGCCCGGCCAGGAGGAGGTGTACAAGCGCTACTTCAAGAAGTTCCTCGACGTCACCAAGGAGAACAACGGCAAGCCCGTTCCCTTCATGCCCGAGTTCCGTGAGCTCATGTGCGCCGTCTCTTGCCGGACCTTTGTCGGCCACTACATCTCGGACGAGGCAGTCAAGAAGATTGCCGACGACTACTATCTCATTACCGCCGCCCTCGAACTCGTCAACTTTCCCATCATCATCCCCTTCACCAAGACGTGGTACGGCAAGAAGGCCGCCGACATGGTGCTGGCCGAGTTCGCAAAGTGTGCCGCGAAGAGCAAGGTCCGCATGGCCGCGGGTGGCGAAGTCAGCTGCATCATGGACGGCTGGGTGTTGCAGATGATCAACTCGGAGCGCTGGCGCGAGGCCGAAGCCAAGGGCGAGAAGATCGAGGGCATGGAAAAGCCCTCGCCGATGCTGCGCATGTTCAACGACTACGAAATCTCCCAGACAGTCTTCACCTTCCTCTTCGCTTCCCAGGACGCCACTAGCAGCGCCGCCACCTGGCTCTTCCAGATTGCTGCTCAACGACCCGACGTCTTGGACCGCGTCCGCGAGGAGAATCTCCAGGTCCGCAACGGCGACGTCAATGCCGAACTGAACATGGATCAGCTTGAGTCCCTCAAGTATACCCGCGCCGTAGTTCGCGAGCTTCTCCGATACCGGCCGCCCGTCCTGATGGTTCCCTACATGGTGAAGAAGCCTTTCCCCATCACCGACTCGTACACCGTCCCCAAGGGTAAGTCCCCGCTCTCAATGGCATCTCCGCGCCTGCCCAGGCGCTCTCGTTTTTGCTCTGCTAACACGGTATGCTCGCTCAGGCTCGATGCTGATTCCCACGACGTACATGGCTCTGCACGACCCTGACGTGTACGAGAACCCCGACCACTTTGATCCCGAGCGATACTACTCCGGCGATGCCGAGGTCAAGGGTGCCAAGAACTACCTCGTTTTTGGCACCGGCCCACACTACTGCCTCGGCCAGGTGTACGCGCAGCTGAACCTGGCTCTCTTCCTCGGAAAGGCGTCGGTGCAGCTCAACTGGACACACCACCCGACGCCGCTGTCCGAGGAGATTAAGGTCTTTGCGACCATCTTTCCCAAGGTAAGCCACTGGCGGAAAGGGGGGTGAAATATGAATTCGCCCGGATGCTGATTGTTGGACAGGACGACTGCCCTTTGACGTTTGAGGAGCGCAAGTGAGGACATACTACCGCGAGATGCTGGTAGGGAATCACGTGTACGGAAGGGGCCACCAGATATGGCCGTCCTCCAGCCTGCGCGACCCACGAAGAGATCGAGACGACGTGTGAGCTGCGAGGGGACGACCCAAGATGGCGAATGAAGCGCGAAACGGAGGGTGCATAGAGTCCCCTTGGCAACGACAACCCGGGGACTTGGCGCAAAATGCATGGGAAGACTTTCAGGAATACGTAATTGTAATAGCTGGGCCAACTATTGTATATACTAACGGTCTGCCTTCTCCATATTGACGGTGGCGCGGCGGAAGGAAAAGTCCCCGTCGAGGCGGCGAGATTGGCCCGGACATGGTGGAAACGACTTAGACCGTGCTTCAATGCGTCAACATGAACTTTTAACAAGCTGAAGTTGAGGTGGCGGTGCAATGGATTCGTGTGCGTGAGAAAGTCCGATGCTGCGCCGGGGAACCCGACATGCTGCTTGCTTGCACGCCGGACACTGCAGACAGGAATACCCACGTTTATTCGAATGTCGGGAGGTGTCGAGCACTGCTCCGTACCAGCTCAGGATGCGACGCGTTGAAGTTGGCGGGCCTGGAGGGTCGTAGGTTGTCAGCGTGCGTGGCTGATTGAATGAACGTCGCAAGTGGCGCTGCCAGCTCTGGCCGGCTTGAGAGTTAAGACCACCGGCCCGCCGACCTCGCACACCCGACAGCCCCCGTAGTCTTCCATAGCTCCTTGAACGGTACCGACGCCGCAACACCGCGCATACCCGCCGCGCATTCTCCTTCGAAAACGCGATCTGAGCATCGACCCGAGCCGCGAGAAGTCGTCGAAGCTCAGCACATTTCGAATTCCAATTCTCCGACCGGACCGCACATCCGGACACCGCAGGCGACACAGACAGACGTAACAGGCCAACCCTCGCCCGGACGCGTAAGAGGTGGCGATGGCGGTACCGGCTCGGCGGGCTTTGGCACGGGCGGCGCAGGCGCTGCCGGTACGACTGGGCGCGTCGGTGGTTGCGCGTGCGGTTGCTTTGCGGTGCGCGACTGCGGCACCCGTAGCGACGGCGGTGCCGAGGCTGTTGGCGCCGAGGAGGTCCCTGGCCGCGGCATCGCAGCAGCTCCGGTGGTACTCGGCCGGCAGCGGCAGCGAGGCCGAGAGCCAGGTGCCCGGGAGCCGCCTCTGGAGCTTCGAGGAGGTGAAGCGCCAGATCGAGGACAACAAGGCTGCAGGCGAGTCGTCGTCGTCGCCCAAGAAGGTCGTCATTGTCGGTACGTGAGGTCAAGAGGCGAACGAGCATTCATGCTCCTGCAATGGTTCCCGTTCCCGTTCCCACTGACAAAGAGGCATTTTCCCAGACGTGCGCGAGCCCGGCGAGCTGCACGCGACGGGCAAGATCCCGGGGGCCATCAACATCCCCATCACGTCGGCGGTGCAGAGCTTCCACGTGTCCGACGCCGACTTCGAGGACATGTACGGCTTCGAGCGCCCGCCGCGCGACGCCACCCTGCTCTTCTACTGCAAGGCGGGCGTGCGGGCGCGGTCCGCCGCGGGCCTGGCCAAGCACGCGGGCTGGGAGAGCGTCGGCGAGTACCCCGGCAGCTGGCTGGACTGGGAGGTGCATGGCGGGCCGGTCGAGAAGGCGTGAAATCAGAGGTGAGGGACGACGCGCGAGCGGGCGGCAAAGTGGGATCAGGGACGAGGATGTGCGGGCTTGGGAGAGGGTGGGTGGACTGTTGCGACTCCTGCTAACCGTGTAAAAAGGATGCGCCTGGACGGAACGCACCCAGCCGTGTATGATGAAGACGGAATCAACCACACACTCAGAAAGACAGGATCAAGAAAACTGGAATTCACAGCGGCGAACTGAGCCGCCCCAGTAGATAGATGCGCTCCGTATGGTACACGATACTGGTATAGTTGCACTTTCTGTGGTGCCTGTGACGCACCATTGCCTGCATCACCTACACAAGTGCAGGCGCCATGACCCTTTGACCATCCATTCTCGTGCAAGATGTCGGCCAGGAAACCAACCCCCCGATCTTCCTCCACTATCGGACTTTAGAACATTGCCGGCGGCGTCTTGTCGCCCGTCTGGTTGTCCGGGCCACCCTCCCCGGGGGCCCTCGCCACGGGGCTGCCGTGCGCGAAGAAGAGGATCTTGATGGTGAGCGCCAGGCCGGCGTGGAGGACCACGACGATGATGAGAAGCACCTTGCTGACCTGGCGGTCCGTGGCGCTCAGGACGGGGTACAGGTTGCGCAGCAAAAAGGCCACCGACATGCCGAAGCCGACGCCCACAAAGACCCAGTTGAGGATGGTGATGGGCGACCAGCTGATGACGGCGACGGGGATCCAGATGAGGTTCGAGTAGCCGTACAGGGCCCAGCACTCGAGCAGGTTGGCCGACTCGCTGCCAAAGTATCGGAGCGCGAGGAACAGCGCCACGGGGATGAAGAGCGTGTATCCGTAGATGAGGCCGGCCGCGCCTACAGACCAGTCAGTCAGCAACGCTCGTGCAAGCACATGTTTCGCCTGCTCAAAACTCGCTCGACTCCGGAGGACCTACCGCTCAATAGTCTAAAGTCATATGCAAACGGCGTGCCCCCCGTCGTCGACAGGTACTGGCTGATGGTACCGCCCAGGAACAGGATCAGCACCACCGTTGTCGCGATCCAAAACGGCCCGTACAGGTCCGGGTTGCCTTCGAGCACGTCGAGGAAGTTTGCCCGCGGGTACAGCGCCGCCCAGCAGCGCGAAAGCACGGCCGACGTGTCCACGTCGAAGAACTGCGCGTAAAAGGACATGGACCAGAGGAAGCGCTTCGACGACGACGAAGACGACGGAGCCGTTACAGGCGGGGGCAGGCTCGAGGGCGCGCCCTTGCGGCCGCCAGGCGCGTTGTCATGGAAGTTGGAGTTGTGGAATTCGAGGTCCTCCTGGAGGTCTGTGTGGCCGAGGTCGCCCTGTGGAAAGACATGCAAGCGTCAGAAGAAGCTTCGTTGCAACGCCGGGAGCTTCACCTAGCTCCGGCGTGCTGTTGGTTGCTCACCTCATCGTCCACGTCCACCACCGCGTCGTATCCGGAGCCGGACATTATGACTCGCAGTCCTGAAGCAGCTGGTCGTAGTGCCTGTTCCTTAATCGAGTGCCGTGTCCTGGGGTCGTGGGCGAGGATGCGCCGACACAAATCGCAGCAACGGGCGTGGTGGGATGCAGTTGAATTGACTTGGGACAAGGTGTCGTCAGCAACCAGCCAGGGAGGTCGAGGTGCAGCGCCCACTATTCGCCTGGGTCGTTCGTTGCAGGTACGACGAGTACGTACCTCCGGCGCCAGGGGTGCTGTGCCACGGCCCGGCGCCGGCTTTTACCCGGAATGCCGCATTGGTGGCGGCCCATGTGCACTCTGGCCGCGGAGCACCGCTAGGAATCGACAATCTTGCGCTGCGTTGCGTGTAAGCGGGCAATTTATCGCTCAGCTTCAGTCTACTTTCGGACAGCTCTCTGATGCAGAATCAAAGACACTTGGAACAAAAGAATAGGCTCGCCCGACTTTGGTGGCCGATAATTCGCGGATAATGGAAGTGTCTCTCCTGACCGTAATTTGAGGTTTAAGAACCGGCCCTGGGGACTGGGCCGGCCTTCACACGTCTCTGCACACTCGCACTCCTGTCACGCTTCTTTGCTACGGTACTCGCCAGCTTGCTGAGAAAGAGCTGCTTATTGACAAAAGCCTTCATCGGCATCGTCTAGACGGGATTGCCTGAGCAGCTGATGCTAGTGTGGAACAAACAAAGCCATACTGGACAACCGTGAAGCACCTCCTGTCCTTGCCAACCCCATAATGCCAGAAAACCAAGACGCCACATCCATGGTGAATCCTTTACTTGAGCTTCTTCTTGGGTCGGAGCTGGTTGGTGTGACCGCACTTTCGCTTGCGGCAGTTGGTGGCACGGGGAGGGAGGCGGGCCTGTCGGTGACGCTGTCAGCAGATGAAATCACGCAGTCCTGAGCCGCGGCGATTCCGACGCCGCGTGCCCAGGCGGGCGGGCTCAACGTACGTAGCACTTGCGGCAGATCATCTTGTCGCAGTTGAACTTGGAGGCCAGAGCCTTCAGCGAGGGCTCAATGATACCACCACGGAGACGGAGGACCAGGTGCAGGGTGGACTCCTGTCGAAGCAGTCAGCATGCCATCCCAATTGAATCCCACGACACGAATTCTCTCCCGACGGACTCGGCGGGCAGTCGTCTGTCCGGGGTTCGGTTCGCCCTAGCTCCACGCACCTTCTGGATGTTGTAGTCGGAGAGAGTTCGGCCGTCCTCGAGCTGCTTGCCGGCGAAGATCAATCGCTGCTGGTCCGGGGGGATGCCCTCCTTGTCCTGGATCTTGGACTTGACATTGTCGATCGTGTCCGAGGACTCGACCTCAAGGGTGATGGTCTTGCCCGTCAGGGTCTTCACGAAACTGGACGCAGGGGTCAGCACGGCGGGGAGCTTTCGGGTCGATATTCGGCTTGCGAGCGGTCGGGGCTTACATCTGCACTGTTGGAAAAGGTCAGCATCTTCACTCGGGGGCGCTTCACGGGGTTACGGCGGCCAGACGTACTCTTGACTGATTTTTGTGACGGTGACTCTGACGATTGTGAAGATTCGGAGCGCCGGGCGAGTCTTGCGCGCAAAGTTGGTGGGGCGCGCACAGCGAACGCACGAAAACCCTAGGTCAGATGCCCGACCACGTGACGTCTCCCACATTGACCAGTAATTGAATCACCCAGCCCCCACCGCGCACCCCACGCCATTGTGGGCCGGTCCAGGCCAGTGGGCAGGACGGCCGAAGGGACGGAGCATAGCCTCCTATAGTGCTGGACGTGACGGCGGCGCTCATCATGAGCCGGTGCTGTAAGTCGTACTACGAACTGCACGCGTCTTGGACCATGGATTTTCACTTCATTCTTTTTGTTATTTTTATTCTTGTGTTATGGGTCGGCCTTTTTGCCAGGAGACTATCCTCCGCTCCAACATGTACACCGCTCGCACCACCACGTCCAAAGGAAGACCGGCAGTTTCGCCTGCCAGGTGTTAGATACGCCGCTTCGATTACACAGGGCACCAGCGGATGGGGGTTCACAGTACCTGCAGCCTTGTAGAAAGAACTTGCCGTGTCCGACAGGTCCTGGATGTCGTAGAATGCCTCATATGGCGTGTTCTCTGAGTCGCTGGATTTGTCCTGAGCCGGTAGCACCGCTTGACTGAGCACCTTTCGCGACCTCTCAAGAATATCTTCATCTGAGAGCTCGGGAACAGATTGATCGTTGCTGTGTGTGGGCACAGGTGGAAAGAAGTTGGTGATGGGGTTCTCGTCTTTGATCGTGGTTAGTGTGGCTCAGCCAGACCGGGACGGGACATACTCACTCTTCTTGTCCATGAAGCTTGAGAGGTAGGCAAAATACTCGTCTAGCTCTCTGTCGTCCATGTCGATCAATTCATCTTCGGTGACTTTGCCGAAGCGCATGTCTTTGTCTTCAGGCTCAGAATCCGGACTCATCTGACTGCGACTGGCCCTCCAGTGCTCCCAGTCAAACCCAGGCAGAAGCGCCTCGCCAGCTGGTAAGAACGAGCTCCTGCCCTGCTCAAAAGGAAAGCACAGCTTCATGGCCACGATCAGAAGCGTAGTGATGTGAATCTCTGGGTGGTGGATGTGCCGGATCTTGTGATTGCCTACAGGAAACTCGAAACTCGAATCTAGCAGTGCCGCAAGTCTCTTGGCCACAATGATCGATTCGACTGTACATACCAAGTCTCAGCTCGTGAAGTAGATTCATGGTTGGGAATTAAACTAACCTGGTAGCGCCAGCTCTTTTGCGTAATGCACCAGAGTCGAGACGAAGTTTGCCTCGGGAAACACCATTTCGTAATTGAGTTGGTATGAGAGGACCAGGTCCATGACGGCAGTGTACAGGTCTCCTCCCGTCAGACCGGTCCGAAAAGGGAGCTTGAGTGCCTTGACATAGGCCGACGGCATGCGGTCTTGTATTTCGCGTGGAAGATCGTGGAACTGCACAACGTGAGCTTTGGACGGTAGCGGCAGATGGAAGGCCAGCTCACAGCCGTCTTGTATGGCAAGTCGCCGCGGTTTGCCCACTGTATCAGTTCGCCCAATCGAGTTGGTATCCTGAGGAGCAAGCAGCCAAGGTAACAGATTCCGATCGTGTCCGGCACCTTGGGCATGGGCCAGCCAGCGCCGCGGTCAGGATCCCAGATCTGCGCTCTGGCCCCCGAGCTCCAAGCAGGCTTGTCTTCCTCTGATGGGGGCTGGGAGCTGAACATTTCCAAGCTTGCCTCGGCCGCCGCGTCCTCCACGCTGGGCTCGAGGGAGCTGGACCCGCGAATTCGCAGATCCCACAGGTCTCGCACGACAGTCTCCAGCTCCTCTCTGTAGCCCTTGACGCGGATGAGCCACAGCACCTGGCTCCTGAGGAGCAGCTGCAGGGCCTCGAGATACAACAGCTTGCCCTCTGCGCCGGTCAGCTGCCTCTTCTCCTGCTCTCTGACCTCCTTCTCCCGGCGAGCCACAGTGCCCATCCGGCCCGAGTCCTCTTCCTCGCCGACATCGAACTGTATGAAGCCCTGAAGGTCGTATCAGCATCTGACTTGCGACGGCACGGATCGGACCTCGCATGACATACCTCGATCTGATGGCCGCGGGCGCAGAACCGCAATCCGTCCTGGAGATACCACTTCTGACTTCCACATTCCGGACACCGCTCGCCCTTGGGCATCCTTCTGAGATCCCGTCGGGCCTCCATCACGGCGCGATGAGTCCCCGTGAATCCCCGGATTGTAAACGGATGGCATACGCCGTCAAGGCTGCAGGGCTCAGAGAGGGAAGCTGCACGAAGCAGGCTCGCCAAGCCGAGGCGAAACTTCAAGGGCCGCCAAGCAGGGCCCGATAGCAGCTTACATGAGCTGTGTAACCGCGCATAGCTGGATCTCAGATCGCGCCGCACGATAGGCGCTCGCAGTACTGGCTTGGGGACGGGCGTGGCATCATGGTCATGTTCATGTTCCATTTGCCTTCTCAAGCTAGGAAACATTAAAGTGGGCACCGCAGCGTGGAACGCCCACAAGGGTGCCCCCGCAACAGCGTTTGACAGTGTATCTCTTCGCTTCACTCGAGGCAAGGCTAGAAAAAAATTGTACATGGCAGCCGTCTTGAAAGGCGCCCTGCCTGCTCCGGCCCTGCAGAAATGCACTGCAAGGCCCTGCGTCTACGACCTACCAAGCACATGCACATGCAAAACACACTGCATCGACCGCAGCGCGACACGCACTCGTACGGTACTTGGCGCCACCAAAAGTGTAAAAACCGGCACAAACCTGCCCACAGATCTCATACGTTTTCATTTTTCTCATCTCATCTGAGCTTCCCCAGCCACGAGACCCGAGGCCCTGCCCCACAGGCAGGACCAAGAGTCGGTGAGCAACAAAGGAAAAGGAATACCCATGGGGGCACTTGCGCCGGGGTTTCTGCAAGTGCCGAGCGTTGTAACTACTAGCCGATACATTCCCGTCCGTATAGAAGCTGTCATCTGCCACGGCCATGTCCCATTGCCCAAATGATATCTGATGTGCCAAGAGTCATGAAAACAACGCTATTCCCCGGACGGTGCACGGGTCAAACTTGTGACAGGCATTGAGCAACGAGCGAGCCGAGCGCAGGGCAAGCACCAGTCCGTTTAACCCTGGCGGGGGGCTTCCTTGGCCTCAACAGCGGCCTCCTCGCCCATGGAGGTGAGGACAATGACGTCTGAGAAGCTCAATTAGCCTCGAAACTCTTCATGCGCGCGCGGGGGCAGTAGGGGTCGACTCACTGGTGTCCTTCTCATCGATCTTGAAGAGCTTGTTGATCTTCTCACCAACCTCGCCGTCGGGCATGCGGACATCGTCCTTGGTGTCACCGTCGTCGTTCATGAGAGAAAGGAAGCCATCATCAGAAATGTCGAGCTGCGCGAGGCGGCGTCAGTCCTGGCGGCGTCGCCACTTAAAGCGCGGGCGGGATACTCACAAGCTGGAACTCGCGACGAGAGACGTTGGGGACATCCATGTTGTGGGTGGAAGGGCTGAGATCTTCGTACTTCTTGCCGGTGAAGATGTCAAGGGCGACAAGGTGGACCTTGGCGTGACCGTGCTTGCCGGTCTTGGAGGTCGACATGTCAACGATCTTGCAGGGGCGGCCCTTGATCACGACGAAGCCGTTCTTGCGTAGAGCCGAGCACTGCATCGGGAACGTGAGAGACGCGCCGGCGTCGGCGGACTCGAAGGTAACATCGTGCTGTAATGAGAGAAAGGCAAGTCAGCAAGGAGCAATTCAACAACACGAGCAGAGAGCTGCGATGCGCAATGAGCCATTGCGGGATGCAACGCGGCGGTTGCAGTCGCCGCTCGTCGGCTGGCAGCGACGGGCGAGAGAGGGGGCACCACGCCGCTGCAACTTGTGTGCGGGCGGCGGGCGTCGCTTTGTGTCGTGGGGCACGAGGCACAATGCGGGGTGATTTCCAGCAGCAGGGAGACGGCTCAGGAGCTCGACAAAAGGCGGGCAGAACTCACATCGTCAGCCATGGTGATGGATTGCGCAAGAAGACGGGGTCGTCGAGACTCGGAAAAAAGAGAGAGAGGAAGGCGGAAGTGAAGGGCGATGGACAGACTCCGGACAGGCAGTGGAGGTGCTGGTAATAAAGTGGGTGGAGAGGAGAAAAAAAGAGAACGGAAAGGTCGAGGTGGGAGGAAGAGGCGACGCCCTTAGTAAGGTGGGCGAGGCTCCGAAGGGAGGAGGGGAGACGATGCCCTGGGGCGAGCGCTGGGCTGCTGAATTGGGCGCTGAGAGCGGCGGTACGCTGGACGGGGGTGGAGGCGGGGGGGTTGAGGTGGCCACCTACCTGGGAGGAGGTGAGCCAGTGGAGGCGGCCGCTGGCAGTGGAAGAAAAAAAATGGAAAACACAGGAGTCGAGTGCGCGCCAGTCCGCTCTCGAATTTTTTTCTCGCCCCTGTGATTGGGTGGACGAGGGCGGGCAGCGGGCACAAACAGTGGGCGTCGCGACAAGCCCAGCCCTCGCCTGGGCCTTTGCCATTGGGGCGGCCCCGCGGTGTCACTACTGAAGAGAGGGAGCCAGACGGGCAGAGAGAGGCAGCGTTCAGCGGCGAGTCTGGCCTAGAATTCGGCGCGAGGGGCGGCGGTGGCAGACCGAGCCTTGGAAACACATGTGTTGGACGAGGGCTCGACTCTCCTAGGTTACCCCCCTCCATCGTCCACCACAGATCGGCAGCATCAGACACGTGTGCCCCGCGGCTCGTGGCTCTGCCGCCGAGCTTCAGCCAGGCCGGGGCGCCCAGACTCGAGTCCTGATGTTGTCGGGCCACATCCATCATGCGATAATATCAATCGACAGCTACATTATACAGACGGCCGCGCATGCCTCAGCCATCATCAAAATGCATTTACAGCTCCAGGCACTGTCGCCCCTCTTGCTGTATACTTACCCAACGTCCTTGCAGTAACGAAAGCTCACCTGACCCGAAGCTGCCATGGCGCCCGCAGCGACAAGCTCGCGGGGTCGACGCCGAGCCACCAAACGCGGCTTGCTTTGGTCCGTCGTTGAACAACGATCTGTGAATCTGTCGGCGCCGAGCATAGACCCATGTCACCCGATGTCACCGAAGGCAACCATCGGCGCGGTCGTCAAGGTCGGGGTCGGTCTTGTGCCTACTGCGGAGCAGACAATCAAACCAGCTAGGCAAGTAGAAATGGGCAGAGCATACTGTGGCGGCGCAAGAGTGCTGCTTGCGCCTGGGCAGACCTAGCCTGAACTCAATGGACCTCTGCAAGCTCTGGTCCGAATGGAGGGTTGGTGGTGAAGCTCTGCTTGTCCAGGGGTCCAGTTCCGTACCTACCTACATAATACATAGGAATGCCTTAAACGACACCTGGAGGACGGTACTTCGTGGCCGAGCTGCGGTACCCAGGGCTCGACGTGGCCACTCACCTGCATCAAAGTACTCTGGGGCTGTGCCATGTATCCCCTGTCCTGCCCGTTGTCTGCCCCACCAGGCCTGTCACTCCGTCAGTCGCCCAGCTGCGTCCTCGCTCAAGCTGGAGCTGGTCCATGGCGCAAGCTGGCTCCAACCTTGCGCCCCTCGACCACCATCAACCACGTACACTCAACCCGACCGGGCTAGATTTGCATCGCGATATTGTTCGCTACCCGCCGCGTCCACCGCCACGAACCGCCGAAAGCCGCAGCGCGTTGTATGGCTTCCGGGGACCCAGCGCCATGACTGGCCCCTGACACGAGTCTCGAGTGTCAGTCTGCAGCATCACTGCGATCCCGCGATCCCACGACCCCAATCATCCGCTCCCCTTGGCGGCTGCTCCTGCCAGCACCATGTGGCTCGACCGCCTGGCCGGCGTCCCGGGGAGCACGTCTGGCCAGTCCACGCCTCAGCCTGGCAGCAGGCCGTACTCGCCTCTCCCGCGCAGGACGTCGAGCACGCTGAGCCCATACGTCACGTCCCAGCGCCCCGGTCACTCGCCTCGGAGCTCCTCTCTGTCCTTGGTCTCCAACGACTCCTCTACATCGTTGCTCGCATCCGCGCGCCGACCGAACGGCTCCGGTTTGCGCCAGTCCTCGACCATCTCTGAACTACCGAACTCGCTGGAGACTCTCGAGAAGCTGCTCAGGTCACCGGACGGCCCTGCGACTCCTGCGGAAGCGCATACAAGAGCAATTGAAGAGGACGACATCGGCTTTTCGGTCAATTTCGATGGCTTGACCATCAAGGAGCTGGTTGAGTCAGGAATCGACGAAGACCTTAACCTGACCAGCCGAAGTCCACAAACCATCTCAGAGTGTAAGCTCCCTTCTGGCCTTTCCCGCGATCGCGGCCGCCTGGCCCTTTGCTGACCATTGGCCACAGACCAAAAGGACAAGTCAAAGTTCGAGGACTTGCATAGGTCCATTACGGCCTGCGACGATGTGCTCGGCTCCGTCGAGACGAACCTGGAGAGCTTCCGCAACGACCTCGCCACGGTGTCGGCCGACATCGAGTCTCTACAGGCGCGGTCAGCTGCTTTAAATCGCCGCCTGGAAAATCGCAAGGTGGTGGAAAAGGCTTTGGGCCCTCTGGTAGAAGAGCTCAGCGTTTCCCCGGACACCATCACCAAGATATCCAGCGGCCATATCGACGAGTCCTGGACCAAGATGCTCTCCGAGGTGGACAGGAGAGCTGTGGCCCAGAAGAAGAAGGCTGCGTCTGGACTCCCACAGAACAAGGCGTCTGAAGAACTTGGGCCGCTGCTGGACAAGCTCATCCTCAAGGTACCGGGGGGACTAGAGACGTCGTGCCTGGTGCTGATTGCTGACATTCTCATCACAGGCGATTGAGCGCATCCGCGATTTCCTGGTAGCTCAGGTCAAGGCACTACGATCCCCTCACATCAACGCGCAGATTATCCAGCAGCAGAACTTCCTCAAGTTCAAGGACCTCTTCACATTCCTGCATAGACACCATGAGACGCTAGCCGAGGAGATCTCATTGGCGTATATGAACACAATGCGATGGTACTATATGAATCAGTTCGGCCGCTACGAGAAGGCGCTGGGCAAACTGAGACTCCATGTGCTGGACAAGAACGACGCCCTGGGCCACGAGGATACGACCCGGATGGCGGCCGTCTTGTCGAGCTCGCGTGTTGGGGGGCCGCCACACGACGCCTTCAATCTTGGCCGAAGAATAGACTTGCTCAAAAGCAATAACCAAACGGCGCTGTCTTCGTATTTGGCTGAAGAGGACCAGACGACGCACTATCTTGAGACGCCTTTCCGAAACTTCAACCTGGCGCTCATCGACAATGCAACCGCCGAGTACACTTTCTTGGCAACCTTCTTCTCGCCGGCACTGTCAATGTCACAAATATCCAAGAACTTCAACTACATCTTCGAGCCCACCTTTGAGCTCGGCCAGGCGCTAACAAAGACCCTCGTCGGGGAGACGCTTGACGCCCTGGGCGTCCTTCTCTGCATCCGTCTCAACCAGCACCTGGCGTTCGAGCTGCAGCGGCGAAGGGTCCCGGCCGTGGACGGCTACGTCAACGGCACCAACATGCTCCTCTGGCCGCGGCTGCAGGTCATCATGGATCGGCATTGCGAGTCGGTGCGGCAGCTGACGAGCTCGCTGCCTTCCAAGCCGGCCCGCTCGACGAGCGACGCGGCCAAGATGACCGCCGCACCCCACGTCGTGACGCAGCGCTTCGGCCAGTTGTTGCATGGCTTCCTGGCCCTCAGCGCCGAGGCCGGCGACGACGAGCCCGTGGTCGCGAGCCTGCGGCGGCTTCGCACCGAGGTTGATTCATTCCTCAACCGGCAGAGCCTCGCGTACGGCACCGATAAACGAAAGAGCGAGCGCTTCCTCTACAACAACTACTCCCTCATCCTCACCATTATTGGCGATACCGAAGGCAAGCTGGCGAGCGAGCAGCAGCAGCATTTTGAACAGCTCAAAGCCGCGCACCAGGAGCAATCATGAACAAAAGGCGCGCAAGCCACAATATCCGCGCATATCGCGCTGCAATGACAGCAGCCGGGGAACCAGGCTTTTCATTTTATTTCTGGTGTAACATTACTTTGGCGTCCCGCCCTGCCCTCCAAGCGCAAATGGGCCTGGGACCAGAAAACATGTCTATAGAATTGCCCACCAGCTGCTGGCCTGGTTCATTTTGAGAAGAAAGACATCATGTAGTGCACAAGGGTCGGACTGCGCCGCAAATAAAACGCAAGGGCGGCCACCGCGATGGCGATGCCGAAAGCTCTAGCCGGCCGCCGGTACCTCCACAAAGCCATCTTGACCCGATCCTGCATGTCCGCCCACCGAATGTCCTTGACCTGTTGCTGAAAGTACGCGTGGCCTTCCTCGAGTGTCTGCTTGGTGCACACGCTGACGTCCCTCGCTGTCTTGAGGACACTCGCGCTGGAGATGCACCTCCAGGAGCGCAGTGACTCGGGCGGATATCGGTCGAAGAGGCTGACCGAATTGGCGATGAGGACGTCTAGGTCCATGTTGCGGGGGACCTTGGCAAGGACGACCTGCAGCATGTCGGGCTCGTCAATGTCCAGGATCTCGTCTCGTCGGTCCATGACGATCTGGGCAAAGACGTAGATGGTGAAGACGGGCTCGCGAGCCAGGAAGACGTCGAACAGTCGCGCAATGTCGTGGTACGCCTCGATGTTGTGGGCATACATGGTGAGCGTCCCGGCCAGCGCGTAGAAGGGCTCGATGGTGGCAATGTGCCGCCGCAGCTTGGGGTCCGCCTTGCCCAAGAGGTCCGGCAGCAGCCGCAGCTGGGATGTCGTCGGGCCGAGGCTGGGGAGCATGAAGTCTCGTATCCGGAGGATGGAGAGGCGCGCGACCACCTTGGCCCGCCAAGGTGGCTCCAGCACCAGCATGAAGACCTGGCATATGTCGTGGTAGCCCTGGAAGTAGCAAAGATATGGGTATCGGCGGAGGACCTCGACGATGAGGGACGAGAGCTCCGACTTGCACTGCTCGAGCTGCGCTTCGGACTGGCCTGCGGTCGGGTGTCATGTCAGCAGGGAGGCCGACGCGAACGCCAGGGTCTATCTGTAGTAACTGTACCGTTGGGATAGTAGACGAAGGAGCGGTTCACATCCAGCTCTACCTGTTCTTCGTCTCGGTGACGCGGGAGATCTTTCCAATCGCCAGTGTCGGCGTGTCCATTGGCGGCGGCTTCAGGGGTTGGCAGCCCGAGCAAGATTGGCCCTGTTCAAGGCGCAAAAGTGTCAGTCGATGAAGCACACACGGAAATTCCACCGCAATGACGGGAGGAGACATGGAGAGCAGGCAAATGGTGCGGAGAAACGTACAAGCGGCGCGGCGCAAGCCATCGTTCAGAAAGCCGCCCTCGGACTCGGCGAGCGCTCTCAGGCCGGGAACATCCGTCCACTTGCAGGCGTCGAGGATCTTGGACTCTTTCTCGCCGCTCTTTCGGGCGTCGCCATCGCCCTCGCCCTCGCCCTCGCCATCATGTCCAGCGGCGGCACTCGAGCGGGAGATATGAGGGCTATCCGGGCTGCCTCGATGTTGACGAACCAGCGCCTCGATCGCCTCGCCCGCTTCGCTGTCCGGCGCCATGGGAGGAGCGCGCACCCCAGGGTGTGCAGCGCCTGCAATCTGGTTTATACTATCGCGGCGGACTGTGCAGAGCCGCTCCGTTGCATCCTGTCCCGGGAGCCGCAGGAGTGCAAGCGGCCACGGCACGGCGCGGGTGATGGGGTGGCGGTCGGTCGGTCAGTCGGTCGGTCGGCGGACGAGGTGACGTTCGGGGACTCGGTCGGTTGGTGACGCGACGTGGGAGCTTCCGCGGCCCGCAGGTGTCTGGCATCTGAGGTGGCATCTGCCCGGGTAGGTACTCTGCCTCGTTAGGCGCTGCGTTGGCGCCATGTCAGCGCCGGGTTTCAGTGGAGCCCGCCCCCGGGCCCTGGCAAGCCATGCCAGCCCGGCTTGCCCTGGTGCTACGCTGCGACGATGCAGGCTCGTGTGCCTGAGCCGGGCGGCATGTGGCTGCAGCCCCCCAGCTGCAGGAGGTGACGGGCATGGAAGGTTGGGAACCTGGAAGGGCCAGATATGACTTGACGATGGGTACGGAGTACATGCTACTCTACCACTCGTTGGGCGACTGCGTGCGCACTCCAGAACTCTCGAATATGCATGCGCCGCAAATGCGCAGCTCCATGCCAACATCTGGCATCGTTGCGGGTCTCGATCAAGAGGAGAACTGAAGATGCCCCTCGCTCGCAGTCACCACGACGCACCACACACACATGAACACCAGGGGTGACATGCTTTGTTATCCCATTCAGAGGGAGCGACAGCTTCCTAGACACTGCACTCTTGCCTTGTCGAGCGAAAGCAATGAGAAAGCTGCGCAAGACTCAAGTCAGAGCACCGAGAAAGTGATTACAGTACGCCCCCAAGGACAACGTCCATTTCTGCGCGCCCTCAAAAGCGTTTGCTGTCGCATCACGCGACCAGCACCAACCAAGCCAATCACCCGGCCCAGGTGAGGAGAGGGCATCTGTAAGTCAGCGTTCGGAGACGCGTCCAGGCAACAAGGGCTTCCCTAAACTTTCCGTGCAAGTCACTTTCATACAATGCGCCTTCGGAAATTGCTAGGTTGCATTGGCATCTTGTGGCCACAGAAGACATTGTGAAATGCTCTCTCCTCGCTTTACCCAAGAAGTCCTTGTGGAGGGATGCTCGGGCGGTTGACTGCTTACGACTTGATGCACATGGGGTATTTTGCTACATGGCATTCCACATCGCGGCAACCCAGACCCCAGGCGCACCCTTACTAACGTCAAGCGGCAGTTGGCCGACGACGTGCCGGCTGAGATCCCGGAGTATATGGTCCAGGGCGTACGTATGTACATTAAACGTACTCTGAATGGGTTTCCTTCATCCGCCCTTGTTGACACCAGCCAGCTGCCGCGGAGCTGAACCTTTCTGACGGAAGGATAATACCAGTGACACCCCCCTGCCTGGCGCGTGGGCCATGCTTCAGAGCACGGGGACCACCAAGTCATTGGCAACGGCCAGGGCTGACAGGCGTGACGACAACATTACACAACTCGTCGAGTCATATCCCCGACCAACAAATCGGTAACCCCGCGGCGACAAGGGCCGGACATCAACGGGCACCAATCAACAGCATGTGTCGACGATGCCATTTGCCTCGTTGCCCAGGCCCTGCCACTGAAGGCGGACGCTTCGCTCCCTCAGACCGCCTTCGCCGATCCGATGGCCTGCCAGATGCCAGACTCGGCGACACAAGGTCGGCATATTTTCGACCCTGGTCCACATTTGGCAGTCAAGGATGGGCGTTGGACCCTGGCATCTGCGTACCAGCTCGGAGGGGGTGCCGTGGTGGGTAGCAGATGGATGGGGGTGGGCTGAGGTTTGCCGTTACCATCTGGCTCTGAGGTCCTGGGCTCTCGCCCGCCTTCGACAGGAATGACGACGTGGCCGCTGTGTGATATTGCAGGTGACTGATGAGCTATCCAGAAGTTCAGCGCCTGCCCAATCGGCCGGCCGAGATGCTTCCGTTCCAAAGCAGATACGGTTGGGGCAAGCACCGCATTGCATCATGTCCTCGAGGGCGCACACCGAGTTGACTCGAGGTGTGTCCCAGTTCATGGGCGTTGCACAGGTGACGCCTTGCATGACATAGTCGCATTGGGCCCAAAACAGACACTCTGCGCTCGGTTTGCTGGTGGTCATCGTTCCGGCTGGCATCTGCGAATAGCTCACGGCTTTGGAGCCGCAGGCCCCGGTGGCGAGGGCAATTTGCCAGAATCTTGTTGCGCCAAGCTATGACTGTCCCTCGGGAAGAAATCTGGCCAGACAAGACCAGAACCACCCCAGGCTCTCGCCGACTACTACTTCCATCAAGGCCATTGTCGAACCAAGCAGGGCCGCTATCATGTACTGCTGGGAACGGCATCTCGACCTGTATGTAACATGGTGGTTTGGCATTAGCTTCGACTCGCAGCCGCAGTGTGGCGGCGCAAACGGCTCCTTTGCCTCTCCGTCTGCCATGCCAAATCCGCCAGTTCCCTCAGGGACCAAGCTTGAAGTTGGCTGCTAGGCACGACGAACGGTCCTTTGCGCGGTACACAACCCTCTCAACGGAAGCTGTATTGATTTCCTCGTCGAGGCAATGTAGGGTGTTTCAGATCAAAGCAAGACGCCTTTCTCCCAGAGTTGCCTCAGGCCGAGAGGAAGGGACGGAGGTTGGTGCGTGTCACACGACTGGTTCCGGCTGTCAAGTGCCACGTCTTCAAGCCGTAGATATCGGTGGTATAGTATACGAAAAGCCCGATGGTGTCGAACGTATGTGATGGCGTTGCCAGTCGGCGACGTATCTTTGTCAAAAGCCTGTGCTTGAAGCGCAGAGTGCACTGAGCCTCAATTCAGCTCCTTTGACCGAAGCAGGCCACCTTCGCCAGTGTATTGATTGCCTTGACAATTCCGGCCCTGAACGGGACGTTCGACTCAGTGTCAGCGGGGGTCGCAACCACCGGCAATGCGTCGTATCATCGCATGAAGCTGGTATGCCGTAGTGATCATCGAAATTGACCTCCTTCTTGGGAGCAGCGAACGCTCATTCTGCCCTTGGGGCGTCTGCCATGGTGTCCATGCCCCTCGAGTCTACATATCCACATCGGGACAGACCCTGACGCACGAAGACGGGGCACGACCTGCAGCTGCTCGAGGACAGGCACACTTCAGACCGCAGTGCAGCCGGTGAGGGTTGGCAGACCCGCGGACAGGGGTGGCTGAAGTCGTCGCGCGGTCCCGCGTCGGCGGCGGCTGGGGCGCCTCCATGCGAACACTTGCACCGCTTGATCGCAGGCAGCTTGCGGCAATGTACCGACATGAGCACGATGTAGGAGCTCAGAATAAGCTGCCGGCGAAGAGGGTCAGGCCTGGCGAAGAGCGTGGTGGAAAGGGCACCGGCCTCATACCGCCAGAGGAAGCACGGCCTTGCCCGACCCGTGTCTCGGAGGGCGGTTGAAGACGCCAAGTGTCGGGCCATCCGTGATGCCACCAATGCATCCATCAAGTTCCACTCGCGGCTGGGGCTCCTTCGGAGCCACGCGCACCTCCGCCTGCATCGCCCCAGCCCGCCGCATCCCGCTGGTGCCTAGTCGAGTTCGCGTTGCGAGCTAACTTGGGTTTTGCATCTGAGGTGCCTGGCAACACAGCGCTTTCTGGACAGCACTGTGGCCAAATCCCATGGTCTCGCGAAGCGGAATCGTCGGGAGTCGGGATGTCGTGGATGGCAGGCTGCGGCAGGGGAGGCCTCCATGTGAAACGCCCTCCGGAAGAAGTCGTGGTATTTCCGTGGCAGACTGACTGTTGGAGGGCGCTCGCATGCCATGCATGGCATGGCGCCTTGCATTCGGATTCGCGCCGTGGTGGGCATTTGTCGGAATGCCATCTTGTAGACGCCGCCTGCCGTCAAGGCCATCAGGGAGATCAGGGGGCACTATAGTAAGGCAGTCCATATCGACTCATACTTGCTCTTTAGGCATACCTGCTCTTTGGGCACTGCTCGACGTATGACGCGGACCTCAGTTAGCTGGTGCGAACGCACCCGTTTGGGTTGAATAAGGCGAAAAGCGATGCCCGCGGCAGCCAGTCTGGTGATTCAGCACCTCAGTTCCAAGCTCGGGCTGCCTCGCGAGGTTCCAGTGTTGGTATACATGTGTCCGTATCAGTGGGCGGCGACTGCCTAATACACGACGGATCATGGACGGGAACGCCTCTGCGCAGACCACCTCCGGCCCCGCCTCCTGCGCGCGCGGTGAGGTGGGACCTCCTGGTGATTGCTCCACCGACCTACCTAGGTAGCCACATCGACCCGGGGTACTGCTTGCGGAGAGAGGCGTCGTAGCTATTCCAAGTACCGAGCTGCGACCTAGGTACCTAGTGCCTTTGCCGTCCCTGGACGGCTGGACGGCTTGCGGCGGGAGGTCCCACCTGCTCCTCAGGGCGAGGGGCAGCGCACCTGCCAAGGACCTTGAGGTACCTAGGTATTCAGGCGGGTGCGGCCAGCAGCTGGAGGGTCGGCGGGCAGGCCCTCCAGGAGCGGCAATAACGACTCCAGTGCAGCCTGCAACGCCCGCCCGTCACGTTCATGTTCGCGCACGCAGCAGTGGCACACCCACGCACGCAGACCACCTCAGGCACTCTCACTCACGCACCCACGCGGGCACGCACCCACGTACACCCACCACACCAACCACATCCACATCCACATTCACATCCACACCCGCACACACCCACACGGACGCTCGCTCGCTCGCAGCCAGGCAGCCCGGGCAAGCAGACAAGCACACACCACTCGCGCACACGCACACCACCCTACAGTACCAAGCAGGCGCTTGCAAACGCATTCATGCATGCATCGCCGTCGTCCGGGCATCTCCCAGCATTAACATCGCTTGCTCGTCGATAGCGTGCCGGGGCCTAACGTGACGCTGCCAGCTCGCTGCTGGTGCGCCTTCCGGGACCATTCATGAGGAACGAGGCTTATCGGACTGGACTGAACGAGGGAAACGGCCTGCTCCACCAAGTTTGCGGTCCCCTGCCGACTACTTCCAGCCCCCGGGCCTCCTGCGGGTTTGTTGTCGGCACCTTGTCGCGGCCACCACCCATCAAGACCAGACTCTCAACCCACCATATATGCCCCTCGAGGCGCCCGCCGACCATCCTCAACTGTCCAGGAGCCTCTCTGCCCTCCAGGTTTCCTTCCCGACGACGTACGCGCCCCTGCGCCTACCACTTCGCCGCGGCACCCGTCAGCGCCTAGCCGTGACTGGCTACCATCATTTAGTTCAGCAAGAGCTGGCCAGCTCTCCGCCTGGATGCCCAAGGCACGTTTGCGCACCCCCTTCCAACCGCCTCGGACGTCGCCTGCTCGTACCTGGACCTAAGATGCTCCCTTGGGTCCCGCCCACGCCTGCTCCCTTACCCAAAACGCACCGCCGCTCACAAGCTTCCCCCCGCCTTCATACCGAGCTCCAGCAACAGCTCCCGCAACAGCTCCAGGGACACATCCAACGACGCCAGCAAGGCCGATAGACACCCCGAACGCAACTCAAACTGCGGATGCCACTTAATCCGCGGAGGTGGTAGAGTTTGCCAACCCCCCCGCCAAGTGCCAGGGGCATCTATTCGATCCAGGCGCCAACAACTGCACCAACCAAGTCACCAACCTGTCCTTCCCACGACGAGCCCTCGGTGGCATCCAGTCTAACATGCCTCGGTGAGCATGGCGTTCCAAACAAGCGTTTTGAGAGACGGCGAGTGGGTCACCGAAACCGTCAACCTCCACGCCGCTCTGCAACAAGCCTCTGCCTCAGCGTCTGGCCCCATGCCGGTCCTCGAAAAGCCTCCACGGCCACCCATATGCGGCATCCTATCCAGAACTGTAGTCGAGAGCCCCATCGTTCATTGGGTCCTGCCCGTTCGCCTGAGGTCGAAGGCGCACAATGACATCGCTTTCATAGGAGTAAGTCGCCTTGTCTAACTCGACCCACAACCGCCGCTTTTCGAAGAGGGACTGCCTGTTGTTCGGGCTATGATGAAGTCTGCCAATTTATTGTTATTTGAGGCGCGTGGCCTCCCCAACTCGTCGCGGCGCTTTTGCTGCTGGCCCTGCGCGATACAATGGCACTGGCACTGGCACTGTCAGATCGGCTGACGACAACCTTCAGGACCACTTCGTGCAGATAAATGAGCTCCGCAGCGATGGCCAGCTGCACCAGGTCGCCCGAAAATGCGACTTTGGCGCAAGGATCCGTAGCGCCGCTGTGCTCGGTGACCCTCTTGAACACGGTCTCGACGACGAAACCTCCGATGCCATAGTAAAGGCAGAGGATTCCGACACAGCCATGCCGGACGCCTCAGAATCACCGGCATGTGCACGTGAAGGGCTGCTACCCCCGAAACTTCTAGTACTGGCGCTTGACACGGGGGACATCGTCTTCCTCTTCTTGAAAAAGTCTCGCCACTCTACTCTCGAGTTTGTTGTGTCCAAGTACAAGACGCCAAGGAAGATATCCTTCTTAGGGTTTCATCTCGCCGTGGACCCATCGTCTCGTTACATGGCTGCCTCGTCCCCAGACGGCATTCTCGTCATGTACGAAATCAACGACATGTCGACCCTCAACGCCCAGTACAAGTCGACGGGGTCCTTTGCGCCAGTCAAGTCTGTCCGACTCCGGGCGATACATGGTGTTGTACACAAGCTGGAGTTCCTGTACCCCCGGCTCGCGGATGACTACCACATCATTCTGATCCTGATAGTGATCCGGGAGGATAGGAGGCACGCCGAGCCCGTGACCCGTATGGTCACCTACGAGTGGGAGGTTGGCGACAGCCTCAAGGAGGTCTTTGCAGAGGAAAAAATGGGCAACAGGCTGCCCAAAGAACACAAGATGCCACTACTTCTGATCCCGCTCAGGTTCAACAACGCCTTCTTCACCGTCTCCTCGAAGTTTGTCGGCATTGTCAAAGATTGCCTCTCTGGAGCTCCGGTCTTCGAGTCATTGCGTACCGACCCTCCCAGCCGAACAGACTTGCACCAGGGCTCTGCTGCACCATTATGGACCGCATGGTCACGTCCATTTCGGCGAAGGGGCTACTTCGAGCGGACGGACATCATCTATCTCGCGAGAGAAGACGGTGCCATCATTCACATCGAGATTGAAGCAAACGACCTCGTGCCTTCTGTGACCAACGTTGGGTGCCTGAATTCCAACATCAACACGGCTTTTGCAACGGCGTATGATGTCTTCTCGGATATCCTGATCATCGGGGGCGACTCCGGACCCGGAGGTGTGTGGAAGGTATGCGTGTCCCGCGTCTCTTCACTTCAAGAATGTTGCTGACCTTGTTTAAAAAGCTTGCGCCTCGGTCTGAGCTTGAGCAAGTTAGCATCTTGCCAAACTGGTCACCTGTTGTAGACGCTGCCACAAACGCTCCTCGACCCACAATCGAAAACGTGGTCAATACATCTGGAGAGGGACGACAGCCGAACCCTCAAAAGGCAATGCCGAGACCAGAGACTCTCTTCACAGCGTCAGGTCGTGGGCTGAAGGGGAGCGTAACGCAATGGCGATGGGGCGTCCAGGGGAGAATTGGCCTTGACATTGAAACCGGCGAGCCCATCAGACAGTCTTGGGCATTTGCGCTGCAGAGCCAGGGTCGACGCGGCTTGTCGGCACTACTATCTCTCCCCCATTCGTCCGCAGTCCTTTCCTTCTCCGAGGACTTCAATCAGGTCACGCCACTCACCGGCGATGATACCCCGTTTGATGTCACTTGCCGGACATTGGCTGCTCGGGAATCACCGTCGGGAACCATCGTTCAAGTCACGGAACGCCTCGTAACGCTCATAAACGGCCAGGCGTGGTAAGCTGCTCGTCATCTCAGTCTCACAGACATGGCTAACAAGGAGCCAAGCTCACGGTTCTCGTTCGATCTCATGCTCGGACAAGAGGGTTTCGCAGCCGACCATGCATCGGTTGCTGACGATACGGTGGTTGTCTCTACGCACGGGCCGGAGGGCTCTCAGCTGCATACGTTTACTAAGACAGGAGCGAGAATTATCCGAGGCAACTCGTGGAACGTTGAAGGAGAAGTCACATGCGTGTCGCTCTTCACAGCCTCAAATAACGCTTTCGTCATCGCAGGCTCCGTTCTGGACGGGGTATCTCGAATATCAGCGTACTCCACGGATGGGATACTGGCCGCTTCTGAGGCGCTTGTGCGACACACAGGTCAGGCCCTCTGCTTGCACACTCTCTCATGTCTCACTATCGTGCTTTTTCCTGACACTTGCAATCCTTAGACAAGGATCCTGATTTCGAGCCTCTGACGAGCATTTGCGTCGCAAGTCAGGACCGAGGTGATGTGCACATAGTCGCAGGGACGAGATGCGGCCACCTCCTACGCGTCACAATCTTTGCCTCGGGGCTTGAGCGTGTCACATGGTCTGCTGAGACGATTGGAGTGGCACCTGTAGAGGTATACCCTTGCTCCGGCCCATTCGATGGCACTACTGCGGCGCTCATGTGCTGCGACAACAACTTGTCCATAATGATGGACTTCTCAGCAAAATCCGGAACGTTCCGCAAAAAGCATTATATCTGGCTGACGGATGCTAATGACGCGTCAATGTCGCCACCCGCTGTGCATTCCGTCGCGAGCCTGTCACTGAACCTCTCGGGGTATCCCGGGCATATGTCTCTCATGATTCAAGCGGGCTCCAGGTTGCTTCTAGCGGAAATATGGCCCCATGTCGGGCCAGTGCCCAGAAGCATACCTGTCGGAGGCACCCCAACTAGAATCATATACTCACATACATGGAATTGCCTGGTAGTGGCCCTGCTCCAAGGAGACCGACCTACCTTGGCCTTTGTCGATCCGGACTCCGGCGAAACCCTGTCGGTGCCATCAGACAAGGACCACAACCCTTCAGACTTCGTTTCAGGACTTGGCTATCCTGGCGACAGGATATATGGCCTATACGAGTGGCTGTATGTCAAGGACGGCAGGACATTTGCCTTCATTCTTGTTGCGACGAAGGACGGGAGGCTCCTCATAATTTCCGTCAATAGGGTCAAGGCGCGAGCGGGCGATGGCCAGGTCAAACGATTGCACTACTGGACGCGGTACAAGAAGGTTCTCGGGGAGCCGATATACTCGATTGTCGGTGATGATCTTGGGATCATTTATTGTGTCGACAAGGTTGTGCATTGGGAGGTGCTCGACTTGGTGGAGAAGAAGCTGAGGCCGATGGGTGCATACCGGCTGGACTCACCTGCAACGTCTCTCCAAGTGGTGCAGGGCCACATCTTTGCCCTGACCACGCTCCATTCGCTCGAAATCATCGACTACAAGACAAGTGGCACGGGAGACATGGCACTCATTCATTCTGATCGGATCACCCGGAGGACAACACACATGATTGGCGCTGGTCCTTTGTCTGACCGACCCGACCGTTGGCCGGTGACTCTGCTCTCGGACCAGAGAGGCGGCATCGCAGGGATTTGGATTCCCTGGCACCAGCGCTACAAGGAGTTTAAGGTGGTCTTTGAGGGGCTGCTCCCGACAGCGGTGAGGCGATTTGTTGCGCTGCGAGGCAAACCCCTGTGGCTGGCAGACGGACGTGAGACTCTGTACGGTACAGTGCCATGCACGAGCTATGGGGCCGACATAGTAGGGGTTTCACTGGACGGCTCGCTGCAGCACTTCACGCTGCTCGACTTCGACCTGTGGCGGTTCCTTTACTTGATACAGAGCATGGCCCGCCGCAGCCCTCAGGTCTGCTCAGTAGCGATAACACCGGCGCCGGGCAACTCTGGCCGCGGCGGCGGGGATGAGACGTTGGAGGACAACTACGACTGGGACGGCGAACTGGGCGAGCTGGAGCCAAGCCTGCATCCGGGGCTCATGCACATCGACGGGGATATTCTAGAGCGGTGCCTCCAACGGCGGGCCCTGGAGGAACTCGTACAGGACGCCGGTAGGTTTCGCCTGTTCTGTCAGTACCTGGACCGGCTGGAAGGCGGGCGCCACACGAGAGGCTTCGAGGCCGACTCGACGGGAGACGAAGAGAGACGCGGCAGATATTTGGGGTTGGCATATGAAATTCTGGCCTACTTGTTAGACGTGGTCATGTAAATAGTCCAGAGCCAGGGATTCGGGTCCGTGGAAAATCATAGAGGGCGGTGGCAGCGAATGCATGGGGGTGGAGGCGGAGGTTGCCTGCCGTGCGGTGCGGTGCAAGGCCGAGGGCAACCTGAGGATCGCAGTGTATAAGTCAATGGCTGACGCGACGAAGTACGAAGTGCATGGATGAGAAGAGCGAGCCCTGTGACATGTCCTTCTTGCTGCGCGCCGTGTTGAGCCGGGCATGCTGCGAGAGGCATTGTAGGGGGGGCCGGACTATTGTTGACTGACGACGGCCGGAACTCTTATGCCAAGTGACCTGTGATGGACCTGTTTGGGCTGCTAACGTAAGGACTGGAAGCCTTGAAGACATGTACTTATCGTAATGACGCTTCGGCAGAACTTTAATACGTTAGGCGTGTCGGCCGCCAAAGAAAGAGAGTGTGCCCCGCAGTGAACGGCCAGAGGCTCAGGCAAAAGAAGCCAACACCCCCGCCCTGCCGTCTGCCTGCCTGCCTGCCCGCCCACCTCGCCCACGCCCACGCCCATCCCACACCAGCGGCGAATCGATCGCACCGCCCAAGCACCACCTGCTCGCCTCCACAACCCACCACCACTACCGTCCACAAGGTGCGCCAAGTTGGTGTGGTATATATTTTTTTTCTTTGCAACGTCGCAAACCTGCTTCCCCTTTTTGGCGTATCCCTGGCCAGTCCTTCGCTTACTCGAAGCACACAACTGTGACCGGAGCCATCCTGATTCCTCGAACCCTCTCGCTCGGCTTCATCTGACGACAGCCTCTGCCCGCCAGCGACCGACGACACAATGCCGCCCAAGAAGAAGGGCAACAAGAAGGCCCAGGACGACTGGGAGGCTGAGCTTGGCGAGTCCATCGCTCCCGCCGCACCTACAGACGCCCCAGCCGAAGACGCCAACGGAGACAACGATGACGACGCAGCCGGAGCCGGCGGCCTGATGGCCATGTTGCGAAAGAACAAGGAGAAACGCAAGAAGAAAGGGCTACCGGAGGAGGACTTCGTCCAGGGCGAGGACCCCGCGGCCGCCAACGATGTGGCGGCCAAGGCACCTGTCGAGGCGACCGTCGACGACGAGTTTGCCTTGCCCGAGAAGAAGGGTAAAGGTGGCAAGGGAAAGCCGGCACCGAAAAAGGACGAACCCGCCGATGATGCCGAGGAGGGCGGCAGGATACTTACCAAGGCCGAGAAGGAGAAGCTCAAGAAGGAGCGCGAGAAGCAGCGTAAGAAGGAACAGGTATGCATCCCAGGCAATCGTGTGCTTCTTTAATTCCACAGCGCAACGGGGCAGTGACTGACTTCATATTCTCCCATCCAGGCCGCAAAGAAGAAAACCCCAGCGCCCGCAAAGGCCCCGGAGCCTGCCAAGACGGCCGCCCCTGCCAAGACGTCTCCGGAGGAGGCGGCGCCAGCCGCCCCGGCCGCCGCCGACGCCGGAGGCAAGAAGAAGAAGGTGCCGGCGCACCTTGCCATGCTTCAGAAGCAGCAGGAGGAACTCCGTCGCAAGCGAGAGGAGATTGAACGCCTCGACGCCGAGGCCAAGGCACGCGCTGAGGAAGAGGAACGCCTCGCCGAGGAAGACCTGAAGCGCAAGGAGGAGCAGAAAGCCCTCAAGAAACAAAAGGAGAAGGAGCGCATCGAGCAGCTCAAGAAGGAGGGCAAGTTCCTCACCAAGGCACAGAAGGAGGAGAAGGCTCGCAACGAGATGAAATTGCAGCAGATGCTTGCAGCCGGCATCAAAGTAGGACCCCAAGAAACAGTCGACGGTGAGCCCAAGAAGAAGTCCTACGACAACAAGAAGAAGAGGGGCAAGAATGAGCAGAAGGTAAGCTTACTTGGTCGTCACTCGACACTGACCATGTCGCACCATATGCTAATCAAGGTCGTCACTTTAGGTTGATGAAGAAGCTGCCTTGGCGGAAGCAGCAGAGCGTGCCCGTGCCGAAGCCGAGAAGGCGCTTAAGGCGGCCGAGGAGAAGGCCGCCAGGGAAAAGGCCGAGGCCGAGGCCAAGGCTGCCGCTAGCAAGAAGGCTGCCGAGAGCGACATCGAGGATGACTGGGAGGCCGCGGCCGCCTCCGATGGAGATGTTAAGGACAGCTGGGACGCCGATTCGGACGAAGAGGCGGAGAAGAAAGCACTGTCCTCGAGGCCGAAACAAGCCGAAGACGAAGAGGGAGAGGACGAGTCTGAAGACGAGAGCGAATCCGACGAGTCTGAAGACGAAGCAGTCTCCGCGGCGCGACAGGCAGAAGCCCAGCGCAAGAAGGAGGCGGCCGAGAGGAGGGAGAAGGCCCACCAGGCCGCTCTGGCCGCTCGTTCAAAGGATAACCTCCGTTCCCCCATTTGCTGTATCCTGGGCCACGTCGACACAGGCAAGACGAAGCTTCTCGACAAGATCCGGCAGACCAACGTCCAGGAGGGCGAAGCCGGTGGTATCACACAGCAGATTGGTGCCACGTACTTCCCTGTGGACGCCATCCGACAAAAGACTGCTGTCGTCAACAAGGACAACAAGTTCGAGTTCAAGGTGCCCGGCCTCCTTATCATCGACACTCCCGGTCACGAGTCGTTCTCCAACTTGCGGTCTCGTGGCTCCTCGCTCTGCAACATTGCCATCTTGGTGGTCGACATCATGCACGGCCTCGAGCCCCAGACCCTGGAGTCAATGCGCCTGCTCCGTGACCGCAAGACGCCATTCATTGTGGCGCTCAACAAGATCGACAGACTTTACGGCTGGAAGAAGGTAGATAACAACGGCTTCCAGGACAGCCTGGCGCTTCAAAGCAAGGCGGTGCACAACGAGTTCAAGAACCGACTGGAGCAGACCAAGCTCGCCTTTGCCGAGCAGGGTTTCAACTCAGAGCTGTTCTACGAGAACAAGTCGATGGCCAAGTTTGTGTCCCTGGTGCCCACTTCGGCGCACACGGGAGAGGGTGTCCCGGACATGCTGAAGCTCATTGTCCAGCTCACACAGGAGCGCATGGTGGGCTCGCTCATGTACCTGTCGGAGGTGCAGGCGACGGTCCTCGAGGTCAAGGCCATCGAGGGTTTCGGCATGACCATCGACGTCATCCTGTCCAACGGTGTCCTGCGCGAAGGCGACAGGATAGTGCTGTGCGGTACTGAAGGCGCTATCAAAACCAACATTAGGGCGCTGCTCACTCCAGCGCCTCTGCGAGAATTGCGCTTGAAGTCGGCATATGTGCATAACAAGGAGGTCAAGGCCGCCCTGGGTGTCAAGATCAGCGCTCCTGGCCTTGAGGGCGCCATCGCTGGTTCGAGGCTGATGGTCGTCGGCCCTGACGATGACGAGGAAGACATCGAGGATGAGGTCGAGTCTGACCTGGCAAACCTGCTGAGTCGTGTCGAAAAGTCTGGCCGCGGTGTCAGCGTGCAGGCGTCTACCCTTGGTTCTCTGGAGGCCCTGCTCGACTTCCTCAAGGACTGCAAGATCCCCGTGGCCAACGTCGGCATCGGCCCCGTCTACAAGAGAGATGTCATGCAGTGTGGTATCATGCTGGAGAAGTCCCCCGATTATGCAGTCATGCTGTGCTTCGACGTCAAGGTGGACAAGGAGGCACAGGCATATGCTGCGGAGCAGGGCATCAAGATCTTCACGGCCGACATCATCTACCATCTCTTCGATTCCTTCACCAAGCACATGGACGAGATGCTGGAGAAGAAGAAGGAGGATTCCAAGATGCTTGCCGTCTTCCCGTGCGTGCTCAAGCCGGTCGCTGTCTTCAACAAGACGGACCCCATCGTCATCGGTGTGGACGTTGTCGACGGGCAGTTGAAGATCAACACGCCCATCGCCGCTGTCAAGTCCAACCCAGTCACTGGTGTCAAGGAAATTATCAGCCTGGGTAGAGTGTGAGTATTTTCTCCTCCTTTCCACGACACTGCCATGCCTGGGTGCGCCAGCCTACCGTACCATTTACCGTTGCTAATCTGGGCCGTTTTTGCAGGACCTCGATTGAGCGAGAGCACAAGCAGATCCCGGTCTGCAAAAAGGGTCAACCGTCTGTGGCCGTCAAGATCGAGATGGGTGGCCACCAGCCCATGTACGGCCGACAGCTGGAGGAGGCGGACACGCTCTACAGTCTCATCTCCCGCGCCAGCATTGACTGCCTCAAGGAGTTTTACCGGAAGGACGTGTCCAACGACGAGTGGCAGCTCATCATCAAGCTGAAGCCGCTCTTTGACATCAATTAAGTTGCGGGACAGTGCGGCAGAGCTCTCTGGTCAATGGGGGAATGCTGTATTGCATGTCGATGCCCACCTGGACTTACTCGGAGGTACGGACAGGCTGATGGACGGGGATTGCGGTGCATTGTTCCTATGAGAGACTGGAAAAATTAGGGAGGCGACGACGATTGGGAGAAGAGAGCATGATACGGGGTCCAAAAAACACTTGGTATTTACTGTGAATGATCATGTCGTTTTGTCGGGTTTAGACAAAATTGTAAGGCTACCCAGTTGTTGCTCGTGAGCCGCCGTCGCCGCCTGATTGCCTTGATCAAGTGAAAGGGGTTCTTTGCTTTACAGTCAACACCATTATCTATTTGTCCGGTTTGGTTGGAGCCCATGCCGAAGCAACAGTCCTCCGAGAAAAACCAGAATCACAACAACAAACAACGTCTTCGTCCCGTGTAAAAAAGGAAACTTGGTCTAGCGTGCATACATTCCCGTCATAACCATTCCCGTACTCCGACAGGATATCCATCACCCAGCGCGGAGAGCGCGGCCGCCTCCAACTTGCCGCCACTCCTTGGGCGCTCTGTTTCTATGCGGTTTCGTGCCATTCACTTTTGTACTTCCTCCGCCCCCTACTTTTTCTTTCCCTCACGGCCGATTCTTCTTCGGACTCACGCCGACCTGTCCCTCGTCCAACGAAGGTCGCTTGACTCTCTAATTCGGGTTGCCAGCCTCGTCGGTCTCCGCTTGGGCTCCGTCGGCGGCGTCCTTCATCTCCTGGTCACCTCCCTGGGCTGCCTTCTCGGCCTCAGCAGCCTTGCGAGCCTCTTCCTCAGCGGCTCTTTTGGCAGCTTTCTCGGCCTCGACGCGCTCCTGGACGGCACGGCGCTCGGCCTCGACCTTCTCGAAGTGACGCTGGACAACAGGGCCAGCCATGGCACGCAGCTCCTCCAGCTTCGCAACGTAGACGCCCTTGGAGGCATCGTCGCCCTCGTCATACAACCAGTCCTAAGCGGGCATTGTTAGCATCCTATCAGTGAATTCGCAGCACGACGGGCACATACCTCGGCGGTTTCCAGCTTCTGCTTCATGGCCGACTTCTCGTCCTCGCTGGTGAACTCGGCGTACTGGTCGTCCAGCTTCGCCCGGAGGTCGTAGATGTAGGCTTCCAGCTCGTTCTTCTTCTCCTCGGTGTCGGCGACCAGCTTGTCTTCCATGACCATGGCAGCCTCCTTCTCCGTCAATGCCGTCTTGGCGCTGGCATCCAGGGAAGCGGTGCCGCTGGAAATAGGGAGGTCGCCCTTGCGAACCTGCTTCTTAACCTTGCGGGTCTTCTTGGGGGCGTCGTCCTTGTTGTCCGTGTCCATGGCCTGCAGGCGGCAACATGTCAGCCATCATCACTTGTAGATGGGGAGATGATGCTCGCGTGGGAACTTACGTCGGGGTCCTTCTTGTCGCCCTCTTCCTTCTTGTCGTCGTCCCTGACCTCCTCCTCAACTTCCTGATCCTCGACGTAGTAGCCGGTCTCGACATTGAGGACGCCATGGATGTTGACGCGAGCCTTGAGCTTGCAGATCATGAACTCATCCTTGCCCTCGGCCTTGACGCCCTTGACGGAGAAACGGCCAATCCAGGGGTTCTGCTTTCCGGGAAGCTCCTCGGGCTTGGCATATCGGGCCTCGAGGTCGAAAGGCTGCTTGCGGTAGAAGGTGAGGATCTTGGTGGACGGCAGGACGTTGCCCTTGTTGAAGACGGTGAGGCTCGTGTCCTCGTCAGGGATATCGGGAGCCTTCTCCCAAGCGAACTCGATGGGGTAGCTGATGATGTCCTGGACAGCGAAGTCACGGACTCGGAAGACGGGGGAGAGAATGGCGCAGCTGAAGGCGCAGCCACGAGCGACGGCCTCGTCGGCGTTCATAGTGAAGGAAAGGGGCTTTCCGAAGAACTCCTGGATGCGCTCCTTCAGAGCAGGAACGCGGGAGCCGCCACCGACAATCTCGATGACGTCGATGTCGTCCTTGGTGAGCTTAGCCTGGGCAAGGGCCTGCTCGAGAGGGTGGTGGGTTCGGTTCAGCAGAGGCTCGATCATAGCCTCGAACTCCTGGCGAGTGACCATGGCAGAAGCGTCGACATCGTTCATGAGGGACTCAATGTTGACGGGCGCCTGCTGATTGGCGGACAGGATCTTCTTGGTCTTCTCGGCGGCGGCGATGGTGCGGGCCATGGCACGTCCGTGGGTGTAGATATCGACCTTGTACTTGCCCTTGAACTCCTTGGCCAGGTGGTCGACAAGAGCCTTGTCGAAGTCGCGGCCACCGAAGTTGCGGTCCCAGGCGGTGGCCTTGACGGCAAGCTCGCCCTTCTTGAACTCGACAATGGAGCAGGTGTAGTTGCTGTGGCCAATGTCGACGAAGGCGACGCGGCGGGGGCGCTCCTCGGGGCCGGGAAGGTCAAGCTTGGTGATGCCCCAGCCGAGAGCGGCGGCGGTGTTGTCGTTCATGAGGCGCAGGAGCTTGAGGCCGGCGATCTCAGAGGCGTCGAGGAGCGCGCGGCGCTGAACGTCGGAGAACCAAGGGGGGACGCTCATGCAGAGGTCGGAGACGGGGAGCTTGAGCTCGGCAGCGGCAGTCTGCTTGATCTTGCTCAGGTACATGGCAACGAGCTGGGTCGCCGTGAACTTCTCCTTGTTGCCGAGATACGAGATCTCGGCGCCGACCTGGCCATTGACGTCGACGAGGGGGGCGGTGACATATTGCTGCTCGATGGCGACGTCCGGGTCGTTGAAGGAGCGGCCAGCAAGGCGCTTGAGGCAGCTGATGGTGTTCTTGAGGTTGGAAATCTCCTGCGTCTTGGCGGCCTCGCCGATGTAGCGCGACTTGGGGCCGAAGCCTACCAGAGACCTGTTGTCGACCTTGTCAGCTTGAGGGCCGAGGGAGCGGGATGACAGGGAGGCTGGGGGAACGTACGGGGTAGCTCGGTTAGAAACTTCATTGGTGATCTAAAGGCGAGTTATGGTTAGAACGCTGCTTGGGGCAGCAAAGAAGGGGAGTTGCGGTACGCACCACGTCGACGCCGCGGTTTCTGGCGACGGCAATGACGGTCTTAAGGGTTCCGAAATCGACACCTGAAGGTCGCAATGGTCAGCAAAGGCTCGTGTAGGCCTCCAAACGGGGGGGTGCAAGAGGAGGAGCGGTATAGGGGGCCGCGATGCTGGGAGCGAGGAAGGGAGGGAGGGGTGAAGCCATACCCACGACACTCATTGTTGCTGCTTGTCTCGCTGGCTTGCCCCGCGATGGCCGGTGATGTAGATTCGTCAAACGTCCTGAACGGGTTCGTTGGGAGAACGGCCGGCGCGCACGGAAAAGGGGGGCGTCGGGCGATGGATCGGTCGAGGTCGTGAAGGAGCAAATGCAACGAACGCAGCAGACGTCTAGATGCTCGGGGCGAGGGAAGAGTATGTAAGGTTGTATGGTAGGGCCAAAAAATTCTCTGTCGGGTGCGAACAAGGCCAAGCTCGGGCAACGGAGGGGGAGGGATGTGTGGATGGATGGATGGGCGTTGGGCGGGGGCGGGCGGGTAGCGACACACACTGCCTGGCTGGGCTGGGCTGGGCTGCTGGTGCTGGTGCTGGTGCTGGTGGGCGGTGTGTGAGGTCAGAACCTAGGTCGAGTTGCTGGTGGTGGATTGCTCGGAATTACAGCGCTGGATGGCCAAAAGGCAGGCGGCCGGGGCTGGCAAACAACCCGCTATAAAAAGGGCTGCGGCAGCTGCGAGGGAACCTGGAACCTGTAAGAACCTGGACAGCGCAGCCCCAGGCAGCGCCCGACGCCTGCTGTTCACGAGACGAACTTCTCGGCAAGGGTACCTGCGGCCGTCGCGGGGCAGACCTGGCGGGGCTGTACCTCCACCCGCGACGCCACCGCCAGACGGTACCTCCCTGGCCGTGCCCCGCCATCGCGGCCAGAGGTACCCCGGCGCTTGCTGCCAAGAGACCCTTCGCAGAGTTGTGCTTCGTAGAATGCCGCAGAATTTTCCAGAGCCTGCTCGCTGCTTGCTTTCCCGCCCTTCCGCCCACTTCCAAAAGCGGCCTTTCCTCGTCTCCCCCCCAGTGCAGAGCAAGCAATTCGTCATGGAATCCGCAACGAGCCGGCCTGGCATGGACCGCTGGCCCGTCAATCGTCGATAGTCCGCCAGCCAAGGACCGCGCCCTGCGTCTCGTGCGCTTGGCGTGGAGCTGTCAAACGGCGGTCTATACTTCGTACGAAGTAGCAGCTTGTGATATGGCCATCCCCTGTTGCTGGTCCCGTGGTTCCTCCATACTACGCCCATGGGATATACAACCATGTCGCCCTCACTCGTTTTGCCAGCCCTGCTTCCCGCCAGATCCCCAGCGAGTACATAATAGAACCAGCCAGTGCACCACTCGCTTCGGCCCGCAGAAAGCCTCAATTGCGTTGTGCCGCCTGTGTCGCGGCCTCAGTCGTGTCCTACGTAGTCATGTCCTACTGACACATATCGCCATGCCCCCGATGTTGACTATCCCACGTGCCCCGGTGACATCGTAGTTACGTTCATTACTTCAATTGCAAGCCAGCGTGTAATATTGGCAGCGGCGGCGGCGACGACGACGACGATGATGATGATGCCACAAGATTCAACAGCCACCAAGGTCCCTCCCAAGCTATCGATATACCAACTCGCACCGCCAGATGGGCAGCCACACACACTGTACCAGATGGAAATAACGCCATGTCCTTGAACAACCCACGCCGCTGTATCGTACCATACACCTCGAAGGCGTCATTAATCTGAACAACAGATACCCAGTGACTCGTAACAAGCTTTTTACTTCTGCTTGGTGACATCTTCGTATTCCACCTCCGAAGAGTCTCGACGCTCCTGAGCCAGCGGCACTCTCTCCGGTTCCAGCTCGCGCACAGAGTAATATCCCAGCTCGACATCTTCGTCGTGGCGATGGAGCTGCGCCTGCTGGGCAATCGCGTATTTGCGACGGTCCTCTTCCCCCATGAATCTGTCGACCGCGACCGCCACGTGCGGAGCCTTCTCTTCTGTGCGAGTCGTGTTGAGGCTGTCGAGGGAGTCGCGCCAGTCGCCAGTCCAATACGACAGTTGCGTCGACGACGCGCCCATGAGCCCGGTGCTCGCCTCTGACTCGTCCGTGTACGCGTACACACCCGTCGCCATCTTCTGCCTGGCCGAGAACTTGCCGTCGATCTGGTCCGGCGGCCTGACCACGCTGACCTTGCGGCCCAGCCCGCTGCCCGACGACTGCAGCCGTTTGCTGGCCGCTCTCCGCGCCTCCTGTGCCGGCTTGAACGACTCGGGCACCACGTTGAGCTCGTCTCCCTGGGCCTCTGCCTGCTCGGCCGCCTCACGCGCCGTCGTGTTAGTATCGGCCGCCGCAGCGTCCGCCCTCGGCCCTCCCCAGGTCCTCTGACCCGCAGTGAATATCCCATAAACCATGTAGTACCAGTTGAAGAACGGGTTGAGCACGAACATGAGCGGGTACAGCCAGATCTTGAACCGCCTCAACTTCGCCCCAAAGTAGAGCATGAGGAGCCAGTTGAGACCCAGCGAGACGGCAATGAAGCCCACGGGCAGGTTGTCCACCTTGACCACCGTCGTAAGCAGGGCCAGCACCATGATGAAGAACAATAGAGCGGTTGTCCGGATCGTGTTTTGCATGAAGCGGACGATGATGAGCGTGGGGTATCGCTTCCATAGTCGCCAATCCGTGAGCATGCACACTTCGTTGGTGATGAAGCCAAGGAACCATCGGCGCCGTTGCTTAACCAGGGAGCGATAGGTCTGCACGGCCTCGGTTTTGCAAAAGGCCGATGTGCACATCTGGATCTGATGGCGCTTCTTGGCGCCAATCATGAAGAGATGTGTGAGCCATCGGTCCTCGCCCAGGTGACATTTGGCAAAGTCGAAGAGGTCATCACACTGCTCAGCCTTGTCCGCAAAGTAGTACTTGGCCATTCTCCTAAAGGCCGAGAACCGGAGCATGGTGAGCGCCCCGGGAAGACACGTCACGGAACCGCAACCGGATTCAACGGTGCGCTCGAACAGTTGCCCGTGTATGTACTCCATGTCTTGAAGTAGCGTGATGATGCTGTGCTTGCGAGTCGTTGACGTGATGATGCCCGTCATGGCGAGCATGTCCCTTGAGTTGCCAGGGCTGAGTTCCATGTCGTAGACAAAGTTCTGCAGACACACCTTGTCCAGGATGCAGTCCGAATCGATGAAGAGGATGAAGAGGTTGTCGTTCCTCTTCAAATACTGGGCATACACCCTGTCTATGAGCTTAAAGGTCGACTTCTGGCAGTGGCGCTTGCCGCCGTGGGGGAAGCGAGAAATGGTGATGCGCGCAGCCTTGTATGTCACGTCAATACTTCTAGGATACGTTCCCATGGTCGTAGGCACGCCGAGCCTTTCCAACGTGCTGAGGTAGAGCTCGTCCACTTGATCGCCGTCGAAGGAGAGGAAAACATGGATGCAGGCGGGCGGATAGTCGCAGTCGACGACGGAGTTGATGGCCGTTACCAGGACATCGGGCTCTTCGCGGTAGCACGGCATGACAATGACCACTTTGGGGGCCGTAACATCGTCGAGAACGCGCTTGATGCGCTTTGTGCGGCCGAGTTGGTTTGTGACGAGCTGGTATACGCAAAAGAGCCACGGAACGGTCAGGAGGATCGCGAAGCTCCAGAAGGCGAACCACTGCAGGAAGGAGACGACGGCGGGTGGCCAGATCTTGGTGATCTGGCTCGGCAGCGGCAGTGTAACTACCATGATCGGTAGGAAGATGAAGCTGCAACCCGGACATTAGCTTCGCCTTGGGCACCAAGGTTCCTGGGGCCGCCGCTGCGAAGAACATACCGTAGCAGGGCGAAAGCAAGGCCGACAAGGAAGCAGAGCACACGTATAGACCAATGTTCGGCCTTTCGGAAGACCTTGTATAGACAGTACATGAAAGCAGCGAGCCAGAGGAACCACTCAAGACAGGCCATCAACATGACGACGCCGACAATGGACGTATAGACAATCTGCACGCGCCGTGTCAGGATCCGGGACGTCATATGGCAGCGACGAGGCTGGAAACAGTCGTGGCGGAGGAGAACCTACGTCCTTTACGGGCCATTCGCTGGAGAGCGCCATGGTGAAGCAACTGAGGCGCTGACGGCCAGCACCACGAAACCTTGGACTGAGGCGTGTGGTGAGGGTGGTGGTCGCTGGTGAAGCTGGCGGCGCAGCGGCGCCCGCAGAGGTGCGTTTCCGAGGCTCGAGGAGAGCAAGAGCAAATCGACAGGACGGCGCATACAGACTGCCACAAGGGGAAGGATATCGATTTTCTCCCCCCCTCTCGCGCGCGCAGCGTCGCACACGTCCTTTGGGCACGGGCCCAATACGAGGTTCGAGCTCGGCCCTTGTCGTTTGTCGTGCGCAGCGCCTGCTGCACCGTGCTCCGCCAACAGGCCCGCGAAACAGCGGCGGTCCCCGTGCGCGGCAGGGCTCGGGGGTTTTGGGGGGGCAAACGACTGGGACGGGCGAGGAGAGAGAAGGTGCAAGGAGAAGATGCGGGTGAGGTGGTTTGGTAGGCACAGCACTGCATAGGGAGCTTCCTGTAAAGCGCCGGCAGTGCAGCAAGGACCACCTAACGTATGGATGGAGCAGGGCAACGGCACAGCACTCGGTCGGCCAGATTTTTCGAGCTCCTTTGCCTTGCCTTGGGCGTGGGAGGAAGTCGCGACCGCTGGCTGCCACGTGCCCGACCACAGGATGCATGTTTCACACATTACGGAGTACGAGGCGGCCAGAAGGAAGTGCTACATGATTGCTAACGCATACGAGGCTGGGCTCTGCTGCGCTGCGCTGCAAGGGAAAGGGGAGAGTGCGGCTGCCCGAAGCCCTTAAGCGGTGTCGGGTGTCGTCGCAGTCGGGTGCTGGGCCGGCAGTGCTGAAACCGACTGCTGTCCTGCTGTACAGTACTGTACAGTATACGAAGTAGGCATTGAAGGCATCCAGAGACGTACCTAGGTAAGTTACCGTTACCTACTTGGTACCGATCAGCCGAGGTGATACGTACATACTAACTCACGCAACAAGTGTGCGGTGCTGCGCAGCACAGGCAGCGACGGGGGTCCCTTTGGCTGTAACGTAACCTAACCTCCTCACTTCACCTCCCATCCCCTGCACATGGCTACCTACGTACTGCACGCACTTCAGGTGCATTGCATCTGCGTTCGCTTGCACAAGTGAATGTCGCCGCAAAGGGCCAGGCCGGCCCACAGCCATCACGCCGGCCCGGCCCATCATCCACCAACCAAGCCAACCGGCCAACACCCGACGGCATGACACAACACGGACACTATCCTAAACAACCGCATCGCCCATCCTAGGCAAGGTACTTGCTACTACTGTACGGACCTACTTCGTACTGCGTACCCTACAGCACTGTTCTGTACTTGTAGTATGGACGCGCGGTAACATTCCCCCCAACCATCCGCGCCCGCGACAGTTGGACGGCCCCGGCCCGCAGCCAGTTCGGCAACGGCAACCGTCCCCCAACACAGTCGGCACCGTCCTCGACTAAAAATAGTCTGCCTCGCTGCCTTTGCCTCCCTGCTCGGGTCCCGGCCATTGGCTCCCAGCCCCGCGGCATATATAGCCCCACGGTGCGTCCGTCTCTCAGCGTCCACCGAGGCTCGGTGGAACGGCCATTCTTGGTCGGCGCTCCTCACCCAGTCCGCCGACAGCCTTTCAAGTCTCTCAGTGACGTGGCACCCGCTCTGCGGGGCTTTCAGCAAGCCAACACCACAACAAGATATTATGTAGTGATACTCGCTGAGCAATCGAAGTCCGCATCGGCAAGAGTACCGTCAGGCCAGGCCTGCGCCGGAAAGTGGGGTGGTGCTGCGCCCTGGCTGAGGCAACGGCTTCCGCCAGCCATTTATTTACCGTGGCCAAGCGTCTTGTATGCGTCAGTCGCGCCATTCTTGCCTTGTCTCACCAGTCGACGTCGCTCAGCTGCAGTTTCCGAACCCTCTGGCCACGATCCTTACTCGGCCGTTCAACTCGGTTATGGTAGAATGTCGACGGCCGTTCGTGAGCTGCATCCGACGGGTTAATCAATACATCTGGAAACAGCAAACACCATCCGCCGGCGACTCACGCTCTTGATCCTCGCTCTGTTGGAGATCGTAGTTGAGGACCAGATTCTTGATGCGTTGCTGCTCTTCCTTTTCCGCCTGTTGCTGCGTCTTCATGGCAATCGCCAACGTCGAGTCCGATGGAAGTTCCACCGTCCGCGTCTATTCCCGCATTAGCCATCTATCGTAGCGGGCCATGAATCTTGCACGAACCTGTTGGCGGTTGCCCTTCTTGGTTAGCAGTGCAAACGCCATGGTGCTGCTGCTCGCAGGCGGCGCTTCCTCGCTCTGCGGGCCCGCCGCCGAGGCTTCGCGGTTCTTCGGCCGAACCGGAAGGGGCACATCGAAGAGCGGTTTGCGCTCAAACTTGCGCGACTCGAGGCTTTCGGCCATCATCTTGGCATACTCCCGCTCGAAGTCAGCGTCGTCCTCCGGGTCGACCGTCTCCTCCTGCCGCGTGACCACAATCGCCTCGTCGTTGAAGTCGCTGTCATGGACAGATTCGTCGTCGTCGTCCTGCTAGGATGCTTGTCAGTCTTGCGAAACCCAGATCCGCCAGTGGGAGGAGGGGTGGCCAACTTCGACCTCGTCTTCCTCCGAGGCGCTCTCGTCCTCCCCATCGCCGTACGGCTCGACTTCGTCGACGTCGCCGTTGTCGTCGTCCGATGAGTCTCCGCTAGACACATCATCCGGCTCGGCTTGCTTGTCTGCCCCTGCCGTCTTCTGGTCCTGGGCGATGGCAAGCTGGAAGGCCTTGGCCGCCTCCTCCAAACCAGCGACCATCTTCCACTGTGGCCGCGTGAGCGCGAAAATATCTTGTACGACGAACTCAATTTCCATGGGAAGTGAAGCCTTGGTGAACACGTAGTACTGTTTGCCGCTGTCAGGTCTTGCTAAACCGGGGCAGCGGCGTCGCGTCTACATACCTGAAAGAAGGAAAGAAAGTAATCCAGCTTCTTCCCCGCAGCCCCACGATTGAAGAACATTCCGCATGTCTCCAAAACGGTGGCGACAAGGCGGATGCGGAAGAAGTCGTCTGGGGGATCAAACGCGTTGAAGCGACCGGGTACGGGCGGTCCTCCTGAGCTTGTGTCAGCCCAGCCACGAACGCAGTTCACGTTAATGCTCACCGTAGCCAAAGGTCATGATCTTGTATAGCGTGTCAAAAATTACAGGATGCTCCAGCATGCGGTAGTTGTAAAGCTCTCCGAGGTACTTGACTTCAGCGATGCGACGCTGGAAAAACCGGAAGTCGTTCACCTCGAGGCCGAAACTGACGGACTCAATCACGTTGTCGACAACCTTGACCACGAAGTCGGGGTGGTAGCGATGGAGGGCGCTTAGCAGGATGCCAAGGAGATGAATGTTCCCGTACTTAACCTTGCCCGGCTTCGAGAAGACCTTTTCAAGGATTGCTACGACCTAACGACACCGTGGTGGTTAGCTTAGCTGTCGAGGTATGGCACGTCGAGCTCAGAATGCACGTACATCGGCTTCTTCCCAATGAAGCCTCCTGATTTGCTTCAAAACCTTGCCATAATTCCTCTTGGTCAGGTCTGTGTAGACGAGCTTGCGAACAAAGAGCTCCATTGGCGTTCGCTCTTCCTGCTCAATGGCAGGCCGCTCCGGCGGGTCAACGTAGTACACGGCATTGTCAATCAGCATCCTTTCCGGCTGTCCGATGTGTTGAACAGATTTCTTGCGTTGCAGCGTCTCGAGGAAGCTGGCCATTCGTGGGGCGGTATCCGGATTCTTGAGCAGATATCGGCCGCAGTTTTCGATCAAATTGCAGAGGATCTCGATGTTCATCCGCGAAAAGTCGTCGAGGCTAACCTTCAGGCAGTGGAACACAACGTGCTCAGGCACAGCGCCAAACTTGGTAAGCTCTGCCAGATATCGGATATTGCTTAGTCGCACTTGGCCGAGAAAATCTTTGTCCTTGCGGCGTTGCAAGCTGCGAAACTCGGCATCGAGGTACTCGACCAGCCCCTTCGGAACATCTGACATATATCGGCCCAAGGTAGCAACAAGGCGGGACCAAGACGGAAGCAGGTCGCTTCTACCCTTGGGTACTTCGGTCAGGGCCTTGACCAGCCGGTTGCGCGACGCCTTGGAGTTGAGAAAGCAAAAGTCGACAGCAGTCTGGTCGATGGCGTCTTTGTTCGTGAGCTCCGGAAGTCGGGCTAACAAGGCATCTACCTGCGCTCCAATCGTCTTGTTTGCGATCGCCGTGGACTGGTCATCGTTTACTTCCGCCTTGGTAGAGTCAGAGCCTTCGGCCGGGTCGACCTTCCTGCCGACTTGATCATCGCCATCCGATTTCTTCTTCTTGCCATCCTCGAGAAGGATAGGCGGGACCTTGCCTTTGAGATCTACAAGATTTTCGTAGAACCGCCGTTCATCTTCGTCTGCCCAGATGCCTGGACCGTCGGCCATGGAGCGAAGGTAATCACCCGTCTTGACCAAGCCAATAGAGCCGCTTGACGTTGCAAGAGGATCCTCTGCATCTTTCAAATCAGGCATCTCGGCACCGATGGCGTCGGCTACGACCTGTGCGTTCGAAACCAGCCGGTCCTGTGCCTTGACAAGCTTCTCGTAGCTGGCCTGGCGGTCTTCAAAGACCTCGCCCGACTTGACGTAGGCTTCAGCGTTGCGCCGGGCTTGAGACTGGATTGATTTTTGATCGCGAACAATGTGAGCTGTGACGTCGTCGAAGTATCGCTTCAGAACGGATCGAAAGCGGTCGGCGAGGTCCGGGGGGGTCAGAGGCTGGTCGCTCGCGTTCGCCTCGGTGTTCCCGTCGGCGTCCTGAGAGCGGCCTGCGCTCAATGTACTGGCCATGCCATCTTCCTCGACTGTCTTGCGGCCATCAGCGCCTGCAGCCTTGACCCCGAGAATGTCCCAGCTGAAGGCCTTGACGAAGACGACAAGCAGAGGCAGGTTGGCGTGTTCGCGGTCGTAGCCCAAGAGGTCCTTGAGCACTTCGAGGGGAAAAGGCTCGGCACCGCCAGTTGCCTTGCCGGCACCGCTCCTCACTTTGAGCTCTGGAACCTTACCAGCGGCGCCCTTGGTTGTGTCATCGGGCTTGGTCGCATCGTCGAGTGTTCTCAGAACGGCCACGAGCCAGAGCTCGGTGATGACGCGCAGCAGCGCCCGCTGTCGGGTGATGCGCTCCTTTTCCTCCTTCTCACGAGCCTCTGGGGACAGTGTCTTGAGAAAGCTCTTGTCGGGAGTGGCCATGCCCTTGCCGAGCAGCCAGGCGAGGTATTCCGTGAATTCGGCCGGACCGAAGCGCTGGTGGAGGGCGCTGACAATTTCGACACCGGCGTCGATTTCACCTGGAGACTTGAGCTTGCAGAGGCCCTCATAGCATGCCGAGATGATCTCGGACAGATACTTGTGCAGGCTCAGGGTGCGGATCTCCTGGAGGAAGGTGGGCAGCGTGGCGGCGGTGACGGCGGTACGCAGTCTCTTGATGAAGGCCGTGTTCTTCTTGAGAGAGGAGTCGAGCGAGCCGCTGACGGGGAAGACATCTAGGTGGAGATGAGCATGTGCGCAAGCAGAGCATGGCGCACTGGAGGAACGGGGGTGATTACCTTTTTCGCCGCTCCAGGCTCTCTCGTTGAGTGCGCGAAGTTCGCCTAGAGGCAGGGGGGTCAGCGTCGACAAAGGCGTGAGGAGAAGCGACGGGCGACTCACGCTTCCGTGCGCGATCCATGACGGCAGCGCGGGCCGTCTGCTGAGAGAGCGGACGGGTGGTGGGTGGTGGTGAAGGAATTCGAGTGCTTCGTCACATCGGGCGCCGGGCCGCTAGGGGATGTACTGGCCCAGGAAATGGTATTGCGGTCGGGCGAGATGAGCCAGCATCGGTGCGGATGGTTGCTTTGCGGCAGCACGGGGCGTGCGGGCCAGTGACCGAGGGTGCGCGGTTGGCGGTGCGGGTGGTGCTTTGACGATGATGGAACTCTTTCCGGCAGCCAAGTGCGGGTGCGGTTGCGAGGTCAAAAGTCGGAGTCCGGACGGAGCAGAGCAGCAGCAGCAGCCCGCAGCCGTCGCCGTAGGGGCAGCAGGTGGAGGCGGCCGGCGGGACGGCGTTGGCGTGGGGTAAACCTGCCCGCTGCTGGAAGGGCTTGCCAGCGGGCGGAAAGCGAAAGTGGAGGGGGGGGTTCCAGGTTGTGCTTGAAGAGCCTGAAGCTCAAGGACCTACATCTACCGGTGGATGGAATACGTCTTCGAGACTAGCACACCGCGGAGCTACTATATGTACTAAGATATCTAGCAGGTACTGTATAGCAGTGTCAAGCCTCCAATTGAACCTCGCGCGCTGGGGGAAGAACCGTGGAGGGGCCCAGTGGGCTACGGGCAGTGGAGCGCCTACTCGAGCCCTGGAGCGATGCCTCAACGCCACTGACCAGCACATGGAACACCGCTTTGTTCGTGTACGCTCGCCATAATCCCAAGTTAATAATACCAAGTCGGCAATGACGTCGAACTGCTTGATACAGATATCAAAAACTCCGTACAATATAAGTTCGGTTCCACCCATTGCATGCAACCTTGGCCTGCGTCGCAAGCTGACCCGTAGGTAATGAACTCTTCAGCTTTCCGGCTGCTGAACGGTAGCGGTCCGAAGTCCGGACTGACCTCTTCATGGGTGCGCTTGCCAGGTCATGTGAGGAAGGAACAGGCGAGCACGGACTCACTGCGCCTCGACCATTTGAAACCCTGAAGGCGCAACTCTTGTTGTTCAGGCATGCGCCTTCACATTGGCAAACCACGGCTTCCTGGCTTCGGCGCAGCGCCATTCCGACTGCTGCCGCCGCTGCCGCTGCCGCTGCCAGAGACTTGACGACTTGTTCTGCTGCGGCAGGGCGTTGAGAGTCGAAGCGACCACTTTGCACTTGGTACATAATACCTTCCCACCAACCGGCCGGCTTCGTCGAGTGAACCTACTGCAGACCGGACGCCGAACAGCTCTAGGACGCGAGGCGGTGGGCCGCCAGCCTTCCATGCAGAGCCTCGACAATTGCAGGTCTGGAGTCTCCTCCATGTCCTCATCCACTCCCTGCCTCACAGTCGACGTGCTCTTGGGTTGGGCGTGCACTAACCCCGTACCGCGGCAGTCGAAAAGCACAGAACAGCAAGATACAGTGTTGCGCCTCATGCGGCCCGCGAGCCAGCTCGAAGCCAGCCGCCTGCTGCAAAGCTTTGCCGCGTCTGTTCCCGAGGGCGTCCGTCCCTTTATAGGTACAGAACAGCGCAAGAGCATCTCACAAGTGCCAAGTGCGCCGTCACCGCGGCTGCTCACATCCACACGCTCGTCAGGCACACCCGGGTTTGGATGTGGCGCATTGCGGCGGGACATTCCGAGCCCCCCCCCAACACGCGAAAAGGCTGCAGGAATCTCCCCTGTTGGTCGGCACTGGCACCGATGGGCAGGGATGGCGGGGATGTCCCGAACAAACGACGCATTGGCTCTGATAAGGCTCCCGTTGGCCCAGCGCCACAAATCCCGTCCTGCTCGCACATCTCTCGGCCTGCTTATCTTCCCCCGTCTTCCCATGATAAGACCGCCTGCATTCTCGACGTTGCCATTGGCCTCGAATCAATGATCCATTTGATTCGAGAGGAAGAGGGCTGTGCCCTGTCACGAGCGACTCGACCCGAATCGCCAGACAGGGCCTTCACGTGTGGCAGCCCCCAAGCTACGTATAGGAGAGGGATGCTCCCACGGCATCGCGGAAGACATCGCCACCGGGCGGACCTTGCCGCGGTGGTCTTGCCATCAAGATCGTCGCCTCCGACACAGGCGATACCAACCAGCACAAAGTAGCATCGTGTGTCAACATGCTGAGTCGGGGCCCGGTTCCAGACCTCCCCATGTCTCGCAAACTGTCCGCTCGCCCTCACGGCAAGGGCCCCTCCGGTAGTATTCCGCGGCCCGTATTGCCCGGTGACCCGGCGATGGCATCAAAGGATCCCCGGAATTTGCCCGTCTGGTGGACTTCCCTGTGAGATCTACTGCACTGTCACGGCCGCCTGTGCTATCCTGGGCCCCGTACGAGCAATCCGTGCGGTATTCGAGCCCCCTAGTCTCGAACGGCGCATCTCCGCTGAGATGTTAGACTCCTTATCTGGGCCCTCAAACGAGTCGCGCCACTCCCGAACCAGCTATCAGTAGCCTCCGCGGAAGCCTTCAATCCGCTCACGACCGCTTCGCGCCGAGTGGCCGGCTTGCGACGCCCGAGTAGAGCTCTGCCGCCTGCGGAATGCTGCTCGTGTGCAGCCGCTTCGGCAACAAACGCCACGTAACTTATATACGTAGTAGTATCGCTCCGGAGGGCCTTGCGTCGCAACCCCAAGTTTTTGTATCAGGCACTGTACGTTGCGGAACTGTAAGAGTGCTTGCTGTGCATGAACACGGAGCTCCCTCATTACGGCCCGTCTCTTCCCTCCGTGGGCCTCGTCATCGTCGGCCAGACTCTTACCAGACCCCGTCTACGGTACAATACTAAGCCTTCGCGATGGCCTACGATCCTGCAAAGGCGACTGGAAATGCTTCGTGGAAGCATTTCCAGTTCCCCCCTAGCCCTCCGAGTACCGCAAAGCCCTCCAGGAGAGGCAGCTTTGACGGGTCATACACTTCGCTTGCATCATTGGCACTCTCCTTCTCCTTGGAGTCGACCCTACCCTCACTGTCTTCTTCTTCATCCTCATTATTTTCAACCTCTTCATCCTTGGCGCCCGGGAACGCTTCCGAAAGCCACTCAGATTACCCCCTACCGCCAGCAAACGGCGTGAAACAGGTCCTGGTCGAGGACCTCAAGACCCCCGACAGCCACGTCGAGAGAGACCCGAGGCTCATTCGTCTTACCGGTGTACACCCTTTCAACGTCGAGCCCCCCTTGAGCGACTTATACGACGAGGGTTTTCTCACCAGCGAAGACCTCCACTACGTACGTAACCACGGACCCGTCCCAAAGTGTGACGACCAGGACATATACGACTGGACCTTCACCGTCGAGGGCATGGTCGCCAAACCCTTCACCATCAGCGTGAGAGACCTCATCGACAATTATGAGCAGGTCACATACCCTGTCACCCTGGTCTGTGCCGGAAACAGACGCAAGGAGCAGAACCTCGTCCGCAAGTCCAAAGGCTTCTCATGGGGTCCGGCCGGCCTGTCCACGGCGTTGTGGACTGGGGTGCCCATCGGCGACCTCATCGCTCGGGCCCTGCCAAAGAGAGGCGCCAAATACGTGTGCTTTGAGGGCGCTGACAAGCTGCCCAACGGCTACTACGGCACGTCAGTCAAGCTCAACTGGTGCAGGGACGTGAACAAGGGCATCCTTGTGGCCCATAAGATGAACGGCAGCGTTCTTCATCCCGACCACGGCAAGCCCGTACGCGTCGTCATCCCGGGTCAGATCGGCGGCCGTAGCGTCAAGTGGCTGAAGCGCATAATTGTCACGGCAGAGCCCAGCGACAACTGGTACCATATTTACGACAACCGAGTACTGCCCACCTCCATAACTCCAGAGGCCAGCGCGGACTTGCCAGAGACATGGAAGGACGAGAGCTACGCTATTTACGATCTGAACGCCAACAGCGCCATTTGCTACCCGGCACACGACGAGACAGTCTCTCTAGCAAGCGGCGTCGACACGTACAAAGTACGGGGGTATGCGTACGGGGGCGGCGGTCGACGCATTACCCGAATGGAGGTGACTCTCGACAAGGGCAAGTCGTGGAGGCTAGCCGACGTGCGGTACCCGGAGGATGAGTACCGGCTGGCTCCTGAAGGGGAGACGCTCTACGGCGGGCGGCTGGACATGTGGTGGCGAGAAACGTCGTTTTGCTGGTGCTTCTGGGAGCTCGACATCGCCATGACGGAGCTTGAGGACGCTCAAGACATTATGGTTCGTGCCATGGACGAGGGGCTAATGGTTCAGCCGCGAGACATGTACTGGAGTGTTCTCGGCATGATGAACAACCCCTGGTTCCGCGTCGTCATCCACAAGGAGGGAAATTCCCTGAGGTTCGAGCACCCGACACAGCCGGCTCTCATACCAGGCGGGTGGATGGACCGAGTCAAGAAGTCGGGAGGCAATCTGACCAACGGCTTTTGGGGCGAAAAGGTATCCGGCGAGGACGAGGATGCCATTGAGGAGGAGCCGGCCAAGGAGATTTGCATGACCAATCCCAAGGTGGACAGACTCATCACCTTGGACGAGTTGAAGCAACATGGGGGTGACGCAGAGCCGTGGTTTGTCGTAAACGGTCACGTATACGACGGTACGCCGTTCCTGGAAGGCCACCCAGGCGGTGCTGCTTCAATTTTTGGAGCTGCCGGACAAGACGCCACCGAGGAGTTCGTCACTATCCGTACGTCCCCTATATCCATTAGTCCCCGTGGTGTGCGCAAGAGAACTAACGCTTGACACCCGTCCAGACAGCGAAAATGCAAAGGCAATGATGCCCGACTACCACGTTGGGACGCTGGACAAGGACGCACTGGCCACGCTCTCAGGAGAAGTCGAAGAGACGGACCCCTCGCGGGGCGTGTTCCTCGATCCCAAGGCCTGGACGAAGGCCGTCCTGCAGGACAAGATCAGAGTCTCGGCGGACAGCAAAGTGTTCCGCTTCAAGCTCGACCACGAGGACCAGCAGATTGGTCTGCCGGTCGGCCAGCACCTAATGATGCGGTTGCGCGACCCGGCCACTCGAGAGGCCATCATCCGGGCATACACGCCCGTATCCGAAGGCACCGACAAGGGCATCCTAGACGTGCTCATCAAGGTCTACTACGATACGCCCGAGCGCAAGGGCGGCAAGATGACGCAGGCCCTCGACGCCCTTCCCGTGGGCCACTTCGTCGACTTCAAGGGCCCCGTGGGCAAGTTCGAGTACCTCGGCAACGGGCTCTGCAGCGTGGGCGGGAAGCAGCGCAGCGTGCGCCGCTTCAACATGGTGTGCGGCGGCTCTGGCGTCACGCCCATCTTCCAGGTGCTCCGGGCCTTGAGCAAGGATGTCCAGGATCCCACCGAGTGCGTCCTGCTCGACGGCAACAGGGTCGAGGAGGACATCTTGTGCCGCGTGCAGCTCGACGCCTTCCTCGACTCGGCCAAGCACCGCTGTCGGCTGGTTCACACCCTGACGCAGCCTTCGGATACGTGGACTGGCCGCAGGGGCCGCATGGACAGAGCCCTCGTCGAGGCCGAGATAGGCCCGTGCGAAGCGCCGGGGCGAGACATGGTGCTCATCTGCGGGCCTGAGGCCATGGAGAAAAGTGTTCACGAGATCCTCACAAGCTTGGGCTGGGCAGAGGACGACATTCTCTTCTTCTAGTGAGAAGTGTTATTTTTTTTTTGGGGCAAGACTGTCGCACGATACCACTACTGTAAGTAATGAAGCGAGACAAAGGAAAATGGGCACGGGGGCATATACACACATTGGATAGACATTGCACAGCGTAACGAATGAATGACATGGTTGATGCGGCTGTCGCTCAACGAAATAGTAATCAAACATGGCCGCAAACATGCAGTGTATTCCAGTACCGCGACGTTGTTCAGCGTGTATTATAGCTCCACTTCAAGTACAGAAAGTTCTGCCTCGCGCCCGCATCCAATATGACGCCGAGTCCCGCAATGTCTATCATACCATGAACATGCCGTATATGCCCTTTCAGTGATGCTTTCGGTCTTGTGCTCAAAATCCACGCAGCTCCGAGGCGCTCTGCACCAGTGACTCCTCCGCTGACGTTGCTGCTCCCTCACGGGCTGTATCATCAAGTTAATGGCCTCCCTCGGCGCTCCCTCCTTCACTGTGCCCTGCGTTGCTGCCATGCCCCGGCGGATCCGGAGTGTGGAACGCAGAGACGGCTATGGCAACATAGAGAATCACCAGCAGGAAGCCCTCCAGGTAGTTGCTCTTCTGGTCCTGGAGGAAGCGGCCGACGGTGAGTATGGACAGGATCAGCATGACAAGGTTGAAGAGATCAAAATCCAGGTTCATGCCCTTGTTCAATCCCCAGCCCACAATGACCGTGAGCGGCGCATTGAAGAGTGCCGTCTGTAGCGTGGCACCCAGTACGTGCGAAAGCGCGAAATTGGTCTGGTTGTCCCACGCCTCGTCAATAGCCGTCAGGTGCTCTGCAAACTTCTCGACGAGCGGGACGAGGATCAGGCCCATGAAGGCATCCGAGACGTGGCCATCCTCAATGACGAACTCGATCTGCTGGATGAGCATGATGGCAATGAGCGTGGCCAGAGCTATCGAGATGGCCAGGGCAATGATGCACTCTGTCATGGTGAGTTTGTCCTTGGCCAGGTCCTTGTTCTTGTCGCGATCATGATGCTCATCGTGTTCGAACACCGCATCGTAGATGCCGTGGTGAGTACGCGCCTGGAAGAAGACGAAGACGCAGTACGAGATGATGAGCAGGACGGAGATTACGCGAGAGATACCGAGCACTCGTGAATCCGGCTCCAGCCCAGCCTGAGTCGGTTCGACAGCCATGCTAACGCGGAAGAAGGTAGGAACGCCAAGAACAACGCCACTTGTAATGCCGTCGTGTCAGTTTCAAAGTGAACCATGGCAAAGACATGGTATCTCATGAGAGTCAAGAACTTACGCGGTAAGCAGCAAGCCGCTCCCGGCTTCACTGATGGCGTCACTGAAGGTCTGCTCTTCCCGGTGTAAGCCTCCGACGAAGAAGCAGAGACCCAGACAGAGAAGCATAGTGGCGAGAATGGAGCCGAGGATGGCGGCTTTGATGACGTAGAAGAGGTCGGAGCGCAGCAGAACCATGAAAAGAATGATTTCAACGACGGATCCGCAGCTGGAGAGCCAGGAGCAAGGCGAGGCGTCGGTCAGCCACGGCAGTTCTGTATGCGGGGAGGGATTCAGAGAGACTCACGTAGTTTCGACGAGCACACCGGCAACGTGAGGCACTTTCCGGGCAAACTCCTGACCGGCGAAGCCAATTAGGTTTGCGCAGGGAACCATGGCGATGTAGGCGAGGATGAAGGTAAGGATGTGGCGTTCCGGCAAGGTATCTGCGAGGCCTTGTCAACGAACGAGGTTCTCGCTGCGTTCGCACACGTCTAGAGTCGCGGCACGACGGCAGACCTGTACTCACATCTCACGGCCAGAGCGGCCGGGACGACGGGCCAGAGGACATTGCAAACGGCACTGGCCTTGCTGGCCGACCGGAAGCCGATGCGGATAAAGTGCCAAGGATGAAAGCCGCGACGGCCACTCTCGCCGGCGGGCTTCACACTGAGAAACCTGGACTTGGATTTCCTCTCGCCGCCATCGCGAGGCCTGTTGACCTTGTACTCGTTGTAGGTGGTGGGAGCTGGGAGGGTGGCTGCGCGGCGTGCCGTCCGGATGTCATCGTCGCGGTGTCCGCGCGACCTGCGACTACGGCTGCGACTGGGCGAGGGCGGCGGAAGGCCAGCCGCCATGATGGCAGGTGGTCGTGGGGTGCTGCTCAGCGTCGTGCCGTGTCTCTCCTCTGCGGTATCGCGGCTCGCCGGAAAGGAATTGGGCTCGACGGCCGCCGTGTTACGGTCGACGATGACGGTTGATGCTTGAGTGAAGGCTTGTCGCCGGCGGAGCCCAACAGCCCACGTCGATGGCCGGGTGAGGGAAGCAGGCGGCCCGGGACGCAACGGCAAGGGCTAGGCGGGTGTCGGGCCGGGAACTGGTACTGCGAGCGAGGAAAGGGCAACGGTGACGACGGCGAAGACGACGGCGGCACACAAGACGAGGCGACGAATCCGACGCGGACCACCTCACGGCGCGTGCAAGACGACGGAGCGCAACAATCGCAGAAACGGCGGTCTGCTCGGGCGGCGTGCGGGCGCGAGTGTGTCACATTTTTTAGGGTACGGTACTTGGTGCGCCTGGGCTATATATGTGCACGAAGTACTCGCCGGCACGCGTTGCAGTCGAGCCCATTGACGATCGTCGTGGCTGGGCTGTGGGTTGCATGGTGGGTGTCCCAGTCCAGGTTCTCGGCAGGGCCCTGCTCTGCTGCATGGCTACCTTGGCACCACCCAAAACAAGAGCTGGGAGATGTGCGGGCCTGGGGACGAGGCCATTCCCTGGCTGGCTCGGCAGCATGGCGGCAGGGGTTGGGGATCCCAGGTCGTCTGTTGTGTTGGTGTTGGCGCTGGCGTTGGTATTGGCGCCGGCGGGATGGCCAGACGTGGCGCGTTGGTTGACGAGTCGATGTCGATGCAAGATGAAGACTACCTACGGGAGCCCAGCAGGTCGGGCAGGGACCGGGAGGGGGGACAGGCCCTTGGCCGAGTGGTGCGAGAGGGCAAGAGGGCAGGAGGTTCCCCGGTCCGCACCTTCCTGCAACTTTACGATGTACTGTACAAACGTACCTTCGTACATGCACGTACCTAGTAGGTTACTACACTACCAATTCTGCAGTGTCAATCCACCAACAGATGCCACGACACTCTCCGCAGAGAGCATGGCTCAAACGCAAGCTCAGCAATCTGGCGAGGGAACAGCTGAAGGGCAAGGACAGGCCCCTGCGCTCCCTCGACGGCGCAGCTGCACGGCAATCGCCAATGGCAGGCAGGCAAAGACTGCAGGCTGATGTCACCGGCCGGCGGGCCTTTTCATCTAAGCTTGTCCGCTAGCGCGACGAGACACGAGGAAGCAGGGCGCCGCGCAAAAGCCCTCGTCGTCATGGCCTTTCATTACTGTACTGTTGGTGGTAAAACAGCCGAACGCGCCAGCGCATGTGCCCAGTGCACGCTCGCCCCGTCTTGCTGTTTGTCGGGTGCCGCCGCGGCCTGCGCCATCCATGGCCGTGAGGCAACAAGACACTTGTTAGTATTGTGTCACCAGCAATGGCAGTGGCAGCGCATATACGGAGTATGCGCAGTCAGAAATCTACGAGCAGTCGTCCCTACTACGCACCTGAACCAGACTCGGGACCCTGCCAAGACGGCGGCGGCCCGCGACGTTGGAACCTTGGCGCCCCAATCCGTCCCATCCCGGCATGCACTCGTACTACGTACACAACATGTACGAAGTACTGCTACTCGGTGAAACGATTTCACTTATTACTCACTCACCTGCATTTCGTCTGCTGCCACGTACAGGCTATCACTAGTGCTTCGCAATCATTAACCTCTCCGCAGTTCATCCGCTGACGGCCGGTGGCTTGGCAAAATGTGGATCGCGCGTTTGAGGTGCTGGAGGCCGCCGTCTCACGGATCAAGTCAAGAGTGTTACAGACGAATGGACTCGCATGTTGAATTCAATTGCTGACCAAAGCCGGGCACGGCAGCATCCAGCTTCACAAACCCGCATGGCCTCATGCCACGTCCTCCTCTTCCATGGCACACACCCTTTGTGAGCCGTCAGCCGTCAGCCCATCGCTCAAAGCCTCCCATCATCTCCTCCTTCTCCTTCTTCTCGGCCGCCGCTTTCCTCTCGCGCTCGCCATGCCCAGGGGGTCCTGGCCGCCGCCCTTGGCCGCCCGCCGGTACCGGCTGCGCGAGAACCACCGTCTCGATGCCCGTCGGCATAAAGTCTTCAGGGCCCAACGGCAGTTCCTCCACGTCAATATCGAGGTTCAGCAGGCTTCGCAGCACCACCCGGCAACCGGCCTTGCTCATCACCTCGTTGGACTCCTTGCACATCTCCGACGCCACGCACTCGATGCAGCCCCGTTCGCAGTGGCAGCCCTCTACCCGCTGCAGCGCCATCTTCAGCAGGTGGTCGATGTGGTCGAACGCCTTGGTGCTGATGCCTGACCCGTTGGCGCCTCCCTTGGCGTCGTAAAACGTCAGTCTCGCTGGCCGCTTCCTCTGCGTTTCCTTCTTGGCGAACTCCTTGAGAGCCACCTTGCACTCGGTCCGCACGTCCTCAGGCATACTAATGACAAACGTCGGGAGCAGGCTCATGATAGCGTGCTCCGCCGCGTGGATCCCAGCCGCCGAATGAAGCCGCCGCGACTCGAGGATGTCAAGTGCCTTCTTGGGCACGTCCAACCACATGCCCTTGCTGTATCGTATCACCGGCGGGTTGTCCACTTGCACGGCGTCCAACACTCGCCCCTTCTTGTCCACCTTGAAGTACCCGAACACGTTTTGTTGTATCTTGATCGTGCCGTAATAAGCCTGCGACAGCGACGAAGGTATCCTGCGTATCGCCTCCGTCTCCGTCGGGTCAATGTCGGTGAAGTCGCGCTGCGTTGTCGTCCAGTCCACCTTGACCCTCTCCACTTTGGCCATGAGCTTGTCCGGAACAAAGTCCCGAACCAGGTAAGTGTTGCCCTGATGGAGGAATATGGCGCCGTCGTAGATTGTAAACGTCGCCCTCGACGCCTCCAGTTCCTCCAGTACCACATTTCTGCCGTGCGTGATGTCGATGATGGCGAAGTGATCGTCCTCGGTGTCGCGGATCGCGACGAAGCGTGCCGGATTGGGCCGAAAGCGGTCGTGGCAATGATAAAAGCCCATGTCGTCCTTGAGTAGCCTCTCTTTGCAGATTGTCGGAAGGTCGTCGCCAAAGAATTGAGAATCCTGCGCCGGCCGGATCGGCATCTCATACGCAGCACACTGAATGTGTCCTTCCCTCACCAGCATATTTTGTAGGTCAACGCGAAGCTCGCAGTTGGGTTTCGTGAAAAGCTCATCTGGATTCTGCATGTAATGCTGGTCCGTCGGAAAGCAGTCTCCAAGCAGAATCGACAAGGAGTCCTTGTTGCGGCGGCCGGCCCGGCCACTCTGCTGCCGTAGGTTGGCAATGGTATACGGAAAGCCCCAGGTCAAAACGCAGTCAAGGGTTCCGATGTCGATTCCCAGCTCCAGTGCCGTTGTCGCCACTATTCCTAGTAGTTTCCCTTCGAACATCTCCGATTCAATGCGTCGACGGTCGGGCGCAGTGTACCCGCCGCGATAGCCCATGACGAGATTGGTGCACTCTGGGCGGCCCAGATACTCAAGCTCCTGCTTGATGGCGTTGACCAACACTTCGCATTGCGCCCGGACGCGACAGAAAGCAATGATGCGAACGCCTCGCAGCAGGAGGGCGCAAAAGAGTCGAGCGCATTCAAACTTGGCGCTGCCACGCCCGCTGGCAGGATCGCCCGGATCTTTGAAGGGGGTGTTCCAGCACAGAAACTCTTTGCGGCCAGACGGCGAGCCGTCGTAGTCAATGAGTCGCACGTTGTCGATACCGAAGATGGTCCTAAAGTGTTCTTCAGGATTCGCCACAGTGGCAGAGCACGAGATGAATTTGACCCGTCGGTTCCCCACGGCGGCACAGACACGCCTTAGTCTCCGCATGATGAATGCAACATGAGAGCCCATCTGGCCGTTGTAATAGTGAAGCTCGTCAACTGCAGATGGTGTTGTCAGACCCAGAGGTGACGCGGGGGAAGCTAGACGAGCCTACTCACCAACCACGAACTTGAGATTTTTGAGGAATGTGCGCCATCGCTCCTCCTGGGGAAGTATCGTGACGTGAAGCATGTCGGGATTCGTGAAAATGATCCTCGCCTCTTCACGAATCGCGTTCCGCTCGCCCATGGGTGTGTCACCATCAAAAGTCTCGACGACCGTAGTCTCCAGCCCGGGCATGTATGCCAACATCTCTTTGAGGCTACGCTTCTGGTCTTGGGCCAGCGCTTTCGTAGGGAAGATGTACATTGCTCGTGAGTTGTAGTCCTCCTCAAGAGCATGCAGGATCGGGAGCTGGTAGATTAAAGACTTGCCGGAGCTCGTCGAGGTGGCCACGACGACATTGTGGCCATCATGAAGACCGTTGAGCGCCTCCGCTTGATGGGCGAAAAACTGAGCGATGCCTTTGGCGTTGTACAGCGCGTTCACCAAGTCCTGGCTGAGCAGAAAATTGAGGTCGCCGTAGATTGGTTGTTGCGGCTCGAACACGCGATGCCCGTCGGGAACAACCTGGCCAGTGTACCATGGACTGTCTTTCAGTTCCTGGACGATTTCGGGAATGCTCTTGCGCTCCTTGGGGATGCTTTCGGGTATTGAGCTGGGCGCCTGCTCAATAATTTCGTCTTTTTTGGGAGATGGCTTTGGAACAAAGGCTTGTGCCCGCTCCTCAAGCGCGAGGTCCGGGTCGAGGTTGTTCTCGGCGCAAGTATTTATGAAGATGTTGACTGCGTTGGCAAACCTCTGGTTTCGCCTCTCGATCAAGTCGGTCATTTGCTTCTGGCCATAGACGGGCATTTTCAGCTCCTCCTCGCGCAGTTTCCGGCTAGGCCGCGTTGGCTCGCCCGTCTTTTTGTCCTGAACTTGACGTTTGAGGTCCCCGTCGATGAACTCAAAAAAAAGTACCTCTCTACCGCCTGGAGCTGAACTGCGTTTGTGGTGCTCCTCGAGGGACTCACTACCGGTCCAACCTCCGACGGACGCATCGTGCGCCGGCGCCTGGGACCTGCCAGATTTCGACGGCTTGAAAGTGTCATCCCTCTCCGAGCCCTTGACATCGAGCTGCAGCATGAGCTCGTCGACGTACGCAAAACTAATGCCTTCGGGCCGCAAAGCCACAACCAGCGCGACCTCTTCGATCGTCAGCGGCCTCCCCAGGTGGGTCTCGACAGCGGGCCTGATGGTATCGAAGGTCGTAGCTAGGTGCTTCCGCGTGCAGCAGAACGTGAAGACTAAGTTGAGGGCGCGGTGCGTCTTCTCGAGAGACTTGAACGACGGCGGCCAGTCAATGACGCAACTGACCAGGTCGCTAGGCTCACGCTTCAAGCCAGCCTTGCGCCCGCCAGGCTTGGCATCATTCTTCTCTTTCGGCTGTCCTTTCGCGCGTTTGCTGCCCTCTGGGTGTTTCTCCCGCGCCGGTGGCTCCCCATCGCGGTGCTGTTCTTGCGGAGACCGCTTCCGCTTCGACGGCGGGATGTGGTTGTCTGGTTCAGAATGTGCTTCAAGGTCAGACATGACGCTCTAGCGGGAACATGGCGGCACAGCCAACCGATGCAGCGCAGACTAAGCCAGGATATGAAAGGGCACAAGAGGCACAGCAAGAATCATATCACATTGCCACGGCAGCGTGTGCGATAGAAAGGTTGGGTCGGCTGAGGACGTGACTCGTCGCCAGCCGCCACGGCTCGATCAGTCACGGAACTGGCGCCAAGTCACGTGTGTAAACCGATCCAGGAGACGACCAAACTTGGCAACGCAATACCTTAGTACTAATGTCAGTAATTACATGATAGGTACTTGTACGTGACGTACCACAGACTGCCTGAGAGCGAGCGAGAGTTCACGTGAGCGCCCAGCATCAACTTCATTCACTCTGCGGGAGACTCCTCTGTCACCAGTCGCCATCATGGAGTGAGTGCGCAGTGCGCACATACGGCTGCGGCGTGGGGCGGAACGGGCTCCACGGTCACTTGTAATAACTAACTTAATTACTGCAGCGTCCGCCCGCCACCCTGCCCCCACGGTCAACGGAAGTCTCGTATAGACGTTGGATGTAAAATGTAAACGTGGTAGATTTTTATATACAATCAGACCAGGCCATTGTACCTTTACTCCGGCCAGAACCCGCCCCTTTCTAAACTGGCAGACATGCAAGCAACGGCCGTGTATCCGTCTCCCTGTGCCAAATACGCCCGATCACTGATCTCTGAACCCGCGCCCCTGGCCTCTATCCTCCAGCAAAAGGGCGATCCCTGACGGAGAAGGAAATAATGGGTAGAAGGGGGGGGGGAGAGCACGCGACACATGACAGGTCCTCCAGGCCTGTGCGGCGCGCTCGCGACTTGGCCACGCTACTTAGTTTCCTCGGAGTTCCTTCTGCACCATGCCAATCTCGTTCATGAAGGTCCGGGCATTAGCAGCGGACATCTATGTCCTCGTTAGTCCTTGCGTGTGGCAGCATGCGCGAATGCCGGAAACCTGCCTTCATGGTAACGCTGACGGGTTTGGCCTCTGGGCCCTCAAAAGCCGTGAACAGAATGCCCACCGACTTCAACGACGCCTTTTCCTGGAATTGCATGGCGGGGACGATGGCCGTGTTCAAAATGACACGGTGCGTCTGGTCCTGCCGCATGAGAAGGCGAACCACCTTATGGCCACCCGCATCCTCCCCGGCTTCTTCGTCTGCCTCGAGGCCAGACGCATCGAAGCTGCCAGGCACGGGCGTTCCGTTGTTGTCGTAGTCGACACAGCTTCGAGGCACATTGATCTTGAGCATACCCGCTCCGCGCTCTTTCCAGCCGGTCTCCTTGTCGAGGCTGAACATCTTTGCTCGGACCGACACCACTGTTGCCTCTCCTGCTTCTCCATCGTCTACCTCGACTGTGGTCGCCCGGCCCTGCGTTACTAACCTGTGCTTGCGGTTTGGAGTGGGTGACGGGGAGTGGAGAAGACACTTACCTCTTTGAAGTCTTGTCCTCTTTTTATCGTCCGTCTCTTTTTCCGGAGACAGTGCGCGCTGTGCCGCATCGGTCTGGCCGTCGTCATCCACTTCATCTTCCTCGTCGCTTCCTCCTTCGCTGTCACTATCTGGCGCCCCGAACGGCTTCGAGGCCTTGGCGCTTTGGAGCGGCTTTCCTGACGAGACCCCGAAGCTGGACAGAGTTTTCGCTCCTGACAAGGCGGAACCGAATCCTCCACCGAGTCCGCTGCCAAACCCATTGGATGAGGAGAGTCCGGCAAAGGGGGAGGATCCTCCATTGCTGCCAAACGTCAGCTTCGGTGCAGCGGCCGCGGCTGCCGGTTGCGACTCGGACGATGGCTTCGCCGATGCAAAAGACGACAGAGTCGGCTTAGAGGACGATCCAAAAGCGGAGGGCTTGCCAGATCCAAAGGTCGCAAACGCCGACGTCCCAGAAGCCAGCTTCCCGAAACCCGACGCCGCGAATGCGCTTGCAGAAGTCTCGGGAGCCTTGTTCTTAGCAGGCTTGTCACCGCTATCGCTATCCTTTTGCGTCGTCGACTGCGTCTCAGTGGCGGCGGGTTTCTGATACTCGGTCAGCTCCAGCTCTCGATCGAGAGCAATCAACAACATGGTTGGGTTGGGGCTAGACGCACCGGCAACGACCCGCCAGCCTCCTGGTCGCGTGCCCTTTTCTTCTCTGGCTCCGACCGTGACGCGCGATCCCTGGCCGATTCGGTTGAGGCGACGCTGGCGCCATCCTCGTCTCGATCCTCCTTATCCACGTCGAGCTGGTCATGGGCCCGCTTCTTCTTGGGCGATGCAACATGCTCCTTCAGACTCGCGTTTTTGGCGTCGGACACATCTTCGGCTGGGGTTTCGGCGCGCTTCTTGAGCTTTTCGTCCGCGGCAGACTCGTGGCCGGAATCCGCAGCATCCTCAGGCGGCGGGTCCGAGATAGACGACTGCTTCAGCTCTCGGCGGGCAGCGCGGGTCTCTGCATCCTCGCTAGACTCGACGTGTGCCGGCTCGTTCTTGGGGCTGGCCCCTTGGCTATCGTCTGCCATGATAGTTCAACGCCAGCGCGGGGCAGGAGAGAGGTGCGGTGTTGGTCGTGCAGCCTGCTGGGCCAGTTGGGGTTGGCGACTTGGACTTGCCTGGACGAGGTCGGGGCAATCGCCGAGTCTATTGGGCGACGATGCGGGAGCCAGCAGCCTGTGAATGGGGAGATGACGCCTCGCGCACGTTGCTCGTCACGGGGCGGTCCGGTCGGCGCTGTATCAATGTCGCGTTCCCGTGGTCAGCAGCGCGTGCTCGCTGAGGATGGCGAGGAGAGGACGAAAGTGTGGAGCGCTGGACGCCGCATGGGGATGCGAAGCTCAGTGGCAGTGGTGGACGCTGGCGGTGGTTTTGGTTGCCCAATCAGTGACATGGCGAACCTAGCGGGGAGCAGTGGAGCGCCGGGGTTCCGCGACGGGAGGTTAGCTTGGGAGCTGGCACTCTCCTTGAGAGGGAGCAGCAGTCACTCGCTGGAGGTGGTGGCCGTCCGGAGCAAGCGTAGCGTATCGGCATGGAAGTTACCGCAGCTGGCTACCTTCCACTTATTACTTTCCATCAGGTTTGCACGTCAATCTCGGGTTGCCCACCCGCCACTGTCGGCAGAATGGGTGCGCATGCCTGGGTTAATAAGATGCCTGGGCCCACGGGCACGTTCATACAGGTACTGCAATTACGGTACTGGTGACTTCCAGTCAAATACCTATGCATGGTTTGTACTCCATGTCGGCACCTTGAAATTCAATCTCGTTGCTCGGCGTGTGCCGGGCAAGGGCCGTGGCCAGCATGCGTAGTGATACCAATAGCGCTCCTCATACCGACAGACTCAGACCGAACCCGGCGCTTGGAGCCCACGCCTGAGCCGAGGCTAAGCAGACGGATACTTGTGCTTCGAGCATCATACTGCTACTGCTACGGGGCAGAGCTACTGGGTATTCGAAGATGACACAGTGTGCAGCTGATTCGAGCCTTCATGGCAATCAGCAGAGACTGTCCGAGGCACCGACACACCCCGGCTTTCGATGTTGCCGCCATCGAGCCGGGCCGTCATGAGGGCTTGTAGGCGCGAGCCAATGTTTGTAATTGCACTCTTGCGCATGGTAAATCAGGCAATACAAGCAGATGGTGCAGCTCTTAGACGCAACAGACAGGGGGTTGCAGCGGAACAGACGTCCCTGGGACTGAGCTTCAACCTCACCCCGACTTGGCGGCCCGTGCTGTCAGACGGATCCCGCCCACGCACCTCCCCAGGACCAAAGAGGCAATCGTCGTCCTTGCTCTACTCAGTTGAGGATTAACAAACACCTAGCATGCTCCGGTGAGAAGACCCATATTAGGCACCCCCTCCAGTTTCAGGCGCCACAGAGCTCGCGGCAAACTCGTAAGCTTCAAGGCTCAGTTATGCACCCTTCACTTGCACCACTGACAACCTTCTGACCAGCTCCATATCATCACTGCGCATAGATTGTTAAAATACAAAGGCCCGACGGCGCATCCCGGTCGCCATCGTTTCTGCTTCGACCCATTCCACCCGACGCGACGAGGCTGAGACTTGGTTCAGCTGATGAAGCACAGGCAGCCCAGTCCCAAGTAGAAGACGAGCAGCGGATAGACGGCGATTGCAACGCGATTCTTGACAACGCCGCTTCCGCCGAGGATGCTCACGCCGGCCGCGAGAGACCAAGAGATGAGCACCAGATAGACCGGGATGCGCGCAATCCAGTGAAGCTTGAGGGCCGACATGAGAGCAGCCAGCACCAGCGGAAACAGGGTGTAGCCGATGATGCAAACGCTCTGGGCAAAGGAGCTGTTTCGCGGTCAGCAAAAGTGGCTTGCGAACAAGGGCCCGTCCGCCAACGTACATGTTGCCGCCCAAGAGCTTGATCTGAAGCGTGACGACGGCCTCTCCCAGCCAAATCATGGCAAAAACACCGCTGAACACGGCGTCTTTCTGGTCGGCGCGGGCAGTGAAGCTGAGGAGCAGGCTGAGAAGCAGGCAGAAAATGAGCGGCCCCCACAAGTCCCAGTCCCGCAGGCCTGGGCTCATGTTGCTCTGCAGGAGAGCCTCGGCGTCCATGACGCGGCTGGCAAGGCCAGTCAGCTCCTCCCTCGTGCCTGATATGCCAGCACCGCGGAGGTTGGAGTAGGCGCCGCGAAGGCCACCTTCGGAATCGAACATTGTCCCCCCTAGCAAGTATCGGGGGTACAGGACCTCTCTCAGCTTGGCCCAGACGGCAAGCAAGTCGCGACGCAGCGTCTCCCAGACCGTCTCATCGATGGTATTCTGCGGTGCTCGACGATCCTCGCCCGGAATTGACGACGTCAGGTAATTCTCGTTGAGTGGTCGAGACGAGGAGCTGGAGCCGATGTTTCCTGCCAGCGGTTGACGAGAGGACTGGTTCCCGAGGGGGTCATCGAAGTCGTTGAGATCAGCTGTCATGAGGGCAGTAATGTCAGCGTCACGGAGCTTCAGTGTTCACAACAACACCGGCGGTAACCCATGCTCCATGCTCTGAAGGGTGACGAACCATCATCAGGGTCGATCAAGTCATCGTCCTCTAGTGACGGGTGGCTGTAGTTTCCTCTTGCACTGGAGGAGGCCATGGCGGCTGCGAGGTCCTTCGTGCGGGCGGGCGGACGGCGTTGCGACGAGCTGCTTGGGCAGGTCTGTATGGCGGTGGTCAAAATTGCCGCGGGGCTGTGGAAATGAGGCGGTCGCGGAGCGACAGAAGGAGAATTGGCTTCTCGAGCGTTGAGCCGTTTCGTACGAGACCCGAGTGCGACGCGCGACGGCTGGACGTTGAATGCTAGATGGGTGCTAGGGAAGAGCTGACGTGTGTCGACAAGAGGTTGGAGCAATCTGGCCAGCTTCCCTCCACTGGCTCGCTGGGGTCGGGTGCCCAGCTGAGTGGGAACAGGGGTGGTGTGCGATGTCCACTGTGACACGACCTGTGGGCTGCCCACTTGGAGACAACATGGAACCTGGAAGCACTGGGAGCCTGTACTGTACCTGAATACAGAGTACATGTAAGGAGGTCGGCCTCCCTGGTACCGACGTGGGGTCATCGCGTGCGGGGGGCATCGCCCAGGCATGCGGGGGCAAAAATACAGCGCCGCACTCACCAGCGAAATATAGCGTGTCGAGCGGCGCTGTATTTTTGCCCCCGCATGCCTGGCTTGATGTTCGGTACCTGCTGCAGGAGGGCAGTGTTCTTCTCCGCAAGTACTGGAGGAGTCTGTTCAAGTATCGGAACCCACCAGCGTGCGTGGTTGGAAGACTCCCGGACGGGAACAACCTGGAAAGCCAGGCAGGGAGGCAGTAGCAGCGCGTCCAGTGCCTTCCAGGTTAGACCTGCCCAGTACCTAGCCAACCTGGAATGTGCCCGACTGCACATCAGCCATGCACTCTCTGTGCGCACCTGCGTCCTGAATACGTTACCTACCTACCTGTTGCAGCCAATTGCTCATGGGCGAGTGCCTGTTTGTCAGGTCCCTCTTCCCTGCCAACCTTGACTCGACGACTTACAAGCTTCCTCCCACCTTGACTGAAATCTGCGCGAACCCGGCTCTCTGGCGTTTCATGAGGCTGCACAAGCGACGTGCAGAGCAATTCCTATTTCAATTTCAATTTTGCCTTCGCCGCCAGCCGGCTGGCACCTGCTGGTATAGCATTTCTCGGGCGTCTGTTCCGAGTCAGTTGCGTCTTTCACCTCAACACAGAAGTTCCTTGCAAGCCGCCCTGTCCGCCCACCTTCTGCGCCGCCGTCCAGCACAGAACCGTTTGCTGCCGATAGCATCCCATCTGAGCCATTTCCGCCTGCGCTGGCTCATCTGCGCGGCCTTCTTGTCCGCGAACACCGTCTGCGCGGTACCTTCACCGCCTCCTCTGCATCGTGCGGCGCATTCGGACGGCCCGGGTACGTGACTTGTCGCCAAACAGCCCATCTACGCGAGTCGCTGTGTCATGGCCACAATCAGAGACAATCCTTTTGAGCTACCAAAGCTGCGCGTTTCGTTCGGCTTCGAGGTAAGCCGCATCGGCCGTCTTTGCCATGCATCTCACTGACGGGGACTGGCAGAACGACACGCGCTTCCTTGGGTTTGACGACAACGTCGCAGGCACGTACCTATCTCATCAGCTGCCCTCGCGCGCGCATGTTTGGGGCGTTTTTATCTGACCAGCGGCCCCGTGACATAGAGTTCTTTGACGTCAAGTTTTGTCCTTTCCAGCCTCTCGACTGCGACCCCGTTTTCGCGGCCATCAGCAAGAAACACGTCAGTTCATAATGGCCCCCTTCGCTTCTCGCGACGACTCAAGCTCAGTCGAGGACAGATTGTCTTGTGCAGGCTTTCACAGAACTCTGGTGATGCAAACCCATGCGAGGTAATCAAAATCATCCGAGACGACGATGTAAGTCCGCGATCACCCATGTTTGGGCCTGTCTAACCCGCCTCGTCACCGTCCAGGGCGAAGCATCTGGTTGCTGTTGCACCTGGACCAGGAACCCCATAACAGGAGTACCGTATATTTGCGTTGGAGGTGGCGACGCAAAGGTCAAGATATATGATGCCACCGACGGCAACCTTGCCGAGGTGAGTATATCCGTTGGCTTGGCGACGATACTATCCAAATGCTGATCACGTCTCGGTAGTGTTTTGTTGGGCACGGTGGCGTACGTGACGAGCCCCCTCTCTTTCCATGTTGATGGCGCGGAGCTGAAGCCTTTCAAGGACGTCAACGACTTGGCAACCTCGCCGATGGATTCTTCCATCATCGCGTCTGCTTCGGACGACACAAGCGTCCGGATATGGAGCATTGATCCCAAACACAAGGAACAGCCCTGCCTGTGTATTCTAGCCGGAGAGGGACATTCTTGGAATCTACTTAGCTTGGTACTTCTCCTGCGCGGCCATGCCAACGTTGCGTTTCGAGTGTTCAAGCTGACACCAGCGCCCGCGCAAGGCGTTTCACGACACCGGCCGATATCTCCTCTCTGCCGGCCACGACCAGGTTATTAATTTGGTTTGTTTCTACTCGAACTCTTTGCTGTCCCTACGCTTCTTCTGCTAACTTGAAGTCCGTTGCGCCAGTGGACTATCCCTGATCTTCCCACGGAGCCCATCGTCACGCCGCTTCAGGTCCACTACCCTCACTTCTCAACGTCCGCCGTCCACAGTGGCATCGTCGACTGGTAGGTGCAAGAGGCTCGGCGGTTAGCCTTATCGGCCGTGCTAACGCCGCGACCCCAGCGTCGCGTTCTATGGAGACCAAATCCTATCCAGGGCATGCCATGACAATGTCATCGTACTCTGGAGAATCGAAGGCTTCTCCTCCGACGGTCCTCCTCCGGCTCCCAGTACGGCCCCAACGCTGCAAAACGTTGTGCCGACTAGCAACGAAGATCCTGGGAGACTGACGCGCTCGGCGTTTGTTCCGGCGACGTCTCCCATCTGTCCTGCGCAGTACACTCGACTGCTCGAGTTCCACACGCCGAGTTGCGGCCCTCAGTTCTTTATGAGATTCAAGCTCCATCACGTACCCGGACAGAATCCTGTCCTCGCATTTTGCAACGCCGCAGGCAACATCTTCTTCTGGGACCTGAAGCGTCTGACGGTGTACCGCGACATCATAGGGACACTGCGCGACGCACGTCGCGACAAGTCCAAGGTAGTCCAGCTGCCAAATTGGCTGAAACCGGTAGTGCCAAGGCAGCGGAGCGACGCTGTTGGTAGATTCCGCAACGCTGGAAGTGACCGGGACTCGACTGCGTCGGGCCAGACTGGGCACGTGGAGGGCACAGATTTCAGCCCAGAAACGTTGGAATCGTGGGCATCCCGTTACAGTCTTGAGGATCCGCAGGAGCCTCTGAGGGCTCACAAGACCGAGTCGTCGTCGGCTAATTTTGTCGGACGGCAGGCGGCGTGGAGCCCTGGCGGCGAGTGGTGCGTTGTGGTGGGAAGCTCGAACACAACGCTGGTGCTGCAGCGCTGGGCCAAGCGGCAGCCTGTTCGTTCGCGGATGAGTCCAAGTGTATAGTGGGCAATAGAGCAAGTCTTCTGAACAAGCTGACCGGCGGGCGTGATCTCCTTTTTTCGTTACCTTACAAGCCTCGGATGGGGAGCGACGGATAGAGTGGTGGCGGCGACAAGTATTCCTCTGCCTTGACATGCTGCCCTTCAAGGACTGCGCGGGCGACGTCATCCAGCTCGCCGCCGTTCTCAAGCAGTCTGTCGAGGGCATTCACAGCTGTCTCGAGCTCCCGCTGTCGCCTCATCGCGACATCATGCAGTTGTTCGCCTGCCATTTGGACGGCAGGGACAAGCAGGTCTGCCAGGTGAAGCGAAGCCGTCGCGCGCATGCGGAGGAAGTGGTTGCTCTTGCGAAACGGCAATTGCTGCATGAGCCCATCCATCCTCCTGACGACATCCTCCATGCCAGCCAGGGCGCGCAGCCGAATCTCGTCCTTGCGCACGTCCAGCCTCGACTGCGAGTCGGCCGCCTCCCCCCGGCCGTATCCTCCTCCGTGGCCGTCGTCTTTCCGCACATCTGCGAGGCTTTGCTGATCCTTCGAGCTGTCGGCGTCGGCGTCGGCGCGTGCGAGGGCCCGGCGGTGCTCGATGTGGACGTTGTACATCTCGCAGCCAAGCAGGGCCAGTTGGAAGTCGAGCGCCGAGACGCTGCGCGGAAACTTGTGGTCGTAGGGGTGCTGCTGGATGAGCGTCTCGAAATAGGCCTTCACTTTAGGCATGTTGGCTGAGGAGCCCCATCGGCGTGGTATGCGGTCGTTCCTGTGACCTGACGGCGTGGATGATGGCCCGAGAGGTCGCATGGGGCGTGGGACAGTCAAGTCATCGTCATCATCGTCTGCCGCCTCGTGCTCCATCACCATCCTGCCGGACGCTCCGCTGCCTCTTCCTGCTCCCCCCGCGGCGGGCGCCTGCGGCGGCACGTCCTCGCCCTCACGCATCAGAATCTCCGCGCCGAGCGCCCACAGGCCATGCTGACGGACGTCGACGCGCCGGCTGCCGGGGCGCATCTGCAGGACGAGCGCATACGCCTTTGCGGCCCGGGCGACGTCTCCCCGGTCCAGTAACTGATGGATCGAGCGCAGCAGAACGTCCAGATGGCCGCCCCTGCGGTCCGCAGGCGTGGAGCGGCCGGCGCCTTGGTTAGCCTTTGGTGGCAGAGGTGCTGGCTGGCCGTGCTCATCGTCGTCGAAGTTCTCGCCGCCGCGCTCGACATCGCTCTCCGCGCCCTCGATGAAGGTGCGTCTGCCGAAACCGCGGTGCGGAAAGTGTTTGATCCCAGGCGTCGGGTCCTCTTCCATGTCAGAGAGCCCAGCGACGCGCAGCTGGTGCCGCTCACTGGGCGAGCGACTGAAGGGGTTGGTGGCGCCGGTTGCCGGGCTGTGCCTCGAGCCCAGGCTCTCAACAGCATCTGCTGCGGCCGAACCCGCGCGCTTGCGCTTACCAGCCATGGCTTGGACGGGTTGCCGGATCATGGCGTGCTGTTGGGGTTGCGGTTTGCACTGCGTGATGTTGTTGCGATGGGGACGTTGAAAAAACAGCCCAGCGGGTGGACCCAGCACTGAACTTGGATAAACTGTATTGAACTCGCAACGCCACATCAAGACCACGACCAGTCCAAAGAATGAGAGACCAGGGGTGACAAAGGCAAAAGAACCTTCTTGGGCGGACACGAGCAAGATTGCTGGCTTAAGCCATGTTGGCACGCCGTCAAGGCGCGAGGAGGCTCTTCGATATGCATAGGGTAGCCAACTACATGACGTTTGATTTGAGGAATCCTCGACACGGGGCCATGAAGTAGCAGCCGGCAGACGACAACGACCTCGCAACACAACTATCACAAAGACGCAAGATTGGCGTCGCGGCTTCCCACACGGCACGACTGGGCGGCTACAAGGCCAATGTTGCTCACATGAAGCATTTGCGCGTGACGCGCTCTATTTGTAGCCCCGGATCCTATACTGTTACAAGCCCACGCGAACAGATGGCTCCGCCCCGTCATTTACATGGACTTTCGGTCAAAGTACTCCCACTGGCCCTCGACGGGCCTCTCTTCCAGGTCCTCCCAGCTAGACGATTCAAGGTTAGCCAAAGCACCGAAGCGCAACTGAGCGCGCACACACAGCAGGTTCGCGGCTCAACTTACACCTTGGACTTTTCCATCGTGTCAATCAGCGTAAGCTCGCTCTCGGCCACCTGAATGACCTCCTCGATGAGGCCGGCGCCAATCTTTTGCTCCAATTCATGGATCCTGCGCCGCAGCCAACCGTCAGCCACAACGCCCAGGACATATCCAACGTTGGCGGGCGCAACAGGTGTAGACTCACTGCTCAGCCGTCAACTGGGGCTCGTCTTCCCACTCGACCTTCTCGTGGTCCTCCAGGGGCTTGCGCTCAGCCCATATGACCTGGTCTTTCCTCTCCTCGGGGGTGCGGATGCCCTCGAGCTCGCCGCCCTCGTCCTCCTCGCCGTTCCACTCCTCGGTTCGCACGTCGCCCTCCTCGTGCTTGGCGCCGACGACGAAGATGCGGTCACCGAGCCTGACGGTCCGCGCCTCGCTGCCGTCCACGCGCCCGCTGGCGACGCGGAACTGCTCGGCGTTCTTGCTGACCAGCTCGCGAGCCTTGGCGGCCCACTCGTTGTATCCCGGGGGTACTGTCTGCTCGACGAGGCCCATGCGGTGCTTGGTGACGGCCTCGACGGACTGGCGGTACAGCGACGTCTCGGGGATCGCTTGCAGCTTGTTGAGGGTGCTGCCGTAGAGGTAGAGCAGGGTGGACCGAGGCGTGCCGTGCGTCCACAGGCCAGTCAGGCCGGTGGGCGTGCCCGGCTCGAGGTAGCGGGCGAGCACACGAAGTGTTGGCCGCATGCTGACGAGTCCAATGGGTGCAGCTGGCGACGTTGCTGAGCTTGCGAGAAGGCGAGGGAAATGCAGGCAGGCGAGGGACGCCGAAAGTCGCCAATGCCAATCCCTCCCCCCGGCGCCAATCAGATGTGGGGATTTACCAACAGCGCGTCACGTGCGATGTCACGCCCACCCAGTCCTCTATCCGGAGGGTCCCACCACCCAAGTCACCAACACCCAGACTCGGGTGGCACCAGCATCTTGGCTTGGCCTCGATGGCTTCATCATTAATCCGATTCAATGACACCTGAGCTCACACTAGAGTGAACAGGGGAGTGTTTGCGCAAGCGTGGATATTGGAAAATTTGTCAGAAAGTGGATGGAGGGTAGCCACCTCCGTCGAGCGCAGCGACACACAGAAGCCATAATCTCGTGCCGAAACACGGCGCCGGCTTGTAGCCAACCGAGCTATAACGGGTTTAAATCTCCAAAGAATCAAACATAAAAAGCCATCAAGCGGCATGCCCGCCTGCGGGGGTAGACCGGACCTCCTATCCCATCCTCTCACGCCACACAAGCATGGTCACGCTTGGGCAGTCTGCATAGTCGCTTGTTCCTAATGCGGCTGTGTCTCGATGCCACTCCACTCCACAAACCAAGACTGCTTCGGCGTCATTTGGTAAACCTCCATTCAACTGAACCGTCAGATTATTAGGGGCCAAAGACTTAGGAAGCCTCTTCACGGCTCTTTCGGTAGCTGGCCTGCAGATTCACTCTTGTCAGTCACTATACGGCAGAGAAGAAAAGAGGTCTCTGGACAGGAACCAACCTCCTGCTCGGCCTGAAGGCCATCCACAAAGGGAGCAAGCTCGCTCAGGACCTCGTAGGCCTTCTTATGGTACTCAATCTGTGCGGCAAGGAGCTCGCAAAGATTGCGAAGCGGCTCTGGGGAGTCCAGCACCTATTTCGACCATACGTTAGCTCGTTCGCGAAACAAACGCGAAGTGCAGGGCACATTACATTCTTCATGACGCCGACGGCCTCCTCGGTCTGGGTGACGAACTCATCCTCGGCCTTCTCAATCTCCTCTTGAGCCTCAGGGCTGAGCTCCTGCTCCTCCTGGCCCTCTGCCTGGGCGCCGTGGCCGCCGAGCTTGAACGTGGTTCCCTTTGCATGGGCCTTGACGGCGTCCAGCGACAGTCTAGACTTCTCGACGTTCTTTCTCGCGCGCGTAGCGAAGTTGAGGTTGGTGTTGAGGGTCGTGCTCCAGCCAGCGAGGAAACGGCTCTGGATCTGCGAGTCCTGGGCAAGGCGAGCTTCGCCAACGCGCTCCATGGTCAAGGCATACTTCTCCAGCGCCGTGGCGAGCGGGTCCTCGCCTGCGCCGGTGTGGCTCTGATGCAGCAGCTGGCTGCTGGACAAGCTTGCTCGGGCGATGGCGTGGCTGAAGGTCTTGGGCTGTGGCTTCGCGGAGGGAGGGGCGACGAGAGCGGCCTGCGCCTCCGAGGTAGACGTCGCCGAGGAAAGAAGATGGACCTTCTCGCTGACAGTGCGGCCCAAGTCCTGGAACGTCTCCTTGATGTTGGGCGGGTAGTCGTAGGTCTCGTTCTGGTAAGGCGAGCTGTTCGGACGCGAGCGCGCGCTGATTAGTAGGCTGGACAATGGTCGAAACAGGGTCGCGGGACTCACGTCACGGCAAGCATTTTCTGATGGGCCTGCTTCAGGGCGTCGGCCCGCTTCTCGAGTTCCAGGTACTCATCGGGGAGCTGGGTCTGGAGAGGTGCAGCAGCAACGCGTTAGTCGAGACAGCTACTCCGGATTGGCCGCAGCATGAGCAGGAAGGGACTCGCCTTGTCCTCGACCTGACCAAACTGCTCCTTGGTGAACTGGATGGTGCGCGACGCAAAAGGCGTGAACTGCGCGCCAAAGTTGCTGTTGTCCAGTCAGCTTGCGCCGACCATGATCACCGCCGCGAGGGACAGCCGGTCATGCACCTACGAGAGGTTCTTGCCAAAGCCCTTGAAATCCATCTTGGCGATGCGGCGACGATTCGGATTCTGCTCGTGCGGCCTTTCGGAACGACGGGGACTCTGCGCAACTGGGGGGAAGCGGGATGTCGTTGATTCGGGACAGAGCGAGGTAGGTGGTTGTTGTGCGGGCTTAGTTTGATGAACGAGCGCAAGAACGGGAGCTCCTCGTCAGCTCGTCAGACGTGCCGACAACAGTGGGGGGGAAGGGCCACCCGCGCTACAAGCACCTAGGGTGTCGAGGTACTGGTAACTGAGGTAACTGCCCAGGGCCTGGAAGTAACTGCACTGGCTCGGCTGGTTGAAGGGAGCGATGCAGAACGATTAGTGGGTCGGGTAGGGATGGGGTACCTCCACTGGTAACTTGTAGTAAGGTACATACAGTAGGTACCCTCCTGGCGTGCCTGTGGTGGTCCAACCGCGGAACGTTGAAGTGGGCCAGCATGGGCGTTGCCCCCAGGGGTCCGCGATGGTACGCCTGCCCGCTTACACTAACAGTACCTGAGTTAGTAGGTCCCGTCTTGAACCACCTGCCTAGGCATAGCATCTCATATCACTGGAACATGCCAAGGCACCTCGGATGAACAATTACATCTTGGTACCGCACAAGGCATACATATGCTACATGATACAGAATAGAGTCTGCAGATACTGGGGTGATACGTGCGTGCTCCGTTATCGAGGGGCAGTGGCCAACAGACAGCACACAAGCAAGCGTTAATCTGACACACGTGAGCCAGCATCGTATCGTCTCCGGAGGCATAGGGCAGGCATGTAGGTAGTCGCCAGGGATGGACCTGGCGTACATCTCGGTTATGCACTCGTCATGGCCAACGGTGGCAAGCAATCAATCGGGCGCACGTGCAGATGAATGGTGGGCGAACCTCCCGCATCGACCACCTTGTCTATTCCCTGGAGCCATATGTACCACGCTGCGATGCCACCAAACTCGCGAAACTTGCCAGGGCTCGTCTTCTCCGGTTGACGCAGCACGCAGCTCTAGTCTAAAATGTGCTTGTCGTCGGCCCACGATGGCTGCACTGCGCGGCATACCGCCTTGTAGTCCTGAAACATCGGATGCTCGACACTCAACCCTGCCGTCGTCCAGAACATGGTCCAGTTGGAGTCGGGAAGCTGCAGAACCCCTGCAGATCGTTCAGAGTACCACTTGTTGACCGGATTGTTCTTGCGGCTTCTCCAACACACGCCCTCGGGGAAGCAGTCCTGCACCATTGCGTTGAAGACAATGTCAGCCACACCGGCGCTCCCTTGGCGGCTCTTGAGCACGGCAAACTTGTCCAGGTAAGGGACAAAGCGCCCTTGCTCAAAAGCTTGCTGCTCGCTCAGCCCGTCTGGCTGCTCCCACGTCAAAATAGCCCCGCCTTCGTACTCTCCCGCAATAATGATGCCTGCCAGGTTCTCGTTGACGCGGTTGAGATAGTCCTGGACATCAAGCTTGCGACCAAAGGAATCCTCAATGAGATGTACCAGCCGGGGCAAATCAACGCTTGTGTCCGTTAGTCGTAGACGCGGGGAGCCGGGCTCCGGTGGCCTCCATGGCCTGTCTCGTGGTTCAGGCAAGATAGTCACAGGCATGCCGCGCTTGACCAGCGTTGCAGCGCTCACATCCACGGTGCGGAGTCCACCGTGGGATTCGTCCTTGATCCTCTGCAGCGGCAGGGACGGCGAGAAGGCCGGCCTGTCCGTGAGGAGGTTGTGTAGCAGCGGGTTTCGCCGATTCCTCGTCGCCACCATGTCGTCCAGCTGTAGAGACGTGGAGTCCGAGGGCTGCTTCTTATTTGCGGCAGCAAGCGGCGTGGTGATGAGAGCAGAGGACGACGACGGCAGCAGAGAGAGTGCATCCTTGGCCAGGGTAAGATTCTCAGCATGGGAAAGCTTCAGCGACATTGCCTGTTCCCCAGGGCCCGTGGAAGAGCCGTGAGCGTCATTCAGTTGACCCATGAGTGTAGTGTATTCTTGCTCAAGGTTGATGAACCGGTGTGCGACGTTTGCTTTTCCGAGCATGGGAATGCCCCCAAGCGGATCCAGGAGTATCACGCGTTCTACTGATGCGGTCCTGCTTGGACGCGATCCGTGGCCTTCGTTTGAAAGGCCCTCGCTGGGGGCGAATTGCATCCCGATAAGGTATTTGGCCAGCGCCAACAGCGTGTCGTGGGCGTTTGTCGGGCGCGGTGAGGAGAGGTCGTCGGGGCGTGCAACCGAGGGCAGGACGACAATCTTGTTGCGGCGCAACGCTCGGCTGAGCATGCCCTGATCATCGACACGGACGCTGCCCGAAAAGATGGGCGACGGCAGGTAAGTGTCCTTTGGAGGGCCATTTCGAGGCTGCCTGATGAACACTCCGTCGGCGAACCGAGCTACAGGCTGGCCGAAGCTCGAGTCGATGGCCTCACATAGGCGCAACGCCTCATGCTCAAAGGTCTTGCGGCACTGACGGATGCCGCAGTCGACGATGACGATTGCCAACAGGCCCAGGGCGCGGAGTTGTGAGAGAGTTTTGGCTATACCTGCAAGTGTATCGTCGGGCAGCTGCTGAGGCTCGCGCAACTTGACAATGGCCACTTTGGTGAGCTCTTCGTCGACGCCCAGCTGCTCCGTGCCCTGTCCAGAGCTCAGACCTTCGGGCTGCTGCGGCGAGGGCTGGAGTCCCTGGAAAAACTGGGGCGAGTCTGGCTTTGATGTGGGCGTGGCGGCCTCCTTCTTGGAGGCATACTTTTGCAAGTAGCCCTTGGCATCGCGACGCGTGGCCGAGGATTCGAGCACGGACACGATGACATCCTTTGGGGCGAAGCGTCAGGTGGTGTACGACAACATGAGAAGGGTTGGGACATACCCGGTCTAGAGCGAGCTTCCTCGCATGAGCCGCCGAGGGCGAAAACAGGTTGCGGGCAGGAGGCGGCGTCACCGCCTTCGCAGTTGCGCCTGGGCGGCCGCTGTGGGTGGAGAAGAAGTCATGGTGGCAGCGAGAGAGGGATGAGTCGGAGATGAGTCTCGCTTTGCTTGCAGCCGAGAGCCCGTAGCGGCTGCAGTGTGCTTTGCCTACCAGACAAGTCCAGGCCATGGGCGGGTGGGCGTGTGCCTGGGGGAGGTCAAGACGCTTGATTGAGGGCGTGGGAGAGTATGGTGGGTGGTTGTGACAGAGTGTAGTAAGAGCTCGGGTGGCTGAATGGGCACATGTGTTGACGATAAAGCCGAGATGGGGTGCGTGTTGGAAGACCCCCGAGGTCGCTGCGACGGCTGGTTCTCAGGCGAAGAGCATCGCGACCCGCGCAGCGATCCAAAAGCGGGGAGGGAGAATGACCTCGGAGGGAAGAGAGCTTGGCAAGGTGAGGGAGGTGTAAAGGCACGGTCGCGCTGTTGCGCGGTTATGTTGACGGGGACAGTCGGTCCGGTGACGGTGCGGTGTAAGTGAGTCAATTGTGCATGCGGCATGGATGGGAAGGATGTCAGAAGCCGAAACCCATATTATTTTTCTGCCTCTCGGCGAGCTGCCGCTGTGCCGGTACGGTATCTACCTACAGGTTGGGGGTGCTTGGGGTGCTGCAGTGGGTACCTACCTACCACCTTCGTAGTGACTACTACTAGGTACCTAGAGGTGAGGTACGTGTACACCTCAGTGAGTAGGCGTTGGTACCTAAGGTAGGTTGGCAAGCTTGGGTGCCACCTGCTGAGGGACTTGCCTCGCAACAGTACCGGGAATAAGACGTACCTGCACCGACCTAACGTACTAGGTACCTCAGGTGGCACCTACAGTAGGTAGTGAGGTGCTTGGTCGCCGTTGCCGGCCGTGGCGACCGGCGGGGTTCCATCTGTGCAGGCTCCCATTCTCGCTTGTTGGTCCCTCTCTGCTGCGCGAGGAGACTGACTGGCTTCGTGTTAACTGATTGATTGATGGCATCGCACGAGCTCGACATGGCCGCATGGCATTTGGATCGAAGGCCTCTTGGCGTCTTTGGCCCGAAGCTCCGGAGTCCGGGCGCAGCTCCGATGGGGTGGCATGCCGTGGCTCAGGTCCCACAACCGCAGCGAAACAAGGGAACTTTTGATATACGATGCGCCTTTGCATCATCATCAACGATCGCTCGGTAAATCAACTTGGTACATCTGCACCGCAGGCACGCCAAGCGCCTCGTGCGCACGAAGCTCTGTTGTACTGTAAGGCTTCCGAAATGCCCTGCCAGGGTGTAGCTGTTTCCCTCTCGACCGTTGCGACGACGGCGCGTCCGCATGAGCTTGAATGGCGTCGTCTACCAAGTCGACACCGGCGGACGGAGCCCTCTCGTGCGTCCTGGCGTACGTGATGCAGCCGGCTTTGCCGACTAGAGTCTAGTCCACGGAATCGTCCGCGACCTCGCGTCGCGTGAACCGCAAGTACGTTAGTAGCCCACCAAACGACGGCTCCCATCCGAAGACCGGCCTGCACGTCACGGCCACCGCGCTCACAGTTGATCGAATTACGTACATTGAGATGAGGCACTTCCAAGGCCGGGGGTCCGGTGGGACAGGCATTGGTACCTGGGCTGAGCTTTCTTAAAGGTCGTAGAGGTGCACGAACCCGTACACAGGCAGGTATAAGCTTGCAAGTAAGCTAGTACGAGCCAGCAAGGAAAGTGGTGGTTCTTCTGGTGTCACAGCAAAGTCCTGCGTGGACACGCATACCTACCTACTTCTACTGCAGCTGCAACGCCACGCCGCTCGCAGGTTGCAACCATCCTCCACAAAGCCGACCATCTCTGGGAATACCCCAGCTCAACAAAAGTCAACCGTGTGCGCCATGGCTCCCACGGTTCTTTGGGTTGGCCTCGGCAACATGGGCCGGGTGAGCATCCCCAACTCCGGCCATCGGAGACAACGTGCGTCGTGCTCACACCTCCGCAGGGCATGTGCAGAAACGCTGTGGAAAAGGGCCACTCGAGCTCGCCAGTCCTCCTCTACAACAGATCGGTCCAAAAGGCCGTTGACCTGAGCCGCGAGCTGCCCGCAGGCAAGACCGAGGCCGTCGACTCGCTGGTGGCCGCGGTGCCCCGAGCCGACATTATCTTCAGCTGCCTTGCTCATGATGAAGCTGTGAAGGAGGTATACCAGATCATGCTCGGCAGCGACGTCAAGGGCAAGCTCTTTGTCGACTGCTCCACCATCCACCCCGAGTTGACCGAGGACGTGGCCCGAGACGTCGCCGCGCGTGGAGCCGAGTTCGTGGCCGCCCCAGTCTTCGGCGCCCCTGAGGCTGCAGAGGCAGGGCAGCTCATCGCCGTGCTGGCAGGTCCGCGGGCCAGCGTCGACCGGGCAAGGCCGTGGTTCAAGGGCGTTATGGCCGGCGTCGAGATTGACCTCAGTGGCGAGCCCTACAGCAAAGCCACGACCCTCAAGGTGCTCGGCAACACCTTCGTTTTCAACATGATCGAGCAGCTCGCAGAGGTCCACGTCGTCGCCGAGAAGTCGGGGCTGGGGACTCGGCCAGTCCACCAGCTGGTCGACGCCATCTTTGGCGGCGTGTACACGGCACTCTCGACTCGCATGCTCACCGGGGACTATTACAGGCGCCAACAGCCGCTCTTTGCAGTCGACCTGGCCCGCAAGGACGTCCGCCATGCCAGGGCCATTGCTGCGGCTGCCGGTGCCGAGCTAAAGACGCTCGAGGTGGCCGACGCCCACTTTGCCAAGGTGAAGGAGCAGCGCGGCGAGACGGGTGACATGGCGGGCATCTACGGCGCCGCCAGGCAAGACGCAGGGCTCGCGTTTGAGAATGACAACGGCGGGAGCCTCGATGAGGATGTTCATGGCGAGGCTGGGAGGCGTGAGTAGCCGCTGAGCTCCGTAGCAGATGCCATGATTAATTCTCCGCGTGCCGACTTGAACTTCGCATTACCCAATTCTCGAGAGATGGACTGCGACTGGCAACTGCCGTGTTGGCGGTGCCAACGCGGCGGGATCCATGGATGCCCTCCGGTGATGATCATGGGGCAACCTGCACCTGAACGGGGCCGCGTAGAGCCCTTAGTCAGCAGACTTGGAGCTGCCAACCATCCGCCGCCGACGACCTACCTTCCCAGCTGCGGCGTCAAGCAGCTGACGTTGACGTGCCCGCCCCTCTACATCCTCGTCCGACGGCCGCCTCCCACGTCCCATTCTATCAGCAGCTCTGCTTGTCGCGTCGTCAACATCTACAACCCGGGCACCCGCTACGGTCGTTACCGGGTCGCGAGTTCGCCATGGCGCAAGGGTAAGCCAGCGCCCCACGACGCATCAATCCCCCCCGGAACCTCAGAGCTAACGCAGTCTCCTGTCGAACCTCGCAGGTACGCCGTCTTCATCGGCCTCGTCGTCATCGCCATCCTGTGTGCCGCTTCTTGGTTCCTGGCACCCAAGGGCGAGAACCAAGTGTCAGTCCTCTCTATTTGCCCTCCGCCCACAGGCCGCCGCCGCCGCAGCCTCCAGCCAGCTGTCGGCGCGGCTCAATTGTCGTCCCCAGATCCCACTTGCTAATGCTCGGGCGCTCTCTACAGGCTTTGGCGGTCGTCCCTGATTCTCTCCATCGTCAGCTGCTACCTCATGTGGGCCATCACCTTTCTCGCCCAGCTCCACCCATTGATTGTACCGAAACGAAGCGACCTCCGGGAGCAGTTCCTCGAGCACTAGAGCCCGCAATACGGTCGCTGGCACGGCGGGAAATGGAGACGGATATTCACTTGTACGACTAGTGTCATTCTTGTTGGGCGCAGCATCGTTTATATGACGGCGTGTCACACCATGAGCGACGCCGTGGCGCAAGATGCATGCTGTCGGGCACGGCCTCGGCAGCTCAGGGGCACACAGCTGGACTGGACTCGCAGGAGAACGGAAGGTGTGGCTTGATGTGACGCGTGAAGCAAGCACGCGCATTGAACGGACCACGGAAATGTTATGTACAAAGCCCCAGGTGCGGCAAGCGTTGGGCATGTCACGTCAAGGCATGGATGGTCTGCGGCTCGATGTGTACAGAACTTTGAACAGAGATCACATCGTAACCAGACAGGGCCTGGCACAACATGTAAAGAGGATGTTGCAAAATCTTTATTCTCGACATCAATGCTCTTCTCAGCCAACGGCTAAGCGTCCCGCCCATTTCCTGGCATACACAAGGAAAGCCCACAGCGCTTTCCCATCGGCCGCCACGCTGCTCTCCCCAATGGAGTCGACGTCGCCCAGGCCGGCGGCAATCAGCACCAGTCGTCCCACAGCCCAACGTGATGATGCGCCCGCTACGGCGAGGATGCAGGCGGTGTAGTATTTGCAGTCGAGGAGGATTCGCAGGGCCTCGATGTTGTTGGCGACGACGGCCCAGCCTAGGGAGCGGGCCGCGGCGGGCACGTCGTAGTCCCATATGACCATGAGTATCGGGAACAGCTTCGTCGACGAGGAGACGAGCAGGGCCGTTGAGACGGAGTTGGGTCGGGCATGCCGGGGCATGATGCCGAGGGCGTTGAGCGGCGACAGCGGTGAAGACGTGAGGAAGCGGATACTGAGGTGGAAAGCCATGGTGGAGATGGCGCATAGAATCACTGTACGGCAGGATGTGAGTGCCTCGGTCCAGATGCGAGCGGGGGGCTTGGTTGATCAACGGACAGAAGAAGAGATACTGCAGCACTATGGGCTGCTGCGCGAGCTTGCCCAGGTTGCTTTCGCCGGGGAGCGCATCTGGTATCGTCTGCTTCTCGATGCGCGCCCACGTAAGGTAGACGTCGAAAAGCAGGAGGAGGACACCGAGGCGGATGATGGAAGGCTGCCAGGTCAGAAAGCGAGCGCATACCGTGTCAGCAAGACCAGGGCCAAATACGTATGCGCATGGGCGCGACGAGGGGGGAGTGCGCTCACATCGAAGCGATCGCCATCGCGCATCAGCGTGTTGTGCAGCAGGTGGCGATAGACCTACACGGCCGGTCAGTCAGTCAGTCGATTCCACAGGTCCCCCAGAGACGCTTCCTCTGTCAGCAGCAGCAACAGGATCAGAAGCAGGAAGGGCATCCGATTGGCGGCGACAACGACGTCGATTGCATACCTGGGGTTTAATCAGGACGAGGTCGATGAAGAGCACCACGAAGTCGTGCTCGACATACTTGTCGCAGAAGCGGCCGCACTTGCGGCAGACGGTCAGGCGGATGTTGTGCCCCGTCGACTTGTCACCGGCGCCCGAGTACTGAGTCCATAGCGTGTTGACGGGATGCCGACACTCGATGCAGATGGGCATTTGGGCGGCAGCGCGTGGGCAAACGCGAGGGTGGTCGCTGCGACGCTGATGATGTTGTGGCGGGACGGCCAGCGGCGTTATTTGGGGGGGGGGGGTTTGCTGGCGGGACAGGGTGGACTGGAAATGGATGGCGTGGATGGAACCAGGGACGTCTGGGTGCTTCAGTGGAGGCCCCAGGGGGCTTCAGGCGGCCTGCGTCCCTACCTAGCTCTGGCTTGGGAGCTACAGGTGTGGGTAAGGCATCTCTAGTACCTCTAGTACCTAAGGTAGTACCTACCTAAGGGGACGTACCTGGCAGCTACGTACAGTACCTCCTCGCACCTCGGCAGATGCTTCCTGTCATGGAAGGCAGCTGCACGGCACGGGAGGCTCCACATTACTTTACATTATGTAGTACCTAGCACCTTACCGTGTGCTGTCGAGAGCCATCACCGAGAGTCCCAACTACAACTCCAACAACGGCAACCACGCTGCCATGTTTAGGTAAGGCACGCAACACTGGGGACGATACCGCCACGAGCTGGTATAGAATGCACGTATACAAGTTGGATGCTGTAGCTAAGCAGGATGCTGCGGCCAGCTAGCTAGATACAAGGTAAGGCGCATGGCGCGCGCATATGCTTCCCAAACGCCTCGCAAGGTGTGACAGCCCCTTGGGGCTGCAAAACGACGCCCTTCTATATCCAAACCGCACAACCATTCTAAGCGAAAGTGTCTCCAGAGCATGGCTAGAGGGTTGGAACCCCCTGGAACCCCCTTCTCCTCCTCATGGTGACAAGGACCATGAGGCCACATGGGGATTCACAAGCGCTCGCTCATGCACACCTCGCGGTTCAGTCCGACTTTTGACGGTCTTGCGACGCCCATGACGCCGCAGCTCCCCGGCCCCGGACGAGGCCGCTCCCACCGTCGCTCCTGCCGCTTGTGCTGGTAAAGCCCATCGCAGCCGCTGCGTTATCCCGGACTGCTATCCTGCCGTCATCGCTTCCAGTATCTGCCAGCTCAATGAGGTCGCTGCCCTCTTGGTCGGCAGACAGACCCGCTGGCCAGCCTGTGCGCCCTCCGACCAGAGGCGTGTTTGGACGCTTGGCAAGGGCCCCGCGTAACCACGTCTCTACGGCCGCGGCGGCCCTGTCCAGACCACTTCCCTGCCGTGAGGTAGAGCCGATGTCGCGGCCCTGCTCGAACGAGCTCTCAACGATGGCGGACGGTTCAGATGAGAACCCAAAGCGCGCAGTCTCCGAGCCCATGACAGACATGGATGGGAGGCCCTCGATGTTGAGTGCCGGGAGGTGTCTTCTTGCCCACGAGTTGAAGTAGTCCTTGTCTGGCCCCGGTGTCCGCGTGTTCCTGCCCATCGACCCTACGCCGCCGGGCCCTCGCATCCAGGCCGGCCGATTGTCCCGCGCATCGCTCCCCACGCGACTGCGAGTGGAAAGTGGCGTTCCCGAAAGCTGGTGCACGCTGCTCAGTGAACTTTTCCTCCGCGACGGGATCCGCTCCACGGAGCTTGGGGGCAGGCTCGATATGTCCGAGCTCTCCCGGGGCGTCGATATCGTTGACAATGTTCCAATGCTCTTCTTCCGTCGCGGAGGAAAGTATCCGAGGGCTTGCCTAGGCATGCGACCGATCTGAACGGGCTCCTGGATGGATTCTATTTGGACCCAGCGAACATGAGTCCATGGCCCGTCGTCATACTGGGCTCTTGGCTCCCTGTCTGAAACTCCGCCTTGAGTCGGCTTGCTTGAGAAGAAATCACCTTCTGCCTCGGCCGAATTGTCGTCCGCGCCCGCAGGAGTAGGCGCGAGGAGGTCAATCTCGGACGGCTTGTGCCATGAAGGAGGGTCGCATGGTCGGCCCCGTACCTCACAAGCATCCACGGGTATCGCTAGCCATTTCCGCGTCTGGATGCTGTCTCGACTCCAGAGGCCATTGGCGCGCCGGAAGATGTCCTCGCGGCACTTGAAGCGGAGGATAATACCGGCATATGTGTCGTTAGTCCCAACGCGATGTATGTATACGAGGCAGTCCTCCGGCTGCGACCTGTTGGTCGATGCCACATCGTCCGAGTTGCGGCGCTTGTGTTTCCCAGCAGTGTCCAGCCCGCCGTTAACGTTGTCGTGGCTCTCAAGGACGCTTGCCGTCTTGGCAGCTCTCAACGCGGCCTCCCGCTCGGCCAACGACCCAGCTGCAATGTCGTCGGGTCCGGGGTGCCGCGGCGGCGGAGCAGGACCCCATGCCGACGGACTCCTGCCGGGGCCGCTTTTGCGACTGCTCGATCGGGGTCTCTCTTGGCGCGGAAAGCGTGTCGCAGGCGCCTTGAAGGCAGAGCTGGCCCCTGTGAGCGAGGATGCGAGGCCTTGGACCGAGTTCCAGCTCTGCGCCCACGAGTCGCCCAGAAACTGTCCCAGCGTGCCGCCTGCTGCGCCAGCAGGGGGACGTGGGCTCGCGGCCCGGCTCGTGGACGCACTGTACGCTGATAAGAGGCCGCTGCCGCCCTCGTCGGCGGGCGCTCGCGGTGAAGCAGCTCGGGGGGTGTCGCTGCCGGCAGTGGAAATGAAGCGACGTGTCCGAGGGCGGACGGAGCTCAGAACGGCGGTTTGGGCCGACGACGTCTGGCGCGACGAGGCATCCGGCGGCGGCATGCGCGAATCGGCCATGGTGGCCACGACCTCACGACCTCAGCGGCGGAAGCGGCTCGCGGATCGTGGGCAGTCGGTCACCTCCGCATCAGTGCGCGCCGTCGGCGTGGCCGGTCCTGCTGGAGAGGCGAGGTCGGGCACGATTTGCCGCAATTGAGCAACAGGGCTACTGGATGACGCAGCTCGAGTCGAAAGGTCGAGGGCGGCGGTGCATCCGGTGTTGCTGTTGGAAGTACGAACGGTAGGCTGATAGCTAACAGGGTGACGTACTACACGGGGTTGGTGATGCTGCGACGAGTTTGGGGCGGGACGGGAGGCTCAAGGCAAGTTCGGCAGGCAGGGTAATAATACCTTGCCTCAGTGAAAGGAAGAAGGGGCCCGGGGGGCCCGCCAGCTGTTACTTCTAGCCGTTTTAGTGCAGCGGCGGCGGGTAAGGTGGTGCCCGCCCGCACAACCTCAGGCTTGGTGTGGGTTAGTATCGTACCTACTGCCCGTACCTAGGCTGGATGGAACCTTATGGTGGAACCTGGGAAGCCTAGGAATAGCTCCGTGGGCCGCTGTATCCCTTATTCAATCAACCACTGACGCCCGTGCCGATGACAGCAGTGGACCGACCTGGAGGGCAACCCAAGGTACAAGGTATACTAACCTAACAATCTGCCGCCGCTGGAGGAACGCGCAAACGCTGCGAGCAGGCGCGAGGCGGTGGGCATGCCCGCGCGGATCACCTTCCATGATAACAACTGTAACTGACGTACCTAACTTGGCAGTTAATTCATGCCTTGGCCCGACGGTGTGGACACTTGGCCCCAGGAAGCCTGGCTGTCATGCATGCGCAAGACTGGGAATGGCCCCCGCCGGCGGCGAGGTGGCTTTGACTCCCGTCCCTGCAGTGAAATGTACCTACCTAGGTACCTAGCGGGCCAAGCCGTGCAGCGCCTCCATCGGGTAATACGGGCGGTAATATTGACCCCGTCTTCCAGAGATGCCCACACCCCGGAACCCTCGTTCACGTGGAGCATGGCAGAACAAGGCAAACAGGTCGGGGATTTGCACCATCTCAGGTGCAGCAAGGTACGTGACTTGCTGCAATGCTGTACCGACTGTATTCGGGAGATCGAGCACCCGGCAATCGGTGCTCCCCAGTTGCAGGCCCCGGCGCACGCAGCATTTGTTTGCGGCATCAACCGCTCCGTGCAGGCCATGCGGGCCACTCTCCGGCTCCTGCGCCGTCCCTCGTCGCCGAGTGCAAGCTGGCAAGTCTCCATACACGCACGTGCAAGCATGGACGTCCTATTTTGAAGAATCGTGCCGCCGGTAATCGCAAACTTCGGACGGAAGCCCTGCCCCGGCGCCCTTTTGCTCTCGAGAGATTGGCAGGACAGGTGTCGGACGATCAACGGCACAGATCGGCAATCAAATAACGATGAATATTGGCCCCCTGGCCGCCTCCTATCGACACTGGTTCCCACCCGCAACCACGCCGTCCTTGGCGCTGCACATAGGTATGACCAAGGCAGTTTTTACCGTGCAATGTAGAGAGCGCCGCAGCACGCGCCTCAGGACAAGCGTCGGCTCTCATTGCATCTCATGACCAACAGTATCAAATCTTACAGATCACGACCTGGGTCCGGCCTCCACCTTCCTTCCCAGGCCCTGCCCACCTCATTCTCCTGTCGGGAATATCCTTCGCCTTCCTCGACCCTGCCCTGGCCCGGCATGTCCGTGAAAGCTTTCGTTATTCGCAGCCGGACATGGCATGATGCGGCACCGTCACAAGGCGGCAAGCTGCTTGACCAGCCAGGGCGCCGTCTCGCCTGCGACGGGGTACCTCATCCATCGGCCGTTGTGTCCGTCTCGAGCAGTCATGCGACCAACTGCCAACGAAGCCATCCGTCAAGGCTGCGTGCCCGGGTAGCCTGCCCGGGCTGGAGCGCTGGCCCGCTCCTCAAAGCTTGAAGCTCGCAACGCGCAACCGTATGGCACGGACGATCAAGGGCTCTCCTGCGACCACAGTGAACCGAGATAACATTGCCGACTCAGCTCAAAGAGACATCGAGATTCAAGTTACTGGCATCGCCATTGATGCCGAAAAATTGGAACCTGTTGATCCGGATTAGCAAGACGATGGCGAACAAGACTGCAACAGGTTCGTACCAATCTTCCACGTTGAGTGTCGTGGGTGCGGGCTGCCCTTGAACCGAGCCCGTGCTCCAGCTATCTGGACTCTGGCCGTCATGAACCCCACCGTCGAAGTTGCTTTGCCACATGCCTGACTGGCCCTGGAAGCCTTGCATGCCGACCATCCCGTTGCCTTGGCCGTGGCTGCCTCTCGGCTGGAACTGGGTGCCCTGCTGGCCGTGGGTGCTGTGGGTCATGCTGCTTGGGGTCATCTGGGCCATGAGGCTCTGATCCAGGCTCTGGTGGGTTTGTGTTGGCGACAGGTTGGGGACGGGCGGCATGCTTGAGCTCTCGGGAAACAGTTGATCCGGCTGAAAGTTCTCCCATATGGATTGTGATAGGTTGGGCGAGTTTCTTGTGACGAGGTAGAGATCCGGCGGCGTGGCGGGTACAGAGAAGGATGGGTTAAACGGCGTGGCCGGGCGAGTCTGCGGCCGCGAGCTAGTCCCGCCCATAAAAGTGTCGGCACCGCTGGGCCGGGTGTTGGGTGAGGCCGCGCTCGGCTGGTGCATCGTGGCAGGGGCTTCGTTCTTGACGGCGCTCGGCGTCTGCGGTCGCGATCTCTCGTACGACTCTTGCGGAGTTGGCGCGTTGGCGGTGAAGTCGATGGCCATGTCGTCGTACTTGCGTTTTGAGGCATCCTGGGCTTTGCTGTGGTTATCGAGCTGTGACAGGCTCTGTTGCATCCGCCGGTGTCTCTTCGCCCCTGCCTTCTGGAGGCGCTCCTCCAGCACCTTGTTGCCGATGATGGATTCAAAGAGCGTGTAAACCATCTTCCCCACGAGCCAAACCCGAGACACCTCCTTCATCGCCTGCATGCAGCTCCGCATCCTGTCCTGCGTGACCTGCTGGATCGACGGCACAGGCGAACGCATTTGGTAGACATGCATGATGAGGGCGGAGAAGAGGCTGTACACGATGAATGCCGGGCAGTAGCGCAGCTCACCATGCGCCGCCAGATTCTCCACGATGGAAGTGATCATGGCTGCCGCCTGGAACGCAATGTTCCGTGAGGGATATGGCGAGTCGTCGGGGAACCGACTGGTGCCGCTGGGCGGCATGTGAGCGCGGTGAAGGAGGCACAGCGTCGTGTAATAGTTGGAGTGCAGCAGCGCGGACCAGAAGTGATGGCGAGGCATCTCCCAGTACACAATCTTGGGGCAGTTTTGCAGCCAGTCGGCGAGGGCCATGTCGCTATGCGTCAAGTCGATGGCGTTGCGTTGCCGACCCTTGGAGGCGACCGAGTACTGCTGGGAGAGCACAAGGCCCATGATTTCGCACAGCTTGACGTATTGAAGGAAGAATTGGACGTGGATCGGGTCGGGAGGATACTCGCTGACGTGGTCTGTTTCATCCTCGATGAAGTCGTCCTCGGTCAACATCTCCACGTCGGAGTCGTCCAGGTTGATGTGGACTGGTCGACCAAGTGCCACCGCCACGGATCGGTCGCGAGTGAAGAGCGTCCACCATATCCTTTTCCAGAGGCGCTTGTCAGACTTGCTCAACTGGGACTGCTCGACGCTGCGGTGCATGCCCGAGCCTTGCGCGACGATTGTTGCAACACGGCTCCAGTAGAAGACGTTCTTAGTGACGTCCTCTGGGCCTTCCCAGTACCAGCCCAAAAGCAGCAAGGACTGCACAATGGTGACGCGGTCATCCTCGTAATTGGCATCGTAGAGAGCCTTGGCGCGCTTGTAGAATGTCAAGGCGGCCGGGGTAGTCGAGCCGTTGGCGTCCATGAGCTGCGCGTTTGTGCAAACGCGGGAACCTGCCAAGAGCACCGCCTGGAGGAGGAGGAGCGATGGCGGGTTCTTCGGGTCGCGATACTGCCTCATGAAGCGCGTCCGGTTGATGACAGGGACGATGGGATGCACCCATTTGAAGTAGGCGTCGATCAGTTCGTCGCACAACGAACGCGGTGGCAACAGGAAGGCGCCTCTTTGGTGCAAGATGTCGATCTCGACGTTGTCCAGCTCAGTCAACCTCGCACGAGAACCGCGCACGTTCTCAGGCAGCGGGTAGTGCACGACATCTGAGGAGCCCTGCCGGTCGTGGACGAGTAGGGTGAGATTTGAGGACTCTCCGAGGAAGGCCACCCGGCCGGCTTCCGTAATGGGGGCGCGGGTGAATTTGGGCTTCATGACGAGGTTTAGGTACGTGTTGTTGTCAACCTCTTCTTGCCGTACTTGCGATTCCGTCATGGCCGAAGAAGGAGTCCCGTCCGCGGTGTGTGATACGGTCGGGGCTCGAGGGTAAGCATTGGCGGCACCGGCGTGCGTGGTCTGCTGTGGCTGTGGCTGCTGCTGCTGCTGCTGTCTGTCGTCGAAGCCTTCTCGGTCGCTACATGACGGGGCACGAAGGCGTCAGTTCTACGTTCACGAGGCGAGGCTGGATCGCCAGGGGGTCATAAGGGTTGACGACAGAGGCACGACGGCCGGGGGAGGCATTACCTGTCCGAGTCCTTGGTGTTCTGCCCCGGAGTAGAGCTCTGCTTCTTGCGTTTGGGAGTTGGGATGCGGCATTCGATCTGGAAGGCGACGCAGTTGGTGCAAGGCACCCCCAGACTGGCGGCATCGCATCGGACCTGGAACGGAGGGACATGGGTTAGGCAACATCGACACAGAGAATGACGGTAGAGGTTGTTACCTTTCGTGCGTGGCAGGTCTGGCAGGGCGAGAAAGACGGAGAGTCAGCGTTGACAGTTGCGTAAAGGCGCTGGAGGGGTCGTGGACACGCAAGCGCGCAGTCAGGGTGGGCTGGGGCGGGAGCTGTCGCATGCCTCGGCTCACGGGGAGCTTGGAGGGGAAACGACAACGATCAGGGCACGGGCGGCCCGTCGGGAAGACATACCTCACATGCTCGTGACGCTCGTTGCCTATATAAGCGAGAAAAGGCGTCAGCGGAGCGCACTCATTCATGCACCCACGGCGCATGCATCGCATCGTATCGCGAGGGCTGGGCGAGCGTACCTGCGGAAGCTCATCTGGGCAGCGGCTGCGGAACTGGCGCTGGAGGCGCCCGGGGGCGACGTCTTGGCTGGCGATTCTGACTGCGTCTGCGGCTGCGACTGTTGCGGCGCAGCGTCGCCGGAAGACATCTCGACGTCCATGGCGGGCGAAGGAGCACACACGCGGACACGCGGTGAGGTTCGGTCGAGATCGGAGCAATGGGGAGGAGGAGGAAGAACGAAGAGCGCCTGGCGAAGGAGGCGACTATACCTGACAGAATTCGCAGCAGGACCTATGCGGGACGCGACCTCTGGGGGGGGGCGGCCACAGGGCTTGGAGCGGCGGCGTGCAGCGCAGCACTGGCGGACGGTTAGGGCGGCTGGACGGCCTGGGGCTGTCGCTGTCTCTTATACACATCTAGATGTGTATAAGAGGTCCCCCGTGTTCAGGTAAAGGTAAGTTCGCGCTGGCCGGGCAGGTTGGCGGCGGAGGTGGCGGCTCAGGCGTGGGGTCTGGCCCGTCGGTGGGCTGGAAAGGGATGGAAAGCTGGGGAGGCAGCCCTAGCAGGTCCGTCTGGGTGCAGGGCTGGTCGCTCCAGGGCTGTGTGTGCTCCAAATGTAGGTACTCGTGCTGCTCCGTTCCTCAGGCAGGAATGAGCAGGTACCAACTCAGGTGCAGCACTGCACCGCTCGCAGCGTCCAATTCGGCGGGTCGAGGCAGAAAAGAACAGTGCCGCCTGGGTCAAGGTAGTCGTAGTTAGCAGGTAGCAGCAGGGACTGAGGCGCAAGGCTCTCGTGGTCGCCGGTGCAGTGCAGTCCACAGGCCCGGCTGCCTGCGTCGAGCAAAAGGTGGTGTGGGCGTGTGTTTCGGTATCGCGAGGTGCCGCGACACGATGGAGACGTGGGATGGAGATTGAGCTGGAGATGGGGATGGAGATGGGTGGCAGTTGCGAACCTTGCTGAATGAGATGACGGGAGAATAGCGGGAAGGGCGGGGTTGTGGGCAGGGGCTCGAGCGTCGTCGTCGGACCTCGAGGCTCTGGCGCGTGGGAGTGGACTGGGCCGGGAGCCTGATGCTGGGACTCTGGGAGTCGCGCGCACAAAGCATTCGTAATGAAGCACAGTAATACAGTGGCTGCACCGTGGGATGTACGTGATGGGCACCGGCTTCCCTTGGCACGGGGCTGTACGGGCCGCACGTAGTCCTAACGATATGGAAGGGATGTTCCTGGCCGGGGGGAGGGAAGCACCTGCTTCCAGGTTCTGCAGCGTGTGGCGTCCCGGGCGCCGCGTTGAGGCTGGCCGGAGAAGAACGGGCGGCGGACTTTTGTGTGTCAATCGACGCAATGGGGACGGCCACGGGTGTGGTGTGGTGTGGTGTCGGCGCAACAGATGCCGTGCTGTCCGCTGCGTGCCAGCGTGCGGGTTTCCAAAAACCCCGTACGGAGGACTCGCGCGTGTGCACGAGGGCGCCGCGACGCAACTCCGTCCGAAACGGATCGTCCTCTGTTGGAGTCGAGCGAGTCGTGCGCGCGTTGCGGGGTCTGGGGCTCCGTCCCGTGTGCTGCTGGGTGGTGACAACCTGCACCCGTAATTGTGGTGCTTCTCGTTCGCCCGTTCTGTGACGCCAGGGTGGTGGGGGGCTTGGTCCCGCGGGTTGATTCAGCGCGTCCCCGAGTCGCTGAAACGCTCGACCGTTGGGTCCAGCGGGCTCCGGGCGTCCACCTTGGCCGCCTCTCTCCCAACTGGGCGGCGCTGCAGCGGGTGGCTGGGGTGTGGGCCGGCGGAGCGCAACCTGGAAGCCTCAACCTTGAAATGCCCGCTGACGGGAGCACAGGGAAACCCGTCAGGGTCGGGCCAGGTCGGTCTTGGTCGGTCTTCAACGCGCGCGGCGGGCGCTTATAACACTTGCCCCGGTGTGCTGTTCCGGGCTCTCTCCCCACCGAGTCCACTCGCGGGGTGGTACGGACCGACGATGCGACGATGCGATCCGATGCAATCCGGTGCGCTGCAGTGCGGTGCCGCTCCGCACGAGAGACGGCCGATGCCGGACTTGCCGGGGCCAACGGAGCAGAAGCCGTGGCGAACGGCAGGCCGCTTAAGCCTTTGGCAAGACGAGGCTTGCTGGTGAGGGGAGGCCTGGGCTCTCGAGATGGCCGTCTCTCCTCGTCACCAGATGACGGTTCAAGAGAGCAAACAGAGACGCCCGACTACCCACTACCACGATGGGCAGATGTCGGCAGTAGCAGGACGGGATGCTCGAACAGGGACGCTGAGTCGCAGTGCTACCACGTCTGGCACGGAGTCCTTGACAAAGACGTGAGCCCGTCATGCACAAATTCCAAACAGGCACGCGCGGCGTGGTGGTCTGAATAAATATAAAATAACACTGGACTCCCACATCGTTGCCACGAGGTTGTTTCCACCACCGGTGCTGACAAGACGCGACAGCCATGGAACAGATCGGAAACTAGTGAGCCTGGCGTCCTGTCTCGCCATCGAGCCGAGGCTCTCGATGTGGGCGACGAGCCATCCAGGGCCTCTGGTCGAGGTGAGGAAGCCACCCGTCAAGCTCCGTAGTCGCCCGAAGACGTCGTCTGTTTTCCCCGGCATCCCGGGGCTGCGGTCTGAGGTGGATGGCCAGGTCAGCGGTGGGATTCGATGGCAGTTGGTGGCCCGGAGAAGATGGATGCGGAGCCAGAGCAGAACTGGCCAGGGCGATTGGCCAAAGGCGCTCGCGTCATCCGGGGTAGGAAGCCCCCCTTGCTTGAAGCGCAGGCAGCGAACCTGGGGTACGTT